GTACCTTAGATAATTAAATAACTTATCTTATACCTGGTTTGAGCCTAAAACTAAGGCTTCGTGCCACCGGGGGCTTAGTCGCTTCGGATGGGCGCGAACACGTACAGGGTTTCGAAATCGGGGCGCCCGAGGAGCGCGAAGCGCCCAGAGCGGCAGCCCATCCGAAGCGACACGCCATAAGCCTCAAAATGGGTCCCTAGAATAAATAGAAAACAATAGAATAAATTTATTCTAGGATAATTTATGGTCAATTGCGTTTCCGTACATAGGGATGTGATTTTTGCGTTTTTGAGTTGGCAATTGCTTCAAATTGATCAAAGTGGAGTCTCCAGGCCCGAGCCTTGTCACTGTTCACCGCGATTTCACTATAGTCGTGCCTGCTCATAGAGCGGATTCCATGGTAATTGAAGCCAAAAAGCCATTCACCGCTATAAAAATTCAAAAAGCAAAAGGAATTACACGTGGAAGAATCGAACCTCCCAGAGAGGTCCAAAAAAGTTTCGAAGACAACCACACTACGACTGCGCTGTCGTCAATCGTGGTTGGGAAGCCATCAAGGCCCCCCTTGTCCCGGTGGCTAGCCATGCCTGCCATGGATGCGCGCCGAGGGATCTAGGAAAACACCGTTTTAATTTTTTAATTTTATAAAATCGGGGACGGCCATTCTGCAAAAATGAACCTTATAGCGTTACTCAGAATGAAATTCTCTATCGAATGCACTATCTTTGGAAATGATTTGTGTATGACTCAAAAAAGCACTCCTTATTAGATGTGTTTTCCTTAAAATGGGGTTGGCTTGGTTTCAAAGTGTATTCTAGCCATTGTGCCGTTCTTAAATGTTTTTTTTTTGGAGCTTGAAGGAAGGATATAACTCTGTTTCAAGGGATATTCTGGCTGTTCCGCGATACTTAGAAGTTTTTTATTGTCAAAGAAGGGATATAGCTTTGTTTCAAAGGGTGTTCTAGCCAGGGATTCAGATAATCTGTAACCATCTGGTATTCGTTATAAGACAATAACTAACTTAGCTACGGCGTTATAAGACTGTAGTGTTGTTTATTAGGTTCTGAAACACCTCAGGTAAAATTTTGGGACCGTTCGGATGGGACAGGACCAAATGCCGGATGGGTGTTTTTTGGGACACCCTGTGGTTCAGCCTGGAAGTACCAGTACCCCTTTAGTGTACTCACATTTTTAAAGAACATTTCGACAGACAACCGGAAATATGCCCTGGGGGCACCATCTTTGTTTGCCGATTAATAGCGTCCGCAGCGGCTCCTCAGCGGGAATCGTGTTGTCCCACGGCGCGATCCGTGTTTTTCGATGATGGCCGGTCGTGGCCTCGAAATGCAAACAGCCGAAGATTTGGCGGCGGGATTTTTGCGCTGCAACCGGGAAGCTGGGATATTAGGCCAGGAATTCTGAATCCAGGTATAATTCTCGCTTCCTCGTGCCGTGAAGTTTTGAAAAGGCGCACGAAAGAACGAAAAAGGCAAATATTTCATTTTAAGCGCGAAGCGGGCGAGCTAAAGCCAGAATCGAGCCAGAAATCGTCTATGTTTGAACTACCAAAGTTAAGAATTTAGCGAGTAAAAATTAATGGGTAAAAATAATATTTTGATGATTTTAATGGACAGAAAGAGGAGTACAGTATGGGATCATTCCGCATATCGGAAAAAGGCAGGTAGGTACAGTATTTAAGAAAATTATGTATCCAGAGTATATGCAAAATCTTTTAATCGAAGCTTACAATAATCCAAATTCCACCCAACTCCACAAGGCGTCAAAGTACATAGCCCTGCCGCTAATCACCCCATCCACCTAGTCTCTTGAGACCCCACACGTCGTCTATAGTCAACCAGCGTAATGGTGCACAGTCAAGGCTTCTTGCCCCCCCCCCCTTCTCGACCCTATGCGAAGGGTGAAGTGCCTTGTGGTGTGGAATGGAATGGAGGGGACTTGGCAAATAAGCGTGTGACGACAGGGGAAGCAGAAGAAGAATAAGAAGATGAAGACATGGGGTCGATCTACTTGATCTTGTTTGGGGGAAACACTTAGTAAAATATGTCGCCGTGTCTGTGATCCTTATCCGATTTTGAGATCCTTGTCGAGTTTTTCTGAGCTTTTGCATACTCAAAATGGCGGTGAACCGTCAACAATACAAATGCATCCAAAAATCATTTATTAAATTAGCGTAAATTAAAATTCGGCCGATTTTGACGGGTTTCCCGGCAAGTTCCTCACTTCCCCGGGCACGGACACCTAAAAATATTGTTTTTTTTTGTCTTAAAATTGAAAATATTTTCATCTTGTTAGTTTCAGAGCCGTGCTAGGTTATACTTTTTCAGAAAAGTTGTATAAGACCTACGTTGAGCAACCGCACGGCGATCCGCCGCCAAGGCAGGCCAGAGAAATTTGCACGTAGGCCAGGAAGGCGCAGATGAGGAGTAGCTTGTAGTACTGGAATGAGCAATGTAGCGGAAGCTCTCAGCTTTCGTTATCCTCAAGAATCTCTGCTAGCTTACCCAGAACTTAGTTTTCCTGAAGAACCTCTGCTAGGCCACCCCGACCCCGATTTTTCTTCGAGGAAGTCTGCCAGCCTACTCGACCTTTAGTTTTCCTCGAAAATCTCTGCTATCTTAACCGCTCGTTAACATATTTAAAACTTGGATAAACACTTAAGGAATTCAAAATAAAAATGCGTTGATGCCTTTTTACATTTTGGAAATAAATGTATGGTACTAAAGTAAGCCTACAGTAGTCCTCTCCAAAATTACAACTATAAGGCAATGAAAACGTAAGAATTTTATTTATTACGGTGAGAAAACCTACCATGATTGTGACAGAAAGACACGAGCTGGAGTTGTCGTTGCCAGCACCTTCCCGGGATGCTTATATACCCTCCGGGCAACCAGTGATTTGCATACAAGCTGATCCTCCCCGCGGGGCCAACCTGTTTTATCAATGGGGTGCCGTGGCAAAAAAGTGTTGGGGAGCCCCCTGGGAAATGTGTTCTTCGATGGGATGGACTGTACAAAACCTGTGGGATCTTCAGCTTTACGAGTCGTTAGCTGCTGGTTACGAGATTATGGTGTTTTTTGTGTTCTAGAGCGTGAAAGATATTTATTGAGATGTCAGGTATGTACAGTAATATAAAAATAAAATAAGAAGGTTGAATGGTTTTTTGAAATGCTGGAGTTGTTGGAGTGGGGGTCGTTATTTTCCGCATTGGCAGCTGAAATTTAAAAATTACATTGAAGTTTTTAGTTTATGCTTAAGATTTAGCTTTTTGTTGATGTTGCACAAATGTTCTATAGCTTCTCCGGCCTCTCCGCTTTGCTTCTAACGCCTTTAATCAAGACTGATTCAACGGGTTGTGAATGCAGAAATAATTTCATTAAGTACCCGTTTGTTTAGTTTTATTTTATGTTATGAGAAATTTATATAGCCTTCTAAAGTCATGAACAATTATTAATTAAAAATTATATATATTATTTTGCCTAAGAATTTATATAAATTTTATTAAAACGGAAATAAGAAATAATAGTGCCTAAAATCCACAAATCCGGGGTCACAAATCCCTAAAAACTAAGCTCAGAATTTTTTTGTGTTTGTTTTGTAAATAATACCAGCGCTGACCCCCCTCCACTACAATTTGAATTTCCAATTTGAATGCAGAATTTGGCTGAATTCGTGTAGGGACGGTCGGGCAGACGGACATTAGAAATTTATATTTAGTGGATAGGAATGCCTTACTACCTCTCATTAATGCATATCCGGAAACTCCTTACTTACCCTCCAAAACCGCCAAGTCCAGGGCCCATCGGGCATCCACAGCCTCCGAGCCCACCGAGGCAAGCCATTGACAGGTGGACCAAGCCGAGGGCCAGCACAACTTGGATCAGTTGGAACGACTAGAACTTTTGGTGTCACGGTCCCTTTAACCAAGATTTTTCTCAAAGAAAGTTGGTTAGCTTGCCTAGGGCTATTCGGACGTTTTTCTGTCGCTACGCCTTTAAATGTTAGAATATTTTGCTAACGAAGTTCTGCTAAAAAGAAATTTTTTTGCAATAAAAACGAAGGCCATAGAATAGAATGAAACCATAGAATTTAGAATACAGTACCCTTTAAGGAGAAAATAGATATATCAGCATATAAAAACCACCCACCATCTCGCTTACAGTAACCGGAGGGGAATAGTACGAAAATGGAAAGTGTGTGTGTGGGTTTGATTCTCGACTCCCGGCCACCGTGCATTTATAGCCCGAGGGCACACGGGATCGAAGGGGAACCAGTATGGACCCTCCGCTCGAATAAAGCCAAAAAAGGGCTGCCATTCATCCCAATGCACGGCAGAAAAGGGGAAATCGCTTCCCCCTATACAGCTGGAACCAAAACCAAAATCCCCCGCGTTTCTCTCTCTCTCTCTCTCTCTCTCTCTCTCGCGCGCTACAGTCACTACAGGCCATGGCAGCCAATTCCATTCGGGAGGGGGCAGGGTAGCCTGTTTGCCTCTTTTTTGTTGTTAGCTCTTTTGCTTGTTGCCTCGGGGGCCCATTGGCGTGAGAGAGCGAGAGAGAGTGAGAGAGTGAGGGAGGGAGAGAGAGCGAGCTGAAGCTTTTCCTTTCTACCACTCAATTTCCATATAGATCACCACAACCACACCCTACAGGCCGAGGGCATGATTAAAAAGTGGCATGCGGTGGATGGCAGATAGGATTTTAAAGGTAGCGTGACAGGACTGTCTGGAATTTCTGAGGGAAAGCAATAAAACGCTTTTTATGTGAGCGGAAGCGGGTGAAATTTTTAAGTGCGGTTTTTGCCGTTCTTTAAAATATTTTGTTATGTATTGTATTCAAAATTTTCACGTGTTTTATAATATTTATACCCGATATGCATTCGTTGACAAGCTGCGTCCTTTTTTGTCGAGATCACCGGAAAAATTGCTATAGATCCACGAAAAAATCTTAAATTAGTGGAATTACAGTAGCCGCAGGGATTCAGACGAGCGAGTAAGGTGGTGCCGACGGTTGTTGGAGGTACTAAAAACAGAAATCATAAAGCTTATTCGATTCTCTAGCGTGCGTAGCCATCCACCACCATGTGCCCATTTTTAATACTATTTTAGCTTACCATAATTGGTGCCGGGTGGATAGAGTTCTAAAAAAATAAGTATAGCCCTTTTTAGTTGTATTTAAAGTGATGTTAAAAATTTTGGCATTGTGGTCTAGTGGTTAGCGTGTTTGGCTACCAGGCTATAAAACGGAGGGTTGAAGGTTCGAATCCTGGCTTCGGGGTTTTTTTGCTTTTTTCAAAAATAAGGTAGGCATTCGTCTCAAAACCCACCTGCCGCTCCGTAACAAAGGCGAGCTCCTTCCGGTCTCGGCTTCGTTGTCGCCTCCGGCGCTCCAGCCAGACGGCACAACAACACCATGGGGAACAGAAGCACACTGTGCAGCAGCAGGCCAGTGTTAGGGCTACGAACAGCACCGTCAAGACACACATCCTTAAATCATAATTATTATTTTTACTGTTTCTGCTTCACAAAATTACGCTAGGTATTGTTATACTTAAAAACCTCGTTTTTAGTTTCCCGATTTTTAATCTATTGTCCTATTTTTAATCTTTGGTTTGTAAAATTTTATAACTTCAGATCAGTTTTAGAATGCTTGAATTAAATTAGCAATAAATTTCGACAAGTTTTTTAATATTTTTAATATTTTGAGTTAACTCACCAGAAATAGCTCTTCACCTCGAACGGCAACAAACTCCAAATCCACAAGATGACATCCATGACCCCGAACCCGAATAGGAACCCCTCATCCTCCATTTGTACTCTAAAATTACTTAAATTCTATTTTCATGAAAAATGGAAGTTCGCGGTGGTTCGGAACGAGGTCAGGCGCGGCTATTTGCTCCCGGTACTTGAGAGTATGAGAGGACAGCGAAATAGCGAGTTTTTAGAAACTTTCAGGCCAGATGGAAATAGTGCGTTTGAAATTCAGAAGAGAAAAAAAATTTGAGTATCATTAAATCGTAATTGATATGCTAATTTCAGCTTTCAAAGGTTTTGGATAAAGTGTATTTTTTAAGTCCTTGGAATGCTTTGGTATTTAAAAAACAAATAATACATTTTAAAACACAGCGAGGTAAACAGTATTTTCGCTTAAGGAAAAATTTGAATTTCGCTTTTACGAAATTTTCGAATGTAGGTAGGGTTCTGACTCGACTCAAGCTGAGTTCCAAAAATTCGGAGTAGACAGTTTTAAGTCGAGAAAGGAAGTTGAGAGCTAATTTGAATTTGTCGAATTAGGAAAAAAAATTCAGTTGGTAAAACACGGCGGAATACAGTGAATGTGCTTAAAAAATCTAAATTTCTATTCGAAGCAATTTTTTGAAATTTTTAGTCATCTGACTTAACGCGAGCTAAATTTCAAAGATTTCTACAGTGGTGAATCATCCTCCGACTCCCAAAAATGGCGTCTGGAGACTGGGCTCGCCCCGGGGTCGCCGGGGAGTAAGGGCAAAATATGGCGAAATGGGCGGGATTCTGGGAGGGGCCCAGGAAAGGGCCCAGCTGGACCTCTCCGCCTCGAGTCTAGGGCCCTAGAGAAATACGGGAGAACGGGGGGGGGGGAATGGGGAGGATGAGTCATGCTGTGGACATGGCAACGGCCCACTCCATGAAGTCATCACCGGAAGAGAGATGGGCATCACGCATGGGAATAAAAACGTAAAACTTCTTAAGTTAAATTTTGATTAGAAGAAGAAGCTGGAAAATTCATTCAAATTTATCTCGTTCAAACTTGATTTTCAGCCTATTGTTATCAAAATGATGCTTTGTATTGTTAAATTTTTAGGTTTTTTCTGTAATTCACTGCTTATCGCTTGGTTTTCTATCCGGATTATCTAAAAAAAAGCCAGTTTTTAGTGTTAGAACGAAGAATGTAATTTTCATCCTTCAAAAAATTAGCTTATTCAGGTTTGCGATTTCTAATTTCGTTCTCTAGTTTAATTCAAATTTATTTGAAGGGAGTTTTACTACTTTTTATTTTTGTTTTACTACATACGCAAATTGCATGGAATTTTCATATACTAATCTTGTCTTTAAAGCCAATTTTTAGAAAAATAGAATTTTAGAGCCAAACTCCATAAAAATGTTTTCAAATTCACCATTTCCCAACCAGTTCCCAAATCGGCACTGGCAATTCGAACAAATCCGGGGCGGCGGTGGAGACGAAATTGGGGCCCGAGGATCGATTCTAGTGGCGAAAGGAGAAAAAAAAGGGAGACGGGCACCTTCCGGTTGTACTGCTCGCAAATGATGGGTAGCTTTTTTAAAGGGGAAGTGACAGGAGGAACAGCAAAGAACAACGATATTTCCAATATATTCACTAGTCTTCAGGATAACAGCTTGTCGAATTTCCATATTTCAAGCAAAACTCTATTACGCTACACTTGAAAAATATTTACCCAGCCGAGATGTCCTTTCTGTTTGTCGCGACAGGCCAATTAAGTAATAAAATCCGTTTATTCCCGGAATTGCTCGAGGCGTGAGATTTTTTAGCTTCTCTATCCCAGCATGGCTCCGATACGCCCTAGCAGAGGACCACTGAAAAAGTTGGCTTCAATTAACACTATAATGCACTACTGGCCCATCCCCATTCCAAAACGACGTCCAAATCGGCGCATCCCAAGGCGCGGCATCATAAAACGACGGCGCCCTAGAAATGGACGAATTTACAAAACATACGTGACAGTACTATCTACATTGACCGTATCTGTATACTTACCAAATAATTGTGAAGACACCATGGAAATTAGGGCCAGTAGGAGGAGAGCTTTGAGCAGCAGTCTCATCTCTCTGAATCGTAAATACGATAAGAAATACGTAAATTGGAAGTTAGGAAGTGGCTAAATGATGGTTATGAATTCCGTCTGAGTTTCGATACAAGCCAATTCAATGTTATAGCTTTTAAATCCAATTTACTTTCAATTAAACAGAAATTACAATCTGGTCGAGTGCTAGAAGCCTTATATCATCACCTCCAGGGCGGAGTTCTAGGCGCATACTGTATTCAGACAATTCCCCAAACACCCGAACCCACCTGAAAATCGCCAAGAGGAACTTCCCGTCCCCACGAGATCGGCGCCACAAGGCAAATCGCCCGACCCGACATCCGTATCAATCACTGCGTCACCATTCAAAAACTAGGAAACCAGTTGAGATTTGGCGAATCGAAGGGGGAGACGCATGTACCAACATGGATGGGAAGATGAGCGTTATGTCGCGTTTTAGGGGATGAAGAGTCGAGTGCTCCAAGCTGGAACCGAAAGACTGAAAGGCATTTTGTAGTGCAGCGTTCCTAAAACACCTGTATAATTTTAGCAAACGTAAATTAGCCTAAAAAACAAGAATTTGGGTTAATTTGCATTACAGCAAAAATTTTGAGGAGTGTGTAACTGTATAAACAAAGGAATATTATTTTCAAACGCGTTGAATGTGTCTTATTTCATTACGCAACAGAACCATGCCTTGTCCGTCCCTTTAAAACCCCCCGCAAGCAGATAATTTAAATAGAAAACAACTTCTTCAGAGACACGCAGTCCCCGTCCTTTTTTGACACATGCCAAGTGATTGGCTTTAGTATTCGGCCGTTGTGGCGTGGTTTCTGGAAATGCCGACCTGGAAGCGGGATTATTTTTGCATCGGTAGCGCGATAACGACGCACAAAATAAAGGCCAGACTACCTAGAACCCGGCTCGGAGATAAGCACCAAATTGCAGGTTTTCTGCAATTCGGCTAGAGGCTAATAATTTTTCTGTTTCTTTACAAAAATTGTTATTGTTTTTCGTTATGGAAACGGATTCTTCGATTTTATGCGATAATTCAAGTTTAGAAAAGGAAATTGATTAATTGCGTAATTTCTACCTCGAATCAAACCCAGCTCTCTTTCTCACTGTCTCTCTCTGTCTCTCTCTCTCTCGCTCTCGCTCTCTCTACCTCTCTCTTTGTTTTCTCCTCAGTTTCAGCAAAAATGGAAAAATTGCTTATTTTTAACATTTGGTTAATTTATTCAGAGCAGAAATGCCCTTCTCGGCAAAGCCAACAACAAAGGACCCGGCCAGCTATGCAAATTTTACCGAGGTCACCGTCCGGCATATGGACCTGAAATATTGCATTTCTTTCGAGAAAAAGACAATGGAGGCGGAAGCCAATTACATTCTCGACGTGCTCACCAATGAAGCGGAGAAAATTGTAAGTCGGCGGCGCTCTCTCTTTCAAATTTTAGTTTTCAAACTATAAATTTCTCAATTTTAGTCACTCGACACCCGCGATTGTGACATTCACAAGGTCGAGGTTAACGGACATGAATATGCTTACAAAATCCTCGAACCGGAAAAGGAATATAAAGGCCACAATCTGGTGGTGGCACTGCCAAAGGGGCTGAGGGTTGGGGATGAAGTGTAGGTTAATACTATTGAATTAGTACGATATTTAGAAAGTTGACAATATCCTATACGGTGCTGCCAGAGTCATTGTCTTTACAATGGATGGCGCCGGAGCAGACGATCGATAAGGTATTTAAAAATATTCCAAGGAAGTACATTATTATACTTACCAGGGTTGAAAAGCCGCCTCGCGACTTTTCAACCCTGGCCCCGCCTGGCCCCGATTTTATCTTCACTTTGCGTAATTGTCCTAAATTCAGATTAAAACAAATAAAAACCACCTCTCCTGTCTATTTATATTGTAGGAATCCTAACTTCCGGTCTATGCTAATTAATCCTAACAAAGAAGTTTTCACAAAAACTTAAATTTAATGCCGAAAATAGGTGATTTTGTTAAATCTGATATGCATGCAGCCATCTCCAGTCCATTACGCACCTAATGACATATCATACATACCTTAAAATTCATTCCTTATCGAGATATCCTCCGGGCAGACCGACGGAAGTGGATGCAAAGTGGCACACACACACACAGACACTATTTTTTATATATAGTAGGATAACGATTTAAAAGATTAGAATTTTTGCATTTCTAAATTACCAACCTTCTAGACCCACCCACTCGTGTTTACATACAATCAACCAATAAATGCTCGTGCCATTGTACCATGTATGGATACGCCATCAGTCAAGAGCACCATCAGCTACCAGGTTTTTAATAATAAAACCATAGAAATATGTACAATTGGAACTTTCTCATTTATGTAAATTTATATCTTAGGTATCTGCCCCTAAATCTCTACAAGTTTTGTTTGCTGCTGTCGAATCGAAGGGCCCTGAAGTTGACCAGGAACACCCTGAAAACAGAATTTTTTATGCGGAACAAAAGGCAAATTATTTTTGTAGTTCGTAGTTGTATATTATTTGGTACAACTTAGTCTATTGTGCTTTTAGATTCCAATCCCCTCCTACCTAATCGCGTTCCTGGCTGGAAATTACGTATCTGCGGATATTTCACCGAGAATCCGGGTTTGGACTGAGCCGTCGATTATCGAAAAGGCTAGATATGAATTTGCTACGGTAATCGGCTAAACTTTGTCGATATTTTTGGGGTGTGGTTAAGACCGAAGAGCAGCTGCAGCTAGCCGAGTCGATACTTGGTGAATTCGTGTGGGGCCGAGCGGACATGGTGGTGTTGCCGAATTCGTTTCCGTTCGGCGGGATGGAGAATCCGAATATGATCTTCTTGACACCGTCTTTGTTGGTGGGTAGATTTTTATGTGCAGTTTCAAAAATAGCTAAATAGCTAAAATTACTATCAATTGTCTTTTAAATTAACCTTTTCCAAAAATCACAATTCGAAAAAATGACTTTTAAATTATTTTCAAAAATGATCACTTACCGATGGGTGTCATTTGGAGCGTAATGGAATTTAGAAGTTTTCAGGCTGGGGATCGTTCTTTGGTGCATCTTGTCACTCATGAACTTGTGCATTCTTGGACCGGGAATTTGGTGACCAACGCTACTTGGGAGCACATGTGGTAGGAAGGTTACGATAATCTAGAAAATTGATTAATTCGGAAAAGCTAGCTAACTTAAAAAATTCTAGTTTAATTAAATCAAAATGAATTTAAAAATTCTAGAGGTTTTTGAGGCGCATTTTTGAATTGAAAAAGGATTACGATAACATTATGGTTGGCAAGCGATGTGTGCGCTTCATTTGCTTACCCTCTATAGTAATTCCTTGCCACTCCCTTTAAAAACACCACAAAATGTAGTGTTCATCAAGAAAAACGACAGATTTAATCTAGGCTTAATGAGGGCTTCACCAAATACTACGAACGCCGTATTCTCGGCAAACAATTTGGAGAACCCCGTCGCGCATTCCAAAATATCAACGGTTGGAATCAAAATCTAATTCCTGTGGTGAGTCGGAAATTTGGGTACGCGCGAAAGGTGGAAGGTGAAGCCCTAGTTTAGCCTGATTTTGGTAGTACGGGCCGTGAAAGTGTATTCCAGGCTGAACGAGGGCTTCACCGAATACTATGAGCGTCGGGTGATCGGAAAGGAATTTGGGGAGTCGAACAGGGACGTCTGTTGCATCAACTGTTGGAGCCAGAATTTGGTGACGACGGTGGGCACTGATGGAAGGGGAGCGAGCGGAGATTATTTGCGGAATTTCGCCGAAGGATTTTTCAGTTTAATTATTTCCACATGATTATGCAAATTTGAATTTTGTGGGCAGACCAGCAAAGAAAATCTGAGGAATTTATTAAACTGCATGTAAATTAGTAGGAATCCATACGGATCTAAAAAAATTAAACTTACGAAAATTCAAATTGATACCGAGTTTAAAAATTAAAAACTGCATAGAAGGAGTTTGTTAATAAAAATTATTAATTAAAATTGAGGGAGAAATTAGGCGAATACCGCTTTTGAAAGGCTAACTAACACAGAAAATTTGTTTATTTTGGCAAACAATAAAAAGCCCAAAAATAATTTTATTGAATTAAAACTATTAGCAAAGATAATACGTGATACTTCGCTAACAAATTCGAACGTAGATAAAATATGTAAATTACAAAATTCTGCAATTTACCGATTTTTAGGTGCACGAGCAATTCCACCCGGAACACCCCTGGACGGCCATGGTCCAGGACCACAGCGTCGAAGGTCTGTGCACTAATGATAGCCTATAAATTGCTTTATCATAATGGCCAACTAGCAAACACCCTTTTGCAGGTGACCCAATTTCCGCTTTCTCTATGATCTACTACGAAAAGGGCCAAGTGTTCCTCTACACCCTGGAAAAGCTGTTGGGGCGTGAAGGTCAGGAATTAAATTTTTTAATTCAACATTTTTCGTTTAAGAATTCGATACCTGGATGCACAAATACATTGCCGACTACACGGGAAAGTCGTTGAACACCGACGAGTGGCGCGCCCATTTCTTGGCCCATTTTGCCGATAAAGCGGATGCCTTGGCCGAGCTCGACCTCGACAAGTGGCTTTATGGCTTGGGGATGCCCCCAAAACAGCCGAGGTATGGAATGAAGACCTAAACTGGACTTAAATTAGCATTTAACTGACCGTTAAGTCAAACCCCATTAACTTTTTACTAATTTAGCTACGATACATCTTTGCAAGAAGAATGCCAGAAATATGCCGACTTGTGGGCCGATGCTGATCCGGCTGCCGCGGAACATATCGATACATCAATTTATGAGAATTTTAATGCGCTACAGAAAATCGAGTTTTTCAGCTTGGTTCGGAATGTAAGGCAAAAACCTTCGTTTTCCAACGTTAGAATTTTCTAGCACAAAAACGTGGTAGAATCAAAAGTGTTGGAAGTGATGGAACGTCGGTTGAATTTGGGGCATTTGACGAATGTTGAGATGGAATATCTGTAAGTTTGAGAAAAAGGGAGAGAGAGAGAGGGAGAGAGCGACAAAAGAAAGTGAGAGAGGGAAATGAGAGTGATAGATCGAGATAGTGAGAGGGAGCGAGCGAGAGGAAGAGATAGTGCGAAAGAGATAACGAGAGAGTGAGAGAAAGAGAGAGACATGTCGAGAGAGCGAATGTGGGAGAGAGACAGCGAGAGAGAGAGAGATAGAAAGAGACATCGAGAAGCAGAACCTCTGAATTTCAGCTACATCCTGGCCGGTCTTCGAGCTCGTTGGCACTCCATCATCCCGCGCGCCATGGCATTTGTCGAGAAGAATGGACGCCTCAAATTTTCGCGACCCGTCTTTAGGTGTGTAGCGTAACGTAGCTCTTTTTCTACTTCCAAAGACCTATACAACATTTTTAGGGAGCTCCTCAGCTGGGACCAAACCCAAAAAGACACCCTCGTCCTCTTCCACCGTATCCGCACCCAAATGCACCCGCTTGGCGCGGAGATGACGATGCTCGAGTTGAAGAAGCTGGGATTGGCTTGAAAACTGAAACTTGTTTCCATCTTCTTTGGAAAAAATGTAATAAATCTTGATTCCCATCAGTGCGTCATCAAACGATTTGAATTTGAAATTTGGTGTGGGAGCACAAAAGTAAACGGGCGTCTGGATCGTATCCGCTGATGGTGGGGCGCGGGCTTTGATGCCCATTTCAAATGCGCATTGTAATTCAGCGGGATGGGAAGGTGTTGAGGTATAAAGTGCGGGGGGTCTTTCCAGGCGGGACGAACAATTCAAAAATATGCGGCTTCTGTGTTTGCTGCTTCTCGTGCCGGCCATCGTATTTGCAGATACGGCGGTGAACTGTGGCGATTGTCTGGTGGGCTTTGAAAGTGACTTAAGAAAGCATTTAGTACCTTTTTTAATACTAGAAGGGTATTTTAGAAATTTTGAAAAAATGTTAGTTCAGTATTTTAGAAGGTTCTTGGCCGTTTCCGCCCGACGGTTGCTGATGTGAAGACACTGGACCTGCGAACCACCCGAAAATGGTTCATGGCTAATTGCCAAGTCGGAAGTCTGGTCGAAGAAGCACATGAGGTCCCTTTTTAACGTCATTTTTAATTTTCTATGCGATTTTTAAGCCTAAAAATTTTGAAAAATTTGAATTTTTGAAAATCCCTCAATATTCTTATCTAGGGTCTGCCACACATGGAAGAAGACTATTGCGCGCTGATGTTTGAGCAGAACAAGCTGACCATAGAGTTGGCGATGAAAACCATGATTGCTGGGAAGACCGACGAGGAAATTTGTGAGAAGGTGCGCTGCGTTAGTGGTCCCAGCCTAAGGAGATAAATTGTCAAACATTGTTAGAAAACTGTTTGGAAAAGTCCTATAAAATGATAGAGAGCAAGAGAGGCAGAGACGCGAGAGAGAGAGAGAGAGACAGACAGAGAATGAGAGAGAGACAGCGAGAGAGAAGAAAGAGAGAGAGAGAGAGAGAGAGAGAGAGAGAGGGAGAGAGAGAGAGAGAGAGAAGAAAGAGAATACAGTCAAACATACAGACAGACAGACAGACTGAGAGGGAGACAGATAGATAGAGAGAGATCGCACACTACTTTGTCTAGCAAGCGTCTTGGTATCTGGTATCACATGTACCTCGTTAATGCGTTTATAACGTAACCTCAACTCAAAAATTTTCTTTTTGCAAAACTTTATTTCTTTAACACGGCAATTTCGAAAAGGCACATCATTATGGCAAAATTTGAGGGGTGGAACTCGTCACATATCGTCACAGGACCTTGTAGCATTAACAGTTTGGCGGTGCGGAGGAAGCAATCTAGGGGGACTATCGCCGATTCAGAAGACGGGGCGCTGATCGGGATTTGGAGACGGGGTTGGGGTGGTGGTGGGGGTCTTCTTGGAGTCGCGCTTATGGATATGGTTGATGAGGATGTGGATTTCGGAGGTGATCTCGGGGATTGAGTTCGAGGCATTGATGGGGCTGTGGAGGCCGAGGTTATGGTAATAAGCGACAACGGGGGCGGTGTTTTGGTGGAATTGGACGAGACGCTGACGGAGGGTGGCCTCGTTGTCGTCGGGGCGGCGGGCGAGGGGTTCGCCGGTGATGTCATCGAGTCCAGCAACCTAGAAATATCGATATTTCTTAGAGAGAGAGAGAGAGAGAGAGAGAGAGAGAGTGAGAGAGAGCGAGAGAGAGAGCGAGCGAGAGGAATCACCTACCAACGGCGGCTTGTAAGTGTGATGGTAAGAGCGTCCGCTAGCCGGATGATACCAGCGGCCCACGACGCGATCGACCAGAAGCTCATCGTCAACCGCAAACTCGAGCACCACGTCGAGACGGGTCTTGTTCTTCTCCAGCATGGCTTGCAGCTTTTCCGCCTAAAAATAGGTAATGTTCGTTTCCCCCCTCTGTCCATACCTGTCCAACAGTACGCGGGAACCCGTCCAGAATGAAGCCATTCACCGATTCGGTTTTGTTCAAGAACACCTCCACCAGGTCGCACATCATGCCGTCACTCACCAGCTCCCCGGCGGCCATCGTCGACTGCAGGGCTTTCCCCATAGGGCTCCCAGAATTAACCTAAACACACGTGAATGACAGAAAATACTTAACCCCTACCTCAGCCCTCAGCATATCCCCAGTCGACACATGACAAGCACCAAGCTTCTTCGCAAGAAGAGCACCTTGAGTCCCCTTTCCCGACCCAGGCGGTCCCAACAGCACGATCCTCCAGCGGCGCTGCACCGAAAAATATATCTTTAAAGGTGTTAGTCAGGCATAAAGTTGTTGAGGTGGATTTAGAGGCGTGTGAAAATTACCGGCTCGCCCTTCGCAACGATCGAATCCTTGGTGGCGGCGCTACCCATAATATCCAGCTAGAAAGGGACTGTATGAAACAATATGCAAACGAGAGAGACAGAGAGATAGAGAGAGTAGAGAGCGAGAGAGAGAGATACAGAGAGAGTGAGAGAGGGAGAGTAGAGAGAGAGAGAGAGAGAGAGAGAGAGAGAGAGAGAGGGAGAGAGAGAGAGCGAGAGAGAGAGGAAAGAGTGGGATAGAAAGAGCAAGGAGAGAGTGAGATAGAGAGAGAAAGGCAGAGAGAGATAGAGATAGAGCGAGAAATAGAGAGAGAGATAGAGAGCGAGGGACAGACAGAGAGAGAGGAGGAGAGAGATAATGAGTGAGTAAATCAGAGAGCTAAAGAGAGAGTGCGAGAGAGAGAAAGGAGAGAGTGAGATAGGGAGAGAGGAGAGAGGAAATAGAGAGAGGGAAAGATGGAGAGAGAGAGAGAAAGATATTGAGAGCGAGATAGAGAGAGCGAGAGTGGTAGTGCAGTGCAGCAGGGGTGGTGCACCAAGAGAGTGAGAGCGACCTTAAAAGGCGGTAAGGGTGGAGACCTAAGATGCCGGAAATATTACAAATGCCGCTCAAATGAAAATGAAAAGCGAATCGGATTGGATGATGATTACGACATTATTATTGCGCTCCAAAATACAGTATCCACCTAGGCTCCGCCCTCAACGTCCTCGTGAAGCTGCTGGCTCCGCCCACTTCAGAAGCGTGCCGGAGTGACCGGTCAGAATACAGACAGACAGACTGACTGACATGCAGAATTTTATAAACAACCGACGCCCCACGTCAATCGGCGGCGCGGTGGGTGCAAAACAAAGAAAAAGAAACGTCGAATTCGCGCATAAAATATGCGGTGATTCAGCATTTAGAGTGGTTTTCTGCAGCCGGGCGTACAAGGTCCATATATGGAATGTTGAAATCAACCCATCGCCGCTGGACAATAACAAGGCGGGGGGCATAATGGAAGGTGTTGTGAAATTTGTAAGGAAAATTGAACGGCCGGGACGGAGAAGCGGGGATCAGATTGCCTAGGCTCTTTAAAGGGACTGGAAAGTCAAAAAAATGCATGGTTTTCACTGTTTTTGTTCCCTGAAACCAGATTTTTGAAACTACGGATGACAGCACTTCATTAAAATCGTAATCACTCATTAATGGCCCCGCTTGGCAGCCAGGCAGAAACCTACAATCACCAAAAATGAAATTAAATCCTTTTTGAACTTCCAAGAAGATTGGGGCCCCCTACAGGATCAAACTTGAATACGGATTGCCTTCCCTCCCCCGCCTTTCCACAACTCAATCAATGCGAACGGGCCCATCGTGTGAAAATCCATAATAATTCGGGTCGGACCCGCCGGGAGCCAAGGGGGGCTTCCAAGGGAAGGCCCAGGGCTTGCCAAAAATACCGTTTTCGGGGTTAAAAGCAATTTTTGAGGGCGCGGCGATTATCGTAATACCTTGTTTGGCCATCAATTTATCGTTTTCGGTGATTCTCCGGCTAACTTTAATAATTCAACGGCTAAAATGATATAATCGCTTGAGGATTCCGGAAAAATCGCCAGATGTTTGAAATTCACGCGTTTTCCTGTTCAAACAGGGGTTAAAGAACATGCTGCGCGGTTGCTTTGCGGCGGTATTTGGCTATTTACCAGTACTCTACCCTGGAGGCGTGGACCAGACTTCCGTGCCCCTTTAAGCCTAGCAAAATTTTCTCAAGCTGCTGTAAACCCATAATCTCGCCCGCAACAAAATGTTTAAATTTGGAATTTAATGACTAAAAAATATTTATCAATCAAATTATATTGCGGGTCAGAAAGGAGGTAGAGCACTAAATACTTCAGAGTCCGAAAAAGGTGGCAGCCTCGAGGCAGGGCAGGGCTAGGTCCTCCTCGACCTCGAAAGACGTCGATGGTAGGTGTTCTCTGTAGCGGTGCTAAAAATATTGTAATTTAAATTAATAAAAATATGCATACACTATATCCCAAGTAGCAAACGACTATGCGCATTACTGCAGAAGACTCTCGGAATTTGTAGGTCGTATCGTTGACCTTGTGTTCTGGGGCTCCAGTGGTGATGATATCCTGATGGGTAATGATAATGCTTGATTTTTCCGGTAAAACTAAAGTCTGATAGCCCGTTGAACCAAGTGATAAAGCTAAAAAAACTACCTTTAGAACGTCCGAGCGGCAGGCCCACTTGTACGGAATCCAAAAATCGTGATCATCTCCGCTGCGGAGACAAACATAATCATGCTCTAAAAATGGAAACGATATTTACATGCAATACTTATCTATTAAGTGTTGTTTTTATTGCTATATATCTGTCTACCTTCCGGATCTACCGAGTAAACTGTGAATGAAGAATCTTCAGAGCCATTGGTACCATCAGAAAGTTCAGAGCCTTCAAATTCATCTGAGTCCACCGGGTTCTCGGCCTGCATCTCTACTAAAAATTGAAATAACCGGTCCAAACGGTGAGGTTAGAAAAAGAGTAGCAGGGGCTGTTAAGGAAATAAAGTATGGGAGTTAGCGGATATATAGTTCAACAAAATTCACAATGAGTGTCCTTTTTGAGTCATCCTTAAAACGGTTCAGGACATAGTGCATTTGATAGAGAATTCAATTCTGAACACGACTCCGTCGTCCAATGTTTTCGGAATGCCGATCCCTGATTTCATAAAATTTTCAATAGCCATCAAAGCCTCTCTTTCCTGGCAATTTCCTCCCCAGTTCCCCTCTCGCGGACAGCCCTTTCTCTGTCTCCCCTCCCCATCCCGAATTGGTGCAATCGGTAGGGCGTTTGCCTCCCACGACATTTGTTGGACGTTTTGTCAGTTCGACCCCCGTAAAGAGTTTTGTTTTCGCTCTTTATTGTAGCAAGCTGTATTGTAGTTTGGCTTGCAAGAACTTGATAAACAACGTCGTAAACGATATCAGCGCAGCTTTAAAACGACGAGTTCAATTTAATCCAGGAAATATAAGGTTAAGGCAACGGGTTTCGGGCCTACATGTGCGCAGAAATTAATTTTTGTACGAGGTAAACCTTCAAAAATGCTCAATAATTAAAAAGCAAAAACAAAAATCTTGATAGGGGTCGAACTGACCAAAAGTCCAAAACATTTCGTGGGAGGCAAACGCCCTACCGATTGCACCAATTCGCTATGGGGAAGGGGAGACAGGGCGGGGGGCTTTCCGCGAGAGGGGGATTTCGGCAGGAACTCGCCTCGCGCGAAAAATTATGTCAATTTCTGCTGTTTCTTTAATTTAATTATTAAAAATCAAAATCTATCATTTCGCAGAAATGGAAAACGGCATCTTGATCAGTTTTTCAGGCGCTTTCGAATGAGCTAAGTTTCGTTCCAAAACTCCATTTTCATCTAAAAACGTCTTTTTGTGGCTATGTCTTGAACATTTTGCGGATAACCCAAGTAGGTCACTCCTGGTCAACGAGACACTAACCATGGCTCCCTAAAATAAGGAGAGTATCTTTAGGGATCACGAGCGCCGACGATTAACTGCGGCTAGCTAAAAAGATATGCTATTGCAAAAGCCCACATAAAGCTTTGCCCAAAAAGTCTTTTAAAAAACTATTTTTGAATAGGAATCCCGAGAAATCGTCCTAAAGCGCAAAACAAGCTATCAAAACAACAACTGGAAAAGGCTTAGCGACAGAAGCATACGCAGTAAATGCTAGGCATACAGTGAGGCAATGAAAATCGGCTGGAAGCAAGCTGAGAAAAATCAGAGAGCACGGCTTTTATGGAGACGCCGGATATTTTGCATAGGCGCACGATGACAGTCGCCCATCCCCCAAGGGAAAGGAAAATCAAAAAGAGGCCACACAGCCGACCAATTGCATTCTCAATTTTTTCGAATTTGATTTAATCTGTATCGCAATTTTCTGGCTCAAACTTTAACAAATTCTGTATTTCTCAAATCCCAATAATTAAAGCAATATATTAATAGTATTTAATCTGTTTTCCGTGGCGCAGATCCTGCAGCGTTTGGCGGAGCATGAATGGACGGCATTCTTTGGGAAGTTGGCGCTTGATCTAAAAATTTTTTTTGAGAAAAACAAGTATTCCCTACCATGTCCCGCATGCCCATCGACTCGGCAACGCGGATCGCCTTGTCAAGCGGGATAAGCATGACGTCCTAAACGGTAAACATAATTAAAATCGATCCATGCTAGTGAGAATCTGGAATTTTTCATTTATTTAATTTAAATTCGTTAAGTACAAAATTAATGAAAAAAAAATTTTGTATGTTTTACCACAGTGTAGAGGCCGGAAAATGGGCAAACATCGTTGAGGCCGCTGTAGAGGCACGGTAGCGCGCAGAGGATAGATCTGGAAAATTATAATTTATGCATTAATGGTAAGTAAATTGGGGATTACTGTAATTATGCTAAAATACTTTCCTAAAAATAAGTTTTTAAAATATTCAAAATCAAACAAAATATTTTTTGGAAAAAATCACTTTTAAGAAAAACGATTTCCGTTGAAAAATTGAGGAAGTTCTAAATCGCTAAAAAAATTAAGCCGCCAAAAGCTTCTCTTTTGCTGTCTCCACCCCTTTAAAACCCACTCGCAAAGCGGTCCAGCCTCCCTCGCGACCGCCGTCGGATTTCCCCCGAGTTTGGCGAGTTTCTGAGAGTTCCGAAATATCGAAGAGATGATTCCACCGTACCTGTACCGTCGCGCTTTCCGTCAAATTGCCAATCGCGCTCTGTACCATGCACAAGTCGTTGCACGCTAAAAATTGCGTTGAAAACCATAGCGATTTTCTCACAAGCATAGACCGGCGCGGCTTTCTCGTCCAGGCACTTTTCCATCAGCTTGAATATCGGCTTCTTGGAGCCGCAGGCTTGTTGAAGGCCGCTTAGGGCCTAAAAAGCAGCTCAATTAATGGTAGGATTAAAAATGTATACCACATCGACGACAACTTTTCCGGAACACAATGGCTGCTTGATGAGACAGCTGACGGTTTCTTTTTGGGCGCTAAATTGATTAATGGCAGCAATAAAGTCCAATTTTTTTTAATTTTTCTTAGATCATTTTTTGATTTCTGGAGGCCCTGGAAACATTCCTAACGGGTTCAAGACAGTCGTAATACCTCAAACCAAAACGGGTTAGCGGACTACGCCCGCTAACCCCGAAACAGCAAATTTAAAATTTGAAGCGCTAGAAATTCTTTGAGAGAGCTAAACTACCTGCACATGGTCTTTAGAGCCTGGGAAGGCAACATCTCGTCCAGCTCATTTGCCCCGTCCAACACCGGCTTTAGGCACTCTCGAATACAGGGCTTCGCGCCCAGCGCGGCGATCAAGGTGCTGGCTTCATCTGGAAAAGCGTAAATTATTTAGCTTGGTTCAACTACACGCAACTTAAAAAAGCCTACCCTCCGAAACGATAGTGCGGAACATTGGTGGGATCAGGCCGGCTGATACATGAATAGCGATGAGCAGGAGCACGAGCTGCCGAGCGTGGGACATACCAAAAAATAGGTTTTATGGTGAATAATCAAAAACCGGGGGGTGGTGAGAAAATCTAAGGTAGGAAACAGAGAATTTATTAGAGGGTTAGGAAGAATTCTATAAGACCGGATGGTCCAAAAATGTGCCTAAAGACCATCAAAACAAAATGAGTACATCATTCGAATGGTGGGTCAACCTCCCCCCTGTCTGGCCCGCGTCATTGTCTGTAGCCTTGGGCAATAAGGGGCCGGCCATCGTGAGTTGGGTACAACAGTCCGCAACCAACCAGATCAAACGTCTAATTTGATCTAGCTAACGGTGCAAAAAAGTTTGGGTTTGATATGATAGTGATAAAAATGATACGCCATTTAGTGGAGTATTCAAGAAAATTAAGAAATAACCCTTCCCTCGTAGAATACGAAAAACCAAGCCGCCCCAAAATTGCAGAACGTTCTGGAAAAACTCGAAACATTTCATCTGGACGTGATTTTAAGATTTCGTGAAGATTTTGTCTGCCGACTTGCGCTTGGGGTGACTCAACAAAAATCTCTGACACAGTCAAAATATCTGGAACAAAATACAAGAAATGCATTTATAAAAAAGGAGCGCATTTTGCATAGATGAAGCTTTTTTAGAAGTAGCGTTGTCGATATCCAACACGTTGTGTTTTGTATTTTGTAGTTGGTTCGGGTAGCAGCTACTAACGTACGGTATCAATTAAACGCGTCGCTAAATTAATTTTCAAATTTAGATGTAAACCGGCTTGTTGGTAAAGGTAAACCGAATTTAATACTTTCAAAACTTAAAAATTCGATTTTCGGGTGAAAATCGCGATTAGATTGTGATGAACTCGCGATGATTTATTTTTGTCCGTTACTGTATTTGAGTGTATTTTTCTTCTTGTCAATAATTTCCAGATTTTCCAAAACGTTAGCCTGGGAGTTACTATATTCTGATCGCATAATAATTTCGATAAAAAGGCGCAATTTTGCAAAAATTAAACGGTTTTTGGAAGTTTTCGATTTTTGTAGACAAACATCAACATTTGGGTTGTTCTACTAGCCACTTTTGATTTTTTTTAAAATTAGAACGTAGAACTCAGTTTATTAGAACATAAACGTCGGTTGATAACTTTTAAAACCTATCTAAATTCTATTTTTCTTATATTGTAATGCCAGAAATTAGCACATTTTCTATTTAATCTCGAATCTCTGAGCCCGATATTGAAGTGTATTTTGTTCTCATGCCATGTATTTTCATCTTTTCCAAGATTTTTGGAGATCGAACCACTATATTCGGATCGCATAATAGTAGGGATATAATGCACACAGTACGCAATGGTATAGTGTTGAGCAATGGCTGCGGATGATGATGATGATGTGGGGAGGCACAAAATGAGGAGCAAGAGATATTGTTGTTATTACACTGGCACACCGGGCGATCAAGTAGATCGAAGCGATAGCAATAAATAGGTATAAATAAGGAGGGGGATGTTTGGGTTGAGGGCGACCCACTCGGGCACGACGCAGAATAGACGTGAAGTAGCAGCACATCGTCTACCCGTTGAGCCGCACCTCCCCAAGGACATTTTAAGGGAACTATCGTCGGGTGCCATCCTCGAAGAAGATGCCGCCATCGATGGCGCAGTACTTGGGGCAGATACCCTTTTCTCCGGCAGATCCGGAAGGTCCGGAAGGTCCAGGGGGTCCGGGCTGTCCGTCGACTCCAGCAGGTCCATCGGGTCCTGGGGCTCCCTTGGGTCCAGGGGGTCCGGGAGGTCCATCGTTTCCGGGAGATCCAGGAGGTCCAGGGGGTCCGGGGGGTCCTGAAATTATTGCATTTTTTGAGCTTCAAGTTTATCTCCCCGATCTCCCCTCAAAACCGGTCCCAATCTAAATTTCATGCCAAATCCGGTGATGTTCCGCTTCATTCCCCAGCAACAAATCAACGGATTTAGTGGTGGTTTCACGCGGTGAGGGCGGCCCGGCCACAATTCGATCCAGTTCACCCAGCCCCCCAGTTCCCCAGCTGGAGGAGCACGAGCCCTCGAGGGCATTTCGGTTCGGTTTTCGGGCCTGATAGGCGCCAGACAGCCAGAAAAGAAACGAGCCCTGGGGCGGTTGTCAATGCGTGGAAAAATGGGGTGGATTTTTTGCGTGTGAAAAGTGGAGCTCGAGCTTTTGAGGAGATTGAACTAGATTTGCTGAATCCCTAGGTGTCGCTATCCATTAAGGGTTTTTGAATTCATGAAAATTACGGTTTTGGGTTTTTTAGCTGTCGCCGTCCCTTTAAAAATGAGCATGAGCTCCCATTAGTTGATTTTTCAACGTTCGAAAACCAGGATTTTGCTATTTTTTGCTATATCAAACGGCTCGTGCTCATATTAAAGATATTTTCCCTCTACTCACCAGCATCTCCGGGCTCGCCAGGGGCTCCAGGGACGAGGGGCTCGCTCTGGGCGGGGGTTCCGGGCTCTCCAGCCGGTCCGGGCTGTCCAGGCTCTCCAGGGGGTCCGGGAGGTCCACGAGGTCCGGGGAGTCCATTGGGAGCATCAGTTCCGGGGCGTCCAGGGGTTCCAGCCTCACCGGGGTCTCCGGGAGCTCCAGGGGGTCCGGGTGGGCCGGGGGGTCCTGAAAAGGCGGGTTTAAACTTAACGGGTCCTTTAAAATATCGTATTAGGCCGAAACCGCGCTCCGAATTGAAAAATGAGCATGAGCGTTTTTACACGTTTTGGAGTTTTTTTAAACATTTCAAAATGGTAAAAAACGGTCAAAATGTATTTTTCCAAAATTTGGCCAAACGAAAAATGACGCGTTAATAGAAAATCTAAATCTTCAAAAACATACCTTGAGGGCAAGGCTTGCATGGAGGAGGTGTGGATGGTTCGCATGGGGCCGTCGGGGGCTTTCCGGGAATTCCGGGAGTTCCGGGGGCACCAGGACGACCGGGCTAAAAATTAAATATATTTGTAAACACCAAATCTGCTCATACCTTTCCAGGCTTTCCAGGGGCTCCCTGAGTTCCGGGGGGTCCGGGCAGGCAGCAGCCCTCGCATTGGAGGTTAGCTGGGGAGTTGACCTCAGGGCCACCGTATCCGGACTGACGAGCGGTCCTGTTGCGGGCGGGAACTGGGCCGGCCGTCTTCATGTAGTTGACCTCGGCGAAGATGTCCTTGGCGGAGCCCTGGGAAAAGGGAAATTTATAATTGCTTAAAATTGAATTTTATACCTTGCAGAAGGAGAGCTCGTGGTGCATCTGGCGGCGCACATGGGACACATAGTTGTAGACCTAGAAAAATGGAGGTAGGGTTACGGTAAAAGGAGCAAATTATAGATTTTTAAATTTGATTGTGATTTTGCCGATTTTAGAGGAGATAAAGCTTAGAAAGGGGGCTTTAAATTTGTATACTGTAACACTTCGAAAAACGTTCAATTAAGAAGAAAGGAAGTTTTCAGGTTATTAATTTTTTCAGCTACCGTAATCAGAAAATAATTATATCAAGCGTTTGTTGGCTTTAAGGGAACAGGAAAATTAGGAAAAATTGGAAAATAATAGCAAAATGGAGAAAATTTCAAAAAGCAAAAAAATACAGCAATCAAAAACCCTTTAAACGGCCATTAAAGCCAAAAAGTAATACGCACCATAGGCAGCGTGCAGACGACGGACAGCACGGCTACGATGGAGAAGGTGACGGCCGAATAGGCGACAAATTTGTAGGCCTTCGTGCGGCCATCGCCCTTGTCCTCCATGGTCTTTGGGATAAAATGAGCTCGACCCGAGGGGGGAATGAAGCTCAGGGGGGAAGGGGGGATCGAGGGGAAACGATGGGTTCTACCCGGCAATGGGGGGCGTCTTTTATACCCGGATCGGATTCCGAAAAGCCACTCCTTCCACCCCTCCTAACTCCACCCACCCCCACCCCTCGCCCCGCTGACCGCAACCAGTATCCTAGACCACCCATCGCTATGTCTGTCTGTCTGTCTGTCTGTATCTCTCTCTCTCTCTCTCCCTCTCTCTCTCTCACTAAAGATGCTTCTCCCCCCGTATCAGCCGTTTTCGAACAGGGGAACCTCATTGGGGACTGGATCTTCTGAAGCGAGGCATTATGAGAGATTGCGAGAACACCCCAGAGATACAAAGCAGCCACCCGGTCCGCTTTGGGATTCTGGTGTGCTCCAAGAAATGAGTGCCGCCACAACTGGGAGACAGAGGTTACTTGTCAATCCTCAGCACCCAGCTGCCCGGGATAAACTTGTTTTATGGCGCGGATCCTTGAAAAAGATATAAGTCAAACCGCGATCATTTTCGGGCTCTCTTTGGCGCCACCTACATCGAAGGCTACGGTAGGTAGGGAAAGCGATAGGTCTGGAACATTGCAGATTTTAACGGGCTTTCGAAAAGTTAAACATAGAATCAAAGGTTTTGGAAGGCGAGAAACTGGTGCTTTTTGTAGCATTAAAACGTTTATTAATTTGTCTATGTTTTCCTTGACGCAAGATCGTTTTCTTTATGTGAGCGGGAAAATTGGCATTTTAGTTTTACAAAACCTTTTCGTTTGACCGCAGAGCTTGCGTAAGGTTGATTAGGCATTTGGAAGTGTATGTTTCCAAGATAAATTCGCAAAAACTGAAAACTTCCCAAGGTTTTCACGACCTATCTTTAATGAGTGTGGTGGTAACTGTAACTTTTGAATGAGGCGTGGGAAAGCTAGTATAATTTCAAAATCACTGATTTTTAGATCAAAGTTTTCGTAGTTCGGTAGCAGCGTTGGGTAGCACGTTAGCGGCGTGCTAAAGATACTAGCTTCCAGACTTCAGTGCTCCTTTAAAAGTACTCAAATGCTCTGGAACGTCCAGTACTGGAGATAATATCCTCCGGGGATTCCGAGGCAATCCTTCATATGCAAAAAAAGTAATTTTTAGGAAATTTTTAACCTTGATAATTCCACACAAATTTTCGTACTCATATATTCCAGATCTTGCAGGAATGCCGATGTTGTTGGCGGCGCTCCGAGCACAGCTTCTCCCCCCCCCCCCCAGTCCATTCCATTCCAGGGGACGGCTACGCGACAATACTCCATCCCCAGGCCGTGCCACTAGCCCTATTATCAAATCAACTGGCGGTTCGTCGCTCGCGTGTGGCGTGCTCTGAGGGGGTGAGAGGATGGGGGGGTGAAGCCTGGATTCCGCTCTCATTTTTTTGCGTTATGAAATGGCTGGCCGATGTGTGGCAGCGGGGTGGGAAATTCTTTGGCAGCTGGAAAATACAAAATTAATGCAGTTTTTTAGCAAGGCACAGTAATATTAAGCGCAGAATTTTGTATTTGCCCCACATTTTCTGTGACATCTTTCCCATATACTGTGACTCATTGCATGTGCAATGGCGCCTCGTTGCGCAAATAAATTAAATTAAATTAAATTTTATGTATTTTTTGTGTGTCGTCTTCGTGGATTTAAAGGAACCTGGAAGTCATAGTTATAATTTTCAGTTTTCATGGATTTCCTCTGGATTTGTAGCAGTGTCTGAATTTCGTAATCCGTTACAATATGAAAAGTGAGCGTTCGTGACGTATGAAATACGTACCGACGCATTACGCACGGATTAATCCCTAAGTCTAACTAACCTAAGCCTAAACCCTAAGCCTAAGCCTAAGCTTAAGCCTACGCTAAGCATAAACCTAAGCCTGAGTTTAAGCCAAGTCGACCTAGGGAAGGGTTGACGATCCCTTTAAAGCCGGTATCAGTAGCCAATTTTAGACGTTTTGACCATTTTATGTTAAAACCTAGCTGGCACTGTCCCTTTCATTATAGAGCCATTTCAAACCCATTTTCTGCGCCATTTTGTCATTGTAACATTACAGTTCTTCCTTCACCCTCCAAATTCTCCGATTCGCCTCTCGATTTGCGGTGAATAATTTGAGTTCTCGCCGACGTAACGCTTTGCCTTGAGTGGCTATGGGGAATGGCTGTAGCCGGTGGGTTCTGGGGTGTGACTGGTGATAATGACGACACAGCAGCAGCCAATAGAAGCCACCAACACCACATCGCGATGTGCTGCCACTATCTGCCAGATAGTGTCTTTCTGGGCTAAGAAAACGGAAGCGTTCCTCAAGGCTATTATTTTATGGGGGGATTTATACAATTCGTCAAATTCAATTGATAGTTAATTTTTTGTAGGTTTCTCAGTTACGTGGTTCCTATGTGGTCTTAACGAGCGGTTTAAAATGTAAGAAAAGTTTTTTAATTGGTTACGACATAAAATTCAAAGAGTTTTTCGATGGATGAATTGAGAAATTAAGAGAAATGTAGTGTTTTAAAGGACCACTGAAGGCACAGGGAAAAAACAGAGGAACCGAGATTCAAAAAAATCGATATTGTCTACGATACTACAAAAACCACTGGGGAATTACATGACGTAATCAATTTCCAGCGTTCCCTGTTTACATAGCTACGAAGAAAGATAAGTAACGCCAAAATTACATGGCAAAAGCGATTACGCCAGCATTACGAAACAATCGGTTTTTCACACACTTTTCACTAATTTTTAGGCCTTAGTATAATCAAGACTTAAATTAACGAAACATCATGATTCAACATGTTTTATTTATGTTTTTTCACACTATAAAAATTCCGGAAAAAAATCCCACAGGTGTGCCAAACCGCAATCTGGTGTGAAGAACCACCACCACCACCCCGGAGAGGTCAGCACGAAGTCCAGCCCCCCCCCCCCTCATTTGACGCCCAAGACAAAAGAACCGAACCCACAGAATCGGTGGCCGCGATCTCGGCTTTCCGGTCTGAATTCTCCCCTCCATCGCCTTGTGCGGTTCGTGAAAAAGGAAAATATTTAGCCGCAACGGCTCTTTCCATCCACCCGGCGTCTCTCCACGCCCAGCGCGCCCCGCGCGAGGAATCGCCTATTTCTCGGGCCGGCGTGGTGGAATGAGAGTCCCGCTTTTAGCAGATTTCGGTCCAGCAGCAGCAACCCTTCGCCTCTCACGGCTAGGAGAGGGGCTTCAAATCCCAATGTCCGTAGAGGACGATGGTCGAATTGACGGGGGAGATGGGGGAACGAATGTGATGGTTCATTCTGGGGGGGGGAATAGCTAATCAATTTTCAATTCGAAAAATCTCGTTTCGGGTGACTTTTCGCACCCTGAAATTTATGGAGGTTTTGGATTAGGTTTTTGGAGTGGGATTTTGGAAAGCTCAAACCCGTCTCTCTCTCTATCTCTCTCTCTCTCACTGACGTCCTCTCTCACTGACCCTCCCTCTCTCTCATCCACCATCTCGCTCTCTCACGCTCTCTCTCACTCCTTTTTCCTCTATCTCCCTCCAACTGGTAGTTTGGAATTTTTAGATTGGATCTGAGATGGCTGAAGTTCATGGTGCTTTTCTTTCTCTCTCTCGCTCGCTCTCTCTCTCCCTGTGTCTCACTCTATTTCTCTCTCGCTCTCTCTACCCCGTTCTATACGTCACCCTCTGCCTCTCACTCTCTCTCTCTCTCTCTCTCTCTCTCTCTCTCTCTCTATCTATCACTCTTTAATACAAGAAATAAAAAACAAAATAAAATAAAAAGTTAGAAATAATAAACCGGTTTTTAAGCCTTCATCATTCTGAAATGGAAAAAGCTTAAAAAGTCGGTAGCTAAACGGTTGAAAATTACTATGTAACTGCTGAAACCATCCGGCATACTTAAACCTACTCTCAAAAAGCTCAGAAAAACCGTAAATCAAAATTCCAGCTACATCCAAAGATCCGAAATCATTCTCACAACCCCGCACGCATATTTGGATCTTTTACCGGAGCCTACAAGAGAGTTCCGGGCACAGAATGGCTAATCCATGTGGGACCCGTGTGGGACCCGTGAACCGTTCGGGTCAACGGCACCCCGAAATAGAGGTGTGAAGTGGCCGAGAACCATACTTTTCCACGAGCCACTGATGACGGAGGGGTTCGGGGTGTTGAGCGTAGATTTGCAGGAAAGGAGTTTATGTGAAAATTTTCGTGGAATCAGTGAGACCAAAGGCTTTGGGTTTATAAAGGTGAAAATGCGGTTGTGACATGTTAATTTTGGAGCGTGCTGCTTCTGATTTTTCAGAGGATTTTAAATTGTAGTCTGTCGACTGAAATTTCACGGTTTCTGGGCGTTTATAATTCTATCCTATTTTTTATTCTATTCCCTTTTGTTGTAAAAATCCTAATTAAAATTTTAAGGGAGGTGTGGCAGTCCGCTAAATTTTCTTGAAGTTTTTATTTTCTTAAATTTTTTAATATATTAACACCCCAAAAAAATCAGTTTTCATGAAATTACAATTTGTCCTGCGTAATCAATTTAAAATATTTGTCCTAAAATAATACGCTTAGCTTTAAAATAATCTAAAAATAGGTTGAGTTTTAATACTAGACGACATTTCAGAATTTCATGAAATTTGTATTGGCCCGATGCCTTTAAATTTTAGTCTATGTTTTGTATCTTTTAAGCTAAATATTTATTTCAATCATCTTTTGGGGCTGTCTTATAATTCTTAAGAACTTTAACAATTAAATAATTTTCTAAATAGTCTACGTATATATTACGATTTTTTCGGCACCATATAACGATCCAAAAAACTTGGCAACTCGCCAATATCCGGCAGCCATTTCCGATCCGTTGGTGCGTATGTGCCCGTTTTTTGAGCCCTCTCCCCGCAATCCTTCATAGAGAAGACGATCCCATCCGATAAGTGAAAGGAGGGGGAGCTGGGTAAAATCGAGAGTTGCCAAATGTGGGTTATCTAGCCCCCCAGGGGCTGATAGGTGACAGACAAGAACGGACTTCTAACCCTCCCATCGATGAGCGAGGGGTTTCCGTTTTTTAGTGGCCGGGGGCATAGGTTCCCGGTGCCGGATCCGGTTTCCGTTTAAGCCATCCTCCCCGTCGATTCGTTGCACTCTCTGGACATCATCATTCCGTGGATGCTGAATTGGCACTCTGTGGTGGTCTGGATACGGTGGACTGAAAAATGGTAAACCTGGAGAAGGGCGGGCTGGCTTAACCGGGTGGTCCGGCTGGTTCGAGGAGGGCCGGTTGAATGAAATTGGCCGAGATGGGATGGAGGAATTTTCTAGAAGATTAACGTTGAGCGATCGACAGAGAGAGAGAGAGAGAGAGAGAGAGAGAGAGAGAGAGAAACATCAGTCTTTCCGTTAAAATATCAGGATTCTAAAGGACCAATTTACAATGATAGAACCAGAAAAAGAGCCAGAGCAGGCGAAAGAGAGACAGGGAGAGAGAGAGAGATAGAGAGAGAGAGAGAGAGAGAGAGAGAGAGAATCCACCTTCAACTTCAAAATCAAAATCCTGCATCAATCATCAATACCTACGTGCAACGTAGAAAAATCGGGCCCTTTTCCAGAAATAGCCCCCAAGCGTCTGTGCCATTCTGGGATTTTCATTTTGAAGTTTTTGCTAGGAGAACGAGCTTAATTAAAGCGCGGCCGGGACCCCGAGGGATTGCAGCTTCTAGCATCACCTCGAGTCCGAAACGTTTGGAATTTAGATTTTTAAGGCTGCGTAGGTGGGGTCCGCTCTTGCTCAATTCATGTAAAATTCGAAGGTTAGCTAAAATATATATATTTTAATATTTTTGAATAGCACAGACGATTAAAGCGGTTAAAAGGCCGTCATTTTTCTCGAATTTTTAATTAAGTGCTTTACGTAATATAGATTTTGGTGTTTTATCATATCTTAATGGATAGCTTCCATCTCAACTATTATATTGGATTTTAATGCTATCTAATTTTTTGCCATAATTGTGTTTTTTTAAGCCCTTGCTTTGCACTGTCCATTTTCCCTCAATACAATTCAAACTATTTTCTCCACATGATTTTTCCGACCCACCCAATTTCCACCCGGAAATGTACCTTGCGCCGCCTAAACGAATCCGCCGAGACTTCCTGAATTCCCCGATCTTGACTCAACGGGGAGCGTGAGGTACATGGCCAGACGTGGAGACCAATCTGACTTTTTGTGCTCTGATTACAGCCGTCGGGGGTTCTAATGGCATTATCGGGGGCACGGCATATTTCTACTCGCTTCAGTTGCGCCTTTGGCTAAAGTTTTCATTGCTGGTTGTCTGACTACACAAAATGGATGCGGTTGAAGCGATGAAGGAGAGTATTGGGGTGAGTTTAAGATTTTAATTTTTGTTTTAAATATAATAATAATTTTGTTAGGAATAACAACATCAGTAATTTTAGGTATCAGTCTACGAACAGCTCGAAATACGCTTTATTCTTTATATTGGCTTTGGAATCGCCGTGATTATTTGTAACCTCATCTGCCTTCTGGTTTTCAATTCATCGCGTGATTTCCGCAGAAAATTCATGCTCTACAGTTTTGTATCGTTCGCGGAATTGGTGCGTAGATTAACGACTTTAACAATTAAAATTCCCAAAATTACCATAAAAATATATTTTAATTTTTAGATCAATGGCGTCTCCTTTCTCTCCGCCGGGCTAGGACGGATGCAACTATTGACAGGCGGAGGCTATAATCAACCGATTACAAGCTCGGACTGTATTTTCACATTTCCCTGGCCTACATTGCTATTAATTTCAGGTATTTGAAAACGGAAACTGAAATCCCGACAGTTAAAATCCCGAGGACCATAATCCCGACAGCCAAAATCATGACAGCTAAAAATCCCGACAGCATAATCCCGAAAACGATACTCTTGACAGCCATAATCCCGACAGCCAAAATCCCGACAGTTAAAATACCGACGGCCATCTTCCGGAGAGCCAACATCCCTTCAGTTAAAAACCCGACAGGGATAATCCCGACAGGTAAAATTCCGACATTTAAGATCCCTACCGTAAAAATACGGACATAAATTAGCTGTCAGTGCGACTTTCGGGTGTCGACATTTTGCTTGTTGCGATTTTAATCTGTCGGGATTTTGGGTGGAATTCGTTTTACTATATACTCTAAAGACCCCAAAACACTCGCCACGTTCGTTTACTCCAAATACGTGCTGGGGTCGGGCAAAATTGGCAATTTGCGGGGCTTACTAGGTATTTCTGAGTGGAACTGCATGAAGGTCTGCTCTCTCGGGCTCTGGTCAATTGAATTGTGTATTTTAGTAGTCGGGCTAACCCCTATAAGAGTCAGAATAATATTTGTGAATGTAAATTGGTTTTGGAAAGTACAGAAAGTGCAAATAACTGTTAAAAGTCTCTAAATTTACCAGTGATTGACTATTAAAACTGTATTTAGGTACATTACCTGCCTGTGCTAACCTCAGCCTATCATTGGAAAGGTTATTCGCCGTACGCTACGCTTCTACGTACAGAGGATGGAGCAATTCGCACAAATTAATTCTTATTATTGCTTCGGTGGCGGTGTGCCTGGTAAGTTTTTAAAATTATTTTAAACTTAATTCAATTTTTTTCTTGCTTTAATTTGAAACCTAAACCGTTTTGAAGCGTAATCAGTTGTATTACGTTCAGTTTTAGATCCTCTACGGTCTGGCAGTGATGTCGTCCCTCCTATGGCCATCGGTCTCGCCGACGCGCATCTGTGCGGTGATGAACAGTGCTGGGCCATACTTCGGAACCGTTCACTACTTCCTGATCTGCAAGGCGTACGTCATCGGCTTTCTGATGGTCGTGTACGTCTACAGATTTGCGGGCAGTCATAAGGTTGGTTAGAAATATGATAATCGAGGTGAATGAACGCATCTATGACAATGCCAATTTATGACAATTCAAAGATATTGACCGCCTTCCAGAAATTGACGTCTTCGGAACGACGTACACAACGCACATCCCTTGTCCTCCTCGGTCTCTGCGTAATTCTGGTGGCCATTCCAAATTACGTACTGATCCTCGACAACTGGAAAATCCCGAAATTCCCCGAGTTGCTAGTCGGTCGGTATCAAAACGTAGCTTAAAGTTTAGTTTAATGTATTCAAAATTAAACATGTTTTTTTTAGGAATTGCGTATTGCCTGTACGCTTGTCAGTCGATGTCGACGCTGACCGTGTTCCTGCTGTTTCGGCCGGAATTTCGGGAGCGGCTACTCGGGTTCTTGTGTCCGTTCAGGAAGGAGGGACGGATTGAGAGCTCGGATCATGTTGTAAGCGATACTAGGAAATATTTATAGACCTATCAGTGTAGTTTAACTTAAGTTTTAAGGAATAATTTCTTATCAGGGCCAGTTAGATACCTTGAGCTCTCATAAAAAATTAAATTGTCGATTCCCCAATAAAAAAAACTAAAAATATCTATTTCGCCGATCAAACCCCAGGGGATACAGTATGACTATCCCAAAAAAGCTATTTTAAAATTTTTCCAGCGCACCGTACTACACTCCACAATCGAACGCCAGACACGACCCGCCCTTGCCATCCACACAACTCAAATCATAGCGAAACACCACCAAAATGATCCAAACCGCCGACCCTCCGCCCACCACCGCCACAATGAGACCTATTGATCCAGAAAAGCAGAAGGGGGGCCCCTCGCCGTGGGCCACTGGGCCCCAAGGAGACACCAAAAAAGGGCCCGCGGATGGCCGCCTCATTTCCGATGGGTCTTCCCTATTTTCCAAGCTCTATATTCCGTTGCCATTCTGATTCCAGTCTTGTTGAAACGTGTATTTCTCTGTATCAACCTCCACTTATTCTTGAAAATCAGGTTCGTTGAATAAAGGATATTATTAGTGAAAAATGGTATTGTTTCTAACAAAAAGGGGCTAGAAGACCAACAAAATTTAAATTTATTGGTGGAAATCGCAAAATTGTGGAATCATAAACGTATCCAATCCTTTTCTAGGCCATTACGCATCTAATGACGTACAAACTATAACTGAAAAACCCATTCATATCGATATATCTTCCGGAAATACGCGGAAGTTTGCGTGAAAATGCATACATAAAGAACAACTATTTTTTTCTTAATTTTTCCATTAAATTATTTTCTTTTTCTTCTTCTTTGTTTCAAAATAATTTAAAGCAACATCAAGAAATAATCGGTTGTCTGCACGTCTGTATGTATATATCTCAATACCCTGCGGGGCCATTCACGCCCTCCGCCGCCATGCTATGACAAAGGGCCCTGACGCTTAGGTATTCGGGTGCGGGCCGTGAGAAGCCACTCTTCACACAGCCATCCCCCCTCTGCTTTTCAACCCCTCACCCGTCGGCTACACCCCGATCTCGCCGGCCAGACACCCTAAGCAATTCTTGGGTTTTCTGAGCGGCTAGATTATCTTTTTTTTTCTCTACTAGAAGTTTCCAGTCCTCTCTAGCAATGATTCATTAATGCATCGATTTTGCGAATCTCCTGGCATGAGGAGAGCCACAGCACTTTTTATCAATTTCCCCAAGGTACCTCGAGGGCCTACTCTTGGCCAAACTGTAAGCATTACTAATGAGCCTAGAAAACCTAACTTCCTCAAGAGTCTTTACTCCCAGGCTCTTGGAGAGGCGATTTTCTCAAGGGATCTGTGCTTGCATTCCATAATGCCATGATTTCCTCTAGGATCCCTGCTGGCCTCCCGATTTCGGTAAAAATCTATAATCCCAATATCAACGTCTGAATCTTCGAATTCTCCAAATTGCCTTCGCTAGACTGCCTTACTTACAGAAGACAAAATTAGAAAAAGATAACCTCACAGAAGTCAAATTGTTCCGCTACATTTCCGCAGCGATCTCTGCTAGCTTGCCTGGTCGTATCGAGATGCCTAATGTAGGTGGGAATGCTGCCAGTCGGCTTTGGCTTGGTTTTCCCAAATTTTCGTTGCTATCTTTTTGTCTCAATGTATGCAAAAATGCTGATACCCCGGAAAATGGCTTACCTTCCTCCCAAAAGCATTTTATGGTATTTGTAGAAGAATTTAAAATAAAAATTTGTTGGATTTTGGGTACTATAAAACCCTTGTAACTTTTTAATAAGAAGGGTTCCGCGACTTTTGAAACCGGATTCGGAATCAGCGAAAAATTCTGCCCATTATTTGCTATTTCATGTACCGAATTTCCTCAAGAGGATTACAGTAGGAGTCCTGTACCGGATTTTCGAAATGAAGCTTGTCGTTCATAAATTTAATACCCACAAAAATTCCATAGCCCCATTCCCAAAGCTAAAAATACGGAGGCCACAATTTTGAATGTCTTGCATACAGAATCGATGTGTGAATGCGTGGGCCGGGGCGGGAAGAAGACGGTCAAACTGCCATCGGACAGCCGATGCAGTCGATTGATCTGGGAACCGTCGTGTTGGCGTTGTCTGGGAGGGGACGAAGCTATAAAGATGCACCGAATAGGACAGCCGGGAGAGGATCGAAACGAGACGGTGGCACTTCATTCCGTATGTGTTGATAGGAGCAGACTGTAGTCAGGGGTGGGCTGCTTTAGCAAAGGCTCTCTGCTAGCTTCCCCCATCCTGATGAGCAACGTACCATTAATGTGTAGTTGTTTGGGTGCACATGGTGGTCCTTGCTCAATAGGAAGGAGGGAAAGAGGCTGGTTCGGTTCTTTTAAAGGGATGCGCAAGCCTGTCGGCCGTTAAAAACTTATCGGAAGACAGCGGAAAATCACGAAAAAATAGAACAACAAATTGCACGGTACTGGACTGTTAGCGGGGGGGAGGCCGAACCAAATTTTTTCGCGTAATTCCGTACGGCAATATGAGCACTTTTTATAACATTTTTATAATTCTAAAAAATTAGTTAATAAAAATTAAAAAAAAGACTTTTTGGAAACTTTCGAATTTTTCAAAATAAAAATTGTTTGATAGCTTTTTAGCAATCAAAATATATTAAAATACTATAGAAATACATTACATATTATGAACAAATAAGCATAGACGGAACAGAAATTAGTTCCCGGCCAAAGATCCTCCTCCCCCGCTAACAGTCCAGTACCAATTGCACTTCCAATTCCCTCATTCCAATTTTTATTATTTTTGATTTCAAACGCCAACGACCACCACATAATTACAGTAGGTTGTAGTAGACTGGCTGTAATTCGCTGGTGGACCCCGACGCCAATTTTTGACCCCGAATCAATTTTTATGAGCCGCCAAAATTGGGTTGTATATAAACCCAGAATTTCTAGTTCTATTCCACACCAGAATCCCCCAAAAATGCATGCAAAACTCATGATTCTGATTCTGATTTTTGTATCGTGGTAGGTTTTTTTAACATTGCTTGGAATTTCTCAACGTTCCGCGCTGGCTTGCCAAGCAAACAGTTTGAAATTTCGCCAAAAATCTATTGCATTTTTGCTGGCATTATTAATTGAAATCCAGTCATAATCCCGATGGCCTTAATATCGACGGGCTAACACCGATGGCCAAAATCCCGACACGATAAAATACCGACACCCAAAATCCCGACATACTCTTGAGGCTGGTTTGAACGCGACTTCCGTTTACAGAGCTATCTTGACTGTCGGGATTTTGAACTGTCGGGATGGTACCGCGACACTTGCGGCGCGACACGCGGTTGCGACACTTGCGGCTGCGACACTTGCGACGCGACACCTGCGCTACTTCCTCCGCTCTGCGACTAAAAAAAAGGCTTCGTGCCACCCGGGGCCTAGTCGCTTTGGATGGGTGCGAGCTCGTGCAGGGTTTCGAAATCGGGGCGCCCGAGCAGCGGCAGCGCCCAGGCGCCTCGATTTCGGAAGAGTGGAGCGGCAGCCCATCCGAAGCGACGGCCCACCTTGCCTGACGCCTTTCGGAACGTTCCGACTGCTGGTCGGTTAAATTGCTAATTTTGAACAAAAATCAACAATTACAAACAAAATTCGCGAAGAAATGCTAAATTTACAACATTTTAAAATAATAAATGCTGCGCGGCAAGTGTCGGCCGCAAGTGTCGCGCCGCAAGTGTCGCGCCGCTAATGACCGCGCCGCAAATTTCGCGCCGCAAGTGTCGGGGAGCCGTCGGGATTCTGGCTTCCGGTTTTGTCGTTGCCGGGGCTTCTGTGTTTTCCCATCTAAACTGTCTATTCAAATTTAGCTTTTCTGTCTTGGCCGCTGTCGTCTCGCAATCAGGAGATGAACTAGGTAGGGTACTCGCATTAACATTTAATTTTACGTATCATTTATTCTGTATCCAGTCAATCTAACATGGTTTTAGACTACTACAGCCTGGAGAACTCGACCCTGGAGGACGATGCGTAAAAAATTACCCATAAAAACTCCTTTTGTTTTAATTTCAGGGAATTCGGCTTGATGCATGTTCATCAATATCACTTCGACGAGACGATGAACGATTGATGATGTTAACATAGAATTTTTTAAATAAATTTTCTAATTTTGAAAGGCGCAAAAGACAATTTAATCAACAAAAATGCGGACTTTAATTCTCAAAATTTTCGAACAAAAATTAAAAAAGCTCTACAAAACGTTTTGACGGCTAAAAATGGAGCTACAGCCACCTTGTATATTTTTAACAAGCAAAACCAATCTAGAATAAATTCCTGAGGAAAGATGGCAATATCGAGTAAAAAAATTGACACAATGGCCTATTTCTGATGCAAATGACGTTCGGCCCCCCTTGGATACAATAGTGGCGAGTGACAGGGGTCAATTTATTGGCAGTGAATACCGGAAATGGGATGGCCAAGGCGCCTTCGCTGCCCTCAAGGACATTCCGTGACTCCAAATTAGGCAAGCAAGCCACACCCTGTCGCCCCAACCGGGGAGCCACACCTCTTTTTCCAGAACTATTCGATCCATATCTTGAGGTACTGTTTCGGTATATTTAAATTGATGCCATCCCTCGCTCTCTCTCGCTAGCTCTCTCTCTCACCGCCATTCTCTCTAGCTTCTCTCTTCCTTTTTCTCTCTCACTCTCGCTCTTTCTCGCTCCATCTCTCTCGCTATATCTATCTCACTCTTTCTCTCTCGCTCACGCTTTCTCGCCCCTCTCACTCTCCCTCTTCTAGCTCTCACTCACTTTCTCTAGCTCTCTCTCACTATTTCACTCACTCTCTCACACTCTCTCGCCGTCTCTCTCTCCCTCTTTCTTTGTCTCTCTCGCGCTCACTCTCTTTCTCTCTCACTCTCTCTATCTGAATGCAAACTTTAGTTTACCAAATTATTTAAATTTTATCGCTATTTGTACTTGATTAATCCCAGCTAAATAAATCCACAATTTTGCCCAAAAATCGCCGAGATCTGTTTTGACGTTTCAAGCACCGCGGGGTTATTTGTTGTCGGCCGTCGCCAGGTGTATTTCGACATCCAACAAACTCTGTAGAGACATTCCTCCAATTCTTCTTCTCCTTTTTCCTCCTCCTCCTCATGCTCCCCACCCCACATTTACTGTCCCCACTTCCACGCATCTACCAAAAGATTTACAGTCAACGAGAGGGGGGCGCTGTTTCGAGCAGCCGGAAATTGGCACTCAAAAACGGCTTCCTTCGCGGTTTCGCCGACTGTTTCTCCAATTTCGCCGCGTGGGAAAATGTCCGACTTTGCTGATTCCACTAATTCTTTTGGTTATAAAAATTATTTTAAGAAATGAGCCGCAAAAATCCAAAAATAGATTTTTTTTTTTCTCTGCGTTTTGTTACCTTTATTACCTTTAAAACTATGCGAATTCTGGAGGAACAACTTGCTTTTGTATTTTTTTGCTACAATTCTAAATTTTTCACTTAAAAATTATATATTATATTATTAAAACTTACTATAGTGCGTTGAATTAACATTTTTAGGTTTCAAACCCTGAAGTTAAATGAATGAATCAAATTAAATTGAATTTAAGAACAACCATTTCTTTATGTAATTTTCTATTACCTATCCCGGCTTCAAAGCACCTTTAAAATAGAAATACTTGGTTGTCAGGACCCTAAATTAAGTCCAATATATCTATTAAATACTTAGCAAATACCTAAAAATCTAAAATTTCCTTTAATTTAATGAATTTAAAGAAATTTGGGCCAATTTCACGGGGGAAGAGTCCCACAAATTGAGGGCGTGAATGCTGTGGGGCGGGGCTGGACAGGTAGGTCCGTCTGCCTCTCTCCACTCTCCTGCTATCCCGCAGTATCTTTCCCTTCCCCTCCTCTCTCTCTCTCTCTCATCTCCTCTTTCCACCCCCCGTCACAGCGCGCAAGGTGTGCGCGCCCATTTGTGAGCCCCCCTGCTGAGCTTTCCACAGGGGACCGGGCTTTTCCTTTCATTTTTTCGTTGTAGCCGCCCGACCCAGGGGGACGCGCGCGCGCGGGGGCTTGCGCTTCGCGCTCCCGCTTCGACCACCAGCCCCGCCCCGAACTGGCCGGCCAGTCTTTCCAAAGAAACCCGTTTAGCCGGAACCCCAGCCGGGATCAATTTGAATATAGCATTAATTCGAAGGGATTTTCGGCAGGCTTCAAAGGATCCATTTTTCGCCACCTTTTTGAAGTTCGCGCTTTGCTGCGCTTTCTTCTCGAAAGCTCCCGTTTTCGTCAAATCTTTTTCCTGTTTTATTGTCTCTTTCAACTTTTTAAAAACGTTTTCACAAATACAGTTTGACGACAACGATGCGAATATTCCGTGGCTACAACTCCTAAAAATTCTGTCGCACACGAGGACCCAATTTTTCTTGGATTTTTCACGCCACTTTTTTTCGACGCCTAGATGATGGGCGACGAGGACATCTACAGGCAATTGCCAACGCATGTGAGTTGTTATTTAAAGTTAAAATCCCGTTTTTACCTGAATTTTTATGTATCTCCCTATTTCGCTCTTTCTCTCTCGCTATCCTGAAAGGATTTTTACAGTTTTTAACCTAGATAATGTGTTTTTCTATTTTGCTTGATAAACTCCGAGAAAATTCCATTATTTTTAATTTGTAAAGCAATTTTTTAAGTCGTTTAGGGAATACTATGCTTTTCAAATTTTTCTAGATAAACGAAAGGAATTTTTCATTTTTTTTTTTGATTAGCAAACCGATTATTTTTAAAGTTGTGAAGCTAGTTGATGCATTTTTCACTTTTTCTAGCAAAACCATGGCCAATTTCCATTATTTTTAATGTGTTAACAATTCTATTTTGCTGGTTCCATACCTTCAACAACAATTTAATTGCTTCAATTGTCACCCCCACAATCCCATCCAGCCCAAATGTTTATAATATCCGGCGACCCTGGCCATTGATCGTCTCTTTTTTCAGCGGCGATTTTCATCGCCCCCTTTTGCTCATTTTCACCAGCCGGTGTCGAGCGGAATCGATAGATTTCGTTGTGAGTGTCTGTCGTTGTGTGTGTGCCCGGGGTTGGAAATCGTGTTCGTGTTTGTCGCGCCGTTTTTGGCCCGGATCCCAGGAGGGAAGGGGAGGGTTGGGGGGAACAGTGATAAGAAGCCTATGTGGGGGGAAGAAGCCAGGGGTCGCGTTGGTTGATAAGCCTCAAGAAATTACATACAAGGCACCCGAAAAAAACGTGGGGTTCGTGGATGCAAATTAGGGGGTTTGAATAAGTGAAAAATTACATTTTACTTCATAATTACATAAAAAAATATAATTAATTTTTAGGTTTATTCTCATAAATCCTACTATATATAAAAAAATAGTGTCTGTGTGTGTGTGTATGACACTTTGCATGCAACTTCCGTCAGCGTGTCCGGAGGATATCTTGATGGGGGATGGATTGTTAGGTATGTATGATACGTCATTAGGTGCGTAATGGCTCTGGGATGACTGCAAGCATATCAGATTTTGCAAATTATGCTATTTTCGACATTAAACTTAGGTTTTTGTGAAATTTTAGGGCACCCTCTTTGTTAGGAAACAATTTGAATACGCCGGAAGTGGTGGTGGTCTATATTAAGGGGCAGAGGGAGCGTTTTTCATTATTTTTTCATCGCAGCCCGGGCGAATTATGCAAAGTGAAGAATATCATGGGCTCAAACGGGGCCAGGGTTGAAAAGTCGCGTAGCGGCTTTTCAACCCTGGTGTCTTAATAAAAATGCTGATTTTTGCATCTATCGCCGCCTGATCCAAAACAATTAAATTCTATTTTATGCTAATTTCATTTATAAAAAACTGTACGCCTTTATTTCATTTAACTCAAGCATTTAAATTTAATTTTCAGAATATTTTGATTCCCAAAATTTCGCCTATTTACGGCCTAATTTATAATGCAAATCGTATTTATCTTATTTAAATCAGTTTTTTCAATTAATTTTTATTCTTTTTATTCATATTATTTTTGCATATTGCGACCTATTATTTAATCCCAATTTCGTGCTCCTTGAAGCGACTTCAAGCTCAAAATGACCAGCACGCGTAGATAACTACGCCCAACCTCTAAAATCCTTCAATTTAACCCTAATTTCCATATGTTGCCATTCCATCCAAATTCCCAAGCCTGAACCTGTTTTTCTCCCAATTCCCGCCGTAGCGAGTACATGCGTGTACACATACACATTCGGGCAAACAAACACCATCCAACAATAGCGCTAGGGCCCTAGCCTGGCCCTCCTCGCCCCCATCTCGGGTCTAGATGTCGTCCCCTCCGCTTTTGTTCCGGAACACACCAGAAAACGGTCTCGACCCTGTCGATCCCTCGGTTGGAGGATTGAGACTTCAAGCTCTTCCTAGCCTAGGAAGACTGATTTTGAGCTTAAAACTAGCACAAAAATGGGGTCGATCTTGATGGTAAAGGTTTTCCAAATTTTTATCAGTTTTAAAATTTTAAAACTTTCTAATTAGAATTGGTGAAATTGCTTATATTTATTGTTAGGCTGATAATTATGGGAATAATAGCTTTAACGAGCTTTGAAAGCAGGAACATGAGCACGATTTCTGACTCTTGATCTCCATCAATTTTGAGCTCCATCTGTACCCTAGCCAAAGCTCCAATACGTTCCTATACACCTGAGGGGATCCTCAGTTGTGACCGTTCGCCCCCCGATCGAAAGTGGTCGCGTTTGCGGCTCTCCATTTGCATCTCGGAGGGGGGTCCGAAGTGGGGGTGGAAAAGCCGTTCCAGTGGAAGTGGACGGGAAGGGGGGAGAGGTCCGAAATCGATGCCAAGTGCCGATTACACAATGCGCGGGCCCGGTGGTGTCTGTCTGTGTGTGTGAGTGGACGATGAACGGATGTGTTGAGGAAAGCGGAAAATATAGTTTGTCAGTCAGCATATATTTTTGCTAATTTCATACTTCAATCACTAATGAATAGATTACCGTTCTACTGCAAAAATTCTGGGTCAATTCAAAATTTTTGAGCTAAATTAAAGCTTATTAGCGTACGATAGCGTTTGTCTGTAACCCTAAATTTCTTCATTTTGTATACTTTTCGCTTTGCATAGTATGCCGGCCGCAAGGCGACATTTTAATAGCCCCCCAAGGGCCCAATAAGCTCGTCCCCGCCGATTGGTCAGCTGTCACCTTTTGGGCTAGCCGAATGGGGATATGATGAGGCTGTGTGTCGGAGGGAAGTGTAGAGCTGATGCGCGAAGGGAAAATTGGCTAGGAATAATTTTTATGCAAATTAATTGCAATTCGGCGTCAAAATAAAAGACTTTAAAATGCTAATTTTCGTATCGCATCGTCAAAATGCTAATTTTCGCAGAAGGATTTGAATATCACCTACCTGTACCCCTCTAAATTTTGGCCTCCTGCCACCCACCCCGGATCCGCTGCCACCTGGGCTCTCGGCCACGGCAAATAAATCCGGCGCCCTCGCCGGATCGCCAGGTCCACACGCGCCCCCACCCGCGCGCATCTGCACCTGGGCCAGCCAAATAATTATCCTCCGGCTTCCCCCCACACGCTGCGCAAATGCAAATAAATATCGATTCAACACCTGGGCTGTTTGAAAAAAATGTAGGGTTAGAGGAAGGCTTGAAAATCTATATAGGAATTTGCTAGAAATGTGCCTGAAAAGTTCCATTAGGATTTATGCAAATTTCTTAGAGAAATATGCAAAGTTTAAATATCTGTTTAAACCTTAAACGCGTTTTTTGAATCTATTGAATCGTTTTTAACGATTTTTATCTGTATGAAAAATTATTGACACCGTCGAACGCTATAAATTCATAGCTATCTGCTAGAAATCAACCTTCAACGCTCCTTAAAACCGAAAGCTATGTAAGATTTTCTAAAATTACCATTTGGCTCCAATCCAATTTTGCCATTTTTTCGATTCCCGAAATCCCAGTAGAACACTTGTCATCTCACCCTGCCAACGCCACCCAACCCCTGCGCCGCCTAAAAGGTGCCGCCATCCAGCCGGTTGGCCAAACAGAGAAAGCCGTAGGTAAACATCAGTACGATGCTCTAACACGCCCCGGATACAGACAAACAGACAGACAGACAGACATACGGACGGACATACACGCTGCCCAACACCCCCCAACCACATGCCATCCCGGGTGGTGGTTCACCCGTATTTTGGCGGGCTGACGCACGTGCCGAAGCCGTTCCGGGGGGTGCGGGAAGTTGGGATTTGGGGGCACTGTCGTTTGGTGCAAAACGGAAATTTTTTCATAGAGGCTAAATGGCCAAAATATTATGTTAATTTCGAGCAGCTAGAAAACAAAAAAGGTGACTTGCATGGTGTTAAAACTAGCAAATTAGCATTCTTTTTAAATTGGTTTAAGTGCAGATCCTCATAGCCCTTCTTTTTCCTGCGACACAAACAAATTCGGCGGTCTCGACCCGGCGGTGACCTCGATGTCGGCAATTTAGCAGTGAAAGGCCGTGGATTCGGATGCGTTTTCTGCGGGCGGGGGCCACACCCCGAAATTCCATCCCATTTGCATATCGGCTTGTCGGATCCCTTTCTCAAAAAAAGAGTCAGGAGTCGGACTCCTGAGGGTTGTTAGATTGATTTCAAGGGGTTGTGAAGGGAAGGGGTAAGGTCGAGAAGTCTCTCCTGAAGTAATTTTAAGAGATTTTTAGTGCCGATAGCCTTGTGTGTGGCTTATTCTACCTCGGGACTCGGTACTTTTAAGAGGACGTCTCCATGTTAGAACAAGTCGCTTTTTAAAGCCACTGTTAGATCCATTCCATGATGCATTAATAGACCCAACCCCACACATCAAAAGCACCGCTCCCCCTCTCCTCTCCCACCCCCCTTGGAGACCACAAATTGATGCCCTGCCGAGGGCACGGATCTTTAGCACAACCCCCCCCCCCTCCGCCCTCCAACCCCGCACCACCGGGTCAGCTGTTTCAATTGGAGCCGCTAGTAGTTTAGCCAAACGAGAATAGCCCCCTGGGTCTAGAGGAATGGGGGGCTCCCAGCTAATTTGTGGCCCAGAACTTTTGACCGGGCGAGCGGGAAGGAGAGCTGTCCTTCGGGGGGTTGTTGGTAATTAATCTTCTGTAATCTTGTTGGTCAGGAATTGTAACTATGAGGGTTTTTGAAGGTGGAGAAGTTATGAAAAAATTGATACTTGGGAATTCCTTTAATGCCACAAAACCTAGGTTTGGGGATTTGGCTTCGAGTCAGGCTTAGACGCGCCTGATCAGGCTGAGTTTTGAAGTGGGTCAATCATATTTTGTGCAGATAAAAACGTACGTTTCAGAACCTGCGAAACTACCGTATTTGAAAGGTTGCTACGTTATATAAGTTACTAAAGTGCGAAAATTGTTCCAAAATAGCCCATTTGGCTGTTTTTCGACCGTTAGAGCCTAGATAACTTTCGTAGCTTTGTTGTTACGTGGATTCTGAAAACAGCGTTTTATTCAGCAAAAATTCAGCACAAAATTCTTTAAAGGTTTCCCGACTTCTTCAAACTTTTTCGGACCCGGAAGCCCCGCGGAAAAGCCACCGGCCCCCCTGCCGTATCGTTTCGTACTGCCATAAAAGCAGCACTCTCGGCCGGCGCGGCTCGGTGCTCAGAAATGCAAAAAATGCACGCGGTGGGCCGGATCGGGGGGCTGCGGTCCCGGCGCGATCGGTGCGTAAAGGCCACGGGGCGGCGGGGTGGCGGGGAGCCTCGTAAATGCTTCATCAGCGGCCGAGACGAGGGGGTGACCAGTCCTGAAGGGATTCGTCGTCTTTCCAGCCGTTAGGGTAGCTGGAAAAAACAGTGAGTGGGTCGGAGTGGCTATAATTCGCGTGAAGGCGTGCGGGGGGGCGCGTGCGGTCAATTTTCGGGGGAAGTGGTGGGAGGCGGTTTTCTTGGGGAGGGTCGATAATCCGTATTGCCGTTAATGCGTCGATAGCAGGATTGGAGTGTTGCGTAGCTGGGTCTGAAAAATGAAGCCTGAAAAAGCCTGAAGCATGTTAAATCCATGCAGCATTCTCTTTCTTACAAGTTTTCCAAGAGGTTTGTAAGTAAGTCGGGGCTTCAAGTTGCAGAAATTTGCGCTTGTATATAACTATAAAATATACTATAAAATTTACTAAAAACTACTAAAATCCGCCAAGGCCATTTGCTCGAATGTTGGTAGAATTATTTCGTAATTCTCGCAAAAAAAATTACAAAAATCATATGTGAAACTGGAAATGTGCTAGAGCCTTCAAAAATTACTAGAGCCTCGATACTGTATGCAAAAAAAAACCGATAAAGCGATTAGTTCCACTCCTCCCGAAACTCTGAATTTATTCCGTTTTTCTCTACCTTCCACCCCTTCTCCACCGTCAATAGGGTGTTCAGTGGAACCCCCTTGGGCTACCTCACATTTTCCCAGTCACACCTAGCTACAGGTACCCCACCCCACAAAGGGGCTTTTTTGCTTTTTGCAAGCCCGACTGGAGGCTGGCAAATGGTTTGTGTATGTGTGCATGAGGGTGTGTATGTGTGTCTCTGCCCCCCATCTGTGTTTATAGCCCCTAGGGGGCCATTCGAGTGATAAGAAGCCGGGAGGAGAACGGGGGGAATTGTTTGGGGTGGAGGGCACCTTCACAGCCAGCTAGGCCAGTCGGCAAACAAATCATAGGCCATGAGAGGTCTTGCTTGATTGGGGAAGTTGTTTAATTTAATTAAAAAAATTGATTTAGAGTATTTGATAAAAACCTAAAAAAGCCCTTAATTTTGTCCATCTAAAGAGATAAAAACATAGTCCCGGATTTCAGTGTACACGCTCAGACCTTCAAAAATAGCATGGGCTCAACCTTTAATATTTCCGTCATACCAGGTCCCTTTGGCTGATTTTGAAGACCAAAAAATCAGTATTTTCCCTGACACCCAACCCCGGGCGCCCAGCCAAGTACGCCCACTTCCCCCAAAACCCCGCTTGACACTTGAAGCTGCGATTTGGAGCCTGGCGGACAGCGGGGGGACCCGGTCTTCCGCCTATTTATCGCCGGCAAACAGATCCCCTCACCACCCAGCTAACGACCGTGATCACCAAGATTGTGGGGAAGGAATACGCAAATTTGGGGGTGGGCGGGTTTCAAAAAGTGTTCAGAGAAGTCAGAAAAACGTTAAAAAGCTAGCTGTTGTCTTCAGGACTCCTTTAATATTTTATGACTTCGTTTCCTAGATCCTTTAAAATTTAGTGGATTGCAGGCTCAGCTTTTAATGACGTTTATAAAACACAAATTCCATCCACCGGGCCCCTTCGACTCAAGAAATTACGCTTTTCAAGCCCTCTTAAAATTCACGAATTCCGCCTTCAACGTCCCTTTAAAATGGACCCAATACCAAGTTAAAAGACCTGTTCCGCTTCCCTGTTTTTGCGGATGATGCGGTAACAAAGAGCCCCGCCGATCCGCACGCAGATCACCCGGGGAATGCGACAGCATGGCGGCTACTCCCCTTCCCCCCTCTTCGGTGAAAAATGTGCAATGCGCCCGGAATCCCCGGCTGACCCTAATCGAAAGCGATTTCCATGTGCTCCCGGCCTTCTAATTCGTTGTGGGGCGGGTTTTAGTTGAGAGAAATCAGCTGAAAATTTTGTTAAAATTTAAAGAGATTAAAAGATTTAATGAGTAAACATTTTTCCGTATGTATTATTTCTTTTCTATTAGCGTCAAAAACTGCTAAAAACGATAAAATACACTAAACTGGGCTGAACAGGGCTAGATGGTTTTTGCCCCCCCCGCTGACAGGCCATTACCCGGCGCCTCGCTGACCCCAGTAGATATCGTTCCCAATAGATTTTTTTGGCTGAAACCAGCAAGTTTTTTTATTTTTCATGTATCTCTAGGGCTAAAAATTCATGATTTCCCAGCTCCCACTAAAACCGGAAGTATACGAATGGCCTTGTGGGATTCGGGGGGTGGTGCGTTTCGATAGACTGCGGCGATTCGATCGGATTATACAACACAGTTCGGCCCTGACTTCTATCCACCGCCGACGGGACGATACTATTGACGGTTCGGGCTTGTGGGATTTCGCAGGGAGGGGAGAGCTAAAAATTCTGTAAGGTGCCATTGACTCTAGGAATCGCCTTTTAAAGGGCCATTAAAGGCAAATCTTGTTTCAGTAGCGTTGGTATAATTTTGTCTATAAAGTGTCAAAGACCTTCACAGACTATCAATCACACCCCTGAGAGGACCGGAATCGTTTGGGGGGTTGTGTTTGTTTTGATTCCGATGCGGATGGATGGCTTGCCTCGCCAATAATCGCCCACCACTCCCGATTCCACTTCGCTCCAGTCTCCGTTTGGATTAATGGATGGCATGAAAGGGGCCAAGGGGTTAAGAGGATAATCTATTTAGAAAATATAGGGAAGAGAAAACTGTATTTTTATTTAAAAAAAGAGAGAGAAGAGAAATGAAATTCCTTAGACAAATTATGAGCTTCTGTGGATTAAATATGCCATTATTCCCATAATTTCCAGGCAAAACTCTGCGATGTCCGCGGCTGTAGCAGCGTCTCCCCAGACGCCCTAGCAGTAGATGAAGTCTCCGGCAACACTGCGTACATTACCGGGTATTTTATTATATTTCCTTGATTTTTAATGATGCTATAACCTTTCAATTCCCTTTTTTTGCATAAAAAAATCGAATCAGACTACCATTCCGGCCCCAGACCTCCTCGAGGGGGATAATTTCTATTTGCTCTCGCCCTCCAGGGCCTTCAACTGGCCCCCCTCGGGCTTTTTTCCGAGATCAAATGTACGGGGGAGGAAGTGGAAGCTACAAAAAATTGATTTAAGGGAAAACCATACTCAAAATAAACTTTATTTTAGTGCCACAATTACCATCGTGCAAAACCAACAAGCCCACCTCGTCTCGACGTCCAGGAACCCGTTTTCCTGTATCGCCTTCTCGCCATGTGGTCGATTTTTGGCGACTGGAGAGGTTGGAATTTTAAATCGATAACATTGAAATTAAGTAATGCAAATTATGCTAATTTCCAGACCGGCGATCAACCGATGGTGAGAGTTTGGGCGGTTTGCGATGATGAGGGACGATTGATAGGGCAAGAGCTCGCCCAATTACCCGGCCATTCCTTTGGCATCTCAGCAATTGTAGGTCTTATCAATAGATTTTTACCTTTTGAAGTTTACCAAGAAGAAATTAAACATTTTAAATCGTATTTTTAGGCCTTTTTGGAGCCGGAAGTCCGCATCTCGTCTCTGTCGGCGACCAGCACGACAAGTCGATCATCGTCTGGGAATGGAGGACCGGCAATCAGGCGGCGGCAAGCCGGCTTAACAATCAGGTAATAAAATATCCTACTATATATAAAAAAGTAGTGTCTGTGTGTGTGTGCCACTTTGCATGCAACTTCCGTCACCATGTCCGGGGGATATTTCAATTAGGGATGAATTTGATGGCATGTATGATACGTCATTAGGATCGTAATGGCTCTGGGATGACTGCACGCTTATCAGATTTTACAAAATAAGCTATTTTCGACATTAAATTTAAGTTTTTGTAAAATTTTCGGCAAGCCTCTTTGTTAGCAAAAATCAGCATAAACCGGAAGCGGCAAGAGCCTACATAATCAGCTAGGGAGGGGCTTTTTTCATTTTTCGCATCGAAATTCGAGAGACAAATGCAGAGTAAAGAACGTTCAGGGGTTAGACGGGGCCAGGGTTGAAAAGTCGCGAAGCGGCTTTTCAACCCTGGTAGACTTTTAAAAATACAAAATCCAATAATTTTCAATTTTTAAGGTTTGTGGTATTGCGATGTGCCCGGATGGCTGCTCTTTCGTCACCTATGGAGCTAAACACGCCAAGATGTGGTCTTTCGAGGGAGACAAACTGCATGTATTAATTTTTACACAGTTTATATACTTTAATGTTCATTTAAAATTAAACGTAAGATTTTCAGGGCCGTTCCTTCATCTTGAATGACAAGCGCAATTGTCACTTCTCAGCTGGGGTTTTCTTGAGTGAAAATCGGTTCCTGGCTATTGCGGACAACGACTTTTTGGTGGAGGTGGTTGGGAAGAAGGTGAGGATTTTTCGATATATAATGTAAGAACGGGTTTAACAATCCTAGAAAACAAAATACAAATAATTCTTTAGCTCCAACACACCTACAAGCTTGGGACACGGAAGTTATTCTCGATGACTATCATCGATGAAGATACCCTAGCCGTTGGGTGTGACGATGGAATGGTTCGTTTTTATAGTTTTAATAATTTAAAATTAGATGAGTCACTTAATCCGAAGTTTAATATACTTTCTAGATCCTCGCCCTCCGGCTGGCCGGTTCAGAAGGCCTCCAAGTACTGTACTCCTTCCCCCTACCCCACCACCTCGGTCTCGACGTCGCCGAAGCCACCCACGACTCGGCACTTGATGCTTCTAACCATCCCCCGCAGTCCAGGTAATAATTCCCTTATCTTGGGTCATTACTCATTGTTTGGCGCCTGCTTTGGCACTTTCAATTCTGCTAGGCGAACAGATTTTTTCGGGACGCTTCGGGTGTCATGCTCAATTGCGTAATATTTTAGCAAAATCCTGCTCCTTTTATTTGACATTTTTGTAGAGCGTCACACAAGCACATTTTTTATATATATTTTATATATTACGTTATTTGCATTTATTCCTGCCAATTTCCGGCTAGCAGTAATTATTATATTTAGAAAGTTTACAGTATTCCGTAGTTTCCTCGGTTCCAATCAAAACCTCCAACCCCCTAATCACTTGAGTATACCACAGTATTACCACCGCTCTCATCAAATTCCAGTCGGTACCCCCGATCAGTGTTGATCAAAAAGCTTTTGATTGTCTGCCAACGTAGAGGTGGGGGTGGGTAGCTTGAATTGTTTGCCCGCGCCAGAACAGTTGAAGGGCATTTGGGTTGTCGGAATTTATACCGAGATTCTTTTGGCTTTAATTTGTTAATGCATGCTATAGATTACTGTCTCGTACGTTAACATACTACTTCCAAAAACTTTAAACGTTTTTTATACTCTTTAAAAGACCCTTCCAGTCACCTTTTTTGAGCTATTTTGGCTTCAATTCGCTGCGCTCATTATATACCTTTTACTCTATTCCAGACAAGACGATACCTTTCTGTATTAGACAGTTTTTGCCGATTTCAACGCTTTTTTTGGTTTGTAGAAACGGTTATTAAGTCATTTCTGTGCTGTTTTTTACTTCTATAGCCGTTTTAAATACACAAAGACTTTGAAAAAAATTGCATAATTAATATATAGGAATTTAACGATCTAATATATAAATTATCCTTTTCAGTTACCCATCAGCCCGCGCCCTGGCTGCCCATCCCTCCTCCCAATCCACCTCGGTCCTTTATTCCGACCGTTCGCTCTACGTATGGCGTCGGAGTTCCCAGGGGGACACCGTCAAGATGTACTCCGATCTTGGCCATGTTGGCGCGGTGAATGTGATCGAGGTATGTAAAGCATAATTTTCAAATTTTTAATCATTTTAGGTGTACCCAGAAGGGGCCAGCTACTTACCACCTGGCACTTACGTGACTGGAGGCGCTGATGGGACGATACGATTCTGGAATACGAACAAAGACCAAAGGCCGAAAGGCATACAGACGGTATGTTTTGAATGACTATAATTTGAAATTTAATTCAATTAAAAAATTGATCACTTCCAGAGCCTCCTCCCAAGCTCCAACGTCTACTCCGAATGCCTAAAAAAGATCGTCTACACGAGCGACAACATGCTGCTCCTTTTCGACGCATCCGATGAAGGCGCCATGGTCCCGGCAGCCCGGTTCGACATCAAAGAAGCCGTCAAAAGCCTCCGCTTCTCGCCTGACGGCCGAAATCTGGTGATCGGCAAGCAAAATGGTGCCATTCTGGTGATGGACGTCGTCACGATGGCGTTGGTGATCAAGATGGACGCGCATGAGAGTGACGTGTTCGCGTTGGAATTCGGGAGAGCGGATCGAAGTGGAGGGCCAGCGTTGATGGCTTCTGGGTCGAGGGATTGTCTCGTACATCTCTACAACGTTACCCAGAACTACGAATATCTGCATACGCTACAGGACCATCAAGGGGCTGTCATTGCCATTAAGTTTGCCACGGTGGGTTGGATGAATTTTATCGAAAATTGATTTCACCATCGCTTTAGAACAGTTTTGATTTTTTGATGGGGCTTTTAAGTTCAGAAATTCATAATACCTTCTTGCCTACCGTAATTTTCAGGCAAACGACGGCACACTACGCATGTACACCCTCGGCACGGACAAGCTGCTCATTGTCTGGAATTACAACGGATCCCTGGTATGTCTAGAATAGAAATAAATGGATATAAATGACATTTAATAAGGAAGTATAGTAATTTGTGTAATTCTTACGCAAATTTTCGAATTCCAGAACGCTCCCTTCGCCCGTGGGGCCGTCATCAAGCAGGGCGTGGCCATGACCGACCTGGCGATACTTCCAGAATTGAATGGGATCGCTGTTGGGTGTGTTGATCGGCAGGTAAATTATTTTTTAGTTGTTTTTGTTAATTATGCTTTATAATACTAGAGTTCACTAGAAAAATAATTTTAGATTCGCCTGTATTCCCTTTCTGGAAAGCAGCTGAACGGTTTTCACGCTGGCGGGGCTGAAAAAGACCCGGGTGGCAGTTCGTCATTTGGAAAGGTTTGTAGTTTCAGTTGTAGTTTATGGTTTTACTTATACTTTGTAATCTTTCCATACCTCTGTTAATTTAGATCGTTTTTGACCCTTCCGGTTCCCTATGCGCGTCCGTCTGCGATCGGGTTGTAAGTTGATCTTTTTAATTAAAAATTAAGCCATCTAATTATTACTAATTAAAATTAGAATAGCAGTTAAATTATTAAAACTAATGATTATGTATAGGTCCAAGTGCTGGACGTCCGAACACAGCGGCTGTTGATGGCTTTACCGGGCACCGGGGATGCTCCCACCCAAATCGCATTTTCCGCCGATCTCAAGTGAGTTCAAGAGGTTTTGAAGTCTTGCTAAAAACTTTACGATGTACAGTAATATACAGTAATACATAAAATATGCTAATTCCAGAAATCTCATCATCTGCTGCGCAAACGGCTGCATTTACACGTGGCGACTCTCCCAAAAATTGACGCAACGCCTCCAAACTGCCGCCAGAGACCTGTACGAACGTATCGAAAGGTAATTTTCTTTTTTGCCAAAATTTAAATAAGCTACCCGACTAGCAACAGCTTTCCCGGGGGCCATTAAGAGTGAAACGGGGATAGTTGACGTTTTCCCCTACCCATTATCCGCCTCGGATCTCTATTTGGGTCGATCCGCCCCTATGATCACATCTCCGCCCCGCACCTTTTCACTCCCGAGGCGCATCAAAATTTCGTGAATTTTTATTGGGGCTGGGTTACTTTCTTTCGGTCGGCTAATTTTTGTTTTTATTGGCTTTAAAAAAATTTTAACTGAATATGTAAATTGATCTTTCATGAATCTCTAAATTTTAAGATTTTTGGCAAAACTGGGCAACTGTATTTGTTTTTAAGCAGTTAATTTACTTGATTAAATTACTGCAGTTAAGCTACGAATTTTACAAAGTTAAAAACATTTGAATTAGGTCTGCGAATGCTATTAACTTCTCTGACACTAAGCTTGATGAAAATTCTGATCTGTTAGTTTTTAGAATTATTAGTAAGTTTTAAATCCCAATCTTTGTATTTCAGTTGTTTAATAATTTTTAATCCTTTGGTATTAATGATTTTTCAAACCCCGAGATTGACTTCTAGCCTTCTTCTCATAAGCTCCTCTCCCTTATCAGTGACGCCAAATTTTTATGGCCACCGATTGTTGCCGCTTTACATGTGGTCCCGGGGGTACTATTCGAATCCTACTAATTTTTTATAGCGTTTATTTATGCTAATTTTATTGGGTTTTTAGTCGCCGAGTTCCGACCCCGGATTCTGTACTTGGGAGCGGTTCGGACTGTGTGAGTGAGGAGCACGCGTCACCACTTGGCGATATTGTAAGTTCTTGAAATAAATAGTACTAATTTAAAATGGCGAATTAGAAAATGCCGATTATCACAATGCCGAATTTTTATGCTGCCGAATTTGTAGAAAACTGAATTTATATAATGCCGAAATGGCAAGGCCGAATTTGCGTAGCCACGAATTTGGTCGAATTTTGAAAAAATGCTCGAATATTTTGTAACAAAATCGGCATTATGACAATAAGAATGAAAATTATACCTAGAGGAGCTGAAAGTATTTTTTTCAGGGCAAAAGTTATCCCAATTTATGCAAATTAAATTCCAGGAATTACCGATCGGTGCATCAACTTTCGGTTCAATCGACAGTATCCATCTCCTTGGCCGCATAGATCCGACTCGAACGTTTAACGTCCCAAGCCGCGAATTACCGTAAGTCTTTCATTTATTATTTTTTCTAAAACCTCCATTTTTGCTCGGAAGCTCCCTGTAATCCGTACAGTCCCGTAATCCCCCCACCTCCCGAAATATGACAACCACCTTGTTGGGTTGCACGCACCCTACGCGAGGGTCCGAAGTGACGATCTGTTGGCGGGTCCTAGCGGACTGGGGGGGCTTCGGGCCCAAACATAGGACCCAAAATCGGGAAGAGGGGCGCCACACTACCCCCTTATTCATATTTACTCCTCGCCCCCACCCCAACACACACACCCGAAACCCCTACGGGACGACCCGCTACGGCGGGACCCATCCCTTTACGGGGCATTGATTTGTACTTTGTTGGTGAAGATACGGTTTTGAAACCGTTTAACGGGATAGTGTCGGCTAGATTTTGTGCCCTTTTTATTTAGAATTTGCTGTATGTTGATTTTCTAGTAGGTTTGGTTTAAAGGAAAGGTGCCAGCAAGTTTTCTGGATTTTTGTGAGCTTCTAAATTAGCATAAATCCTTAAACAGCGTTATTTTACATGATTTGGAGGGGTTTTTGGTCGAATTACGCCAAATAAATTTTAGAGATTCTATTCAAATAGGAATTTGTAGATCATCGTGTACGAAACATTACTTTTTACGCTCCTATAAAAAATTTTGCGACCTTTAAAATCCAGCTTACCTGACCCCATAGATATTAGTTTGCAGGCAATCACGACAAATCAATTCCTTGACTTATAATTCATAACAGAATTTGACAGTCTATCCAGTACGAAACGCCACTCTTTACGCTCCTATGCAAAAATTTTACGATCGCTAAAAGTCGGCTTACCTGACCCAGACCCCACCAGAAATTTTGCAACCCATCACCCTCGGCTTTTCCACCTACACACCTAATGCCTAGGCGTGTCCCCCTGCCTTATCAAAGTTCAGATGGACCGCCTAGCAGCTGTTTCCAAAACGAACGATTTCCACTATTTTTTATCTAAATCCGTCCCCGAAATCGGTTGTTTTGTGTGTGCCATGGCCCCGCGTGGCCCACAGCCGATCGCTCGCAATATTTGCGGTGACGCCCAGGTGGCGGGGGACATCTTTTTATGGGGGTGCCCCGTATTTGTGCGCATCCATCAGGTAGCTGGTTTCTGGTAGTAGGAGTTGGGAATATTCTCGAAATGCTGTCAATAGGTATGGATTGGTCTAATACTTTATGTTGGTGATTCTGGGGCTCCAGCTAATTTTTCTGACTTTTATTCTATTATTTTTCCAGCGGCAACATGCATCGTGCGCCTAGGATTTTCATAGCGTAACGAATTTCCATAGCTTGACCGCGGCTAAACAGCGTACGCGCTGCGTGTCGCGGTTGCGGTCAAAATCAGAGCGATTTTTAGACTTAAAATGCCCTAATAAAACCCCGGAAACACCCTTAAAGAAACGTTTGTCCGTTACCACCTAGAAAGCTTTAAAAACGTGATTTCAAAGGCCCTTAAAAAGTTGTTTATGCTATTTAAGGAACAATTATGCGAACGTTAGCATTTTTTACGGCGCAAAGACTTTGAAAACCTAAGGAAAACACTGGTAACTTTTGTATTTAATGTAATTTATATCAAAGAGAGATTTCTAATTTTTGGCTCAAATTTCCGCCCCACAACTCCTTCCACTTCACAAATCCTACGATCATTACCAATTCACACCTCGACTCCCTTTCGAAAATCCACATCCCTCCCCCCCGCCCATTTTCCACCATAATACTCAGCGAATGGTGGTCGAACAGCCGAAAGATTTTCCGTAAGATTGTCCCCCACCCCCAAGCCCTAAAAGTAGGCCGGGCCGTTCCGTTTGAATAGCGCCCAAAATCGCTGGGCTCCCCCGCAAGGATTTTCGCGCCTTTACCTCGCCTTGATTGTAGATTATCTAAGACGTAATTTAGGTAATTTGGCTTTAAATACTCATTAAAAATTCAACTTTATTAGAGTTATGAAATCACGATAAGCCCGTTTCATTCATTTCCTCCCCCAATTAGGTCAAACCCTAATCCCCCTTCCAATCGGTTTCATCCCAATTTTATGGCCGATAGCTGATTTCGGAATTCCCCCCCGGCTAGCGGTCACCCTCCGCCCCCGTTATCAATCCGAAATATGCCTAATTGAGCTGTTGGGGGTTGTGGCGACCTTGGAGCCATTTCGGCCTCTCGCTTGAGCGATTCCTTCACCTCTTGCTCCTCCTCCATTTAGCCGCAATTCGGGCCAATCCCCTCTTCCTCCCCCTCGTCTTCCCCGTCATTTCGTGCCCTCCGGCTATTCGGCCCGTTCGGATTGTTTATCGTTCGACTGTTATGGGGTTTATCGTTCGACTGTTATGTATTTATATCATGATTTTTGGTATTTTACGGTACTGTACTGTTAGCAGGGGGAACGCAAATTTTTTCCAGTAATCCTGTACGATCCCACCACAAAAAAATGCCGATTTTTATAGCATTTAACTCGGTTTTTAGATATCTAAAGATTTTCATCCCCCGCTAAGAGTCCAGAACCAAAAATTCTAAACAAATTCTGGTAGAAATTTTTATATAGTAGGGTTCTAATAAATATGATCGGTTTCCATCGTGGCTACCTGCCGATTTCTGATTCACCCCCCATCCCATTTTCCCCCCATTAGCGTTGTTTTTCCAATCTCCGGAAAATCCCATCAAGCCAATGGCTACTTCACATCCCAGTTTTCCAACGAAACACCCTCATTACCATCCCATCTTGGCTCATATCCAAATGTCACAATTCACCCTCAACACAATCCCTTACAACCAACCATCCTTCCACTAATTTCCCTCCTCTCAAAAGTGTTCCTCCCCAAACCCTGAGAACTAGTACAACGTCCCCGAACGGGTTTCGGGCCCCTCCTTAGGGCCCAGATGGTCCAAATCTATGACCCAGGGCGTTCTCAGAGTTTGGAGAAGCCATCCGTTTGCTTACTCTCCACTCAAAATCCGTTTTGCAACTAGTGTTTTGAGTGGTTTTGGAACTTTATGATTTAAAATTGTTATTTTTGATGTATACCTGACGAAAAATCCTAATTTTTAGGAATTTCCGTACAATTTTAGCTTCCCTGACTTTGTTATTAGTATACTTTTCGTGAAAAACCACCTTCAAATTTCAAGGATTCCCATAGAGGTGGCCTCGAATCTCCTCCCCATTTCGGCGCATTCAAATTCGCCTTTGTGCCTTGGCATCTTTTTCTGCCGCTACCAATCTTCCTCCCCCGAAAACGGGCCCCTCTTTGTCCGCGGGAACGTTGACACGTAACCTTGCCATTGAGGTGCAGGAAACCACTAGGAAACGGTGCCAAAATTACAGCTGAGGATTGGCTGGCTAGCAAAGGTTCTTTAGGAAGATTCTAAGCTAGCGGTTTGGCTTCAGGACTCCTTTAATTTTGCTTATAATGGCTGAAAAATTCTTTCAAAGGTGTATGCGGTAATCTAGCAAAAATCTTCGAGAAAATCCATAGCTTAGGCTTGAAATTTGCATAAAATCTCGAAGTTTGCCGTGAAATTTGCATAAAATCTCAAAACTATGTGCCGCGAGCTAGCGCAAAAGCGTCTAAAAAAACGAATTTTTTGATGCCTTGAATGCTATCGAGATCCGTTAGAGACCGGAAAAATCTATAGCTATTTGCCACTTCATGGCTCCTTCCGTGTTCCTTGAATTTCTGAGGGCAATTCCTTAGGGTAAAAATTCGTAAATTCCACAACCTCACATAATTCTCTATTTACTCCCGAGAAATGTTGCAAAAATTTCCAATCAAATTGACCGTTCCACTTCCGCGCGCGAGCGCGTGTGTACGCAAAAACTGCCCCGTATTGTATTACAGGACCGTGGGGGCCGACGGTTTTTTTGCAGGCGAACGCTTTGCTGTCAAGCTATTGTATGTAGAGACCCCCCCCCTTGGCGTGGAAAACCGTTCCGGACGGATGCACCTCGCCGGCTGGCTGAATCGACCGGTGGCAGCGTGATTTTTTGCATTTGCTGCATTTTTTTTGTCGCGCTATTGTGCGCTTTCTATTGGTGGATTTTTTAGCCATCTTGGTTTTGTACTGAAAAAAAGAATATATTTAGAATGGATAGAATTCCAGAAAAAAAACTGGAGGATTTTTTGCGTTTCGGATTCTTTAAATAACAAATGATTTGTAGTCCAGTCAAGCCTTTGCAGTAGTGAAAGTTGTGTCTATAGAAGCCGTTCGTAATAGATTACGTCACGTTATTGCTTTTGTGTTGAAAGAGTTTGGCCATCGCGTATTTTTAAACCCATAAAAATCGTTACTATTTAAGTTTTTTTGGTCGATTAAAAATCATTTTACTAAATTTACTTGTTTTCAGAAATTTTTTCAATTTGTTTTTTTTTTGCCTTCCGAGTCCCTTTAAACTGTTTAAAAAGGAAATTGTTCCGTTTTTTGGTCGTTTTTAATACATTTGTGACGATCTGACAACGATTTTCCCCCGGCCAGCCCCTTTCCCCCCCCCCCCGCTAAAAGTCCAGTACCCCGAAAAAACGTGTCTAGCAAAGACGTTGATGTCCGGGTTGTCACAGCCGTAATGTCCAGGGGTACTAACGCGGAAAAACATTAGTGGGCCTCCCAGCCGAACAGCTGGGGGATCCCAGCCCCCCTTTTACCTAACTTCCCTCACCAGCTTTTGAGGGGACAAATCACTTCTTACCCTCCCCCCTCTTCGATTCTCTTCCCGGATGCAAAATGATGTCGAAAAGTGCCCCATCGCTATCGACCCTCGGCCATCTACCCCCAATTTGCCCCCGATTCAAATCGCCCAGGTGCCTTTACGTGTTCCGTTCTGTCGATTGGGGGGAACGGGAGGTGGTGGATTGCTTTTTTAAAGGGACAGTGGAGGCAGCGGACTGTAGATATTTATGCTAATTATAATAAAACCAGCATTTCATGCTAATTAGTCCATCCTTTTTCACCTCAAAAACCAGTTGGAACCGGGATTTCGAAATCTACCGTATGTAAATTCCCATATTGTAAATTCTTCTTTTTTTTCTATGCAAATCCATTTCTTTCCAGGGGCTTGGAAGTAGAAAAACGGATCGAAGCGGTCGTGCGCCACGGCAACAACTCTAGCCTCGGCCAGTCTGGCTCCAACTTTGATTTGACGTCGGGTAACTTTCACTCCAGATTCAAATTTTACCTCAAAATTTTTGTAGAGCGTGACCTGGAGGAGCAGTACAGCGAGAGGACGCCGAAACAGTACACCTCATCTAAGGTATGAGATTGTAACTTTTTCGATTCCTTTTGTTTCTGATATTGCTCTGAGGAAACTCAGGGTTTCGATCCTCGTCAATTTTACCAAATTCCCGGTATTTCAGAGTATGCAAAATCTACGATTACACCAAGTGGATACGCCACGGAAGCCGAGAACGCCCCGACGGCAGTGGGCAGATGAGAGTCGTGAGTTTTTGAGTGGATTTTTGGATTTCCTGGGTCGGGTCCCGCAGCGGGATTGAAGGAAGATGGATTATGGTGGTGAAAAACGGGCTTTACGGATTCAATAAGTCTTCAAGGGTGGGCGGGGAGTTATTGGGTGGATTCTAGCGTCAATAGGATTCGTGCGTAGTGGGTCGAGTTTAGCGAATAACTTTAATGTTTTTGGCTCGTATATTCTAGCATTTTTCTGTATTTTAGCAATTTAAGTATAAAATTACAGTTAGCTCTGTATTTATTTGAAAATTTTTGCTTTTTTGGAGTTGATTAAATTTATCAAGTTAAATGTCGCCTAAAGTAATTTTTATAATTTTTTTAGGTTCGGAAGCTGTAGATACCTTACGGCTTTAACTTATGGTATTATAATTTATTATTTCAATTTTATATGATAATACCCAAATAATTCTACTCGAAAAATTTGGCTACCCATCCCTTCTATAATCCACCCAGCCTATGATTATGATGCATATGATGAGCGGCGGGGGGCTAGATTGTGCAATATGCTGACCAAAGAGCCCCACACCGCTCTGTCTATCTCTCTCACTTCTCCTTAAAGCCCAGAGACCCAGAGACGGCTGTAAAAATCGGATCTGCTACCCTCGATTTCACCAGCTAGGGGCGTAGACCCATTTCTCATTGGGGCCCACTTTTTGTGGCCCCTGGAGGGCACATTATATCCTCTTTGATTGTCTATGTTTTTGGCCGTGGTGGTTAGCGAGGATCAGAGAGGTAATTTTGTCGATTTTTAGTGGTTTATTATATGCCTAATTATACAGGGTGTCCCAAAAAAAACCCCCCCTCTCTAGCGGCGCCCAGACGTGTACGATTCTCGCCGTTTAGGTAGCTATCGAAAGCTCTCGAAAAGGCGAGAAAACATGGAGGGTTCATTTTTTTATTATGTATTTTTATTGGCGAATTTTACCTCCAAAATCCATGAAAACGGCAGATTTACGCGAGATCCGCATGCTAATTGCGAAATTCCTATTGAAAAGCTACCTGTTTTTTAGAAAAACGTTGAATATCGGACGAATCAGAATAAATCTTAGAAAATGAAGCCCGGCTTGTTTTCTCGCCTTTTCGCGGGCTTTCGGTAATGGTATAAAAATCATCCTGATCAGAGCTTCCCACGGACCGCTAGAGGGGGGGGGGTTTAAAATCATGTTGTCGAAAAGTCAATTCTCTCAGGAATGTTCTGTTTAATTAGGAAAACTTGCCGGTAGCTCCCGTGGCTCGTACCAGCCTTATTAAAAAGCCTTTGAAGGACCACTCCAGCTTTTAATTTGCGTGCTATACTATGCACCTGTCATTTTTAAGGGGTAGTAGGAGGGCAAGAGATAGAGAGAGAGAGGGAGAGAGGGAGAGAGGGAGAGAGGGAGAGAGGGAGAGAGCGCCGATTAGGCCTTTTGACCTTGGTTGATGGGTCTATGGCCACCTGGCTGTTCAAGGGATGGGTCTCTTTGTGTCGTTTCCTTCCGCAGAGACGCTTGCCTACATTCCGTATACCTTTTTTGGTAATAGTAGTCAAAATCAAAATTGTATTTTATGCTTAAAAAAGAAAGAAAACCTAAGCTTAAGCCCAAGCCCAAGCCTAACAAGGAGTCGCTTTTAGGTGCTTTTGGAGTTTCGGGACGGGACTTAGCTAGTTCGATAGAGAAAAAATTCTGAGAAACATCCCGTTTACAAAAAGTGCTGATCTATAAAGGTGTTTTAGAAAATTTAATTTAAAGTTCGCGCTTTTTTTTAGTTTTCGGGTCCATTTCCTCGGTGCACGTCGTTTTCGGGGTTGGGCAGGCGCTATTCGTAACCCTCCGCCAATGCCTCCATCACAGGTTGCATTGGCGTATTGGTAGCGCGCTTGCCTACCAAGTTTTTAACATTTTTTTGCCTCGGTTTCGAATCTTCGCGCTCGCTAACCCTTTGCTTTTTGGTTCTTGAGCCTGTTATCGGTGCATAAAATTCTAATTGGCAAAAAAGCAAAGAGTTAACGATAAATAAGAATCGAACTTGTGGCAAAAGGTCAAAAAAAATTCGTAGGCCATCGCACTAGCCACTTGGCCATGCCTAGGACGGGATCCAAGGCGCGTGGAGTCCCCATGTGGCAGGGGCGGTCGACCGCCGCAAATAACCTCAAATCACCACAAGGGTCCGGGACACCGGGAACATTTTTAATTAAATTAAATTTTCTAAAACAGCTTTATCGATCAGCACTTTTTGAAAATAGGATGTTGCTCAAAACTTTTTTCTCTATCGAACTAGCTTGGTCCCGTACCGAAACTCCAAAAGCCTAAAAGCGACACCTTGTAAGCGCAAACCTAAGCAAAAAATTTTAGCGAATCCACACCCAAAAATCAATTACCCTGACTTGCCAATACCCTTAATTTTTCAGGGTGTTTTTAAGCAAACCGTTGCAATGCCTATTATCATTTTTATTTTGCTTTTTATTAACGCGCCATTCACGTTATTTTTTTAGAAGCCGACTTCAACAGTCAATCGCTACTGGCCGGGCTGATGGAGGGCAGCCAAAAGCCTCACCCCTCCAACAACAACAATGAAAACGTCTACGCCATGCCCATCCCAAGCACTGTTGTGTCACCACCAACAAATGGCAATTGTACGTTTCTGCAGTTTTAACAACATTGATTTAATTGATTTTTATAGATCAATTTTTAGACTCTGCCCCACTCTCCATCCAACAACGATTAAGCCAGGCGAGACTATCGAACCAGCCGAATCAGCTTTCTAGCTCGTTCAATAGGTATGCGAGCTTTAATTTTTTAATTTTTGTCGAATATTATTTATGCAATTAAATTTATAGTTATGTATTTTTTAGAAATGATAGCGGCCGAGTCTCGCTTTCAAAATCGTTCCTAAACAAGGGGCTATCCGTGGCGCCACAGCCAAGACCGGTAGGTTTTGAATTGATTTTTAAGATATTTAAATTATACAAAAACCTAGCGTTATTTTTTTTAGATATTCTTTCATTCATTTTTTGCCAAATATTGGCTTCAAAATTGCTTTTTTTGCGCGCTGCTATTGGCATTCAAAAGCGGAAAACATTCGGCCGTTCCGAATTCCGGCTAGAATTTTGTTGGCAGCACTTGAAAATAGCTATTGGAACGGATTTTGATTTTCGGTATTATTGGGTATAGACTACGGCATTAAACGCATAAATTTAGGCAAAAACAATGTGGTCTCCGCAACAACCATCGACAAATACGCGACGCACCATGTCAACGTTGGCTGGCGGGGCTATTGGTGGTGGGATGCCGACTGGAGGTGTCGCTTCGGCAATCACCAGGCGTCGTAAGTTTAATTATGCTAAATTTTTTAACCTTGATCCCTGTATAATTTCGTTCCAATACTTTCAATACGAACATTATAACCCAAAACTTGGAACGGAATATCGTTAATCAGTTAAACCCATTAATCAATCCTAAAACTACTCATTTTGCTTGGTTTGGTGAGCAATTACGTTACGTTAATCACCTCTACAAATCTCTAAGTTGTGTGCTGCTTCCCATTAAATCATCTAACCACCCTTCAGAGAGTACGGCTTCTCGAAATTCACCAAGCAGCTCGGCAACCTCCGAAAAGATTCGACGAGCCCGTACGTTCAACCGGATGCGCGACGGGACCGAGCCGGGGACACCGACTGCCCGAAAGGGTACTAACTATAATGTTTAAAAATAGAGAAAACCAACAGTCATGTTGAATCTAAAATTATGGCATTACTTTTGGCTTTTTGGTACTGGGCTGTTAACGGGCCGAGGTGCTTCAGCAAAGGAGGAGTTAAATGTAACTGTATTCTTTTAAAATTTTTAGTAGTTTTCCATTGCTAGAAAATTACTATGACCATTTTAAACTTTTAGAAATTTCGAAAATTTCGACTTTTGTATAATTTTTAACCGCCTTTTAACACACGCTGGAGTGGATATTAAAAATTGATTTATTGATCTTAAGCCCAAAAAGTTTAATGATCGGCATACTGTAAAAACGTCCTACAAATTACTGACCTCAAAAACCCTATAAAACTACTTAAAATCGCGAAATCCGTCACCCTCAAAATTTTTGCTGTGCTGCTTGCCCTCACAAACCTTATTTACCCCCGAAAATTCACTAATTCCGATCACTATCATATTTCATATACGATTTCTAGCTGATGACTTCTCCGCCTCAAACCTACACCTCCGAAGCAGAAGCCAAAGCCCGAACCAGCTCTTCTCTTCCGGTCTATTGACCCCGAGACGGAGGGTAAGCGGAGCTGTCACTGTTCCTTTAAACCCCCCATACTTCAGGATTCGGACATGTCAATGCCCGGAGCTGCCCCATTGTCCGCTTCATCCAGAATGCTGACGTCAAGCCGAACGAATCTTAGCCAGCCTGAAGCCATCCGGAAGAGCAATCAGGCTCTAGATAAGCTGGCTAACATGAGAACGAAGTAAATTTATTTTGATATATTTCACTTTGAAATTGAGGCTGCGACAATCGACCGAAAACATCATGGGTGATATGGATGAGCCTGGAAATGGGCAGTTGTCACTCCCATCGTCGGTGTTGAGGAGCAAGAGCATTGGGAATTTGAGGTATTTAATGAGTTTTATCCCATATATTTATTTTTCTCGCTCTATCTCTCTCACATACCCCTTCCCTCTCTGGCTCCTCTCTCTTTCGGTTGATCTTCTTGTTGGCGCTCTCTCCCGCATGACCTCTCTCGCTCTCTCGCTCGCTGTCTATCTCTGGCACTCTCTCTCTCTCTCTCTCTCACTTTCTCTCTCGCGCCCTCTCTCCCCTTCTCTATCTTTCTCTCGAAGTCTCTCTCGCTATCTCTGTCTCTCTCGCTATCTCTCGCTCTCTCCCACTCTCCCACTCGCTCTCTCCTTCAAACAATTTTTTCCAGAAATGGCAACCAACTCGATACCTATGCCGGTTTGGAAGGAAGAGCTCAACCAAGATTGGGCAGGTAAGCTTTTTTACATTATCATCTTAATTTGATCGTTTTCAAATTTAATTAAACCTTTTCTAAAACACACTTAATTCATATTTTAGTTCCCTGGTACAAAGCCGAGCCCTCGCCCGATCGATGGGAAATGTTTCGGCGGCCGAGGACGGGATCAAGCCGGCTTCTTCCGCATCCCAACTCGCCCAAACCATCCAAATGCTCAAGAAGGCTAGGTAAGAATTTATACAGTAATCTTGGATTCTATCTATAATAATAATTATTTATTTATTATTATTATGATTACTATTTTTATTATTATTTCTACAGTAATCCCGACCTGACGCAGCCCGACCAATTTGACGATAATGGCGCGATGCAGGAGCGGCTGATTCGAAGGGGCGCCGTTCAAAAGAGGGTACGGTTTTTTTAGAATTTGGAGCTTTCAATTGCTTTTTATAATTTTAGTAACTATAATTAAATTATTATTGATATTCTCGAACATAATTTAAAAATTTGTAATTAAAATTTAGGTCGAGCGTTATCATCCACGAAATCGACCTACAGCCATTGTAAACGGTCGGCCAACCGTTGGGACCAGCGAAGAATCCGGTAAGTTATTATATAATTAATATTACTTACTGAATCTACATAAGTAAATTTTAAACGCTAAATTTACAAATCCATTTCCAGATTCCGCATCCAACAACTCGGACGCAAGCCCGATGAACGGATCAATAACTGGCATCCATGGACGCCGGTATTTCGGCATTTCTGCTAATAGGTCAGTCGAATAAAATCGTCATTTTTCATTATTATTTTTTATAGATCCTCCTCATCAGCCGACAGTCGGGACATGGTGGCTGCCATGAATCGCCGAATGTTCGACCCAAAACACCCCAGCTCCATCACCAAAACCCCGACAACACCCACACGGCGAAGCAACTATTTGGCCCACAAATTGGCTGGGTTGGTTATTGGGCTAATTTTTATTTTGTCGAAATTTCATTTTGTCTACATTTTTTTGCCAAATTTAAATACCCTTTTCGCCTCGATTATTCACCTAAAACGCTTCGCAAATTGAAATTTCAGCGCCTTTGAAATTTCCAAATTTCAACATGGTGACAGCAGATTGGCCGCAACAAACCAATTGCAAATTATTTTCACAAGTTTCAGCGATGGAGAAGTAGCCCCAGACCTGGCATCAGATGAAAGCGCTCGTGCTCCATCTACAGGCCCCTCAGACTACCCTCCACCTGGACATTCTCTATCCGAAAACGATCGGCCCATGGTCAACCACATCGATGCGACCCTGAAACAAGCCCTCATCGCCGTCGACCAGGCATTGCATGCCGAGAAATTGGTAAATTTAACGAAAGAAAAACGATGTAAAAAAATTTTAGTTGCGCGAATCTGATGTAAGCGATGGAACGCGGGAATTCTTGAATGAGCAATGCCTGAGAACTTTACAACAGGTAGGGCACGTTAAAAATGGCTAAAAAACGAATTATTGATTCTAAAAATTAAAAATCAATTACTAAAAACCAATTAAATAATGAAAATTCTAGATCTCTACCCGAGTGACCAGCGCATTGGAGCGTAGCGGCCGAAGTGATAGGCGAAGTACCGATGATTCGTTTCGGCAAGAAGTCGTTTATGATGGAAACAAGTAATTATAACATCTTTAATATAAATAATCATTTTACAGCATCCACGGCCCGCACAAAACCGAAAAAGAAGTCAATGAATTCCTATCCAAACATGGCAGCCAACTGATGGAAATGCTTAAAAATAACCTAGCCCGTTCAAACTAGCCTTTTTTTCAAAAGTCCTCTTATCCGCTCCATTTCCTGTGCCTTTAATTGTGATAATTTAGGTGTACTTTAGAATACCCCCTTCTGAATATCCCATATACCACCAAAAAAGCTATTTCTACTCCCCTTCTCGCTACTTTTCCTTCCTTCATGACAGCGACCGGCTTTCACAAATGCGTGACTGTTTATGGGTTGACGAATCGGCTGTGCACACTTTGTTTCTTTCTAATTTATTTGCATCCCCCAACATCGAAAAATAAAAACCTTTATTTTAAAGAAACTTCCCTTTTCCTACCCTGAAATGCACATAGTATTGAGGTGTAATTGATTTTGCTCCGACCCACACACCGGCCCGTTGCCTTATTTGCGACCCGACTGCTCACTTCCACTTTTTGCCCCCCTACGAAGCTTGTCTTTGTGACTTTTCCCTACCGAATACATATAATAAACGTTTTATTAACTTGTTCATCCACTGAAAATGCACAAAAGAACAAAGTTGGCAACGCGCTGCTGGGGCAGATGTTTTTGAATTTCTGCCCCCCACCCCCCTCTAATTTCGGGGCAACTTCGGGGCTGCGCGTTACCAGAGACGCATAGGAAGGCGATAAACACCTAACATCGCATTTTTCTGACTTTTATGAATAGAAAGGTGTCTTCCTTTTCTTCCGTGGTTCCCGTTGTTTTCGTGATTTCCGATCCGTGATTATCATCGTTACTTTCTCCTAACCTTGGGTTAGTTAACAACTAATCCATTATAGCTACTCGCTCTCTCGCCCATCTCTCTCTCTATCTCTCTCTCCCGACGCTCTCTCCCATCTCTCTCCCGTCTCTCTCTTTCTCCCATCTCTCTCTCCCATCTCTCTCTCTCTCTCCCATCTCTCTCTCTCCCATCTTTCTGTCCCATCTCTCTCATCTCACTCTCCCCGCTCTCTCCCCCTCGCTCTCTCACTCTCACTCTCACTCTCTGATTCTCTCACACTCCCTCCCTCCCCTCTTTCTCACTCTCTCCCTCCCCCTCTCTCTCAATCTCTCTTTCTCTCTCCCCTCTCTCACTCGCTCCTCTCTCACTCTATCCCTCGATCACTCTCTCTCTCTCTCTCTCTCTCTCTCTCTCTCGCTCTCGAATTAATCGAATATGTTTACAGAGTGCAAAAGATTTTATTATTTTACATTCAAATTTCAGATATTCATTATTAAAGACGATGGAGTTATTATTTCAATTGCACGACCACGCTGATGTTGTTCACGATAAGTTCATATCCAAATTTCGCATTGAGGTACTTGTTATTTTAAACTTATTTATTTTTGAACTAAATTTTTAGAGTACGTTGGATGATGTGAAGCAAAGAATTCATTCACATTGGGGTATCAAAGGTGAATTTCAACAAATGTTCGTCGAAAGTGGGCAAGAACTTGTTGGATTCGGCGAAGATAGGCTGCAATCTTTGGGACTGAAACATCGCTCTAAAGTGATTGTGGTAAGTTTTCCAACTTTTATTTTGCACAAAAATTTTATTGGCTAGTAACATAGATTTTTATGGATAAATTTTGTAAGTTTTTTAGGTTCAACATTATGTCAAATTGCAACAATTTATTGTTTGGATGTATAATTTCATTTGATTGACTTATAGTTTAACCAAGATTATTTAAAAATTTTTAGAATCTTTCAAAAAACTTTAACACATTAATTATAATACAAGACCCTGGATAGCTTCTGCATTAAATACACAAAAATTACATAAAATACTTGTTTAATTTCAGAAGCATTCCTTACTTTCGCAATGGGTTACTTTTTGCGAATGCTATGACTCCGCTCAAAAGTCGAAACAACAACATCGAATCAAATCTGATGTCGATGCGGCGCTACAACTACTGAAGTTGCTACAACCGGCCAATTTCTTCGTCTGTTATTCACGCTTCGATACGACAGTCCGCGTCTTCTCCGATGAATTCGCTGATTTTTTGGACCAAAGCAACAAATACATCGAATATGCGGCTGGGGGTTATTTTTCGAAATTCTTCAACGACAGCCCAGAGCATCCTCAAATCGAAATAAAGTGCAAGCCGAAAGAGAACGCTGGAGCACAGGTGAGTCTTATAAAATTTTCCTTGCCGATAAAATTATTAATTCAAATTGTCTAGGGCGGACTCATCTGCGAAGTGCTAAAAAGAGAAGTCACTCTCGGGAAGTTCCATGTTAAGACCCATTTTGACACCGCAATTCGCTCTTCAAATCATACGAGTCCTGACCTTCGCGAGCTATTCGTCTACCGATTGCTAGAAGCGATAAAGATTGGGCCGGAAGTGCATTTTATACCAAATACTCATTATTCCACATTTGCTCTCTACATCGCGACAAAAGACGGTACGTGCTGTTTTTGACAATTGAAGTCGTTTTTATCTATCTATATTTTAGTTATTGGTTTCAAACAAGCGCACGAGGCCCGTTCTGTAATCAGCGGTGAATGCAAACTCCAACTGGAACTTCTACGTAGAATTTTCTATTTGTCTGACTTGCATTCAGCCAATTATGGGCTGGACGGTGATAAGAATCTCTGCATCGTCGATTTCCAGGTAGATTTAAACCACTTTTGTTAAACCTTCTACGCTTTTATAAATAAAAGTATTTACCACATTTTTATTGTCTATACTTAAAATCGTTAAATGAACTTTTTATTCAGGTGGATCATCATACGAAGAGCGCTGACGTAAAGGAATATTTATATGCAGACAAGGAGGAGCGTATCCGAGTGGGGAAGCTCTGTTTTACGAATTGGAATCTGGCGAAGATTGTTGAGGATGTCGACAACCGTATTGATGTTCAGAAGGCTTTATTCAAGGAGAAGCGCATCTCGTTTTTGCCAAGCAAAAACTACAACGAATATCTTTCTCAAGTTAAAAAAAATATCACGATGTTTGGTGAGGTATTTGTGTAATTAGTATTTATCGGTTGTACGGAAATCTTATATCAACCCACTTCATCTATAAATAAACTCGATGTTAAAAAACTTCACTTGAAGCAACGTGGACTGTACCAGTTATTTCATGCATAATCACTAAATGTATACTAGAGAAGCGCATTTTGTTCCTTTTTAATTAGTTTGGACCCCCCTCATATCGAAAAATAAAACATTTATTTTAAGGAAACATCCCTTTCCTATCCCGAAATGTACATAGTATTGAAGTGTAATTGATTTTGCTCCAAGCCACACACCGGATCGTTGCCTTATTTGCGACCCGACTGCTCACTTCCTCTTTTTTGCCCCTATGAAGCTTGTCTTTGTGACTTTTCCCTACCGAATACTAATAATAAAATTCATATTGATTTACTGAAAATTCACAGCATTAAAGGGTAGGTGCCGCGCTGCTGGGTCTCCAGTGATAAAAAAGCCCGAAATCTTGGGTAGTCTCCGAATAAGTGGATTGGTAAGACAGAACAGTCGACATCTGCTAAAATCAAAATAAAAATGAAAAATTGCATCCAGCAACTACGCGGAAATAAGTCATTAGTTTCCCGTCGTTCGTAAACTGACTACGCTCTGATACAAAAAAAAAACGGAAAACCGGAAATAGATTTGTCGCGCACGCTTTTGCAAGAATAAAAAAAATTGGAGTACACGTCAGTGTACGCCTACGAACGGATTATCCTTGCAAAAAGTGCCTTTCATGTCAACACCATGCAGCCTTATAATCCAAAAAATTTATTGATTGCATTAAATACACATTGTTTTTTGTGTGGGAACCCCGTCTCGTACACGGCATATGAAGAAGACGTAACCTCGCTCATTTCCTCTTCAGCTTTTTCTTTTTCGGCTTGCCGCCTTCGGTCGACTCTTCGGACGACTTTCGGGCAGCTTTTCCATCTAAAGCATCTGATTAATATCGTAGAAAAGCAATTACATACCTTTGTGATCAGCTTTGTCTGCCGGCTTGGATGCTTGATCGTTGGCGTTAGAGTCCTGAAAATCTCAATTTATCATAAAAGGGTCGCCAGTATTATTCACCTTCTTTTTCTTGTCCTGACCGTCTGGTTGATCCGATGATTTCTCGCCAGACGTCAATTCGGCATCAGAATGTTTCTCGTCTTTCGTACGACTAGGAGACACCAGAATACCTAAAAAAACCAATCAAGCTTTACGATATTTCAAACCCGGAATCTCCTCGTCACTTTCGCCCAAATTGTCGGGATCTCGTTCGAAATGGATGACTTGATGAAAGTCGACTTTCGTGTATTCATGCATTGGTTCTTTGCATTGCAGACATTTGGCCTAAACATGAATGACAGAAATTCGACCCAAACATACTGTAAAAACAAAGCATTCGACGCAATACACCGTACCGCAGCCCTCACATATATGGCAGTTTCTAGAAAAAAAATAGCTTGAAACCATAAAAATAACCATACGCCCGATCTCGAAGATGAAGTTCACGGCGTAGGCATTTCAAACAGTGCCCGACGGTTCGGCCTTGATTGTGTAATCCTCTACGCACCATCGCATCTTTCGATTGAAGTTGTGCTTGGGCATACGCGTCCTGAAAAAAAAACAAGGATCACTTCAAGTCAATTCGCTTAAAAACTTACAACTTGCCCTTGACGCACATACGCCGGAGCCTCGCGTCTCCCTTCCAGAATCTGATTGTAGAGGTATAGGGCTCGCGGCTGAACACGTTGCGGAAAGAACCGATCGGCAAAGTTGATCCACTGACGTTGCAGCCAGAACTGTAAAATAGCTAAATTGTTTTATCAAAGACACCTGATAAAAGCTAGCACGAGAGCAAGAAGGTAGAAGAGAAACATCGCCCAGTTGAGATCGTAGTTTGGCTCCGTGGGTGCAGGGAAACAGTCGCGCCAACTATAAATATAAAAGTGATCAAGAAAACTAAAGCTTACGCTGCATCCTTTCCCGATATAGCATCTTGCATTGGCGAGAAAATATCCATCAACACATCGATAAATACTTTCATATTGCTGTCGAAGTTGGTGGTGACATTAGCGGTCGGGGTCGGAATCTCAGTCTCTGCAGTCGGCGAGGCGGTCAAATTTTGAGCATCAACCGGAAACCGAGTGGGGGCATCCTGGTCTGGCGTGACTGCCTGGAAGCGCAAAAGACATCGTAGGGGAAATTGGTGTTACCTTTAGCTCAAAATGGTCGGCAACATGAAGTTTCATGTTTTGCATTGTCCAATGAATGACGAAGCAGATTTGGTAGATTGAGACGTCGATCAGCACGAATGTCAGCGGCAGAAAGTTAGGACAGCAATAAAAAAGTCTTTGTAATGCGAATACCCATAGACGATGGTGATGACGACGTGCGCCAGTCGTTTTGCCGCCTCGAGGAGCGTGGTTTTCAGTGAAAAGATGGAGTAGTACTGAAGCAGCATAGAGGTCGAGTAGTAGCTCAAACCTTTTCCTTTTCTTCGCCAATCAATGGGAAGATACTTCCCTCGCCGTCAATTATCCGTGCTTGATCCAGTTTGTAAAACTAAACTATAAATGTAGCTAATAAGGACAGCCTTACCGCCTTCGTCAAATAGATATTGTGGGCAGCACTGTGCGTGTTATACATGGTGATGGCGTAGATTGACTATAAAAAATCGTCGAAAACTCTCGCAGAGCACGTACCAAACCAACGAAGACCACCAGTGTCCAGACAAGCACCTGATTTAGAAATCTAAAAAAGATTGTTGAACAACAAAATCGCTTACTTTTGAACAACCGCAATGCCACTGAGATAGCCGCCCAGTTCTGCCTCAATGTTACCGACGATTAAACTTCTGTAAAAAGGGATCAAAACGGAAAAACGCTCGTACTTGGCTGCTCTGAACTGTGTGTAGTTTCGCCGTTGAAGCTTCACATCAAAACCAATAGTGCCGATGCCCGTCAAGCTGTCTACAGCCTGAAATAATAAATAATTACCGATCAAAATCGACGAACGTAAAGGGTCCAGTGATATGCAGGGCTCTCGGCCAACTTTTGGATGCCGTTCTTTGCAGTTTCCATCACCGCTCCCAAAGCATTATCGATGATCCATGCTACAAGAAATAAAAGAATTTGAAATTAGGAAACACGCACTTTTAGCTGATTCGGGAAACCTGCAAAAGCTGTCACCGATGAAAGAGCCGAAGTCGCAGAGCTAAAAAGGCAAAGCTCTTTGAAATAAATGCAACATTGCCTTATTAAGGTGTACAATGCCGCCGCAGACGCCAGTGCCGAATGGATCCCAAGAATGACAGCTCGTATGTAGATCATGCATCACTTCATAGCACTAAAAATGGTAAACCTTCCAAAAACAAAGACTTTCTACCTTTCTCGATGGGCCTTCGAAAAGACCGTTGCATTTCTCAGTCACGGCGCTCAACGAAGCAAACATGCGGTTGATCGAGTTGGCAAAGCTAAAACAAAAGTTCTTTACAGAGAACAAAGAAATGAACCTTTGTAGAGATCGATATTGGTCACGTATCTTCTTGCCCATATTCTTGTAGGTGCGCATAAAGTTTTGCCACTTTTCCTGCAGTTCGGGTGTTTCAAGCTAAACAAAAAGAGCTGTTTTTTAGTATTTAATTAGTTCCATACCATATTCATCGCCCCCTGCATCTTCTGAACCATCTTTTGCCGGGTATCAGCAAATTTGCCCTGAACGCACACCGCGCCCTCCGATAGACTTTGCACATTTTCGATCGCGTTGCCGAGATTGCGCTGAAAGTATAAAACTTCGGAAACACAAGCCACAAACTACCTCGATCGCAACAGCCAGCAGAATTAGCAACAACAATGAACGCATATTGCCGGCGAAAAGTCGCCAGGCGATGATCACGACCCACTGGAAGCATAAAAATGAATGATTGAGAAATACTACCTTCATCAAGCCTTTGAAGTAGAAGGCAAAGGATGATATCATACAGAAGAAAACGGCCGTCCAGATACCGACTCTAAATAAAAGATTGTTCACGCGCAAAACTACATTTTGATCAAAACCTAGCCAAAAACTCTCAAAACCCACTGATCGGGGCGCTGCGCATATTTGAATCCATAGGTGAAAAAGACGAGTAGTGCGAATGCTTGTAGAAGAATAAGATCAAGTACGGCCATCGCGGTTATACGCTGTCTAAAATGTGCTAAGGTACATTATAGTAAGCATCATACTTGCTGCCAGGCACGAAGACCAGATCGTAGTTGTTCTTCGGCGTAAAGTCTTCGCGCCATGGCGGATACAAGCACTCACCGCAATTGATGATTTTACAAGCAAGTGCACATTCAGAGGTAACTAAATAGATTCCGGCGCCCACGGATCCTCGGGTTGAAAGCCCGACAATGAGCGTTCGCTCTACAAGGAAGACAGGATACTGGCGAGCACCAACTGCAAAAACGGGATCATGGCAGATGCACAACTTGGAGAAAGCGACGTTTGCGCAACAACGCTTTCTCCATATACAGAGGAAAACGGTGTTGTTAAGATGCCGTTTCCAAACGGTCATGTCCCGCGCGGGACATGACAATTTGCGGGCCCGCAAATTAGGAAGACTTTAGTAAGAATGTCGTAAGCAACTCGTTAGACAAACGATAGCTTTTGAAAAAAATTGTGGCCCTAAAGAGGGCCGTTGGGTTGGTGTATATTTTCTAATAGCATCGATTACTTGGAAGAAGTGTACTTGGTGACAGCCTTCGTTCCCTCCGACACCGCATGCTTCGCCAGCTCACCGGGCAACACGAGTCGGACAGCCGTTTGGATTTCGCGAGAAGACAGTGTGATCCGCTTGTTGTAGTGGGCCAAGTTGGAGGCTTCCTGGGCGATACGCTCCAAGATGTCGTTGACGAACGAGTTGAGGATGGACATGGCCTTCGAAGAGATGCCGGTGCCCGGGTGGACCTGCTTGAGAACGCGGTAGAGGTAGATGCCGAACGACTGCTTCTGGGCCTTCTTCTTTTGCTTCTTGTCGCCGACGGCCTTGGCCACTTGGGGATTGGGAGGCTTCTTCGTCGTGGACTTCGCAGCAGACTTGGGCGGCATTTCGAGCTTGATGTTTTCGTGGATAGTGCACGATATATTCCGAAGACAGGCGAAATTGCTTTTATAGTCGGGGTGGGGAGGGGGCGGGGCCTGGCGTACAGTGTAGCCTCAGGGAAAATAGGCCACGCCCCTTCCCACCCCAACTATAAAAGCCGAAAATTCGATGTTCTGGATTTATGCCCTTTTTGCAAGAAAGAAGCACCAATGGCTCGCACGAAGAAAGTTGTGAAGGACGAGGCGCGCGACGCGCCATCCCGTGACGCCACTCCGCCGGCCGCCGCCGCCCGCGACGTCAAGCCCATCAAAAGCAAGCTCGACAAGAAGAGAAAGAGATCATCGCGTCGTCAAGAAAACTTCCGCGTCTACATCCACAAAACGCTCAAGGACACGATGCCCGACATGAACGTGAGCGTGAAGGCGATGCAAGTGCTCGACTCGCTCGTCAACGACATTTTCGAACGCATTGCCTCGGAAAGCAATCAATTGATTCGCGCCAAAAAGTCGACGACGATGGCCTCGCGTGACGTGCAGACGGCCGTCCGCCTCGTCTTCCCGGCAGAGCTGGCGAAGCACGCCGTCAGCGAGGGCACCAAGGCCCTTTCCAAGTACACCGCTAGCACCCAGCAGCAATAAGCGAGTGAATGAATTGAAATAAACCCCCCAACCCAACGGCCCTCTTTAGGGCCACAAAATGACTTATAAAATGAGTTACCAGCCCGGACACATTCGAATTGTGTTTTTTTAAGGGTACTAACCCCAATGTGTGAATTTTCGTCGATAAATTGTTAATCGTTGATCCACGCAAATCCAACGATGAACGCCTAGCTCGGCTCCAATCTTTTACACCTGCGCTCGATGCCACGATTATTTCCGGGCAAAATGACTTTTACTCATGGCTATTAGTTCACGCTGTGGCTTAGTCTGAAGCTCCCAGGCAAAAATAGTTATAAAACCGTTTTTCTTGCTATTTTACAGTTTTAGAGGATGAAATAAGCAAAAATTCACCGAAACGTACGCTTCTTTCCGCCTGGGCTTGGAATAAAATCAACGGCAACACGAATGGCAGCCCAATGAAGAACAGCGAATCCTGATATCTTCTAGACCCGAACCTGAGCCTGATGTCCGGCTTCAAGCGCATTCCGTGCCACTTTCAAGCTCATCCTTGCCCAAAACTTTAAAGCCTTGCCTGACTTATAAACGCTGGTTTTCGATATCTCATGACATCTCTGAATTGAGTGTTTTATACAGGGAAAAATGGCAAATAGATTTGAGGCGTGCCCTTTTTGATTTCCTACTTCCACTTTCGAAATTTCGGTCAGCCTCCTTCTAAAAACAGACCTATGCTCAGATGCTCGTCAATTTACTAAAACTCTGGATGCAGAAACGGAAGATGATGTGGGCAGCCAAAGAATTCCGCAACTATGGGCGCCCGAAGAAACGAGGTGAAGGCTTTGGAAGGGCTCTAACCCTTTTTTCAGATAAGTTCCGCAAGAAGTTCTCTTGGTTGTATCCGCCATGGCGCGAAGAGTTTACGCCGAAGAACAACTACGATCTGGTCTTCGTGCCTGGCAGCAAGTATGATGTTTACTATAATGTACCTTATCACATTTTAGACAGCGTATAACCGCGATGGCCATACTTGATCTTATTCTTCTACAAGCATTCGCACTACTCGTCTTTTTCACCTATGGATTCAAATATGCGCAGCGCCCCGATCAGTGGGTTTTAAGAGTTTTTTGGCTAGGTTTTGATCAAAATGTAGTTTTGCGCGTGAACAATCTTTTATTTAGAGTCGGTATCTGGACGGCCGTTTTCTTCTGTATGATATCATCCTTTGCCTTCTACTTCAAAGGCTTGATGAAGGTAGTATTTCTCAATCTTTCATTTTTATGCTTCCAGTGGGTCGTGATCATCGCCTGGCGACTTTTCGCCGGCAATATGCGTTCTTTGTTGCTGCTAATTCTGCTGGCCGTTGCGATCGAGGTGTTTTTTGGCTTGTATTTCCGAAGTTTTATACTTTCAGCGCAATCTCGGCAACGCGATCGAAAATGTGCAAAGTCTATCGGAGGGCGCGGTGTGCGTTCAGGGCAAATTTGCTGATACCCGGCAAAAGATGGTTCAGAAGATGCAGGGGGCGATGAATATGGTATGGAACTAATTAAATAAATACTAAAAAAAACAGCTCTTTTTGTTTAGCTTGAAACACCCGAACTGCAGGAAAAGTGGCAAAACTTTATGCGCACCTACAAGAATATGGGCAAGAAGATACGTGACCAATATCGATCTCTACAAAGGTTCATTTCTTTGTTCTCTGTAAAGAACTTTTGTTTTAGCTTTGCCAACTCGATCAACCGCATGTTTGCTTCGTTGAGCGCCGTGACTGAGAAATGCAACGGTCTTTTCGAAGGCCCATCGAGAAAGGTAGAAAGTCTTTGTTTTTGGAAGGTTTACCATTTTTAGTGCTATGAAGTGATGCATGATCTACATACGAGCTGTCATTCTTGGGATCCATTCGGCACTGGCGTCTGCGGCGGCATTGTACACCTTAATAAGGCAATGTTGCATTTATTTCAAAGAGCTTTGCCTTTTTAGCTCTGCGACTTCGGCTCTTTCATCGGTGACAGCTTTTGCAGGTTTCCCGAATCAGCTAAAAGTGCGTGTTTCCTAATTTCAAATTCTTTTATTTCTTGTAGCATGGATCATCGATAATGCTTTGGGAGCGGTGATGGAAACTGCAAAGAACGGCATCCAAAAGTTGGCCGAGAGCCCTGCATATCACTGGACCCTTTACGTTCGTCGATTTTGATCGGTAATTATTTATTATTTCAGGCTGTAGACAGCTTGACGGGCATCGGCACTATTGGTTTTGATGTGAAGCTTCAACGGCGAAACTACACACAGTTCAGAGCAGCCAAGTACGAGCGTTTTTTCCGTTTTGATCCCTTTTTACAGAAGTTTAATCGTCGGTAACATTGAGGCAGAACTGGGCGGCTATCTCAGTGGATTTGCGGTTGTTCAAAAGTAAGCGATTTTGTAGTTCCACGATCTTTTTTAGATTTCTAAATCAGGTGCTTGTCTGGACATTGGTGGTCTTCGTTGGTTTGGTACGTGCTATTCGAGAGTTTTCGACGATTTTTTTATAGTCAATCTACGCCATCACCATGTATAACACGCACAGTGCTGCCCACAATATCTATTTGACGAAGGCGGTAAGGCTGTCCTTATCAGCTACATTTATAGTTTAGTTTTACAAACTGGACCAAGCACGGATAATTGACGGCGAGGGAAGTATCTTCCCATTGATTGGCGAAGAAAAGGAAAAGGTTTAAGCTACTACTCGACCTCTATGCTGCTTCAGTACTACTCCATCTTTTCACTGAAAACCACGCTTCTCGAGGCGGCAAAACGACTGGCGCACGTCGTCATCACCATCGTCTACGGGCATTCGCATTACAAAGATTTTTTTATTGCTGTCCTAGCTTTCTGCCGCTGACATTCGTGCTGATCGACGTCTCAATCTACCAAATCTGCTTCGTCATTCATTGGACAATGCAAAACATGAAACTTCATGTTGCCGACCATTTTGAGCTAAAGGTAACACCAATTTCCCCTACGATGTCTTTTGCGCTTTCCAGGCAGTCACGCCAGACCAGGATGCCCCCTCTCGGTTTCCGGTTGATGCTCAAAATTTGACCGCCTCGCCGACTGCAGAGACTGAGATTCCGACCCCGACCGCTAATGTCACCACCAACTTCGACAGCAATATGAAAGTATTTATCGATGTGTTGATGGATATTTTCTCGCCAATGCAAGATGCTATATCGGGAAAGGATGCAGCGTAAGCTTTAGTTTTCTTGATCACTTTATCTAAATTTTATAGTTGGCGCGACTGTTTCCCTGCACCCACGGAGCCAAACTACGATCTCAACTGGGCGATGTTTCTCTTCTACCTTCTTGCTCTCGTGCTAGCTTTTTATCAGGTGTCTTTGATAAAACAATTTAGCTATTTTACAGTTCTGGCTGCAACGTCAGTGGATCAACTTTGCCGATCGGTTCTTTCCGCAACGTGTTCAGCCGCGAGCCCTATACCTCTACAATCAGATTCTGGAAGGGAGACGCGAGGCTCCGGCGTATGTGCGTCAAGGGCAAGTTGTAAGTTTTTAAGCGAATTGACTTGAAGTGATCCTTGTTTTTTTTCAGGACGCGTATGCCCAAGCACAACTTCAATCGAAAGATGCGATGGTGCGTAGAGGATTACACAATCAAGGCCGAACCGTCGGGCACTGTTTGAAATGCCTACGCCGTGAACTTCATCTTCGAGATCGGGCGTATGGTTATTTTTATGGTTTCAATCTATTTTTTTTCTAGAAACTGCCATATATGTGAGGGCTGCGGTACGGTGTATTGCGTCGAATGCTTTGTTTTTACAGTATGTTTGGGTCGGATTTCTGTCATTCATGTTTAGGCCAAATGTCTGCAATGCAAAGAACCAATGCATGAATACACGAAAGTCGACTTTCATCAAGTCATCCATTTCGAACGAGATCCCGACAATTTGGGCGAAAGTGACGAGGAGATTCCGGGTTTGAAATATCGTAAAGCTTGATTGGTTTTTTTAGGTATTCTGGTGTCTCCTAGTCGTACGAAAGACGAGAAACATTCTGATGCCGAATTGACGTCTGGCGAGAAATCATCGGATCAACCAGACGGTCAGGACAAGAAAAAGAAGGTGAATAATACTGGCGACCCTTTTATGATAAATTTGAGATTTTCAGGACTCTAACGCCAACGATCAGGCACCCAAGCCGGGAGGCAAAGCTGATCACAAAGGTATGTAATTGCTTTTCTACGATATTAATCAGATGCTTTAGATGGAAAAGCTGCCCGGAAGTCGTCCGAAGAGTCAACCGGCGGCCAGCCGAAAAAGAAGCAGCTGAAGAGGAAATGAGCGAGGTTACGTCTTCTTCATATGCCGTCTACGAGACGGGGTTCCACAAAAAACAATGTGTATTTAATGCAATTAATAAATTTTTTTTGGATTATAATGCTGTATGGTTTTGAATTAGTTCGACTTTTATGTATTCGTTTGATGGATGGACTATGAGTACGCGTATAGTGACGTATGCTCTAACTTTTTTATTCTCACAAAACACGGTTTCTGATGCATGACATGTAATACAGTGCGACAGTTAGTCAGGGTACTTTTGTTGAGGGTCGAGCGGTGACTTCAGCCCCAGTCCGTTTCCATTGATATGCATGGCGGCAATGCGGAAGGGCACCAATTAGAAAGCCACGGGCATGTGTCGGGGGCACGGAGTCGACCAGTAGTGCCACCTGAAATATGTGTTTTGGGCCAATCAAAGGCTCTCTGCTGGCTTGCCCCTTTCTCTAGCCACAACCCAAATCTTACCCTCTTCTCAAAATCTTCCATCAGTTCAGGATCGGCCAAAATCTTACGCACCTCACTGTACCTCGCGCCGAATGCGGCTGAAAGAAAATGATTGAAATTTGCTTTTTTATTGGATAATGGTTATTAAGTAGCTATCATTATTATTAAAATATATTACCCATCATCATATCCCGACATCCATCCCTCACCAACTCCACGACTGCCTCTTGCTCTTGCGGGCCCAGCGCTTTGAAGTACGAATCTACCTAGAGAAACTAAGTTACTTGATTTTGATTGTCTGACTAGGGCATGCTTGCAGATCTTTTAGGCGAATTCGGCATATACTTAGAACCCTACCTTCTCCAAGGTTTTCTCCTGTTCAAACTGCGACTCCATTTCGGACAATTCCAATCGTTGAGCATCAGTCATCCAGATACCGAACTTCTGCAGGGCCACCATGTGATCGTAGTTTTTCGCATCGTTGGTTCTAAAATGTTTAAATAAAAAGCTAAAGTAAATTAGTTTAGATTTGTTTTTATTAAAGAGTATTTGAGTTTGTATGGCGCTACGAGGCTGAAAAGTCCACCCCGAGGAGGCGCCGCCGCAGAAGATGAGCAGGAGGAAGAGCCACATCGTGGAGGGGGGTAGATTTTGAAGAATGATTTTGCTCGACCTTTGCCCCCGGAAACCAAATGTTTATTTCCAGAGTCAAATTTTGTAATTAGTAATGAGTGCGCTTGGTGTTTTTGTGTTTTTAACGTGTTTGACCACCGTGTCGAAATCCAATCTTTATCAAATGAGACCATAGTTTCCCATAGCGTTCAAGGTTAATTTTTGGGGCAATGAGTTGGGCTTTGCACTACATAGTATTCCTGATTACGGGCGTTTAGGCGTCGGCCTTCCACTGGAATGCCTTCTTGCAGTGGGGCTGGGCGGCCACGGCGAGGGTCTTGGCTTCAGAGTCGGCGGCGGCTTCGACCAGTTCGTTGACCTTAAAATATGGGCTTAGATAAGTTTTTTTAGAATCTAAAAATGTCGTTGAAAACTAAACAAAGTTTTAGATAATTTACCTTCTTCTCAATATCCTCAATCGATCCACCAGCCTCCTTGATCTTCTTGACCTCGCCGAGCTTGTCCTCTCCAACAGCGGCTAAAAATTGAATGTAATTGCATTTTTAAAGTACTTTTAAATTAATTTTTGAAGCAAATTAACAACTTTTTTTAAACCTTAAAAACTTACAAGAGAAGACGGCCTTGCAGGCTCCCTTGACCTTCTCGACGGCCTCCTTCTTCACGTCACCGGTGAGCGCCTTGAAGTACTCGCCGATCTAATACATTTCAATTATTTTAATTAAAATATTGTAGCGAATACCTTCTCAAGAACCTTCTGCTTGTCTCCCTCAAGTCCCTTCAACTCAGCCTTCTGCTCAGCGGACAACCAGGTGAGCACCTTATCGATGGCGAGGTCGAGGTTGTAGGCGGGGGCGTCGCGGCGCTTCCTTAATTTTGTTGTATTTCCTTTTTCCTACGGTAACCTAATATTTAGGCATTAATAAACATACCTGGAGGCAGCAGCAGTAGCCTTGTATTGGAAGACCTTCTTGCACGAGTCCTTGATGTGCTTGGCAACGGTCTTGGCTTCCGAATCGGCGGCTTCATCCAGGAAAGTGGTAACCTTAAAAAATATTGATATTTGCTTAATTTTACACCTTAATTATTTAATTTTCTACCTAGATAATAAGATTTCAAGCCTTACCTTAGCCTCCATCTGGTCAACGGCGGCTCCGGACTCCTTGAGCTTCTTCAGCTCGGAGGCCTTCTCGTCTCCGATGGCGTCTGTAGATAATAGTCTTGTGGAGAAGGGTTGAACATACCGGTGATGACGTGCTTGCAGGCGTGGATGATCTTGTCGGCGGCCTCGTCTTTCTTGTCGTGTCCCTTGAAGTATTCCTCGACCTGGAATTAGCGCATTACCACAAAATATCGACAAAACCGGGAAAAAATCATCGTTAACTTTTCTAGCCAGATTTAACTATATTTTCAGTAGCAGAACAATTTAGAAATTTATACGAAATTTTTAGCTGAAAAATCTATATTTTTTCTGTATTTTTAATCAAACTTTGTAAACTTTTTAAGTTTAGGCCAAGCAAAAAGCCTTCCTATACTTGTATTAGCTTAAAGAATCGAACCGACCTTGGCAAGAAGGGCATCCTTGTCATTTTCGAGGGCCTTGAGGGCGGCCTTTTGGTCATCGGTCAGCCAGGTGAGCACCTTGGTGGTGAGGGTGTCCACGCTGTAGTCGTGGGGCTCGTGGTGGTCACGGCGGACCCTAGAAAAACATTGATTTGTATTAAATATATAAAATTAATTAATGTATTGAATAAATCATAAAATAGTGTATATTTTAACGTTCTTACCTGAATGAAGCTGCCGAGGCAACGGCCAGAAGGGCGGCGACGACCAGCAATTTCATTGTGCTGGAAAATGAGGAATAATTTTTGAATGAAACCGGAATGATTTGAATTGAGAAACTTGTTAAATAAAAAGAAAATAAAAGAAATTTACTAGCCAAAAGCTACGCTACAGTGCACCCAACATTTTAGAATACTGTGGGACACTGCTACTCCTCCAACCCCGCAACCCCAATTTATACCATTTGGAGGGGGGAGGAGCTTGTGCTTTGTGTCCATCTACGAGCCACACCAAGTTTACAGCTCGAAAGAGACGGTGAGAAAGAGCATGAGATAAACTACCGTCCCGGACAGCCAGGGGACGGGGCCCAGGCTCCTCGTTTTCCTCATTTCGAGCAACAGATTGATGGGTCCAAGGGTTGAGGGGAGGGGGGATGGGCCACAAGGACAACAACCTCCCTGGGGAACCGCGATTTAGCACTTTGGAACCGTTGAAGCTCGGGGCGTGTTCCCAGGGGAATTTGAACTCTTCGTTGGAGATCACCAGATTTCGCGTTTTTTTGCAGGGACTTGTGAGAAGGAATTTTGCAGGGGTCTTGGGGTGTATGGTAGTTATGGATAGCAAAAAAAACAGAAACTTTACGTTTAAGGTATTTTATAACGTTAATATAGCACGTTTAAATTATCTAAATTTAATTTTTATGATTGTAGGGATGGATTTAATACAATTTAGCCCGATTTTCGAGTCATTCCAGCTTTTCACTCACTGAAATGTCTCATTTTATCAACATTTTACTACACTTTTGGAAAAATGCGGAACAAATTTCCAGTTTATATAAGACATTACTTAAATTTCAGTTTATAAAAAAGAGCATAGCTAGAGGGATAGAGAAAGAGAGAGAGAACGAGAGATAGAGAAAGAGGAGATAGATAAATTGCAACTTTCCCTGTTTTCTGAACTTTTAGGACTTTCAAAAAAATTACTAATTTTATTAAACTAACGTAGATTTCAGTTTATGATGAAAGTCAGGGCGAGAGAAACAGAAAGACTGAGGGAGAGAGACAGACAGATCCAAAGAGCCCATCCCTTTAAATTTACCCCAATCAGCATTTCCATCCAAATCCTTTGTGTACACCTTGTATACCCCATCCCTTGCTCACTGGCCCTCTCGTGCTCCCCGCGAAATTTAGGGCCCAGGTAGTAAATCGTCGCGTAACGGACCAGGCGGGGACCCCCGTCCCAATGCCGGAAGACTAGAGTGCATGGTGTGAATGGATTAATGGGTCATTCTCTTACACATCTCCACACACATCCCAAACATTCAGGGACCCACCAATGTGGCCGATGGACACGCAAAGCTTTTTGTGTTGTTTTTAGCATTTTGTGACTGGGGGCAGGGCCACAAAGCACGCTTTCTCCGGGTGACACTGAGATGGATGGGAGGGCCAAGCATATGGCCGGCTGCACGGAGGACAAAGGGTCATGTTGGTCAGGAAAGGGGTGTAAATAGGAAAATTTGGAATTTAGCGGGTTTTTTAAAAGTACCTGCTGGAATAACGACAAATTACTATCTACTGTATATATACTATATTATTTTTGAAAAGGAGAGAGGGAGAGAGAGTGATAGTGAGAGTGATAGAGAGCTAGAGAGAGAGGGAGAGAGTGATAGAGAGCGAGAGAGAGAGGGGGGAGAGAGTGATAGAGAGGGAGAGAGAGAGAGAGAGAGGAGAGAGAGTTAGAGAGTGAGAGAGCGAGAGAGCGAGAGAGCGAGAGAGAGTGATAAAGCGAGAGGGTTAGAGAGCGAGAGAGTGTGAGAGAGAGTTAGAGAGGGAGAGCGAGCGAGAGAGAGAGAGAAAGAGAGAGTGTAGATCAGAATTGCTAAACCTTGTTTCAAAACACTTTTAGGCTTCCATTAATCAAAATCCCGCTCTTTCACTATTGACTCTGCCCCGTGGTGCCCCCAACTCCACAATATTTCATTTCTTTAGGGTTTCTACCTATCGATTCCTTCTTACAAAAGTGTCACTTTATAAATTATCTTTTGTACATCACTCCATCACCCCTGGCCAGTTTAAATTTGTTTTTTTAGTACACGTGCATGTCGAAAAGTTTATGCCTCCGACCCTGTTTGTTTATCGGCGCGCGAAAATCAGCTTTTGTATACAATCGGCCGCCTGAAAAATGAACTATGCCCATAAAAAACCGGCCGCCGTTTATTTCGGGCAGACCGACTGTTTTGTGATTTTTGAGATCGAAAAATGGATACCTATCCTGCAAAAGGTCGACAAAATGGTTTTTGTAAAATGCCGAAAATACCGATAAACATAAAGAACCATTTATCGAAAAAATGAGGAAATAAATACACAAAAAAGGTGGTCTCTTGGAATTCTACAATAGTTTATATAGCTTAATCGAAAGATATGTACAAAAAATGTTTGAACTAATCTTGGGTCCAATGGTGCTCGCTCTACAACCGAATCGCTCCCGTTTTTCGAATGCGGAATATCAAAAAATTGTGGGGTTTCCGAAGACTCCAAAGTAGAAAATGGCACACGTAGGGGGGGGGAGACATTAAACTGGGTTAAATTTTAAAAGGTTTACAAAGTTTGTATTTTAAAAAAATTTGTGAGGCTGTCATAGTTCTTGGAGATCCAGGCGACCCGTTGTCGACCCAGGGCGATCGCTTCTTCAAAAGCGTGCTTGGCAAGCTCGGTTGGTTGTGTTTTTTGGAAGTTTTCGAGCTGAAAATCGGATATAATCTTGTCGGTATTCCTCAAAAGTCACTGCTAGCTTGCTTTTAATTTATATTAACCTATAATCCCGATAAAAATAATTTGCTTTTAAACTACCAACCTCGTCCACCTCCCACTTTGTGCGAATCGGATTTGTACAATACTTTACGGTATGCCGCAGGCTGCCCTGGTCCGATTTTAGGCTGTAAATTTGCTATTAATTAAATATTTTTGATTTTGTAGCTTGGATTTTTCTGATTTAAGGCTATTATTATTTTATTAACTATGCTATTTTTAGAATCACTATTTCTGACCTCGCATAAATTGTCGACCATTTGTCGAGCAGATAACCGAACAAAAATGCCCTGCCAGTCGGGTTCACCGAAACGAAGCTGAACACCGAGTCGACGTCTTGGAGCCGTACCACACCGGCCGGCCAATTTAGCGCGTGGGCGAGCAGTCTTAGTTGCATTTTTCCACTTAAAAATCCGAAACTCACTCCTTCAAGACGTCCACTTCACGGCTGCAGGACAGGGCGTACAGCAAGGAGCTCTTTTCGACCTAAATTACGAAAAAAAATAGAAATTTTAATTAACTTTAGATAATAACCAGCGCTGACCCCCCCCGCTGCGCGGGGGTTCAGCGCTGGCCCTCCTCCCCCACAATTTGGATTTTTAGGTTGAATGCAGAATTTGGCTGAATTCCCGGTCGCACGGACGGAAAGGACATTAGAAATTTATATATAGTAGATTAGTTTATTTAAGTATCGAGAAATTTGAATTTTTGCGTACCTGATTGCTCTCCATCTGATAAGCCTCAAAAACGCGTGCCCAAACTCCACGATCACCGGCCGCAACCCCTTCACAATAAATTCCCGCACGCAGCGGAACCGAGGCTCTAAAAGCTTACAGTTCAAAGCCATAAAAAACCTATAAAAAGGATAATGTTAAAATGCCCACTTGCTGCACTTGCTCGACATCTGCGTTCCATCACAATTGTCCAGGAATTGAGTCTTAAAGTGGTCAACATATGTTGATAGACAGCTGGCATCTCGTGCAGAGCACATAAACGCGATCGAGCGCGACTCGAGCAGGCTGTAAAGAATTTAAAAAATTAAAACATAAGGAGCTAAAGCCCACTTTTCAAAATACGTATCATCATTCAGGTACGTATCCGTGACATGGTCCACCGAAGCGTTGTGGTAAAGCGGAAGTCCGATTTTCTTGATATAAGCCTAAAAAATGTAGCAGCATGATTTTGCAAGGAATATTTAATACCCTAAGATGCTTTATCTCGGGTTCAGACCCGAAATAGTTTCCAATTTTGCGGATGGAGTCGATGGCCGATTGCCAGGGTAGGTATTCGGTCTCTTTTGCCAAGTAGCCCATCAGTGTGAAAGGAATCTGGAAGTTTATCGTGAAAAAGAACTTTGAAAATCTGCAGATTTTGCCTGTAAATGCTTTTAAAAGTTATTTTCTGTTTTAAGACGCACCTTATACTCCAAAATTCCTGCTTCAGCCATGGCAAAGGCATCGGAAAGAAGGCGGGTTCGGGTTTTGGTGGAGAAGACCTGAATTTTAGATAATTTTTAAGATTCTAAATCGTATCTATGCTTTTGTTTTGTCTTTTTATTGATCTCGTACTTCCCCAATTTGAAAAAGCCAATAGTATCTGCAACCTTAGACCCGCCTCGGCTTTCAGTCTAATTCCTTAGCTTCTTTATACTTATTTTTATAGTTTTTCTATCACTGAAACTTTCTTTCTCACTATAAAAACTCATTAGTGTTTCCTAATCCCAGAACTCTTGATTTTTGCCTTTCGTTCTTTGCTCCCTATACAATTTCAAAAATTAATCAAATATTCTAGCATTATTGAATCCTTTTCAACTTCTCCGCAATTTCTCTAACCCATCTCAGTTCCTCCAATCTCTATTCCAAATCCAAAATTTGAAACGGGCCCCGAATTGGAGCCTTTAGTGCGCGCATGGGCTTCCCCCCTATAGGGCATCACTATCACCGGGGCACCGTAGCCCCAGGGAATCTGGGGAGGCGCTTCCACATCTGGATGATAAAGTCGAAAGTTCAACCCCATAATTCATTCATTTCATTCTACTAACTTCTCCAAATCAACTGCCCACCACCTACAAACAAAATGCCGAAACGCCGTGCCGCTGATGAGATCCCTGCCAAGCAGTTCAAGCGCAATGCCCGGGAACGCGAGCGTGTCGATCGGGTATTGCTTTTTTCTTCTTTACTTTTGTCGGTAACTTGTATAGTTCGGTGCCCGAGCGGATTTGTAAAGTTCGAGCCATCTTTTAAAGTGTTTACGCGTGTGTATTAGTTATACTTTTACCTATTCGAACATTTCAGGATCAAAAATAGCCACGATTGTGCAGCTTATTATCATTCTTTATGCTTGACTTACTAACTTTAGCGATGTAATAGCCTATTGACGAGGAATCAGCAAAGTATTTTGAATTTTTGTACTTTCTATTTCGAAAATATACTGCACTAACTGCTAAAAGCGCTATAAAAGTAGTATAAAGTATAAAGTAGTTTACCAGGCTTTTTATAGTTGCTCGAACGCTACAAATCTGCTCTGTGCGCGAAATTTACAAAATTCACTTTTGTTTCAATCTAATCTCTTTTGTTTCTAGATGAACGAAATGTACGAAGTACTCCAACGCGCCATCGTCGCCGAGCCGGGCGTCAAATTGTCAAAGGTGTTTCAATTGACCTTTTGCTTTCAAATATTCTTTTTAGCTAGAGACGCTTGACCACGCGATCCGCAAGATTCACATGCTGCAGGCCCTGCTCGCTGAGGCTGACCAGGCGGACTCGAAGGCGAATGTGGCTCAACAAATGTGAGTTTCTTAGTATCGTTTCTTTATTGGAATTTTTTAGGACCGGCTACCGCTACTACCAACCGCCCACAAGCCATCACGTTTCGCCAACCTACTCATCAACTTCATCGGAGGGATACGGTTGGTTTTTTAAATTTCGGGATTAGGTTACTAGGAAGGAGACGTTTTTTGGCGTGCACAAATTTTCGAAGCGGGGCCAAGCCTGGCTTGCGCAGATTTTTTTCTGATTTTCAGAATCCACGAAACGACCAGATTTGAAAAGTTACGGACATCTAAAGTGTAAAAAATGCCTGGAACGGTCACTTTGGTTGTTTTTCGGCTGGTAAAACGTTTTTAACTTTTGCATGGTGACCGTTTCGCAGATTCTGAAACTAAAATTTAATCGGCAAAAAATTCTGCACAACTCGGCTTAGTCACATTTCGAAACTCCTTAGACGTTAAAACATCTCCTTGTAAATTAAGTGAATAGAAGAGTAAAAGAAAGTAGTAAAAGTTTGTAATCTTGGCTTAATCCTTCCCAGTTCCGTTGACGCTAGTTATTTATATAATTTTAGAGCCATCGTATACGCCGAATTCGGAGCAGTCGTCGTCCCCGGGGCCCCAATACTACCACCAAGAAATGCCGAGCGGTGAAAATCGCATTTATCTACTGCCCGCAAAAGGTTAGCTTTTTCTAGACACCCGGCTTTTATCATTTTTTACTTTCCCTTTTCTAACTTTCGGGTTTTTAGGCGATTACTCTATGAAGCAGGACTACTACGACGACATCTTCCAGAAGTCGTGAGCAGTGAGCAATCGTCAGCAGCAAGCCGGTCCGGCCAACAAGTCTCAACCAAAGTACCTTTCAAACATTTTTGTGCCTACGACTAGAACGCGCCTAGAACTTTTTTGCTATTAGATCTAACGTATAGACGTTGCTGAATTTGCTACCACTGAATTGTATCCCCTGTGTTATTATCACGTTGCTTTGTGTCCTATCCATGCACTTATAGCCATCGCTAGTTGTCATTTTCAAATTGTCAGCCCAAACTGTGTTTTTCATATTCTTCCTAATCTAATCGCTACTAATCACCTCCCTAGCTGTTTTCGTTATACGATCTCAACTTCCCGTTATTTCCCCCGAGTCTTGTACCCCACTCTGTATCTATTCCCGGTCACCCTGTTCAATAAACCGTTGTGAAACTACCATGACTTACAGTATGATCTTCCTGCAACTTCTTGGCAATCAACATCCACAGTTCAGCATCGTAGTTGACGCGGTAGAAGCCTCGTGAATCGTAGTTGAAAATCGGCACCGCATCTCCACGAGCTCCGACAATTAGGTCGGCGTCTAAATTTTTTTTAGGGTCAGTGAAGAAAAGTGTTCAACCTCTTGGCAGCCACGCAAAATGTGTGGTATCATCTCCGCCCTTGCTATACCAAACCGGGACGTCCCATTTAAATCTAATAAAAGTTGTTTTAGGTAGCGTAGGCAGTACTAACCCATAGTCGGGCTTGCTGTATTTTTCTTGATCGGGCGTATCATTGGCGAGTTTGAAGCGATTCTGGACGACGCGAACCATGTGGTCATTCATGCGGGATACGGTTAGAACTGGGTAACCCATCTAGAAATAGATAAATTAACGTCAGATTGTGTATTTTTTTACTTGCTGGGTCCATTGTTGGGCGTATTCGAGTACGTCAAGTTTTTTGCCGTCGGCTCCTTTAAGTTGAGATAGAAGTTGGATTTGAAAGAGCGAGAGAACAATCTAAAAACTAACCCAAAACACTTCCGGGAACAAATTCTCCCAACGCTGTCATCAAATCCGTTGCATCAGCATTATTATACGAAAATCGCTTGAGGTATAACTAAATTAAACTATATTACTCGCGCTAGAAAGTCTCACGTTAATAGCCTTGTCGAAAATTTCTTCTCCCATCGTATACCTAATCATTCGAATGACGGCGGATCCCTTAAAGTATTTTTTTTTTGTTTTTGTAGATAGGCATCAAAAAGCATAAGAGGTATTTTGATACCTTATCATAAGTAATTCCATCAAACGCCTCTTCCACTTCCGAGGCGCGATCGATTTTGAAGGATAATGGATGGGATGTAGGGATCGCATCTTCTTTGAATCCAGTTTCTTGCGCGTCAATTACGAAGGTTTCGTCCTAAATTAATGAAATTAAGTTTTAGCATTTGCCCACCATCCTGAATTTGCGGTTGCTGATGAAGTCGGTGCCCAAATATTCGACAAAGGCCGCGAAGCCTTCATTCAACCACAGTTCGGACCACCACTTCATGGTTACGAGGTTGCCGAACCACTTCAAGGATACAATATTTTACTATTGAGCTACGTTTTATTTTACTTGATGAGCCAATTCGTGGGCGACGACGACAGCTACACGCTGTTTTTGCTCGGGTTTATAGAGAGTAGCGTCGTAAAGAAGAGAATTTTCCCTGGAAATACAATGTAAATTTCGTATCTAAATCCAACTAAAGCTAATTTAAAGTTATTTTACTAAGTTGATTGAAGTTCTTTAGCCCCAGGTGTTTTTAATTTTCCTTTCAACACCTCTTTACACCAACCTGTATGTAATCAATCCCCAGTTCTCCATAGCCCCGGCCGCGAAATCCGGCAGGGCAACCATGTCTGAAAATTATATCTTAGGGTTTTTAGCGCTAGTTCAACTTTATAGTTTCATATATTAATGCTTACCCTGTTTTTCAAGCGGGAATGGGATGCCATAGAACTGTTCGTAGTGCTCGATGCATTTGATCCCCGCCTCAAGGGCGTATTTGGTTTGATCCTTTGCTTCCGGACGGCCCCAGACTCGGAACTAAAAATCATTTTTTAGTTATTAGTGGTTATTTAGTAATTTATAGCTGCTATGACATTGATTCATTTTAAAAATGAGCTTCCTGAAGTTTTTAGAAGGGCTGATGGAAACCATATAGCTTTTAGAAATTGCTATAGATTTGCCTGTTAAGTTACTTTAAAGTATCAGCAATCTTAATAAATTATAAATCCAACATACCCTGATCCCGGATTTCGTTTGCCCCTCATTATATTCAAATTCGGACACTAGAACGGCCAGCAAATAGGACGACATCTTGGGCGTGGCCTTGAATTTTGATTCCAGCCATTCAGCATCTATTCTGAAGCAACACATTTATTAATTTTAACCAGGTTTTTATTTAAATACAAATTAAAACGTGTTTTTTAACTCACGGTGTTACGCTGTCTTCAATACTGTTCGAGAGAGCGCTCGTTCCTTTCGGATGCGTAACGGTGACCGTCCAATTGGCCTTTAATTTTAATTTGTTTTTACATTTGGATGGTTTAATAGATTTTATACCTTAAACGCTGGCTCATCAAAACAGGGAACCATCCTCCGCGCATCAGTCGGCTCCATTTGAGAAGTTGCAATAATTCTGAAACCACAAAATCCAAAAGCCCCGAAAAACCAACTTTTCAGTCCCGTCAGTATGTTTGTATTTGCTCTGATACAGCCCTCCAAGCGAATTATCGATCGGCCCAACATAAACGAGCTAGAAAACTGTTGTTGTTCGTAGTTAAAGATTACCGTAAGCACGACACGGCTGCCGATTTCCAGATTCTTGGCCAATTGGATCGTGACCAGCTCAAGCTTTTCCTCTACCGTCTTGGAGAGTACGGTCACTGGTTGGTCATTCTAGTTTGATTTTTTAGAAGTTTACAGCGATAAATACCATGGTTACGTAGACATCAGAAATATTCAGCTTCTTCAGGTTTAACACGATTTTGTTTGTTGTTGAGATGACGGAGATCCTGGTGACAAGGGTGGCGTCGAAAGTCAGGTTCTTTGGGCCTTCGATTTCTGCACCGTATCCCGGGAGGTGGACCTGAATGTAAGAGATTACTACAGGGTGGGCCAAGCAAAAAGTACAGAGTTTGGGTCAAAATAACTCGCGAACGGTAGAGAATCGAAGGTACGTTACCATGCCAGAATGCTTAAATATGCTGGGTATGAAGATTTAACACAACTTGATTTTTTCGATTTTTGAGTACGAAACTGTACTATTGACGCTGGTTACGACCGAAAATTGTGCGTTCTTGAACGGGAGGTGGGAAAATTCTGATTTTTGGGCTAAAAATAGTATAAATTTGTAAAAATGTAATGGCAAAATCTTAGAATTTATCGAGGTCAATTTCATTTTTTAAAAGCAAAACAATTTTCGCGATTTTGCGTTATTTTTGGTACACAATCTATGGTATTTTTGTATTGCTTGCTAAAACGTGCCCCAGCGGGGTACTGTAGGTTTCGTTTTTCCCGCTTTTCTCGGGACCCCCTAGCTTCGATTCAGCTAAAATTTTCTGGGTTGTTAGGCAATAAGTAGGGGCACCTTACTGCCAAATCCGAGAGCGTACTATCCACAAACTTTGACGAAAAAGACTAAAAACAGATTTTTTGATTCTGCGGCAGAATTTTGTAAATTTTTTGGTCAATTGGTCCAAAAACTGCTACTATTGGTTTTCCGAAAAGATCGAAGCAATTCCATGGCAAACACACCACGAAAATCGCAAATTTCGGTTTTCTACAGTAACCCACGTGGAGCGCGTTTCAGCATGCCATCACAAAATTCCATAAAGTGACGATTTTTCTATTCGAGGGCCTACTAGAGTTGATTGTAAGATAACCTGTTAAAAATTACTGATTTTGGGTGGTAAATAACAAAGTTACGAGGCCCAGTGCAAAACAAGGCCAGAAGGCCGATTTTTGGTCCGAGTAGCCGGGGTCATTTTTCGAATTTTTAAAAATTATAAAGTGAGCTGGGTCTTATGGATACGATTATAGCTTTGATGTTATTATCTACGCCCGTAAAATTTGGGGGCAATCTGATTCAAAATTATGGTGACTTTCAGCTCAAAATCGAAGATCACCCTATTCCAAAATCGAAGTTTAGAAATCTTCTTGAAATGTTTGCGACGTGAAATTGCTATAATCTTTGCATAGTTTTATTCAACTGATGGCACTGACTTATGGCTCAAAATATCCCTATGAAATCTCTTCCAAAATTTTTTTACGCAACCTCGAATTCGGTTTATTTCGGGTTTTGATAAATTTTCTTGGCGCCAACGGCTGGTTAAAAAAAATTCATGAATAAGGCTGTAGGATGCGCTATTCAAATTATATCAGATAAAAATAAAACGATAATTTTCACAGCGCGACTAAATTTTTTAAAATGGCGACAAGGTTTGGAAAAAAGCACGAACGAACCGTTTTGGAAGCCCTAAAAGACGCCCTTCCAAAGAGGTACGGTAGATCGAAATTTTGTAAGTGATAGATAAACCCCAGTTCTACATAGCTAAGCAAAGAAAACAGCTGAGTCCCCTTTGGCAATCTAGAAATATTTTTCCAAAGTTAGGTTTCGAGACCTCGAAAAATCGATGACCAGGGGGTCGTTGAAAAACTCGAAAATTCGTCGATCTCAAAAAATTCTTTAATATATTTATGCGATTGTGTCAAGCCCGTAGGTATTCCACAATAACTGATTTTGAGGTTTTCGCCATAGGTTTTTTCAATATTAAAAATTTACGAAATTTCTCCATACAAAATTTCTTTCCTCTCTAACTTTTCAACCGGACCCTCAAAAATTCTTAAATTTTGTAGGTACATATCTGCTGCTTATATTAACTTACTTAATAAAAATTAGATGCCAACCACCACAGGAAACTGAGAAAAATACAAATGAAGTTTCCCCGAACGCACAGTTTTTGGGTGTCATTTGTATTGATACGTCGCCGAAAATCGAAAAAATCAAGTTGTGTTAAATCTTCATACCCAGCATATTTAAGCATTCTGGCATGGTAACGTACCTTCAATTCTCTACCATTCGCGAGTTATTTTGACCCAAACTCTGTACTTTTTGCTTGGCCCACCCTGTAGGCTTAACATATCTCATTCTCTCTCGCTTTCTCTCTCACTCTCTTTCTCTCTCTCTCACCTTCTCTCTCACTCTCTCTCTCTCTCTCTCCCTCACTCTCTCTGACCTCACCTTCTCTCTCGCTCTCCCACTCTCACTGCCTCTCTCTCTCCATCACTCTCTCTCCCCTCACCTTGCCTATCGCATGCCTCTCTCTCAGTCTCTCTCTCTCTCTCTCTCTCTCTCTCTCTCTCTCTCTCCCTCTCCCTCTCTCTCTCTCTCTCTCTCTCTCTCTCTCTCTCTCTCTCTCTCTCCTTATCTCCAAATTTACCTTCATATTTAAATCGTAACTCTGCGGCCGTAAATCCTGGGGTAACCGCAGTTTTTCCGCGGGTGGCGGTGGTTCTTCAATTTCACCGGCTTCATCGTCAAGTCTATTTCTAAACAGCAATCCCTCTAGAGTTGTTAAGCTTTTAAATCCATCACCAATATTCCCCCACCACCACCAGAAAATACAAAACTTGCTCTACAATTTGTCCAAACCCAAAAAATAATCAAAAATTTTAAGCAAGTTTTGCAAAAAAACCTGATGTACCCACGTGGCTCCGTTATCTCGTTTGACCCTTAAACTTCTGAAAAGGGGTGGATTTAAGTTATACGGTTATACTAATATTTTAAGAAAGCAATCGTACCTTGGCTCGAAGGAGTTTTTCGTGAAGAAATATGTGAGGAGAATGGCGCAGAGGAGGGCCGCGGAAACGGCGGCCACCACCAAAAAAAGAGAGCGGAGGCTCAGGTCAAATTCGCCGTCTTTCCGTTTTCGTTCACTTTTCATTTTTGGGTTACCTGGAGGAGAATTTAGATTTAAGTGGAAGCGTAGTTAGATGGAAGACGGAAGTTGGGAATCGAAAAAGTTCCAGGGTAAAAAGCTGCAGCTTTTTGGGGGATGGGGGTCAATAATTTTCTCGTTATGAATTCGAGCTTTTTGGAAACGGGTGCAATATTGGAAGTGAGAGAGAGAGAGAGAGAGATAGAGAGAAAGAGAGAGCGATTGAGAGTGCGAGAGCGGGAGAGCGAGAGAGAAGAGAGAGAGAGCAGGGAGCGAGATAGAGAGAGAGAGACAGATACATCGATTTTAAAGGAACACGCAAGTCGAAATCCCTTAAAAATAGACGAAAAATCCACAAACAATAACTATCAAGAAGAAAGAATCGCAAAGTTGACCAGACGGCTTACTTCCAGGTCAATAGTAAAAATATTTGGGGGCAGCCAGTTGCTCTGGAATCGGGCCAAAACAGAGCGTAGGAACGCTGAATGTTGATAATCACAGCAAACATGACCCTTTATCACAGCCGAAGGATGGAGAGAGAGAGAGAGAGAGAGAAAGAGAGAGATAGAGAAAGCAAGTGTGATAGAATGTGATAAAATATCTAGAATTGTCGTAATTGGCAAGCCCTACGACTTTTAAAGGCCTCAGCAAGTGAAAAAATAGTAGAAGTGAGAAAACGAGTTCCTTAAAGCATGCAGAAATTTAAATCCACAAAAACCGATTACGTGAAAATTTTAGCAGTTTAAAAATTTGAATAGGTGAATTTAAAAGTTAAATTAAATAGTAAATAGGTTAAATTAATTGATTCCGAGGCCATAACAACTCAAAAACTGGCTAAACTTTCGAGATATTAAGAATTATGCGTATAGAGTTTCGACATCTTGAAATCGGTGTAATAAGATTTCACATAGCGATTGTTAAGTAACAAAAATGTTATGTTTCCGGAGTGCTGAACCTCGAGAACCAAACGGGTTCGGAGAATTTTCGGATCCGTATAACGTTCGTTCTGTCGAAATGAAAATGTGATATATGTGTGTCTACCCAAGGCATGATCACACCGTTCATCGAGACCGATCACTCCGTTTGAGCACGGGGGGGGAGTGTCGATTCGGATGGAAACGTGCTCCAAGTGCACACTAAAAACGGGTTTCTGTGCGCCTCTTTGCACACTAAACCATGTCCTCCTCTTCCCCCTTCCCCAGCCATTGTTTGACAGTAGGTTGTCAGTTGATTGGGAGGAGTAAGTGGTAATGGTTGTCATGCGAGAGGATTGGCGTGGATTTTAAGGCGTTGTCGTCAGTGGCCTTTTATAGATCATGTGACGTGAACATGATGGATCAGAAAAGGGTAGACTAGCAGAAATCTTTAAGAGAATTCGGGAAATCTTAAACTTGATGGGTGGTTGTTGTAGTGTGTCTTCAATAGACCTTTAAAGGAATGAATGAAATTGAGAAATTGAAATTGATAAATTGACTGAGGCATACTAGCACACATTTTTAAAGATATTTAAAAGCCAGAAACTGAACCGATTCTGGCGCTGGATTTTTAGCGGGGGGGAGATTTTAGTAGGAAAAACAATTTTTTTTACATTAAGCCTGTACATACGGTCCTATAACAGATTAACGACTATTTTTTATAAGATTTTACATAGTTTTGAGATACAAAAGTTCACAAAAACTTAGAAAATCGAATTTCAACACCCTAGCAGAGATAGCAGAGATATCAAAAAAACTTAAAAGCAATTTTTATTATTTTTAAAGTTTGACTTTAACTCCTATTAGGCAAACTAGTAAGGATTCCAAGGGAAATCTTAGAACCTAAAAAACTCCAGAATTAGGCAAACTAGTAGTGATTATTCGGGGAAAAAAGAGGCCCCGCGTAGGAGCATGAAGCTCAACTAAAAAACCCCGCAAAACCAACCAACTTTTTCGCCGCAAATGGACAGACAACACCCCCCGAAAATGGGCTTGGGGCTTGCGCGTGTGCTAGGTGTGCCCGATAAGCCGATTCCCAGCCCCTTTAAACACCCACAAACAGTCCGTTGACTTTGTGAGAGGGGGTTGGTCTCTGTTTCTCCATAACACCCCTCCTCCCATCTCCTCTACCACCCAAAAATCGGCCAGGGGTCACGAGCGCGCTAGATTGTGCTGCGGATAAAGCCCGACGACTGATCTGACGCCGAAAAAATTATGAGGGTCGGTCCCGCCTTTAGCTTGCATTTAGGAGCTCTTTAGGGGGGGTGGAGAGCATGAGAAAATGGGGAGGGGAGGAGGAGCCCTAAGAACAAGAAAGGGTGGGCTTAAAATATGTATCTAGGCTTATCAAAACTTGTTTGATACACGTTGCGTCAAGAGGTGTCGTTCGGAGGGTAATCCTAGGAGCCCGGAAGTTTATCAGGCTGGATAATATGTTCTGTCACAATTTTTTGGAATCGCTTGTTAAAGCTGCAGACGTGCCCAAATTAATAATGTAAGATAGAGCTTCGAGAAGTTTTCCGCAAAAACGTACCAAACCGATTTTGCAAGCTATCTCTGCATAGAGCAATTTGCATGCGATACCTTTAACACCAATCGATAGATTTCGAGGAGTAGTTATCGATAGATGTTGAGATCATCAAAATCGGACATCGGATGGCCGAGATACGACCCCTTGAAATTTGGCCCATTTCTTAGAACTTTTCCCAAAATCCTATACATTTTGTCAAAATGCGCTCGGTTCTTTTGAAAATCGAGCGGTCAGTTTTGGCTGCGGGCTATCAAATGTATGGGGTTTCGAGAAAAGTTCTAAGAAATGGGCCAAATTTCAAGGGGTCGTATCTCAACCATCCGATGTCCGATTTTGATGATCTCAACATCTATCGATATCTACTCCTCGAAAGCTATCGCTTGGTGATAAAGGTATCGCATGCAAATGGCTCTATGCAGAGATAGCTCGCTAATACGCTTTTGCGTAATTTTGTGAAAACCTCCTCGGGCCTGTATCTCGACGTCCCTCAATTTTTGCGTCAACTGAGGGTCCTCCCAAAATAGAGTGTTGTGAGATCTATCATTCCATACCTCATACTCCAGAATTGGAAACATCTGCGATTTTAACGAGCGATTTCAAAAAATTGTGACAGAACATATTATCCAACCTGATAGTTTTCCGAGATTTATAGTTATAAAAATAGATTTGTCTAAAGTTGGAGCGATAGATAGATAGAGAGAGAGATAGCGAAAGAGAGAGCGAGCGATCGTGAGAGAAAAAGCAGGGAGCGAGAGAGCGAGAGAGAGTGAGACAGAGATAAAGTGAGTGAGCGTGAATGAGCGAGCGAGAGATAGTCAACAACCTCTAGAACCCTCGAAATGAGCAATTACAAAAGAAATTTTAGCTCGAGGTCCCCTTTCAAGATTCCGTGTAGATTTAACATTAGTTAAAGGTCATATTCTAATCTTATTGATGGGCACAACCTCGCAAATTTAACCAATTTCAAAAGTTTAACCAAAATAAAACCCAAAAACTCCATAGAACAACTTCCCCGTTCGCCCTCCTTTAAAAACCACTCATATAGCCATTTGTGTCTGCGTGTGCCCCCCCCAGGGCCCCCGAATTGAGTGCCAACTGCTTTTCCCCCGGACGCGATGAAGTAGTTGTGTATGATGGTGATGATGGGGAGGATGAGTGGGTGAGGAACGGAATGGAGGGGGACGTCGCTTGAATGTGAGGCTTCAATATGGAACAAGCCCGCCAAAATGCATTGTGCTGCTCATTATTTCGGCTCGCGTTTATCCATCCGCCCGCCCCTCCTCTTTTCTGAAAATTATTGCCAAACTCTCCAAAAAACGGGGGAGCGCCGGCCGACGGCCTCTAGACGTTGCCGGCCGGCAGTTTCCGATTTTCTGGAGGAAGGATTGGGGGCTTAGAGATTGGTGGGAGTATACATAAATCCCAAGGCTTTCCCCGTTAAGACATCCCGAAAAAACTCCATAAATTTTGGGGAATCGGATCTGTTGGAGCAGGGTTGCAGACGGGGACGGGATAAAGCAACCATTGGGCAGGAAATGAGAATTTGCAAAAGATGAATTTATCATATTTAGAGGTTCTTGAAATTGCGAGATTTACGAGAGAAAAACCCTGGAGTACCGAAATTCTCATAATGTAAAATGGTGTGTTAATGAAGAATTTGCAAGCAAAAATTTGAATCTGGATGTCATGGATTTCGGTATTTTGGGTTTCTAAGGTTTTTGGGAATTTGAGCATTTCGCTGTCGGCATCCTCGTTTTGGGTATTTTGAAATATGGAAATTCAAAAGATTTTACCTTCTGGTCATTTTTCATTCATTTTGACCAAAAAGTCAAACATTTTATCTGGAAACGGCGTTAAATGTTATAATAATCGTTTATATTTTATCATAAGTCTGTACTGGGAAAGCCCAGTTTTCCAGCCTTGTTAAAAATCTCCCCGCTAAAAGCACGAGTTCGCCGACATAAAAAAAATGTGCTATCGAACGTGCTTTCTAATAAAAACAATCGTATTCCTAGAAGGTTCTTGTCAAAGGAAGGCTGGACTCGTGTATTTTGTCGAAGCCAAAAAAACAAAGTTTTATTCGCCGGATAGGCACCGGGTGGGCGAGAGAGAGAGAGAGAGAGAGGGGGAGAGAGAGGGAGACGCATAAATGCAAAACAGATGGCCTTTGGCCGGGGGACAAAACGAAATGGTCCAAATTGGGGGGTGGAGTATGGCAATATGGGGGGTTGAAATCGGTCTTATATTCTTGAAAATATGCCAAATTGAAAGCAAGTGTGATATGTAAAATATGCGGTGGGTGGCATCGGCTTGTTCACAACCGGGGGCAAAAATAATGCAAGAAAAGGGGTAAATGTGGAATATTTTCATAAAGTAATAAATGTACATTGAATGGAGGGTACTGTAGATAGGGGCAATTTTCTACAAGTCGCGTCCTGTGCTTCCGGTGCCCTCGGTGACGTTTCGGGGTTGTTGGAGGAGTTCAACCCGACAGTCGGCCCATCCGACCCCAGCACCCGCACTGAAACATTATGCTCTAAACCTGTATTTAGCCAAATATTCAAAATTTAGTCAGTTGTAGGCCTCGAATTTTACAGACACTGCCCCTTTAAAACGTACCGACACTCCCGAATTCCAGAAACCCGTGTCCACTGGTCGAGCGCTGGATTATAAGCTTCCACCGAGTCGAGGTAGTTTTGCTAAAATTTGTATATTCACTGGTAAAATTTATGCTATAACAAATCCTATAACAAATCTAAACCATTTCTATGGCGTTTTACATTGTTTATACTTTTGAGTTTTGACTAAGTTTTGACTTTTTGATCAAAAATGCATTAAAAGTAGCTAAAGGTCAAAATTTTGGAATGTTCAAAATGTTAAAAAATGTGTTTTAAATAGCCATCAAAAACTTCAACAACCTTACAAAAATACACTACACAATTTAAATAGTATTAAAAAGCATTAATCCTCACCCCATCATGACCTCCAATAGCATAGACGAGCCCAGCCATCGCTGCCACTCCAACACCACCTGAAAAAGTTTAACTTTTCAAGATATCTTTTAAAAATAACTTTTTAGTTTAATTCCTGGTATGCAAATACACACTACAATCACCCAAACTTTATTTAATACCCCGCCCAAAAGCAAACGAACGCCACCCAATCGCCAGCCGATACATCAGCCCTGAATAGGTTATATCCAAAACCAAGCTGCGCAAATAATAAAGCAGATCCTAATCGACCTCCCCCTCCCCTACCCCGACAGTTTCATATTTCTGCCCGCTTTCCGACTAGTTGCTCCCTAAATTCCGCTTTTACAATGACCAGCACTCGTCTTTTAGTGAGTTTTCAGAAATTACGCCTTTAAAATTGTTTAAGCTCCTGATCCTCGTGCTCACTTTCAATGTGGCTTTTGCCTTGCATTGGGATGGGACCCACTGCGCTTCTGGACTTCCGGCTTTGGCCAGTAAGTTGGAAAAATTAGTTATAGGACTTTTCAGTTCTGAAGCAGCTTTTAAACAAATTAATTCAGAGTGTGATCGTGATCCGAGCTCGACCCTTGGCTGGACATGCAAAACTGAGCGTCAGCTACGGTAAGACATCAAATTATGGACTAATTGAAGCTAGAAATAATTTATGCAAACTCATAAAGCGATTTTTAGCTGCGAGCTCCTTGATGGAGAATACTGGTGCTGTCCGCCAAGGGGAGAGGAATTGTAGTTTGTAGTTTTTGATGTTTTGGATATTTTTAACGTAAATTCTGATTTTTTAAGGATTGAATAAAGTTTTTCGACTGGTTTTCGTAATCGTCCTATCAGATTTAAACTTGCAGACAAACAGCTGGAAAATAGAATTCAACGTACCTCTCGGGCAGCTCATCGGCGCCAATTGCTTCCAGCTTTTCGTTTCCGGCTCGTATCTTTCCACTGTATCGAGCGGAGCGTTGTCATCGAAGCCGCCGATTGCGTATAAATACCCGTTGAGGACACAGACACCGGCGCCGGCTCTGAAATAAGACTTTTGAAAGTTAAAGGTGTTAAGAAGCCAGAGAATCAACCCCTACCGACACCGAGGTCTCGACAGCTACGTCTTACATCGAAATACATTTGCTAGAGCTATTCGATTCTCGACATTAAAATGAAATTGTCAAGTGATTTTTAAAGGGTAATCGCGATGGATTTAAAGCAAAATCAACAGTGACCGCTGCCTTCACGATCCCTTCAAAACTACCAACCTCCTAAAAAGCATCGGCGCAACCATTTGCCATCGATCGACCAGCGGATTATATGCTTCACATGAATCTAGTGAAGCTGTGCCGTCATTCCCTCCGACAGCGTACAGGCATTTTCCTGAATTTTTAGAATAAACCAGGGTTGAAAAGCCGCTTCGCGACTTTTCAGCCCTGGCTTCTCTGCGGGGCCCTTTGATACACCGGGACTGCATATTATAATTTGCATTAATATTACGAATTACGTTAGGGAAAGGTACCACAGGAATTACTTGAGCAACCGACTCGGAACCTCGGAAAGCCCAGAATGAGCCGAATTAATAGCCGTATTCAAATTAGTCTATTTCCATATGTTTTTAAATCGCTGAAATAAGGTATAAAACGTCATTTTAGTAAAAATCTGATATGCGCGCAGTAATCTACGCCCTCGATTACCCCTCCCCACTTTATTTCTGAACCATAAAATCCTCTTCCCTTCGAGTTATGGCTGGAACCCGGGTTTTTATGCAAAGTGTCCACACACACACACAGAAACTATTTTTTTATATATAGTAGGATATAGTAGGATTTTTGAATCAGAAACCAACCTAGCGTCGCCACCGCAACCCCTCCCCTTCTGATGAACATCGGGCTCACCGTTGTCCACGCATTCGACTCGACGTCGTACCGCTCGACAACCTAGAGAATTCATGGATTTCGATTTTTAATACCGGTACTTACATTAAAACACGTACTATCGTCCAGCCCTCCAACAGCATAGATCACTCCGCTCATAGAGCCGACCGCAATACCGCGACGAGCCGTGCTCATTGGTGCCACCTGGAAAAATTCAGTTTTACAGGGACGTGAAACGCTAGATCGACCCTATTTTTCTAGATATAGACAACTGCCAGCAAAGATAACTGTCGATACCGAGCTTTTTAGCTTGACTGTCTCAGTCCCTTTAAAGAGATAGTGCCAGCTAGCAAGGCCGGAATAGAGGAGCAAAAAGGCAAAAGAATCACTCAAAATATTCAAAAGCCAAACCTTGGTCCACTGATTTGTGGCCGGGTCGAAGCATTCCGCCGTATTCAAATGGTCCTCCCCGTCATGCCCACCGATTGCATACCTCAAATTGAGATTTCGTTTAATTGCCTTGAATGTGTTGTAAATTATATTTTAACACATAAACAAATTCTCTGACAATTTTCCTTGCGCAGACACCACACCGACATGACGACGCTGTGATTTCATCTCGGGAACCTGAAATTAAGTTTTTCAAGGATAAATTGATATCTATTTGGTTTTTATAGTTTTTAAGAACATGTACAACCCTGTCTTACTCCCTTTAAACTAAAAACCTACCGCAAACCATCGGTCTCTACGCAAATCGTATGCTTCGACGGATTTGAAAGGATCCCCGGCGGTTCCTAGAATTAAATTAATTTGAAACCCGAACTTGAATTAGCCTACCTCTTCCCCCGACGCAGAAAATAACCCCTGCCAAATTCTTGCGAGGCCGACATCTAAAAATGGTACTTAAAAACTAATAAATTTTAGTGTTTACCTTTCCATCGGGTGCCTCACTTCTGGATAATATTCCCAGGCTTGGCAGCCTTCGACACCTAAATAATTTTATGTTGTTTTAATCAAATTTAGCGATTAAAAACAGAATAATTTTGAACTTTTAAATACCAACTTTTTGCTTCGGTCTCATTATTTACAAAACCACGCAAATGGTAGACGATAGCATCCGAGAGCAGTTCTTGGCAAACAGGGTTTTTCTAAATGATTTTTTATACTAGAAATTTTCTAATTTCATTTTTCAATTTTAATGACTAAATTACTTTTATCAACGGCTCTTCCTTGACAATATTTAGCAAATAGCCGCACGGCAACTCGGAAAGGGATACGGATTGCAGAAGCCTCGGCAAATCCTTGGCCCGCGCTTCCGGGTCCACTTTCACCCAATCGATCACGGTTTCGTAGACCTTAAAAAGATATAAAACAGGGAGTTTTTCACTACCTCTTCTTCACTATTTACCATTAAATCATCCCGTCGAATGATGGAATGTAATTGGCAAAATGTGGTGATTGTTTGGAATTCGGGAAGATGCCGGAGTTCCTGAAAAAAATTTTTCGGCTCTTTTTGGGATCCTTACCCGAAAATTCTCCGCAGCAAAATCATCTGTATTTGTGATTAATGTTCTGCAACTGAAGTGCTCGGCAAACTTTCTGAAATTAACTAATATTCAAATTTAAAGCAAGATCACCTCATCGTCAAACAATTCGAGGTGGTCAGGCATTTCGTCAAGAATTCTTGGCAAGCCGAGCACACCCGATCCAACTATAAAACTCAGATTTTATGGATTTTATAATTCTGATCTTACCTGGAGTACGGTAGCTGCAAAAAGGAGTTGTTGTACGTTTTCGCTGTTGATGCTGATTTCGGTGCTGTAGATGTAGTCGATAAGGAGTCTCATGGCTAGAGGGGTGACGTCCTGAAAAAAGATTTTACTAATTTGTATATATTTAAAAAGATGCGCTATAGTAAGTAAGACTTAAATAACATACGCTCATCATAACACGGCCCGTCTGGGCTTCCAAAGAATCGTAGGTGAACATTCCATGGAAATACGGACTTGCCGCTGCGAGAACAATACGATGGGCTTGGAGGACTGTTCCGTCAATCTAAAATATTAAAATGAAGAAAGAAAGAGAGAGAACGAGGCAGAGAGAGAGAGAGAGAGAGAGAGAGAGGGAGAGAGATAGAGAGAAAGAGAGAGAGAGGGAGAGAGAGATAGAGATAGAGAGAGGGAAAGAGAGCGATAGAGATAGAGAGAGGGAGAGAGAGAGATAGAGATAGATCGAGAGAGATAGAAAGAGAGATAGAGAGAAAGAGAGAAAAAGAAATAAGACATGAAAGAAACCCGAACCTCAATCTCAAAATCACACATCGTCCCTTGTCTCCGTAGCTCTCGTAAATTACTGATGACCTCCTGAAACCATTTATTACAGACCTTTATTACCTATGCTTACCTCTGGAAGTTTCTGATCTGAATACAGAGTAGCTGGGGAAGGAGCAAGCGGAAAGTTGTGGACCGGAAGTTGCGGCGACAAGCTTCGATCCGAGTCGTAGCTCGACGGCACGCACGCTGAAAGCCATCGATGATCAAGTACTTGGACAAAACAAATGTTCTTTGCTAGATTGCCTGTTTGAGGAGGCTTGTCTTTTACATAAAAACTTACAAACAATTTCCGCATCAATGCCCTTTCCACCGAAAAGACTGCGGGGGCTGCTCGTCGACGGTCTGGGGCTGATGACCGACAAGTCATCGTCGCAGATTACTGTAGAAACCAAATTAGATATATTTTAAAATGGTATATTTTTACCTGAGAAGCCTTCACGAGCGGTTTTTGGCCTCGCGGTGGCGACGTCCATTTCCCCGGTCAAGCCGGTCGCTGGAAACTTTTGTAAATTTGAAAATACCGTGCTACATAAAATTCATCAAAAATGGAGGACACAGGCCCAGGAGATAAGAAAAGTATAGGCCAGGTATTAGTTACGAAATTCTAGCTAAAGTCAGTGGTGGCCAGCGGATCTTTTTTACCCGTAGCCGGGGCAAGCCATCAACAACTTTTTCTGGGGCTTCCGGGGTATTTGACGGGCTTTTGTCTGTGCTGTTGGCCATAGGTCGGGAAAATAAAAGATAAAGCTAATACTGCTTTCATGGGATTCTCAAATGAGAAATCTCGAATTCTGAAGGATGAGCATGAACCATGAGCCAACGGTAAGACATAGAAAATACCTAACACCGAGTTAAGCGATCAGAAGGGCAATTCTTAAATGGATAGCGCAAGCAGAAATCTAAGTGTTACTGGAATCGTGGAATTGCGCAGCTGTTGCGCATCACATCTGTGCGCCCCAAATCTCTCCTTAGTGCGCTGATTTGCTGATAAGCACTGATCGGGATGCTGATAAGCGAAAATCCAACCAAATTTGACAAAGTTCCGGGAATCCACGTAACACGTGGACTGGTGCTTGCGCTAGCCCTTTAAAGCCAAAATCTCGAATCCCAACACTTATCAAAACCCGGCTGCCATCGAGCTGATTGTGATTGTGTTGGGTGGCTGTGTGTGAGTCCAGTTTTCTCGAGCTCACAGTCCGGCTCCCCCCCCCCCCCACACCCGTGGATCGGAGTGTCGTTAGGGGAGGGCGTTTTAGAACGAACGGTCTGAGGGGATGGCGGTCAGTCAAAAGAATCACAATCATGCATCCCAATAACGGGCGGGAGCAGCAGTTTTGAGGTTATGGCATTGTTAGAAATAATGGGGGAAAGGTATCCATTTCTAAGAGAAATTGCCAGAGGCTTGTCGAATAAGACTTTGTCGAAATTCATTTTGTCGAAGTATCGTCTTGTCGAAATTTCAAAGCGCTGAAATTTCACTTTTTGCGAAATGTTTGAGATAAAAAATCAAGGCAAAAAGCATTGAAATTTCAAAATGATTGTTCGACGAAATAAAAATAAGCCCTAAGCGATGTAGAAGATGTTTTTAAAGTAGCATATAGCTTTCAAAGATGAGGCCCGGGTGCAGCAATTAAAATTGGAGCCGAGTCTATGCCAATTAAAGGCGTATGGAAATATTTCTGTGAGTTCTAGAAAGAGAGAGAGAGAGAGAGAGAGAGAGAAATCTATAGCAAAGTAGAAATAATTAAAACCGCCAAAACGGGAAATGCCCGCCGGCAAAAGCAGGAACAACACAAAAAGCGGCTGGCTGGATGCAAGCTGCGCAAACAGCTGGCCCCAGAAATCAACGGGCTAAAGGGGGGAGACAGAAAAAAAGAGAGTGGAAGGGCCCTCCCATCCACACTCATTTCACGTTCTTGTCTTGTCTGTCTGTCCCTCTATCTGTCTGTCTGTCCTTTTGTCGTGCCCTTGACTTGGCCGTGTCTTTAGTGTAAAACATCCTGCACAGACACACACGTCAGGTCGCAGCTGGAAGGAGAGGCTTTAACCTCTGGCCCATTACCGCTGCTGCTAATCGCTTGTCTTTAGCCAAATGGTGTCGAGTTTCAGGAAAGGAAAAGCGTTACTGGACTGTTAGCGGGGGGTGGGGAACTAATTTTTGGCCAATAATCCTGTACGGTCCTATAACGAGCAATTTTTATAGCATTTTACACAGTTTTTAGACATAAAAAGTCTACCTTTTCAAAAGTGTGTGTAAATGAATTTTGCAACCTTCTAGCACTTAAAAACTCCTAAAACATTATGAAAATACGCTATTTGTTATTAGGTTACACAGTACTTCGCGGCGGAAAAACAAAAATAGTTTTCCTCTTGCCAAAATCCCCCCCTGCTAACAGTCCAGTACCGGAAAAGCTTTGGAAAACCAACCTATTAAATCTGGGAATACCAAATCCGGAACCAGCCAACAAAAACAACGTCGAGCGCTAGCCGAACTGAAAACCCGCGACTAGCTGGAGCGCGAGCAGACCCCCCCCCTGCTGAATGGCACAAAAAGAAGAGTGGCGGGAGGATTGCCACGCGCGCAATGGCATCATGATTTCGGGATGCGCACTGACCGAATCGAGGATGACTAGTTTTAGGGTGAGCCTGGATTTTGGGGCGCTTTCGTAGAAGCCGGGCCGTAAAGAGAGCAAGAGGCAAAAAATAGGTAAATACGATTGGATTTAGGAAAATAATATTGAATCTAGCTAAATATATGCAGATACAAAAATTAGCCAAAAAATGCATAATGAAGCCAAGATTCATTGGGAATCTAAAACAATCCGCAAAAGGCAAAAAATTTGCACGAAGTGGGATTCGAACCCACGCATCGATACCGATACCAGAAGACCCGAACCCGCGGACTTGCGGGAAGCGATTGCTTGAGTCTGGCGCCTTAGACCACTCGGCCATCCGTGCATGGGGGTGGGGAGAGGGGTGTGGGTTGAAGAAGGGAGGGGACCAGCCGCATCTGGCCGGGTAAGGGAATAGGGTAAGGGTACCAGGTTTTGACGTAATTTTTTTAAGTCCAGGTTAAGTGGTAGTTAAATTAATAATAGGTTACAAAAGCAGTGGCTTTTGATAATGCCTATAATCTCCTTTTAACGAGCCATAATTAAAATTAGAGTATTGGAATTTAACAAAAGTAAGTAGAGATCAAATTATCATTGGCATCATTGCAAAAGTGCGGGAACCGCCCAGTCCACTATCCGATTACGCGGTGAAAATGTTTGGGCGCGATCTGGTGGTGGATATGGGATAGCTATGGGGATAGGTAAGAGGAGAGAGATAGAGGGGAAGGAGAGAGAGGCAGAAAAAGAGGGCTCCCAGAGAACGGCCATAAATAAGACGTTAGGCGGGTTAGGGGGGTTAGGGGGATAATAAAAATAAATAATTTGGATGGGGAGACGTTTCTAATTCTGAGATTTGGTTTCCTGGGCAGGGGAACGGTTCTAAGGCTAGGGTGAGGTCCAAATCGATGGCTGGGGGCCCATTTTGGTTTCCTTGGAAGCCAAATGGGACGAACCGGGGGGAGCTAGCCAACAACTCAATTAGCCATTTCCCTAACCCGTCCCCTAAAAGCCGGCCCTTAAATGACCGGAAATGAATAGGAAATTAGAATAAAAGCGGTACTGTACTGTTAGCGGCTGGGAACAAATTTTTCCCAGTAGTCCTGTACGGTATTATTTAAAATAAGATAAACCATTTTATAGCTTTTACAAAATTGTTAGGCATAAAAAGTTCAGCAAAAACTTTCAAACATAAGAAAATATAAATATTTCTAGCAAAAACCACTAAACAAAATTATAGAAATCCGCTATTTAATATTAATAGGTAAGTATTCACGAAAAATAAAAATTAGTGCCCCCACCGCAAATTCTCGCCCCCCCCCGCTAGCAGTCCAGTACCATAAAAGCTTCAAAATGGGCCCGCAAGCGTCCCAGAAAATAGCGTTTGTTCATTTTGTTTTATTTTCGGAGCGTGCCGCACTATTCACCCGCCCAAAATATAGCCTAAAGAAGCGCCCAGAAAATTGATGCCCCCACCACTAAATCAACCACACCCTAAATCATCATCGAGATTAGAAATTTCCACACGGGACCATGGCCCCAAAATCCGGGGGCCAATTTCCTGGAACCGGCGCCGTGGTGGTGGTGGCGGTGAGGGTGCGAAAAAAGGGCGGCGAAAATGGGGCTAATCCGAGGAGCAGGGCGGGGAGGGGGATTGAGGAAAATGGAAGGAGGGGGCCAGGAATGGAACCGGAAAACGAGTGGATTTGGGGCAGAATTAGGCGAAATTAGAGTCACTACCTTTTCGGAACTGCAGATCCAGGGGTTTTGCGGTGGAGAAAAGACGGCGTGGTGGCCTGAAATCAATATTTTGTATTTAAAGGAACGTTGAAGGCTACATTTTTAAGTCACTTATTCAGCGAAACGCAATCTCAAAATAAAACTGATTCAGGGCATAACTATATTATTTCAGCGGGAAAGATTTCGTATTAAGAGCCTAAGCCTAAGCCTAAACCTAAGCCGAAGCTTCAGCCAACCTAAGCCTAGCCTAAGCCTAAGTAAAACAGTACCCAAATTTTAGTATATTTCTATGCTAATATGGGCGCTTAAAACTTAGAAAAATAGCGTCAATATTAAAAACCGTGCGATTTCCGGTGATAAGTAAGCAACCCCAATAAAATGTAATAAAATATGCTAAAAATGCCAAATAAATGTTATTAAATACATAAATTAAAATAACCTGTGGTTGGTGAGTGGATGCGGTCGGAGGGCGATGAGTGGTGGTGAATGGGAGCGACCTCGGCCTGAAAGGGGCCCCCGTTTTTCGAGTTCACACTTCCGAAGGATCCCCCTTTTTGAGCGTTTTCGCTTTTCTAGGGGTTGTCAGGGAAAATATACCCTTATAAAACGTCCTTATGTTTTTTTTGTGCATAAACTACTCCTGATTTAAAATTATTCCTTTAAATTTTGGGTTAAAAACCTACTAAATCCTTCGTCGCGTGCGTCACGCTCGAGCGGCGCTAGCGGCGCCGTCGGCCAGCGCACGACGCGACACTGAAATTATTATTTAGATAAATGGTATTTCCGAAATCTTATATATAAATAATAAAAACTAAATTAAATTGGATTTCTAAAATTCCAAAAATTGGTTCAATTCGACAGTGAAACCTGGTCCTTTAGAAATATGAAAAGCGAAGGAGGAAATCTCTAGTATTCGAGGGGAGATGGTTGCTGCTGCCCCGTCCATACCTCCGCGCGAATGAAAAGAGCATTGTGGCCGGGGGTTTCCATAAAAAATGGACGCGCAAATAGAGATGGAGGCCGATCAGGGGGAGGGCCATGGCAAAACCGGGTTGAAGTTAGTGCGAAATATTGCTAGGAAACCGCCCTTAAATTTGGTATAAATGGGCAATTTTATATGTAAAAGCTAATGATGTTTTGATGTAAATTAGTTAAACGTAAGGTTTATTTCAAAAGTCGTCAAATTGATTTTATGGTTTGTAAGAAACTTTATAACCACTACGAACCCCGAACAAGAGATAGGATTGACAAGAGTGAAAGAGAGAACGAGAGAGAGAGAGAGAGAGAGAGAGAGAGAGAGAGAGAGAGAAAGCGAAAGGATGGTCACATCAATAAAACTAATTTTTGCCGTCACAACCCCCTTAAACCAAAAATCCGAGAGAAAACGTTCGTCTCAGGTTTCCGGGTTCCACAGGCGTCATCGGGCTTAAGAGAATGGGAACAACGGAACAATACAATGTACGCAAGTGACAACGACAACCGGATTCTAAAGGGGTGGTGACAATGTCCTTTACTCTGTCGAAAACTACCAAAAGCTGAATTATCTGACTAGCGGGATGTAATTTTGCGATATTACCTCTGGGAAAATTAAATGCAGTACATCTTTTACTCTGAAAGAAATTGAAAATAAAATCTCAATAAAAAAGCTGAAACCAGAAAAATGGCTCTCCACATGGCCAGCCAGCCCCTTTTGGCCCGAAACTCGATACCCATAACCGGGGGGGACCCCAGGGCCTTTTCTTTGGCTCCCAGAAAATATTGGGTGACAAGCAAAAAAAGGGATGAATAAGTGATAAAATAAAGATAAAGCTATGTAAAAACAAATTATGATAGATGTTTGGATACTACCAGGTTTATTTGGAATTTTGAAATTCAGTAAATGAATTCGATGGGTTCTAAGGAACGTTATGCCAATAGGAACGCCCCCGACTGGATATAGATGTCAAATAGGAAGAGAGAGAGAGAGAGAGAGAGAGAGAGAGATAGAGAAACAGAAGAATGTGTAGTCTTGAAATGGGACACAACGATTAATCGAAGAGACGCGCTAGGGTGGGTGGGCAGGGGCCCATGGCTGTGGCCCAGGGGCCCACATCGGGGCAAATCCCCAACGGCCAAAAGGGAGGGCCCAAAACTAGGAGAAAAGGGATGGGGAAGGAGGAGAAGCTGAAGAAGAGGTACGAGAAGTCAAAGAGAACACACACAACTAAAGCATGCGCCTCCCCCGACAACAATGCAACAATGGAAAACAGAAAATAATTTTTCTGAGGGTTTTTGGTATATTTTTGTAATTCGTACTTTAATACCTTAATTAGGATTCAACTTTGATTATTAATTTAAACAATTCAAAAATTACCTGTAATTTGGTGGGTAGAAGCGGGGGTTGTGTCCGGGGTTGCAACGCCATCTTCTAGTTGGGCATTAGAAAATTAATGCTGAACTGGGGTTTAGTGTAATTTGGAAGGTTTTGCATTAAATGAGGAGAAGAGATATTTGAATATTTTAAACAGTAAAAAAATCCTAATTTCAACGGTTTTTCAGAAAATTTCGTTAGTGTATCATAAAATCTCGGATAAAGCTTTGTATTAATCGTAAATTTTATTTAGGTCGAAGTCGCAATTTGGAATTTAATAAAAGCAGCAAATTTAAACGTAGTACCTGTAGCAAAATCGGTAGCTTAAAAGTATCATTACAGTTCAAAAATCTATTAGTTTATGAAATTAAATTCGAGGCAATAAACCAGATTTGCAGAAAATTACAAGAAGTGTTAAGGAAACCGCTTTCACATTTGAGAATATCTAAATAAAGAGATAAAGTTAGTAATTAATCTTATCCTTTAAATTATCCTATCGGCGGCGGGTCTTGGATATTTTCCTTTTTTATAAAATTAGTTAAAAATCGCTTAAAATAAAAGGAACATAAGAAATTATTGAGGTTCTATGAATATCTAAATAACAGCAATTAATTTATGCGCATTAAAAAAATTTGAATAGATAAATCCAGCATCAAGTCTGGAATTTAGTAGGCCAACCGAGATTCCAGGAGGGGGACGGTAGGGGCGGTGCGAGTAGGTGGTGGATGGCAAACCGTCCCTACCTTCCCTACCCCCCTTCCCTCGGCAACTCAAGGCAAATAGAAGCATACATATAGACAGACAGACAGATAGATTGAACAGACAGACAGAAAGACAGACACACAGACACACATAAACCCACCGACTGTCTTTCTTTTAGCCAGCCCTGTCTTTTACCCACAGCTGCGCACTTTGACAGTTCTTCTTCTCCCCCCGCCGAACGCCACCTCAAACAATTCCCGGCACAGCCTTTTGTCAGGTTTCAAGGGTTGCTAATTACGCTAGGATCAGGACCTGCTTTTTTTCTGACACGGTTTCTTTAAAATAAATGGTTTAAGCCGAAATTCTAGCAAATAGAAGGGAAGTCTGTTAAAACAGCTGAGCTATTGTCATTTTACCCAAAGTTCTTTGGTTTTAGTGCTGACCAAATCGCTATTTTTTTTTTTTCTTATAAGTTTCGATGTTGAAATGTCCAGTACCTTAGTAGTGCATTTAGCTTTTTCATGAAAAATCGCTATTAGAAAAATGGTTTTAGCAAAAATGAACATAAGCCAAAATAGCTCAAACCAAACAATTCTTGATTTTCAAAATTGTTTTCTGGTTTAGATTAATATCTACTTTTTAGATTCTAAATCTAATTTTTATTATCGGATCCTACAGTTTTTTTTAGAAAATGTTTAAAATTCGCCAAAAAGCGCTTTTTCTTCTAAAAGATTGGCTTAAGGATTTTTGGTCAGAATTAAATCAAGTTTTGACCAAAAATACTTAAATTCAAATTCAATAGCGAATTTTAAAGTTAAAAAGCAGAAGTTTTTCCATATAAAATGATGGTAAGAAATTCAGGCTGATTGAAGGTGAGAAAATCCCAGAAAAATGCAAATAAGCCGTCAAAACCATCGTGTAATATCAACATCGACCGTGACAAGATCGAATGCATAGATAGCAAAACCAAAAAACCATTCCCCCATCTCCCCGCGGCCCCAAAATCCATCGAAATCAAGCGAAAGCCATTTTCAGGGGGAAATTGCGGCGCGCGCCGCCCCCTCCGGGCGGGATGGCAGATGAATTGAGCAACCTGCAGGGGGAGCACGAGGTGCGAGCTTTTCACTAGCAATAGTCTTCATTCCCCCGCTAAGGGCATACACGCCAAGGCGCATCCTGTTTTAGGTGGCACCCGTGAAACGGTGGCACTTGCTTTCCCCCCGGCTCACTTCTTCCTCACGCTCGCTTTTTCGGAAGAACAAGGGGGGTGAAAAGTGAAGATTCGAGGGGGTGAAGGGTTGTCTGATGAAAAGGTCGGAGCAGCAGCCGAGGAGCCGGAGGGAATTGGGGGGAAAACAAGAACAACGGCCTCGTTTTACCTGCGGATTCTTGTTTTCTGCTTTTGCCCCCGTCGCTGTCTTTTCTCACAAGGGAAGTGCACGACCGGCCCACGAGAAATCGACACGAGACATAGTCGATCTGATAGAATCGGATACGGGGATTCCGAATCTGTACTCAGAATTTGCTAAATAAAACGGAGAAAAAAGTTATGAAGCTTCAAAGTTGGCCAAATCGCCAAAAACGGTACATTTACGGGCCCGTAAAAACCGGGGAAACGGAATTGAGCAAAAAACTGTAACACGTACCATTTGCAAACAATTCATCGAAAAAGGTTTTTTGGATTCACGGGCAAGGGTATGGCCTGCCAAGTTCATAGAAGGGATTTCCGCGAAATCATTCAAAACTTGAAGTGAGATAGCTCATTCGAAAGCGCTTTTTCTGCTGAACAAGATGCACTAATGGGTTGTGGCAAATTTCCATTCCCTGGGCCTTTACAGGCCCATAAAAGTCCGATTTTGGGCGATTTTGCCAACTTTGAAGCTTCATAACTTTTTTCTCCGTTTTATTTAGCAAATTCTGATTACAGATTCGGAATCCCCGTGTCCGATTCTATCAGATCCACTATGTCGCGTGTCGATTTCTCGTGGGCCGGTCGTGCACTTCCCTTGTCAGCGGGAGCAAATTGTTGCGCGCAATTTGGTTGGGATCATTAATAATAGGGCAAGGGTTGGGGGCGTCATTAGGTTGTACTATGTAGCCCTGAAAGGTTGGCCTGCAGTCAGGTCTGACTAAAAATTTGCTTAAAAATTTTTACATATTTTAAGCACGAAATATCAAACTCAGAAGCTGGCACCAACGACGATTTTTGAAGAGGTGGAAGACTCATGGTTTATCCGACTATGCCTACCTACCTTTTAAACATAAATACTATATTTTTAGAATATTTTTTGTACTTTTTGAATGCTAGAAAATTACAAACATATTTTAAATATTTTTGAAAATTTGAAAGTGTGAGCGTTTTGGGTCATTTTGCATGCATTTTTGATCAAAAAATCGAACTCGCCCGGAAATTTTTATAGTTTTTTTATCTAAAAACTATGTAAAAAGCTATAAAATTGTTTAGATTTTGTTATATGACCATACATGGTTGCTGGGCAAAATTAGCACCTCTCTGCCCCCAGCTAACAGTCCAGTACTCACGAAAAGCCACAAAATCGCCAAAGTTTTCCAGTTTTAGTATGATAACTCGCCTCTTAAAAATATTTAACCACTTTAAAATCTATAAAAATGTTCAGCATACTTGACTCTCCATTTACACCAATTTCGAGCCGAGCCTGAACGTTTGAGCCGTAGCAGGACTATTTAGCATTAATAGTAAAAATAGCTACGAACATAGCATATTCTGTAATTCCCCCGATATCTCGAATAATATCATCTGCTTTACTATATTTACAGCAGCAGAGCGGTGTGTAAAAATGGGGGAATCGTTTAGTTGGCCTGCTTGGACTTGGCGAAACCGATGCGGTTCTGGCCGAAATCGTAGACGTTGCAGTACTGGCGGATGAAGGGGTCTCCGAGGATCCACGAGGGTCCTAAATAATACGTTACTAAATAAACTATTAAACTCTATTAAAAATAGGGTATTATAATTTTTTTTATACTTACCGAAACCGCCCATGTCGAAGGGGAAGGCACCCCAGTAGCAGGTCTGTCCATCTCCGGAATCGAGGAGCATGTTGACCTAAAATTATTATGAGTAATTAAATTATAGAATAATCATGTTGGAAGCTAGTATATTAAATTAATTCAAAATCATTAAATACCAACCTTTCCGAGGCTGTACACGTTTCCTCCGATGGTGATCTGCAGATCGGCGAGGTTGGAGTTGCAGGGAAGGGTGTAGATGCCATCCCAGTCATCGTACTGTAAAGGTATGTACTTAAAGTACCGAAATCGCTTACGGTAGCTCCAATAGCCTTGGCCATGGCGGCGATGACGCTGGACGGGCCGGCGAGGAGGGAGGTGCCGGTGTCGGAGATGACATCGTAGTTCTTGGTCTGCGAGTACGAGCCAACTTGGAACTTGGTGACCTGAAAGGAGGGGAGGTTATGGAAATTATTTGTGCTGGAAATGCCAAAATTGAGAAGAATTTCCCAAAACCCCGCTTATTAAAACATCGAATTCTTGAGTTCGGATTTCGCTTATCATATCATCATTTTTATCGTGTTCTCTCTCCCTCGCCTCTTTTTCTCGCTCTCTCTCTCGCTCTCTTTCTCTCTCTCTTTTTCTCTATGGCTATGTCTCTCTTGCGCGTGCTCTCTCCCTGTCTCTCTCTCTCTCTCTCTCTCTCTCTCGATCTCTCGCTCTCCTCTCTCTCTCTCTCCTCTCTCTCTCTCTACGTCAATCGGTCTCTCTCACTTTCTCTATGTCTCTCTCTCTCGCTCTCGCTCTCGACTTTAGAAATCTCCATAGTACTTACGCGGAACTGCCAGTAGGTGGCCGAGGTGAGCTTCTCCCAGGTGACGGAAGCATCGCAGTTGGTGCTGTCGATGGCTCCATAGGTGAAGATACCTCCGGCCTGGCCCTCGGTGGCTCCACGGTGCATCAGGTACACGCTGAACAACGGCTGGTCCAGGATTCCTTAAAAAAGGTGGGTTGTAAGGTTAATTGTACCAAATTTACTATGGAGTAATATTGTATATAATGTATGGCTTTTTTAGTATTGTAATTTACCCTGCGAGTAGGCGTTCTGAAGGGGCGGGACGACGTTGTCAACAGCCAGGGACTGGAAGGCAAGTCCGAGGATACCGTCGGTCGGGTCCTGGGCGAAGTCGTCAGAGATGTGGGTGGCCATGCCGAACACGGTCTTGGGGATGGCGAGCTGGTTCTCACCTAGGGAGCTCGAGCTCAAGAGGGGGTGATAAAACCCTACCGATTCCTCCGAAGGTCATAGTGTCCTGGGCGAGGGTTCCGCGGGCGTCTCCGGATCCGTACTGGATGGACCAGGACTTGCCGTTCTTGACGAAGGTCGACGACTTGCCGGAGTCGTATTTGCTCTTGCCAGAGCACGAGCTACTGAAAAGGGGAGGATTTTGTGCTACAAAGTGATTGGAATTGGTAAAAATTCGCTTATTTTCGGTATTCTAGACGATTCAAAAGATATAACTAATATAGTAAAAAAGTAGCTAATATAGAAAAACTAAAAATATATAAATAATAATAATAATAACTGACTCGCAGTTGGTGGCGGGCACCCAGAAGTTTGAGGATCCGGTGTCGAGCACGGCAACAAAGTTCTGCTGTGGCGTTCCGATGGTGACGTTTCCGACGTACTCGAAGTCATCGTAGTCGAGGACCTAAAAGAGCCTAAGCTAAAGCTGGTGTTCATCTACCGTCTGGGGCAGGTTGGCAAGGACCGGGTGGTTGGCGCGGAGGGCCTCCTTGTGCTCGCGGTAGGCCTTCCACTCGCCGGCGCGCATCATCTTGAACATCTTGGCCTCGCGCCAGTGGAGGTCATGCTTGTAGACGACGGCAGCCGTGAGGCCCAGAAGGGCCAACAGCACTAAGGTCCTCATACCTGGAAAGAACAGAGGTTTTTGGGTATCTTACAGGCGAGAATCGGAAAATTGAGTTCAGAGAGAGAGAGAGAGAGAGAGAGAGAGAGAGCGAGAGCGAGAGAGTGAGAGAGAGAGAGAGAGGTCTGGTGCTCGAAAAAAGTGACTTCGTTTGACCTAGTCAATAAAATGCATTAATTTTGTTTGAGAATAAGCAAAAGCTTGTTAAAATAGCAGAAATATAGACTATTTAAAATCAAGAGCTTAGAATTTTAAATCTACCGCAACTAAAGAACCTACAAAAATTATATTTTAAAAGCTAGAATTGTACGCTATAAAAAAAAAGTAAAAATAAGCCGTAACTCTTCATGCTACTGTAATACCTCAACAAATTCCAAAATTCCATATCAAAAACCACATAAAAAATACTGTAGCCTCCCAGCCTCGTGGCCCCCGCTTTAACAACCCATAACCACGAACAAGACCATTAAACCAAAGCTGATGCCAAGGGCCAGAATAAGCGGAAAGCCACCCCCACCGCTTATCACCGTTTCCCTCCCAAAAAGCCTTTGGCCACGCTTTAAATACAGCACCCTGATTTCAAGGAGCCCATAAAACGTCAGGATGGACTGATAATCCGTTTGAACCGAGCCGGAGGCGGATCTTTGGGACCGTAAAGCGGCCTGAAAAGGACCCCGGCAGGCTGAAGCTGACGTACAGGAAATAAAACGCCGGCAATATTAGCCCTGGTTATCACCGAAATGCCATTAACCATCATTTCCAGCGAATAGAAGGGGGCCGAGGACTTGGCACTATGGTTTTTGGGTTGTAAACAGCCAGAAATTTCTAGCCGGGGGAGATGATGAGAATTGAAGAGTGGAAAAATTTCCCGGGGGCGTTGTGATAAAATTATTGGGTTGTTTGAGGTATATTTAGGCATAAAAAGTTTACAAGGATTGTTTGAGACTCAGTGGAAATGTTGAAATATCTAAGAAGTGTTAAAAAGTTAAAAAGTTCTTTAGTTAAATGTAATAACGGCCAGCTAGCCGAGATTATTTGGGAATTTGCAGTTATCTCTCGCTCTCTCTCTCCACCTGTATCTCTATCTCTCTGTCCCTCTCTCTATCTATCTATCGCCTCTCTTTGTCTCTCTTACACTCTCTTGCTATTTCTCTCTCTCCATTTCTCTCTCTCTTTCTCTCTCTCGATCTCTCTCTCGCTCTCTCTTTCTCTCTGTTGTCACAGATTTCTATATGCTATTATTAATGCAATTTTCCATTTTCTATGATATGCAAATTCTTGCTTCAATTTACTAATGCAATCAATTTATTCACTGGTCAGCTTCTGTATAAGCTCATAGGTACCAATAGGATTCGGCGAGACCGATCTGCTGCGTCTGGTAGTTGTAGCTGGTGCAGAATTGGCGGAGGAAGGGTGTTCCTAAAATCATATAGTATTTTTAGAAGCACAACAATCAAAATTTAGCTCTTAAACTTACCGAGGACCCATTGGAATTGACTGCCATAGTCGGCCTTGCCAATGCCCAGCATGCATTCGCTAAAAAATACAGTATTTTTGGCTTCAATGGTCCTTTAGAACTAAAATTCTATACTTACACGCCATTTCCATAGCGATCGATCAAATAGTTGGGTGCTTGGACAGAGTAGACATGGCCTCCAATCGTGAAGTCGAGGGTTGGGCCGGTGAAATTGTTGCACGGGACAACCCACAGGTTTCCATCGTAGTACTGTAATGGAAAGTTACCATACGGTCTAGAACTCCTGAATACTCACCGTCTTATTCTTGAACTGGGCCTGGATCTGCTCGACCTGGTTGGTGGGGCCGTAGATGAACGTGGTGCCGGTGTCTAGGAGGGCACTGACGGTGGCTGAAACGTTATTTTTATAGTAGTATTTTATTTTTATAGTATTATAGTATTTTATTTTATTTTTTTCTCTGTCGGGGGCCTTTGAACCTACTGGTGTTGCTCCAGCTGCCGACGGCGATCTTGCTGACCCCCAATTGCCAGCGCCAGCTGGTGATCGGGTACCATCCGATGACCGGCTTGCAGTAGTCGGTTTCTAAAGGATGATTTTGGTCAGCAAAAAAAATTAAAAAGACGTACCGACTTGCCCGAAGGTGATGGACCCGCCGGTGGCGTTGCGCGAGTTGGGGAAGCGGCGGAAGAAGATGGAGATGATCGGGTTGTTGAAATAGCCTGAATGTATTTAGTAGTATCTTTCTTTCCCTTTAAAGGTGACAAGCAGCGAGTGCTGAACGCATCCGTAACGTATCTACTACACTACCGTAACGCATACACGACGCGCTGGGTCAGAAGTCGCGACGAGAACTCGTCTTGGTCTCGAAAAGGGCCTAGCTGCTGTATCACGGCCGTAACGCGCCCGGCACCGAGCCGCGACGCGCCCGTAAGGCTGCCGCAACGCGTACGCGGCGCGACCGCAATGCACCCGTAACGCGTCCGCCACGCGCCACCCATTTTATCCCTTTAAAACCCCCACCTCGTCGAATAGCCTCCTGAATCGGGTTCCAGTCACTGATCTCTAGCCCCAAAATTCCGGCGTAAGTGCTGCCTCCGAATGTCGTGTTCGTGATCACACCCACCGTGAAGTTCTCGATCGGGATGTTTGGTTGTCCTTTAATTTTAATTAATAGTTGTGTGTTCCGGCTTACCGACACCACCAATGGTGATCGTATCACGAACTTCGTAACCGTTGACGTATCCACCACCGTAGGCCTAAAAAAATAGAAATTTTTTTAGTGTGGAGTGTGTGGTATACCTGGTACCATCCCTTCGAGTTGTTGCGGGCAGTGGATGACTTCTTCGGGTCGTAGAAAGGCTGGTCTCGACAGGACGGTCTATAGGATAAATTGTAGCTATTCTAATCTAAACCCTACTGTCTACCCCCCCGCTATGAGATAAGCCCCTCCCAAAATTAGACAGAATAAAGTGGTGAAAACTGCTGGAAGTCGTCAAAATCGAGCCATTTTGCCCTCAAATTTCGGCATTCTGGCGTTTTTGCTTAAAACCTAATGCATATTTTGACTTTCCAATACCTTTAATATCTATTAATAAGTCTAGGCTTACTGGCAACCAGCTCCATTGACCCAAGTTCCACCGGATCCGGTATCGATCAGCACCATAATCGAGACCGGCGGGTTTCCGACTTGGATGACCCCATTGTACATCCAGTCTCCGTAGTCCCACAGCTGTAGTGTGTATAATTTTTATACAGCAGTTACAGCTCACATTAATGCGCCAAGCTGCTGACCGCTTGTTGCGTCCGACGCTGAGGATGGTGGCCTAAAATTTTGCTTAAAAACGCCGGAGAAGTAAACTTACATCCGTGTCAAACTGGATATCGCGTTTCTCGAGGACTTTTCCATCAGCCTAAAAAGTATTAAAGTTACGTATTTAGTATTTTTTAATTAGCTACAATATTACTTTTGTAAAAATGGCGGCCAAAATTGCGAATTTACCGTCAATGGCGGCAAAAAACCAAGTGCCGCCCCAAACAAACAAGCAGCTAACAGCAAACGGCTCATTTTGATGTAACTTCCCCAGAATTCTAGCTTTTTATAGCAACTTAATAACCCTCCAAGCTATCGATTACAACTGGATAAATTGAATGATGTATTCAAACCCCCGGTTTAGCGCGGAACTTCTGGGAAGCCGATGAAAAATTGAGATTTTTTGGGGGGTTATTGGCCTTTGAGAGGGCTCAGAATTGACAGATTGCTGGGAATGGGGGGGTATTGGGAAGTTTTGTCGCGCTGATGTTTGAATTGGGAGTAGTCTTTTGTATAAATAAATATAAATATTAATATATTCATCCTATTTTAAAGCACAATTTAACTGTTAGGTTATAAATTAGCTTACCTGATTTCCATTGGTGAATCGCATCGGATGTTGGGTGGGGGGTTGCTAAAATGGGTCTAATTTCCCAAAAAATCTTTGCTAGTTTGCCTTTGAAGGGTTTTATGCTAATTTCGCTTGTGAATTCCCAAAAACTGACTACAAGCAAAAAAAAAATTCATGTTTCTAAAGATTTTTTTAGCTAATTCTCGGCTTACGATTGGGCTTAGGCTTGGCTTAGGTTTAGGCTTAGGCTTAGTCTTAGACTCCAACTTCAGCTTAGGCTTAACATTAGGCTGATCGTAGGCTTCATTTTAAGCTTAAACTTAAGCTTATCCTTACCCCAATGCCAAAGGCAAGGGCAACGCATAAGAAGACCGGTAGAAGAATGAGAGACTTCATTGGTTCGATATTGCAGCTTCTGGCCCCCGTTCTTTTATACAGAATCCCCGAGACATCGGCGTCGATCACCCTTTACCCATCCCACGATACCTATTCACCAAATTCAACCTGTCATTTCAGATGGTAAACGCCAACGCGTTTCTATTGACCGGGGCGTCGAGTGATTTTCATGTTAATTTCAGGTGTGTGAATTTGTGTCTGGGGACCATTTTCGTACTGTCATTCTCAAAGGATTTCTGCTCGTTGTCGTCGTTAAAAAAACGATTTTGGCGCACTAATAGATTAGTCATGTAATATTCTGTGTAGATAGTACTGTACAGAAATAGTACAGTTTATCAAAAATACAAAAAATTGCAGTTTATGGATTCAAAGGTTCGATGTCGGATCCCTCAGCTCGTGCTCGCCAGAACTAAAAACAGCATTTTTCGATGATTCTTAAAAACCCAGAAAAATTAGTTGAAAAACCAAAAGATTCTTTGAACTCTATAAACCTACATAATTTCGAGCCCACAAAGTATTTCAATCAATTGGTCGGTTTTTTGGGAGTAGGACCTTAAAGGGATTGGGAAGTCAAAATTCGAATGAAGGTTTCGGGAGAATTTTGACTTCTCAATCCCTTTAAAGTCCTTATGCGTATAATATATTTTGTTATCATATTAATTTCCCTATTTCGTTTTTATCTCTAACTCACCAAAACCGGAAACTGGGTCTGAAAGGCTTCGGTGACCCGGACGCCCATGTACTTGATGGGGTGACGAAACTGGATGAATGAGCAGAAGATGTAGATTGCCATTAGCGTGGGGATGAGGGGGTGGAGGATTTCTGAAGTGGAGTACGGTAATTAGGGCATAATTTAGGGGACTCACCAGCAAAAAATGGGCATCTCGGCCAGTCGGCAATATAATAGTTGATGGATGCATCGGCGTAGGGGCCGAAAAGGGATTTGACGGTGGATTGGAGATGCGTCCCTAAAGGGTGGATGTTTTAAAGGGAATGTGACGTCAAGAAAAATACGGCAATTTCGTGAATATCAAACTTACAATCTGCATGTACTGTAACCAATATCGAGAAAAACACTAGTGCGGCTGGGGCCATAATTTGATCACGATGCGTACCAATCCCGGCGAGAAATATGAGCTGAAAGGTATTGTTTTTAGTATTGAAACGGAATTATTTACCGAAAGTGATAGCAGGAATGTCAGAACGATGCAGGCGAGTGGTAGAAAAGATACCACTACGGTAAGGACCCGGAGGAGGATGAAGTTTTTAGTAAAGTAGAGCGCGGTGGAGAGGAGGGTAGAGAATATTGGCACTCCGATGTAGGCAAAACTGAAAAGTATAGTATTTCGTGTTTATATATCTTTAATATCTATTAAAATTTAAATATAATAAAAAAACTCACGTGCAATTCGATACTGGATCACCAAAAAACACTGCATACATTGACGTAAGCAATATCTGACAGCAGATTGCAAAAGTCAAAAATTCGGCCGTCAATAGAACATGATAGATTTTTGATAAAATCCTGAAAATCCATTAATACTTTTTCTATTTTTATATGCCATTAATGCCTCGATTTATAAAACCCACAGTAATCCACTAATCTCCGCGGCGATAAACACAACCAGATTCACCATCGGAATAAATAACACTGATGAAATGAACGCTAAAATGAGCCGCATCTACCGTAGCTCAGTTTGTACTTACAAGAATACTGTACATAGCTGCGCATGGAGAATGCTACCGAATACACGTAGATGCAGAATAAATAGCAGAGGATGACGCCGGCGATGAAGAGGCCTGATTTTGAAGGTTTATATATTTTGAAGAGGAGTTGGAGTGTACCTTTCCAGTCATGGATTTGGGCTAATTCGGAGGGTCGTGTAAGGTTGTTGAGTTCTCCATACCGGTATGTGATATAAGCATCCATATTTTCAGGTTAAAGCCTAGAAAAATAGGTTTATTGGGTTTCTAACATAATTTAGAATTTAGGAAAAGAACAAAAGCTTCTGTAACGCATATAAAATGATATTTAGAATTTTATAAAATTTATTAAAACCATAGAAATAACGGGGATTTTACGAGAGAGACACCCGATTTTCCAAATGGCGAAAGCTGCGCCATTGTGGGGCAGGTTGTTTACGCCAGCTGATGTCCGGCTAGAGGAACGAGAAGAGGTGGAGGGGACTAGACTGCTGAAAAAACATCCCAACACAAGTGCAACCGGCCGTCCACAAATAGGGCGTCGGGCCGAAAAAACAGCGAGGCCAAGAAGTTGGATCGATGGCCCCGGCTAGAGGGTAGTTTGTGGGATCAATTTTCAAGTTTTGATTATGTTAAAAAATTATAGTAATAAATTGTGATTTTTAGACCAGTTTTTGAGTCGTTGAACATCAGCGAGCACTTTCCAGTAGTTACACAACCGCTCGCCAAAACTCTAGGTAAATAAATAAGCCACCGAACGCGTTGCTGAACTTACGAACGTTTTTACCGTTCTTTTTAAGGCCATGGGCAAGACATACCTATAGATGCGACAGTTTTGCGGTACTGCACTGTTAGCCGGGGGAACCAACTTTTCCTAGTAATCCTGTACGTTCCTATAACAAACTATCAACAATTTTTATAGCGTTTTTACATAGTTTTCAGATATAAAAACCGCATAAAAAAACTTATATTAATTTTCCAGCATCTTTAGTGTCTATGTGCAGGTCAATTTCGGGCGTCTAGGCTTGAAACGAAAACATGAAACAAATTATACATTCATACATATTTATTCAATCCCTAAGCTTAATTCCAATCTTTCGACGGCGCAAATCCAACCCGCTGCTTTCCAATGTCGAACACGTGGCAGAACTGGCGGATGAACGGGTCCCCGAGAATCCAGTCAGTGCCCTGAATTTATTTTTATGAATTTAATTTGCGATAAGAGGCTATTTAGTTTAATTCTATAAATGTTAAACCTACATCACCATCCCAATCAAAGATGGCCAGGTAGCAGTATTTGTTGTCCGGCTCCCCGGCAGTGACGATCAGATTCTCCTGCTGAATCGCGTACTGCTTGCCACCGATCGTCAGCACGATGTCGGGGATCGTGGCGTTGCAGGCGATTTCATAGACCTACGACGGGTGGTTTATCTTACATCTCGTTTTACATCTTATATTAAAAAGAAGTTTTTAATGTTGAAATGTCGAAAATTAGGTTTTGCGCCTTATTTACTTTATACTTATTTTATATGGCATCATTTTTAGCTGTTATAAAATTGCTTTAGTATATTTTTCGATGCTTTATCGAATGGCGCCTTCGAAATATCGAAAGACAGCGTAAATATATCGAAAACTAGCTTTAGGATAGCCATTTTCCCATTTTCAAACTTTTCTTTCCGATAAAACTTTTTTATACTAGATTATTATGAGTTGCAAATTAAATCTAATATTATATTCCGATGCTCTTGATATCGCTAAAAACCCGAATAAATACCAAAAAGATCGAAACTTTTCCTTTTCCTATCCAACCCACCTCATCTTCCTTATCATACCAGGCCCCAAATTCCTTTGCAATGGCCTTCGACTGCCATGTGGGCATTCCGATGAACGAAGTGCCAGTGTCAGAAATAACCTCCCAGTTCCACTTGAACGAATAATTTCCAGCAACCACCTAAATATCCAAAAAATCCTGACCTAGAAAACAGACACACCTCAGTCATTTTGTACTGGAAATAAGTGGCAGAGCTGAGGGGCTGATAGGCGATGACATCACCACAATGGTCTGGGTCGAGACCACCATATGTGTAGACACCACCGTAGACGCCGTCTTGATTGCCAACCTTGCCCAGATAGACGTTGAAGGCCGGTTGGTCGAGGAGGCCTTTAACCAAGAGTTTAGAAAATGTAGGTACTGGACTGTTAGCGGGGGGGGTTCAGCAGGGGAGACACCCATTTTTTTTATCCGCCTATCCTGTCAATATTAAATAGTGTATTTTTAATGTTTTAAGCGGTTTTTGATTGCTAGAAAGTTACAAAAACTTCTAAACATTTTAGAAATTTCAAAAATTTTGATCTCTTTTTGGTCATTCTTCATATATTTTAGACCAAAAAGTTTTTATGAGCTTTTTATACGGAAAAGCTGACTAAAATTCTATAAGAATGGTTTATATTTTGTTATAAATACAGGATTACTGGAAAAAATAAGTTTTTACCTAAAAATGCCCCCTGCTAACAGTCCAGTACCGATATCAATACGAAAAATCGAAAATAAGGTTAATATTTTTTGCTATCGGGCATAAGTACAGATTAGAAATTATGTCGAGATTACCCTGGTTGATGGCGTTGATCAGCACAGGCGTCGAGTCACTGACGGAAAGAGAGCGGAAGGCGAGCCCAAGGATTCCGTCGATAGGATCGGAAGCGAAGAAATCGGCCAAGTGAACGGCCATGCCGAACGTAGATTTTGGGACCTAAAATCTGTATTTTAAAACAAGAAAAACCTTACCACAAGCTGCTGGCTGCCCACTTCACCAAAGCGTACTGTATCGGTTCCTAAGAAGCCATAAGCCGATCCAGTTCCGTAATAAATGTCAAAAGCGTTGCCGTTTCTCTAGAAAATATTTAAAATCCTTCTGAGCATTTTTACCTTATAAGTTGACGATTTTGACTTGTCATATCGTGATTTCCCATCGCAGGCTGTTTTTAGCACTCGAGGTTGCCGGGTGTAATTTAGCCATTGTGGGTTCTGAAAAATTGGATAAATAAAACTCACCCATTTTTAAATGTCTTAAATGTCTTAAATCATAAGTGATCAAATTACCTTAAATTTCCTGGTAATGTAATCGCAGCAGAACGGATCCTGGCAATCAAAATCGCAGTCAAAGTCATCGCTTCTAAAGGTTCATTTTTAATTTTTTGTAACTTCTTTAGAAAGTGTTTTTTGTCCAAAAACCCTACTGCATGCACTGTTCACAATCCATATCGTCAGTACAGATTTTGTCGGGAACCCAAAAGTCAGCGGAGCCAGTGTCAAGAATCACCTACTTTAAGTTTTAACTTCCAAAATGAAGAATTTACCTTGAATGACTGCTCAGGCGTGCCAATCGTCACATTTCCAAGGTATTCTTCGTCCTCGTAGTCGTAGACCTAGTTTAATAATCTCGATAAGCACCTGCCACCCACCTTTTGAGGGTAAGAGCCGTGAAATTTCGGGTTCTGCTTTAGAAAATCGGCCTTGGCCGCCCGCTTTTTCTTCAAATGAGCACCCCAAACACCCCGGCCTTCGGACAGCATCCTTCAAAATCAATCATCTAATTCCACAGAACCCTACTGTACCTTCTCATTTTGGATACTTGGTAGGTGAGCGGGATCTGAAAGACCCCGGCTTCACAGAGGCACAGCAGACCGAAGAGAGGCAGTAATAACCGCATCTGGAAATAGGACTCACTTATAATAAAGCGAAAATCTATGAAAATTTGCGAATTGAACTGTTGACTTTCCGATCCCCTACTAGGAGCGGTCAAAAACGTGCCCAACCCGACTACCAGCGTTGCAACAACGGGTGCAAGGGCCTTATCGTATTCCAGAGTGGCCACAGGGCACATGATTCGCCTTATCGCGGGCTTTGGAAACAGCGATAAAGCGGCTTTCCCCTTCTACAAAGCCAAAATAAGACAAACAACGCTTGGTCAAAGAGCGAATCGGTCGAGGCAAGGGTTCAAGAGGACTGGAAAACGATTGGTACTGGACTGTTAGCGGGGGAGGGCGTTTCGCACGGGAAAATATTTTTCCCAGTAATTCTGTACGGTGCTGGAGCCAAAATATAGCGTTTTAACCAGTTTTCAGATATATATTTTCGAACATTTTTACTTTTGGTTAAAAAGTATGAAAAATAACCACAAAAGTCAAAATTTCCGGATCTTCAAAATGTTCTAAATATTTTTGAAATTTTTAGCAATAGAAAACTACTAAAAACATTGTAAAAATGCACTATTGATTATTACCATGTAGGCAGAAACGGAAAAACAAAAATTAGTTACCCCCCTGCTAACAGCCCAGTACCGACCTCCTGACGCGCAATCCGAAAATTATGCTCTACTTTCCGAGTATATAGAATGTTTATTAAGTCATTTTATGGCAATAACGATCCTTGATTGGGCTTGTGAAAGGTCTGCACGGGATTTGACAGTGATCGTCGTCGACTCGGTCGACCGGGCCACCCAACCGATTCCTAGCCGGGACAGCGTATAGTCCAAATAAGGCCGTGTTGTCGTGAGCACCAAAAGGGAGTACACAATACTGTATTGCGGTAAAATAATTGAGCACAGTAGATTGAGACCTCAAAAAAAACGGCAAGTTACGGTCTAGGATGTTCTACTTACTCTTTACCATTGTGTCCGTTTTGTTGAAGACGGTAATTACAAGTGAGAATGCCACAGTCCCTCCGACGCCCAAAGTAGCGCAAAACTGTAGACAATCGGTTTGTGAATCGTAATTCCAAAGAGAATTCTCGTTTTTTCGCATTATCGGGGGGCCTAAGTTTTTTGCAGGTATCTAAAAAATGTCTGGTAACTTATTGGGAAGTGTTTTGATCGAGAAAGATAACGAAATACAACTATAAAAGCACCTAAAAATATTTGTAAAGTTTAGAAAAAGTTGGGATTTTGGTCTAAATTGATAATTTTTATTGTTTTCATACAAATTTATAACGCTTTCATGTTTAGGGCTAGTAAAAAACGCTTAGATACGGTGCCACCGTTTATAATTAAAAAAATTATACCCTAGAAAAGTTGCGCTCTTGATAATGCGAACGAACCAAAATCCTCAAAAATAAGGTGTTTGTTCACCTACCTGGACAATCAGCATCAAAAACGCGACCCGCTGTGCTCGAATTGTTTTCTTTGATAGGTTACGGGAAATGCGCTGACTGAAGTAGAGCAGATAATAAGTTAGTCCAGCAGTCGCAAAAAACAGCGCCACATAACTTATAGCCAGAAGCCCAAACGGCAGCGCGTATGTATTTGAATAGAAGGCGCGGTTTGGGTAGATGACCTTGCTAACTACCCCCGTAAAGTCGGGCATAGCCTGAAACTAGGCATGCAATTGCAGCTAGCCAAATCCTCACAAATGTTCTAACAGTTCCCGTCGGTTCATTGGAATACAAAGCTATGAGCCCAGCACAAAAGAAGGCGTACACAAACATCCCATATACGACAGAATGACGTATAGAGAGCCACAGTTTTTTAAGTTGACCATAGATGACGCACTCTGCACGATACTTGAAGCAGAAGATCGTGGCTCGGCAAGTATTTATCGCTACAATACCGTAGATCATCTGAAATCTTACATGGATCCCATAGCTAAGCTCGCACCGCCAAAACCTTAATAGGGATAGCGTTTGTTAAATAACTGATGTATGAAACAGAAAAATAAATAAGGTCCTTGCCCTCTAAGCAAAAATATGGAGCTAAGAAAAATATATCAGCGGTGCTGAATAAGTAGCAAGACACCTGAAATCTCAGATGATTCAAATTGCAGCAACCAACAAGACTGTCGATGATGTGGATACGATAGTTCTTCATCACCGACGGCGTCCCAATAAATGCCACGAAAAGAAGATAGAGCAGCAACACACTTGCTGCCGCCACCGCAACACCAAAGATGATTAACCGGTTAGAGATCACATCGGTACATAGCAGCTCCACTTCCATTTCGAATCTGATTCATTTAGTCGCTTTCTCTTCGCCGGTCTTGGTAATTATGGCAGGTGAAGCAGCCATATTGCGGCAGCCATGAACAGTAAGCCCCGCGATCTCAAAAATCTATTCTAACCCTGGGGAAAACAAGTGTTATTCCTCGATTCTGATGTCCACAGGGCCTTACAAAGAATTTTTTAGAAACTTTATCAGTGCGCGTCACACATAGAAAATTTTGGAAAAATCAGGGAAAAGAACCGACGGCGGGTTAAGAAAATTTTGGAAAAATTAGGGAAAAGAACCGACGGCGGGTTAACGTGAAAATATTCATAAGCGCAATTTTCCCCGCGTCGACAAACTTTTCGCCTAAAATGTAGCAAAGATCAGGGGAAATCACAAAGGGTTAGCTAACAAAGCAAAAACAACAAATGACTTCAGGTGAGTGGGGGGGAATGTTGTGTAAGTCAGTAGAAAACAAATGTAAATGAAGGGCCAAACTAATGTTTTTGCAAACCGACAGCTTCATTCCAGTCTTGGTCGTTTTTCCGAAGGGCTTCCGCCGTCAGGAATCTGATCGGGCACCATTGATGCTTTTTCGGCAGTCTGGGCAGTCTGATCATCCTTCTGAGGAAAAAGTTGGGAAACAACAGAAACTGAGCACCTTTTCCTCTAGCGGGTGTAAGTTATACTTCCGCCTTGCGTGATAATCAATTGCGACGCCAGCCATGATTATAGTCTTGACGGCCTAAAAACGTGAAATATTCAAAAATGAAAAAATACCTGTATGAAGAATGTTATCTTCGGCCGCTTCAGATCGACTTTGGCGCTTGGGCAGGCTGCAGTGACAGCTGCATCCAGCATTTCCAGAACTGCTCCTTTCTCGACGGAACCGTTGTTACGCACCTATTCGAGATTGATATCGTACGAGCCAGAAAAACCTTAAACTCCAGCGCATAGGTTGGCGGCGCCGCTTCTTCAGTGGTGAGATACTTTTTCGCCAACTAAATGATCTTTATCGTCGCCAATAAGATAAACCTCAAAAATGACGTCGTTCAACTTGACCATGTCAACCGGCAAAGTGATGTTCACAGGTATAACACGATCCAAAAACCGACAATTGGAGTCTTGTTGGCAATAGCCCACTATCTCAAGCGACAGCTTTGTGGAGTCGCAGCCTGAACAGAAGTTAGAAGCCACTGCTAGAAGTAAATACCTTGTATGGCGACGAAGAGGCAGTTCTTGACACCAGTTGGTCTTTGCTTGGGTCTTGCACCACCTTCGTTAGTCTTCCCACGCATGGATACGCACTCCTTTTCAAAGTCGGTGTCCGTATCAAGCGTTTCCTCGGATCGGGAAGGGGCGGGTACGGGTCGATCACCTAAATTTACACACGTATCCTAAAAGGAAAGCAGATACCTTCTGCGAAATGCTCGATGATCGTGTAGGCTTCCCGTAGCGCCCGTCGTTCATCGCCATGACAAGTAAAAAATAACCCGCTCAAGCCAGCTTCGACGGACTTTTGTTTTGTGCTATAACGAGATATATAGGAAACCATTAAAAATAATTATTACTTCGAATTCCAGCGATCGTATCGTTTTTTCCGAGTCGCCATCGTCCAACCAACTAAGCCAATAGCACGCCTGGAAAAAAGGAAACACGCCGTGATCTGAAGATCAAAAAGAGGAAAAAAAGAATGAAAAAAAGAGGAAATGAACGAGAAAGCCGAACGCTGAACCGCGCGACGCGTAGATTACGGTATTCAGAGCGATAAACAAAATCCGAGTAGCCTATCGTACTACCCGTACAAGGTAATCTAAAAATGGGATCTGTTTGCAAGTTTGTCTTCACATAAATACCATATATATCTATATAAAAACTCTTCAGCCGTTTCGGTGCATATAGTATCAGGGGAGCATAGACAGCCAGTTGCGAATATTTTATCAAGTCAAAAAAACAACTTAGTGTAACAACATATCAACCAAAAAAACTTGAACAGAGATCAAGTTCAACCGGAAAATTTAAACGATGTGAAAAGACGCAATTTTTTTAGATAAGCATGGAAAGATAAATAAGAAGTGTTTGATATCAGCCGCGGAAGGGGCCACCGGGCCTAGACATTCCTCGTGGACCACCGCGAGCACCGGTCGGACGTCTGAAAGAAGTCCCGCGTCCGCGGCCACCACCTCGCTGCTGCTCAATTCCACCGAGACCCATACCAACCGCTCCCTGAAAAAGTTTAAGATAAGTAAGTATAAATTGAAGCATTAAGTCGCTCCCTGAAACTCTGTTTCGAGTGGCTGCGGGCGCCGGCGCGCTCAGGCCCATGCATCCACCCAGATTGCTACCAGAACTCCGATCGGGTCCGAGAGCAGGTGGAAATCCACCGGATTTCGATTGGAAACCGGGTGGACAGCAACGGGATTCCACCTGTCCGCCCGTAATCCCTTCGGTTTCCAATCAAAATCTGGTCGATTTCCACCTGCTCACGGACGCGATCGGAATTCCGGCAGCGTCGGGTCGGGTGTATTTCGTGTGGATGCACGGAACTGAGCGGTAACGCCCTCTGGCACGGCTGCCGGCACGATGGCACGGTGGCCGGCGAACTAAAATTCGGCAGCCGCGCCACTCCAAACAGAGAATGCAGTATAAAACCCTCACCTTTTGCGCGCGTCCAATGTTTTTGAACATCGGAGCATTCTTCAACATATCTGGCAGCACCATGAAGCGGATTTTGGAGCCGCGGACGAACACATTTTCGAGTTGATGCGATCGTCCGTCCCGGAACGTCACGACGACATCGGTCAGTTGGCAATTCATATTGTCTTCAGCCTCGAGCAGCTTGCCACGGTACACCTAAAGAGATGATTAAATTGGAGCGAAAACTCAAACCTCTCCAGTAGTCGTCTCCAATGACACGATATGACCCTCAGCTTCATGCAGAATCTTGATTGGCACGCCAACTGAGGCCATTTTGTCTTGTAATCAACGGCTGGGAACCTGGAATTGGATATTACAGATAGAAGCTTGAAACCGCTGTAAAAGAAACAAATAGGTCTGAGGCGAAAGAAAAAGATAGGAGGAAAGGAACCGAGTTGTTTATCTGGGCTAGTAGATCCGGCGGTTAAAATTGAAATTCCGCCTCTTTTAGTTATTTCAGAAGAGACATAGTGGATGATTATCTACTCGTCACCAAACCGTGCGAAACAAGGGTCTTTCAAGTGAACACTATGCTAAAGAAAGAAGACGTTAGCTTAAGACTTATTTATCGCTATAAATACAACGAGTAACTAAAGCAATGGCCAAGCCGAGTTTTCCATCTAGTTTGGAAGAAAGCCATGTATAAGGGAATAATTTCTAACCGGGAAAACAGCGTTTTCACGAGCTAGGCAAAAAATATCCCAGTTTTTGTAGGAAGCAAAGTGGGTCCCCTATTGTGAAAAGCGCAGTGATCGCTCGGGGGTTAAACGGTAAGATAAAAACTAGCGAAATAGAAATAAAACTTCTTCAAAACAACTAAAAACTTGGATAGGATAAATAAGATTTCATGCAGGTGAGAAGAATGGGGGGCTGCGCAAATTCGAATTTTCATGGACAGAGACGACGGCAGACCGGGGCCTTTCTCGCGAGGCGACACGCGCTGTGGTCAAAAGGGCACGTTTTATCCGAAAGGCGGAGGCTGGGAAAGAAGAAAAGAAGTGCGTGGAAGATGGTTTTTTTTTAAATTTCTGGACTAGCACTGTTTTACTAGATCTATGTTTCTTTGTGTTCTAATTGTTTTTATTTCAGCTTGGCTCCTGAAACGACTAGGATCTTCCCTTACATGCCGCCTGTCCATTGCTAGCCGAGATGAGGTTGTCCAAAAGGAATGTCCTGATCAACGTGCTGCTGGCCCTTTTCGTCTTCATCAGCTTTTACCTGTACGGGGTTTTCGACGCTGTCACCGATGAAAAACGTACAGAACTGCTGAGACATCAGGTTAATACCTTTTTTGTAAACAGCACTCTAAAATTTAGTCTGAATTGCGGAAGCTGAAATCGCAAGTTCACAGCTTGGAGAAGAAGCTGCGCGGTAATGCAGAGGCTATGCGTACAATACGAGAAGAGCTGGCCAATTCTGAGCAACAGCGGAAAAACCAGGAGATTCGTAAGTTTCGATACAAATTTCAATGCCATCCTTTAGAGAAAGACAATGCGATCGCCCTTGCAATCGAAAATGCAGATAATGTATTAGAAGTAAGTTTTAGAACGCTTGAGTGCTTTTCACAATCCTGTTTTTTCAGGGCAAGTTGAATGCCGAAATGCAAGACGAAGATTCAAGGGACGCTGGCGAGGGTGCTGCCCAACTTCCTATCCGTCCGTTTTTTGCGTAATTGGATTCGTTATAAATTTACTCGCAATCCACGAAAGGATTTTTTCAGCTCGAAACAAGGTCGCTATTGTCCATGAAGCGCTGACCGGCCTGTCTAGAAGAGAACAGTGCTCGGCCATGCTGAATTACAGCAGCGCAAAGACCGATGTGCAAATGCTGGATATGTACAAGATCATCCCATTCGATAATATTGATGGTGGAGTGTGGAAACAAGGATGGGAGGTAACCTCTTCTAACCAAAACTATGCTTTTTAAGCTGAAATACGATGCTAACGAGGTGAAAAAGGAAAAACCATTGGAAGTTTTTGTCATTCCGCATTCTCACTGCGATCCTGGTAACTTTCTTTGCTCTTGCTCTTTAAAAAATTCAGGTTGGATAATGACGTTTGAGGACTACTATCAGCAGCGCACCAAAAATATCCTGAATGGAATGGTCAAGCATTTGAGCGAAAAGCCGGGCATGAAGTTTATATATGCCGAGGTGCGTTTGGCTATGTTTTCATTAACAGAGTTTTACAGATGAGCTTCTTCGAGATGTGGTGGGCGGAACAAAGTGAAGGGACTCGACAGAAAGTTAGAGAGTAGGTTTTTCTCGGGTACATTCACATGTACCGTCTCAGGCACCTTAAATCTGGGCAATTGGAAATTGTGACCGGTGGATGGGTTATGACGGATGAGGTCAGTTCATCATCAAGCCTTTAATTACTTTTTTTAGGCGAATGCGCACTATCACTCAATAATTACCGAACTGTTTGAAGGACACGAATTTCTGCAGAACAATATTGGAAAAGGTTTTTTTGTGTGTTACTCTGTGAATGTTTATTTTCAGAGTTCTTGCCAAAGAGTCATTGGTCCATCGATCCTTTCGGCTTGTCTCCATCGCTGCCGCTTCTACTTTCCGAGGCGAATATTACTGATGCCGTCTTGCAAAGGGTACCATCGCTTTTATGATGATTTTCATGTCATTAAAACAGGTCCATTATTCGGTCAAGAAAAAGCTTTCTGAAACGAAGCAGCTCGAGTTTATGTGGCGCCAACTTTGGGGTTAGTCACTGCGCTCTCCAGACCGAATTTCGGTTTTAGGCGGATCCGATGCGCGACATGATGTCCGATCTCATCTCTTCCCATTCTACTCCTACGACGTTCCTCATACTTGTGGACCCGAGCCAAAAGTCTGCTGTCAATTTGACTTCAAGCGGTTGCCCGGAGGTTTGAAAGACCAACGGAAAAGTTTATTTGATCTAGGTGGTGTCACCTGCGACTGGGGCGTACCACCACAATCTATTAACAGCAAGAATGTCGAGCAACGGTTCGTTATCGAAGATCTCAGCACCCTTGTTTTAGAGCGTTCATGATCTACGATCAATACCGGAAGAAAAGCCAACTCTTCAAGACCAATGTGCTGTTGATCCCGTTAGGCGATGACTTCAGGTTCCCATATTCGTACAATTTGAACCTTTTTTAGATACCAGGATGATTTCGAATGGAATAACCAGCATGACAATTACAAACAGCTGTTTGACTATATGAACGCAAAAACAGAGTGGAATGTGAAGGTAGCCGAATTCACTAAGATTAATTTATTGTGTTAGGCACGCTTTGGTACTCTAGCTGATTACTTCGATGCACTCGACGCCAGTTTGAAGGAAGATCAGCAGCAATTGCCAGTGTTATCCGGCGATTTCTTCACATATGCCGATCGCGACGATCATTATTGGAGTGGTAAGTAAAATATCCGATGCTCTTATTGCTTTAGGCTACTTCACGTCAAGACCATTTTACAAGCACATGGATCGCATCCTCCAACACTACCTGAGGTATTTTTTGGTGACCAGCTGGCTGACGTCATTTTAGAACCGCCGAGATTGCGTATTCCCTCGCCCAGATCGATGGTGGGAATTTGGACGATGAAGTATTGCCAAAGCTGGTCGAGGTATGCTTGTTTTCGTGTTAACATTTTACGTTTTTCAGGTTCGTCGAGCCCTCTCGCTTTTCCAACATCATGACGGCGTGACTGGCACGGCTAAAGACGCGGTAGTCAACGATTATGGAGAAAAGTTGGTTTTGGCTGCAAAATTTGGTCATCTTTACAGGATGCTCTCGGCTCTGAAAAGAGCAGAAGAAGTGACGACAACCTCTATTGCATCCTTGTTGGACAAATCGGTAGCCGGAAATTAATTTGCCTGGAATATTGGGTTTAGACTCAGATTTCGATGTCGTTTGACGAATTTCGGGCCAAGCAAGACTCCCTGCCAGAAGCACGTATTTTTGAGGCTGATAGGTATATTATTTCCAACTAAACAAAAAATGTTCTCTTTTTAGCTCGCTGCTACTCTTCAACACCCTGGCACACTCAAGAGCTGAAGTCGCGTGCATCCAAGTGGCTTCTCCAAACATTCGGATCAAGGTATGTTCGCAGGTTTTGATTTCTCAAGGTAAAATCCTAGCGCTCCGACGGCACAACACCCGAGCAACAGCTTGCACCAGTCCTAGTACACCGAGACGGCCGGATTCAAGCCCAAATGGGACGTTTTGAGGTAAACGAAAAGCGTTGCTTGGTAATATTTGTTTCAGTTGTGTTTCTGGGCCGAGATTGGAGCCCTTGCGTCTGAAGTGTTTACACTTTATTCGAAGGACGAACAGTCTGCCGCTGAATTGGTGCTCGTGAAGGGCAGCGCTAAACCGGCGAGGTAAATTAACGGCACAATTCCAGTTGCTGTTTCTAGCCTTGACCATTTCTTCAAGTTCGAGCAAAGCAGTGGAAGCGTCGAGCTAGCGAACACGCTAGTTACGGCAGTGTTCAGTGGCGTCACCGGCTTTTTGAAGGTTATTTTTTTTTGTTTAGTGAACAAATTGCTTGTAGGAGATTCGCCTTGCATCAGGCGAAAAGATGGATGTGAATGCGCACTTTGTAAAGTACGGTGCCCGCCCGCATGGATCGCGTACGTTTTTGCAGAATCGCTCTTTTTACGTTCGATTTAGTTAGAAATGGAGGCGGTGACAACCTATCTGGGGCATATGTCTTCTTACCGGATGGGCAGGCGAGGCCGTTGGAGGTAGTGTTATCGCTTTAACCAGCAACCTTATTTTAGGTCACACAACCCTCGTTCGTTGTTACTGAAGGACCGCTGATGAAGCGTATTTTGGCGACCGGTCCGAACGATGGTAAATTGAACCAGCTTTATTCGCTGGAAAAGGTAAGCTACTAATGTTATTCTCTGAATGATGTTTAAGGAATCCTATTCGATCGGCATTCGCAACACCATCGATCTGAGCAATCGTCCTGATAATATCGAGGTATAGCACCAGATAAAATGAGATCAATTGTTGTTTTTAGGTGGCGCTCCGTTTTGAAACGAACATCGCCAACGGCGAAGACCTTTTCACGGACTTGAACGACCTGCAGGTCATCCGTCGCCGACGAATGCTAGACAAGCTCCCCATTCAAGCGCACTTCTATCCAATGCCCGGCAGTGCTTACATTGAGGTAAAAATACAAACCATATTTTAAAATCCTTTTTGCAGGACACAAAGCAACGGCTGACGCTGCTCGGCGCGCAAGCACTGGGAGTTGCGAGTCTCAAGACTGGTAAGCTGAAGCGAAGATTGACTATCTTGAATTTTAGGACAAATTGAGGTTATGCTGGATCGCCGAACGCAACAAGATGATAACCGAGGGCTCTTCCAGGTATACATTTTTGAGGCGATATGAGAATCCACTTCTTTAGCCCCTAGCTGATAACCGCTTGACTGTTTCACACTTCCGCCTCATCATCGAACCATTGACGGCGATCAGCCAGAAGATTGATGATTCTCCAATGGGACATCTCACTCCCATTGCACACCACACCTCACTGAGCTTGCTATATCCTTGGGTGAAAATCATGGGCAAAGGTTAGCTTTTGCATCTGGCTGAGATCCAATTTTCAGGCATCCCAAGCAGCAAAAAGATGCAGGGCCTAACAGCTTCGTTGCCATGTGACGTTCATCTGGTGACATTACGAACAATGACCGGCCCCACCGATTATAATGTTGGTAAATTTAACATTTTTCGATGCTTATAACCCTTGTATGTCGCTTATACTCCTAATTTTCTGATTTTTAGAATAATCGCGCGGTAAAGCCAAAGAATGAGGCGGCCCTTGTCCTCCGTCGGTGGGTATCTGAATGCCGTAGTGCGAGAAAACTATTGGATAAGAAATGCAGCGATGCGACGAAGGTATGCCAGTTTGCGCTTCTAAAAACATAGCCTTTTCAGATAAATGTTCGTGATCTTTTCGTCGGGAGCGTCAAGTCGGTGCACGAGGCCTCGTTGACGATGCTCTACGTTGACCCCGCTCCAGGCGAATTCGTCGAAGTCGAACCACATCGGGTGAAAACTGTAAAGATTGTGTATTAGTGGGTTTTCGAAATTGGGCTTTGGTAATTTGCCCCCCCCCCCCCCCTCATTTTTTCTATCCCTCTAATGAACAAATTTTATGTGTTTGTGTTTTTTTTCTTGCGTCTCCCTGCCCAAATGCCTTTTTTCTGGGTTATCTCATACCGTCTGTGATATATTCACGCCCATGTCCTACTGGTAGCTGTTCTTACTTGGCAATATTGCCTGTATTTTACCGAACCAGGGTTGAAAACACGTTCCGTGGCTTTTCGACCCTGAAGCTTTTCAGAATTCGAAAGCCGCTTTGTTTGCGTTTTGTGGAATAAAGTTTTTTGGATATAGAACATAGCCGTCTACCGTAAAAATGCTGTTTATAAAATCCATCAAATGGAGGAGCCGCACAAAAACTATGAAATTGAAATGCCAGAGTATATGGAGAACGTTGATAAAATGCAGAGGGGGAAAATGAGATGTCACGAAGCTCGTTCACAGGCAATGCGCAAAGGGAATTTGACACCGGAATCAAATGTAAGTGGGCGCGACGTATAAAACGGCAAATTATCACACGATTATATGACTAAAATGGAATGAGGGCAAATGCGGGGGATACGACATGATTAGGCTCTTTTCAGAAAAAGAGTGGAGTGAAATGTTTAGCACACAAATTCAGTATTTTCGAGCATTGGACACAAAAAGGGTATTTAGGGTATGATGTATTTGTCTAGAATTAGAATTATTCCTTGCGATGTGGGCAATGCTGAAGGAGGGCACCAAGCGTGGCGATCGGCTCGATGGGTGAAGCCGGGTTGAGCAGCGTCAACAGATGCGAATACGAGAGGGCTTGCTGGGTACATTGCATGCACATTAGCTGCTCCACTGAAAGAGATACTTAAGCTTACTTGTTAGCTTTTTAATCTGAAACTAGATTTATTTCATGTCGAAGCACCATTTCCAGAACTGTTAAAAAACTTGGACTTTTTCAAAAATTAGACTAGACTATTTAAAAAACTTAGAAAAAGATCTAAAGATTTTGAAGTTTTGGTTGTAAATCGTTTATTCTTCGCCGAAAAATTAATAATTTGCAGGGTTGGTAAGTTCAGTGATAGTAAAACTTGTGTAGAAGCACTTCGCCTAAGCCTATGCCTCAATCTAAGCCTAATCTAAGCCTAAGCAAAACAAAATTTTCCACCCTTACAGGCAAGTAAGCACCACTCCCCCCACCCTTGGGGGGCCCCCACCCTTCTTATACCCCTCTCCCCCTCCCCCTTCCAGTTGGGTGTATGGCTCAGTTGGTAGCGCCGCTCCTCTGTAGCCCAACGGACGAGAGATCGGACGTTCGTTTACTCCACGCCCTTTTGCTTTTTGCTCCAAATTGTCAATCCTTTTGCTTTTTGCTTCTAATCATCGGGAAAGTAGTTTATTTTGCAAAATACTCAAAATTCGGGGTTTTATCAAGCCAAACGTCGAGGGTTCAATCCCCTCCGAGAACAATCTTTTGCTTTTTGGTCTAAGACGTTCAATCATTTTGCTTTTTGCTCCAACTTGTCAATCCTTTTGCTTTTTGCTTCTAATCATTGGGAAAGTAGTTTATTTTACAAAGTACTCAAATTAGCGGCTTTTATCAAGGCAAACGTCAACTCGTTCCGGTCAAATAGCGATCAGGGTAGACATTTCATTTTTGTTTTAAGGGGCTTTTGATACATCATTAGGTGCGTAATACCGCGGAGATGATTTTGCAAAATATGCTGCTGTTTTCCACATTAAGCTGTCGTTATTCCTAACAATGTTTTTTGTTTGGTTGTAATTTTTTGATAGACGTGCTAAAAAGAGGAAGAGGCGTGATCCAAAAAAAGGAGGAAATAATGTAAAAAAGAAGGTAGGCCTAAGCATACGTTTTGAAGTTGTAAAAATCTGTGTAGAAACGCGTGCCTATCCCCCCCCGATATCGCAAAAGAACCAAAATATTTGATACGTATTTAATAGGTATTCTCAGCGCTTGCCAATTTACTTGCTAGATTTAATTCTGGGATTGGTGGGGGTATTTGAAGCATTTCCAAATGGCCTCCTCCACTCTCCGACCCATCAACTATATGAATCCGGGGGGGTGGTGTGGTTGGTGCCTGGAGCACGAGTGAGTAGTTCACTTTATTCAAGCGCCCCGTAAAAAGTCTTTTGGCGGCTGCTCGGCGCCCGTCGATCTCCTCCCCCCCCACCGAATATGGTGGAGCGAGCCCGAGAGGGGGGAAAAGCCTGAAATTGCTCTCTTCCGCTTCCAGCTAGGACTCACAGACCCCCCCCCCCTTCACCCACCCTTTTTAGGGGTAGACAAAAACGGGAAACGAGGGCTTAAGTCAAGGGTGGACAGGGCCCGGCACACACAAATTAGATTTCCCCCGATTATGCCAATGGGCCCCTAGGGGGGAGGCCGTTATGGGTGAGGAGGGGCTACGGTAGGCGTGTCAACTTTTTAGGGGGTAGCGGTTACGGGGGTTGGATCGGCTTTAGGAGATGAGAGTCAGAGAGACTCTAAAGGCTTAGTTATGCCAAATCCGAAGCATAAGGAAGCTTGATAAAATGCGAAGTATTTTTTTTCATAAAAGTCTATCCACAATTTGTGAAAACTGATTCGAAAACGGCAAAAAATTCTACAAATTAAAGACTTGTTCCTGACCAACCTTGTATAGCAGGAGGCGACGGAATCGGACATAACTGCGGCGGCTTCTCCTGTAGCAACAGCTTCTCCTTTTTCTGCCGTCGTCGCAGCTTGATTTGGTCGGCCATCAGCCTTTGCCGTTCGACGACCACCTGAATTGATTTTAGTGCAGATTTGTGTTGGTCTTCAAAAGGCGAAGAGCTTGCCTTACCTGACACTTTGCGCATGTACATTCGCGGAACGGGCAGCTTCGTTTGTGACCTTTTAATCGGTTGACAACACTGTGTTGGGCGCAGCGTTGGCAGTTTGGTCGGCGTTCTGGAAGGAGCGTAGCGTCGGAGTATTTTAGGATTTGTTGAAAGCTGCTCGGGGGATTAAAGAGAGCAAGAAGTTTTGTCTTTAGAGAAGTTTTGTTTTTCATATGATCCAATTAAAAAAATTGAAAATTTATCGAGATTTCTTTTTGGTAAAAATTTCATTTTGTCGATTTCAGCGCATGGAAAAATCGACAAAGTGAAATTTCGTCAGAACAAATTCCGACAAACTGGTAGCAAATCGTTTAGCAGCTACGGATTTACTAACCGCATACCGAAAAACATCGATTCATGCACTTCCCAACCCCTTTAAAACAATTTCCTCAAAACCATTTAAACCCATCCGAGACATTTAACCCACTTGTTCTTTTTTACTTTTTCTTCCCTCACCCCCACCCTCGCTCCAGGGCGCCCATTAACCGGGCGTTTTTTTGGGTGCACCCAACCCGCCTGTATTGGGTGTCGATTTTTTGCGGCCCGGTGCCCGTTTTGGGGCTGAGCGTCGCGTAAAGCATACAATAAAGATCGTGAGGGGGAGATGGTTTGAAGGCTAATGACTTGGAAGGAATCCGACGAGGGAGGGCTAGCAAGCTGATGGGCTTTTTGACGGGTATCTGGGGGGTTAGGGGGGGCTTTTTTGATCTCGTTCATTTCAGTGAATAAAAATAAGCTAAATAAAAATTTAAATAATGTTTAGGGTTCGGTATACCTTTAATTTTGCCAGTAAGATCACCGGGTCCATCGAGTAGCCCCGGTGGAGGAGGACTTGATAATTCACTTCCGGCAGATGAAGCGCAGGAGAGATTTAGGGGCGCTAATGTAATTCTTGGTGATATCTCAAGATTTAAATTACCCTCCATAGCATCAGAAGACGTTGAAGAGATGGAAGAAGCCGAAGAAGCCAGCGACAACACCTGGGCCAACGTGTTCATCCCCTGCCCGCCCGGCGTCTCCATCGAGAGCAACCGCGAGTTCAGTTCTCGTCTCCGGTCCACCATCTTAACAAAAAGTCCTAATAATTTTTATATAACCATCTAAGTATATAAATCTTAGAGGATAGAATAAAAACGTTGCGCTAGAGCAAATCTACTATAAATGGAGCGCCAAGGTCGCCGGTAATTTGGGCCCAACCTGACAATCGGAGCACGGGCAATTCCGGAACTGGCACACCTGCTTGTGGTTTTTGCGCTGCAACCGGAGGCCGTGATTTAGGCATCTGAAATTGGGAACATGTTTAAGGAGCGTATTTTGAGGTGTTGTGACTCAAACTAGGCCGAGTTTCTAGGGACTGGTAAGGGCGCGCACAAGTCGTCAAGTTCAAGAAGTTCGCAGCATGTGTAGAAACTGAGCTTTAGTTGTAATTTTTGATAGTTAATTTACATTCAAGCTACTAGAAACGGCAGATTTAATACAACTTAAGCTGCTACTTCCACAAGTTTAAGACGTTCAAAGTTTTATTTTCGAAATCAAATTTTTTAGAATTATTTGGGCGCAGGTATTGTTTTAGCCTGCTCTCGCGTTCTCTCTCTCTCTCGCTTTCTTTCTTTACCTCTGACAATAATAGATCCTTTTCTCAGCTTCCGGCTGTGACGGGGATATGCTGGTGAACAGCTCGGGCACGATGTCCATGATGTTCATCTTCTAAAGAAAATTTTGGCTAGATATATCAAAACATGCAAATTAATAACTCAATGGTTTCGAAATCAGTCAAACGAGCAAGTCACGGGTGTTGAAGTTTAGAATGGTGCTCTGGGGGGGGGAAGAGTTGTGGATGGGGGGTGGGGGTGTTGGAAGACAGGCGCGAGGCAAATGAGCCACTCATTTTAAGGGGGGGTAAAAAGGCGTCAACTGCTCGGCCTCGCCCCGCTTCGAGTCGGACCCAGATCTCAGCAGCTGATCACTGCTGAAGGGGGTACGATAGGGCGTTTTATAGAGCGCGCATTTCGAGGGGGTTAAATGCTTTAAAGAGGCTGACTAAGGAAATTTTGTCCGATTTTTTTGGGCCTGGCCTCCCTATGGATTTGGCCGGGCCCGCGACACGCAACGCGTAGAAGATATTCAATTGAATAGGAGATATATAATGAAAATCCATCAGAAGAATGGCCAGTCTTGCCTTCATCGTCCCTTTAAAGATACATAGCTAAAGCTAACAAAATCACCTTACCGACCCCTTTTAACCCCGAAACCGATCTACCAACTTCCTAAACCACAACTAAATACAATACCCTACCGTAGACGCCAGAAATGTGGCCAGCGCCATCACTTTATTCCCGTTGTGCCCGGGTTTGGCGGTGGGTGGGCTGGAAGTTGGAGAGCGCAGTTACCGTAGTCCGCCCACCCTTTCGACGAAAGGCGGGTGAGTGTGTGTGGCCAATTTGGGGGGTTGGCCCTTCGGGTTGGGCCCCCCAGGATCGAGACGTAGCCGCAGGCAATTTGGAACGGGAATCAAGGCGAATGGGGGGGGGGGACGGATCGAGAGAAGAAGCCCACCCCGGGTCCCAACACGAAAATGTATGGGGGGGGGGCTGAAGACGAGATTGCAATTCTTCTACGGAAAGGCCTCCGGGCTTTCGGGGGGAAGATAACGAGGAAATGGGCCGAGATGCATAAGGGTAAAAGACAGAAAGATAGATAGACAGACGAATGGATGGATGGAGAGATGAGAGAGCGAGAGAGAGAGAGAGAGAGAGAGAGAGAGAGTGAGAGAGTGAGAGACCCACACAAATGGGATGGGCATCTCGGATGGGTGGTGGAAAAAGCGGGGGCCAAGAATGGGGGTGGTTGAATATGAATCTTGAAAGGTGGAGAGTAGTTTTGTAATTTTTGGGGGTTTTAAAGGTATCTGGAAGGACGGGGAGACCTACGGGGAACGGTAGTGCTCCGCGACAGTACTCTAGACGCAGTTCTAAGGGTCAATAGCCAAGCTTGGTAGCATGTTAGGGTAAGAGAAGCTTGTCAGGCCTGGAAAATGGGATAATATGCAAATTGGTGGTAATCAATTTTGTGCAACTTTTAGGAAACCTAATTTTGCGCCGCGCCAGTTGCGTGTCTCTCTCCCCCCTCTCTCTCTTTTGGACTCGCTTTCTTGCTCTCTCTTTCCCTTTCTCTCTTTCTCTCTCCCTGTCTCTCTCGCTCGCACTAACGTTACGGAAAGCTCGTTGCGCAACTTAATGAAAATTCGAAATTCGATTTCATGAAAGTTATGTTTTTTAACAACTTTATAATTTCTACAAAAGCAAACTGGCATAATCCGCATTTGAAACGATGTTGCTTCATAAAACCTAACTGAGCATGAGCCTAGACCTAAGCCCCAATCCCATCTACCCGAAAATCAATTCCAAATATCGCAACATCCGCCGAATACATTGCCGGGCTTCCGGGGCCAAAGTGCTGACAGGGGCCCCTTGTCGAGGAAATCGACTTTTCCCCCGGGTCGACCAGGATTTTTCCGCGGCCGCTCACGCAGACACTCATATAAAGCCTAATCCCATGTTTATTTATGTCACCTAATCCCTTCTACAAAAAAAGGGTGATGAACAGCCCTTGCCTTCGACCTGTAATACTCAGGCGTCTCCCGGTTGCAACAATACAATTTGTCTACGCGTCCCTGGGGACCTCAAAAAAACCCCAAAAAATTCGGATTTAATTGATGAGCTCGCCGTGGCCACTATTAGTCATATTAATTTAATTATAAAGGGGAAGTACATCTGAAAAAAACTTTGACAGCTTGGTGTTAATCCAGTTGAACAAGGTGGAAAGAATGGGTGTAGAAAATTTGCGCCCAATTTTAAGCGCTAGGCTTTGTACCGTAGTCCAGGGCTTAATTTCAGAAGTTGAGGCCCAGGGCCAAGGGCCCAAAGGGGCCATGCAACCACGCCCCTCGGCGGCCAGTGGTTGGCCACATTTTGGGGGGCCCCGCTGGGCCGTAAGGGGAGAAATGGTAGGAAGTTGGATTTATAGACAGATTTTGGTGAATGGAAAATATTTCTGGGGAAATGATCAAATAAGAAGCAAATTAATGTTTATACATTAATGGAAAGTTTTTTTTTTGAAAAAATTACTACAAAAAATAATTTTAATACAATTTCGAACAAAACTAATTATGGTAACTAGAATCGAGAGGAAACGCAAGATTTAACAATTATTAAATCAAATTTCGAATAAAACCAATGTTAGTAATCCAAAATTTCGAAATATCTTTAGACCAAAGATGTATTTCAACGAATTTAGGTTAAAAATATGGCTTAAATACGTTAAAAAAGCCAAACTAAGCGCAGTTTGAATCGTTAATTTACATAAATAGCTGTTAAAATTAATGATATAAATCCAAAACCTCAAAAAATGTCTCGATTCCACTGTAAATTTTGCCAAGATGTAACTAGATTTAGAATAAAAATAATTAGTAAGCAATAATTGCCTGAATTGAAAAATTCGGGTGACAGAAATGATGACATAAAAAATTTGCGAAGATTGGGTTTTGCGATTTGCGCTTGCGAAAATTAAGATTATTGAGGATAAGCCAGTAACTCCGAATCCCGGAAATTCTAGAAGATTTAAATTCAACAAAATGGTGCCCTCGGCCCCCAACCTCAAGGCAATGAAGCCAGGAAAAAACGGCAAGCGCAGCCCCAGGAGGAGGGACCACCCGGGTCGCCCAACCCTCCCCACCCCCCCCCCCTTCCGAACACCCCAATAAATAAATGGAAAAAAGTGGTGGGCTGCTGGGTTGTGTGTGTGTCTGTGTCAGGATTGGGAAAAAGAACCCCCCCTCTGCCCCTAACCTCTGCTAGAAAAACGCGATTTCCATCGGCGCAAATGCCCCACACACACCGCCACGCATTGCATTTGAATACCGTCTCCTTCACCCTCCTCACACACCAGGGCAACCCATTCTGGAGGGTGAACGACGAAAAAAAAGTGACAAAAAGTAAATAGCATGGGAAAACAGCCGCCACCGCTTCTTGGGTGGGCGATGAGGTGAGGGTGAATGGGGGAAGGCAGGCGAGCGGGGGTTATTGGGGAAATTCGGGATTTGGGCTGGTGAGCGAAAAATTAACATATTCTTCGAAAAAATCAAATCCTATTCGGCAAGCAAGCACGATTTTCCAGAAAAGAAAACGAACCACCGGCAAAAAGTAATCAATAGATGGCGAGCAAGATTACGGAGGAAATTCAGAATCCGGGCTAGAAACCAAAGAAATGTCAACTTTTGCTAAAATTTGTATCTAAATATAGCTATGGAATCTTAAGCTAGATAAGAGATAAATAGTATTTTATTAGCTAGTTCAAATTAGCATTAGAAACTTGTAGCTATTCCTACAGCATAAAATAAAACCGGGAAACCAGCTTGGCCAATTTGCTCAAAATTTTTCGACTTCTCTACCGTAATCTCTGGTTACAATACCCGAATTCTATTTCCAAATTTATTGAATTATCGTTTTAATTTTATAGACACAACAATTGGCTCCAATTTCGGTCATTCTCCGACCTTATCTCTAATTTTGAAAACACAACATCAAAACAAACCAGCCGTGATCATTCGACGACTTTTCAACGTGGACTTGCAGTTTTAATCAAACCGTACTACCTTCGCTTTGTCTTAGTCTCTGAGTTTCAAAAATCCCCCAAGTGAAGTGGCATCCGTTCTGGGGCTGGATCGCGGCGTGAGGTCTGCCCGTAAAAAACCCAGGACGGCTGGGTGGCCTTTGAAAAAAAACGGTTCCGCCGGCGCGCGAGCCACCATCGCGGATGGGTTGCCGAAAAAAATTTGCTGAGAAAATGGCATTTTGGCGGAACTGGGGGTCAGGATTTGGATTTAGGCTAGGATAGGCTTTGATCAACGGTGTTGCTAATCCTATGCCTAAGCTTAAGCTAAGCCTAATAAGCCGAAACCTAGACTTAGATCAAAGCCCGGGTCCAACTTTGGCCCAAGCATAAGCTGCGCCAAAGGCTATGGATAAGCCTAATCCTAAGCCTAAGTCCAAGCCCTAAGCCCGAGCCAAGCCTAAGCGCAGGTTTCAGCTAAGCTCAGCCGAAACCTAAGCCTAAGCCTGGGCTATAATAACCCTAAACCTACAACGAAGCTAAGCCTAATTCTAAACATATTCGTACTCCTTTAAAAACTTCCGAGACCCAGGCACGACCAACATATTTTATTACCATCTCCAAGGTGTCCCCCAGTCGGGCAATTAGCACCCCGCCTTACCAGCAAGGCTTCATCCTCTCCCTCTCCCTCTCACTCAGCCCAATCAAATTTAACTAGCCCCAACAAATCTTAGCACCACCCGATCCTCCGGCCTGAGGAAGAAGCCGCCGCCTTGAAACGGGCTTTTGTGACAAAAAGCCGGCTGCGACATGGCCCTCACCCCCCCCCCCCCTCGGGTATAGGAACGGAGGGCACCGTATGAGAAACAGCGTCCACCCATCTCCACCGCCTGTCACTTCGGGCCGTTCTCCCGGATGAACACACTCGATCACCGCGACAAATTGCTGCTGTACACACACCTCAAAAATGGACGGGGGGGGAGAGTAGAATAATTGTTGGAATTGTTAAAAAATGCTTAAAAACCAAAAAAACCCACTAAATAAAATTGTCTTCGAGCGTCATTTGGATCGCATCAATTTACTACTGCCATTTAATTATATTTAATTCCACGTTGCTACAATAGTGATTAAGCATTAGAAACAGGAAAATGCAATATGCAAAATAGACCTTTTTGGAGAATACCGTAATCACGGCAATACCGTAATACGGTTAATAAAGTTCAAAATGACTGTGCACGTTTGACAACAAGTTTGAAACGGGTAGTTTAATTGTCATATTATCAAAATTCTAAAATATACAAATCACTGAAGCTCAATTTTACTGTAGGGTAAATTTTCAGAATTACAGTAAGCCACCACCTCGACAAATCGCTAAAAAACCTTTAAAAAAACTTAGAAAAACTCAAAATTAAAGTTTGTACAAACTCAAAAAAAAGGATTCAGAATTCAAATTATAGAAATAAAGTAAATCGAGCGAATACAGTACCCCAAAAAATTGTTTTAAAAAGCAAGACCATAGAATAACTGTTTAATGTATACCGTATCCTAAACTTTCCAAATTACAGTAATCCGCTACCCGTCCGAAGCATGGGAATGCTTAGTCGGGAAGAATAAAGCAAGAAAACGGTCACCATCCCCCCGTCTTGCATTCGAATATTTCTCCCCGCTATTGTCCAGTGGCCGGTACAATGGATGGGGCGAATATTTTGTATGTGTGTGTATTTTCCGGTGGAACGGGTTGCCCTGGCTGGTGGTAGAGTGTGTTGATGATATTCTGATATCAAAGAATGATGTCCGTCGGTGTGTATTGTTGGCTGACCTCTTCCACTCCCAGGGGTGTTCCTGACGTTTATTGACCCCTCGCATTCTCTGAATGCCAAGAGTTTGCACCTTTGCAAAGGGCCCAACTATAACTGTAAGGTTTCCGGTACTTCCGGTACTGGACCGTTAGCGGGGGGTGGGGGTTATTAGACGGGGAAATTAATTTTTGTTTTTCGTCTATACCTACCTGTTAATAACAAATAGTGTATTTTTAAAATGTTCCTTTGACAGTCTTTGATTTTATTTCGAGAGAGTTGCAAAAAAATTTGATGAATTTTTGAAAATCCGAAAATTTTAAAAATTTGCAACTTTTATATGCTTAAAATCATGTTCAAAACCGGTTTACAATGCTTTGAAAATGGTCTATACTTTGTGATAGGGCCGTACCCAATTTCCGGAAAAATTAGTTTTTCTCCCTGATAAAAATCCCCCCCCCCTGCTAATAGTCCGGTACCGTTTTTTTAGATAAACAGAAAATTCCATTCGGGACCTAGCCGGTTTTCTGCTGAATTTTCCGGCAATTTCGAACTTTTGACTTCAGCACTCCTTTAAATTTGTCGTAGTAAAGTAAAGCCCACCGGAAACTTTCCCAAATTTAAAGGACACGCGCCCTACCACGCAGCATCGGGCACAGATGTTTTTCGAAACATCGATCTCGTTTTTTGCAACCCGCCCGCAGCACCCATCAACCTCCCCGGCTGTCGCACTGCCCACCCAGGATAGCCCCTATGGGCCAATGAACGATAGAAAAAGAGGGACAGAGAGAGAGAGAGAGAGAGAGAGAGAGAGAGAGAGAGAGAGAAAGAGAGAGGAGAGGGGGAGAGAGAAAGCCAGTGAGAAAAAGGAGAAACGGAAATAGAGGACCAGCACCTCCCCGCGAACGGCGCATATGAAAATCGGCTACAGTCCCCCTGGGCCGTTCGATACATTGACAGGAGCGTTCAAAAGCTTGAAATAGCATTTGAACGCCCAAAGGGAATGTCGAGACCACGCAATCAGGCGCGTAAAGTGGTTTTTTACAAAATGGGGAAGATCTGCCGAAGACGGGCCCTGAAATAAAAAGCCGCGAAGCGGGCTTTCAAATCTAGTACCTATGGAACAAATAAACTAGAACAAACTCGCTCCCAGATTCGCATCCACATCCAGCAGCTTCTCCTCCCCTCCGTGTGTGGTCCAATCTGACCAAAAGCAGTGGTGGTAGCCGTCCCCGAGTGCTCGTATCTCGGCTTTTTTGCCTTATCCCCCAAAGACCACGGAAAAACGAACGCCGTGGTGGCCACGTTACCCCTCTAAACTTTTTTGCCGAGACCCTTTGATGTGGATCTAGATTGGAGCGGTGGGCCATTTCGACTACTCCACGGAGATCGTCGCCTGAAAATGTTGAGGAGGGGATGAGGAGTGAAAATCTGAAATTGTTAAAATTTCATTTTAATTAAAATCCCTAATGGTAAAAATTCTGGTACTCATAGGGTGTATAAAATCAGTAATAATATTAATATTGTAATATTTAAAATTACTGCTAAATTGAACAGCTGGGAATTTATTACGAAATTGAACTTGTGCTCTAATAAATTTCTAATTTTATTTAATTTTTAATTTTTTGAAAATTATTCGATATTTAAATATTTTTAAGAGGAAATGAAGGAAATGAAGGAAAGGAAATGGATACCTTCTAAGATTTTAAAGCCATTAAAATTAAATTAGTTTAAAGAGTTAAGATATTAAAATAATCAAATCAGATGATCACCAAAAGATAACCAATTTACGGTATTTTCGATATTTTGCGTTAATTTAATGATTTCGATATTATATAAGAACGTTATTTCGAAAAAAGTGTGTTTAAATGGCTAAATTTTAGTGGAATTTATTCAGATACCTTGTTTGAAACCAAATTTCACACCTTTCCCCCCAACCCCTAGACCTAAAACCAAGCCCAAAATCAACAGGGTGGGTGACTACCCCCCGTGAACCCAATTCCCCAACCCACTAATACCTCCGTCTAATCAAAAAATGGCAAAAGGTAAGAACAGGAAATAATTGGCTGGCGCCGGAATTTGATTCTCTACCGTGTGAGGGGGCCCACCGGAAACGAGTTACCCCCTTTTTAACCCCCGTGTTTTTGGGTCCCAATCTCCGGCTACAAATGAAACTCCCGGAGGGGGGAAAGGCTCATTCTAAACGCGAATACCTTTTGAACTTAACTTCTGGGAGTTCGATAATTTGCAGGGGAACGCGGGGTAAAAGCGCGGAATAGTAGGTGCATCCAAGTCTAAAATATCGATTCTACAGAAACCGGATTTCAAGACTACGAATTAAATAGTTTGTTAGTTGATTCTATAGAATTTTCTATAACTTTCTGACCGTTTTCTGATTTAAAGCGGAACGCGGGGTAAATTCACGCAAAAATAGGTGCACGCCCCGGGACGACGAGCTCCTTTTTCGGGCGCATGCGGATTAATCGGGGAAAGCGCTCCGATTTCGTCAAAATAGGCTTTTCCGATGTGAGGGCGAATCAATGAACTGTGGCCAGACAGTCTGGGCGAACAAAAATAGTCTAGTTACTTATTAGGGGGGATGCGCATTCGTACTTTTGGCGTCCTGTTAATATTTCTTATCTTTAAAAAATTAAAGTTAAACTAAACTTAAGATTGAGCCTAAGCCCAAAAATAAGCCTAAGCCTAAAGTAAGCCCAAGCAAAACAAAATTTTCCACCCTTACAGGCAAGGAAGCACCCCCCCCCACCCCGGCGGGCCCCCACCCTTCTTATACCCCTCTCCCCCTGCCCCTTCCAGTTGGGTGTATGGCTCAGTTGGTAGCGCCGCTCCTCTGTAGCCCAACGGACGAGAGATCGGACGTTCGTTTACTCCACGCCCTTTTGCTTTTTGCTCCAAATTGTCAATCCTTTTGCTTTTTGCTTCTAATCATCGGGAAAGTAGTTTATTTTGCAAAATACTCAAAATTCGGGGTTTTATCAAGCCAAACGTCGAGGGTTCAATCCCCTCCGAGAACAATCGTTTGCTTTTTGGTCTAAGACGTTCAATCCTTTTGCTTTTGCTCAAAATGGTCAATTCTTTTGCTTTTCGCTTCTAATCATTAGGAAAGTAGTCTATTTTACAAAATACTCAATATGGCGGGTTTTATCAAGCCAAAATCAAACCTGAACTTCGACTTTTCAGGGCTTATGGCGTGTTTTAACTCCAAAAGCTCAAATACTGTCTGTCTTCTCTACCTAAATTACATGAAATGTGTGCATGAGGCTACACCATCAAAAAAAAACTATTTTTGAGAAAATATATTGAAAGCTACGGCTGATAGCTCATCTGAAAAAGCTCAAAAACTGATCGCTGGGTCACGTGTCGAAACTCCAATATCACAAAAAATGACAAAAAGCCCAAGCCTAAGCATAAGTCTAAGCCTAAACCTAAGCCTAACCCTAAGCCTAAACCAGAAGCCCAAGCCTAACGTAAGCTTAAGCTTAACCATTAGCGTCTGCCAAGCCTAAAGCCTATACTTTTCCGATAACTTCACCGAATCTCCAGACCCCGAATTAGTCCAAATCTTTTTTCCAGGAAAACACAAATGCCAACCACCTCCTAATGGCTTTTCTACGCTTGGCGAGCCTCTTGGCTTTCCTCCTGCTACGAATTTTGGCTGATGGTTGGACAGTTTTTATTTTTTAAATTAAATTTCCATTTTTTAGACTCGAACGCTACCAGCATCGCAACGGAAGTGACCACAGAGGCTGGATCAGGTTTTTATTGGCTTTCAAAGTTGCAAACTTCGCGTTTTTAGATAACGCCACCGAATTCACGACGATACAAACGACGACGATTCCGAGCTGTTCGGTCAATGAGACGTACAAAGAGTGCGGGGAATGCGAGAATAGCTGCAATATGTCGACGGCGGTTAGTTGTAGTTTGTAGTATGAAGGGTATGATTTAAGGTATGCTCAAATGCCTGTGGCCCACCGAAATGCGAGTGTCTTGATGGGTTCTATCGGAATGAGACCGGAAGTTGTGTGCAGGGACATGATTGTGGTGAAGGTGAGGCTGGATCTAGGTTTAGGCTTGAGCTTGAGCCTGAGCTCAGAATTAAGTTGAAGCTCAGGTTTAATCTGATCCAACTTTCAATTTCAGTAGACCTTAACATCAGCCCACTGCAACAAATCAGCGGCACCGAAGGAGGTCTATGCGATGATGGCACCGGATGTACCGAGGGCTACACCTGTATGCAAGTGGAAAATTGCCCAGCAGCCATTTGCACAGATTACACCACGAGTTGTAAGTAATTTATTGAAGCCAAAAACATATCTTTTAGGCATCATTCCGAACTGTACGCTACAATCGACTTGTATAGCTGATGGTAGGCGCAAAACTATACACTATAGAAATGTTTAGTTCCCATTTTTTATCATGAAATGATGGATGGGAATTGTACTCGAAATGAGACTTGGGTGGAGTGTAGCTCGAGCTGTGAGGATTCATGCGAGATGAATGAACAGGTTGGTCGAGAGAGGGAGAGGGAAAGGGAGAGAGAGCGAGAAATAGAGATAGATAGAGCGAGATGGAGAGAGGGAGAGAGAGAGAGAGAGAGAGAGAGAGAGAGAGAGAGAAAGGGGTGTCTAATTTCAATTTGTGATACATTCACAGTATATTCTCTATTCCAGAATTGCACAAACATTTGCGGCCCAGCCTCTTGCCAATGCACGACCGGTTTCTACCGTAACTTTACCGGCTTCTGCGTACAGGGCCACGACTGTGGCGTCGTGCTCGAAGTGACGGAACGTACGTTTTAAAGTAGTTCCAAAAACAAGTATGAGATACACAAAAACGTGAATTCCGAAATTTTTTTAGTACCAAGCACCGACAGCATTCTAACCGGTTGCGAACTCGTCCGCTGCCAACCGGGAAGCACTTGTCGAAACATTGAGGGAACGGCAACTTGCGTAAACGTGACGATAGATGGTGCGTAGCTTAAAGGTATCTAAAACTTATGCCGCTCCAGCTTGCCCGATGAACGAGGAATGGAAGGATTGTGCGAGTCAATGTGAACCTACTTGCGATACGCCAAAGCCGGTAGTAAAACGGATATTCTAAAGCCCTTTGATAGGTTTGCCCGGCCCTATGTGCCACTTCCGCTTGCCAGTGCCAAGAGGGATTCTATCGAAATGACAATGGGACTTGTGTCGTTTTGGTTGACTGCTTCTCGACACCGATTAGTAAGTTGAAAAAAGGCTTACGTACCACTTTCCCTATTTTCGTTTATTTTAGGGTTTTTTAGGCGATTTGATAGAGGACCGAAAATTAAGAGTTTTAGTAACAATTCGAAACAGTATAATCTAAACCGGTTGTGTCAAAAAAATATGCAAATTCCGGAAATTTGCTATATGTTTAATTAATTTCGCGTTTTTACATATCTTTATTTTAGACTATTTTTAGCTTGCTCTACAAATGAAGAAGCCATGCTTTACAGTACGTGCGAACCGAGCTGCGAGACCCCAGATCTGGTAGTTTTTCAAAAGAGTCTCAACTGTATTCAGCATCAAATTGCAAGTTACAAATTTTTAGCAATGTGCCCTCCCGGAAACGATGAGCCTAAATTTGACTTGTCTCTGCAAAGCCGGATTTGTTCGGAATAGCCTGGGAAATTGCGTGAATACGACGAGTTGTAATGGTAAGCACTGGCAGACTAGCAAAGATCCTTTAGGATATCGGTATTTCCTTTAATTTCAGCCACCATCCCATCCGACTGCACAACGGTTACTTGCCCCCTTGATAAGTATTGTGACGTGGTGGATGGGTCTGCAAAATGTATTGAAGGGACGGGTAAGTGAAAGTACTTAAAAAATAAAAAATGGTTTCAAGCTCCTACTACGATGTCTACCGTTACCCAATTCACTACCACAGGCTCCCAGGTTACGGGTGGTAACTTTTTTCATGTCTTGATCGGATATACGCTAAATTGTAGGCAATAACACCGTTACGGTATCGGTGGCTACCACTACCACCACGGCGAACAGCTGTGGTAAAAATGAGAGATCTACAAAATGTGTACATGGATGTGAGCCGATGTGTAGTGGAAGACAAGTAGGTTTTGAAGCCGCATCTGCATTTGGCAAAAGCCTGACCGCCTACGCTATGGAAAAGACGTGCGAGAGAGAGCAGAGCGCCTTTTAGCCGAATTCTCGGTTCTATGCCAATTCCCAGAAGCCTTCTCGATACCTTGAAAGACAAGCTTTTTAGTATTGCCCCACCAACTCGACGGTTTGCACACCAGGCTGCCTGTGTGCTTATGGCTACAAACGGGGCCCAAAATTGACGTGTGTCCAGACCAGCAAGTGCCATAAAAGTAGGAGTTCCGGAAAAGCGGAAATTTCCGTTATACTCTAGACCCTGGATGCCAAGCCAATGAAGCGTGGATCGATTGTATGGATGACGACCCAAAATGTAGCGGTGTTACGCCGGCTGTAAGTATTTCCGGGTCTTTTAAAGGGGGCTTGCTACGGAATTGCCTGACCGCGACACGCAACGCGCGGTATTGGACTGTTAGCGGGGGGACTAACGGAGGGAAATAAAATTTCTCCCAGTAATCCCTATAACGTAATATCAACCATTTTTATACTATTTAATATAGTTTTTATATATGAAAAATCATAAAAACTATAAGAATTCGAAACATCATAGTACTTTGTCGAAAATGTACAAAAAAGGCCAAAATTTTCGAATTTTCAATTTTTTAAAGCTATTTTTATAAGTTTCTAGCACCCAGAAACTGCTAAAAACGCTATAGAATTACCTTATAGATCGTTAGCAGGCAGGGGAAGGTGCAAAAAAAGAATTAGTTTATCCCTTGCTAAACCCCCCCCTCCGCTAACAGCCCAGTACCAAACGCGCATTCCGTTCCGGTCCGTTGCGTATAAACCGCCAATTTCAGCCCCATTTTGGCACTGTCTGCTCTGGTGGATGCGGATGTGTCACCGGATACCAACGCAACGCGGCTGGAGACTGTGTTTTGGCAGCAAATTGCTAAAGAATAAAGTATTCTTGTTGTTAATTGAAACCGCAATATATTCGATGCCCTTTCGGACCTCCGACTTCTTCTATTGACAATAAGGCTTATCCCGTCAAGCCATCCAAGCCAATTCCTTTGTTTGTGGGAGGAAACCCCACTTTTTTTGCGCGTAGAGATTAAACAGGTGAGCGGCCACCTTGAGAGATTATTCTGAGCGATCAGAGCTACCTGATCAGGGGGCCGTGTCGAAATCGTCACACTTCAGAGATCACACGTCATTTCAATACACGTTAATTCACACGTTAATTCTCGTCATTAACGGGGTCGGGAAGTCAAAGTACACTTCTCCGCGGATTGAATCATTTTGCCAAGAAAAACATTGATGGTATCGGCTAAAATACCAACGGACTTATTTCGTGGAAACTCTCAGAAACAAAACCGAATAGTTTTGGGGTATCACATGTCGTAATGCTCTCTAATCACGTAATTTATGAGGCTCCCTGGGTCAATTTTTATGATTAAGAAGGTTAGAAAGATTAAAATTGCTTACTGGACTGTTACTGGGGGGGGTGGGGGAATAGCAGGGGAACTAATTTTGTTTTTCGGATTTATTAATAATAAATAGTGTCTCTTTATAAGGTTTTTATATTTTTTTGATTGCTAAAAAGTTACAAATATATTTTAAACATTTTTGAAACTTCAAAAATAATACCTTGTCGGTCATTTTTCATATATTTTGACCAAAAAGACCAACCTGTTTCGACGCATTTTATATATAAAAACCGTATAAAATGCTACAAAAATAGTTGAATAAATTGTTAGACGTTGTAGACGTTAGAGTACGACATTACTTGGAAAAAATTGGTTTTCTCACCCGCTAAAAATGCCACCCCCCCTCCCCCCCAATTCCTAGGCCCTCTAAAAATAACGAGAAAAAGCGATAAAACACATCATAACATACCAACACTGCCCCTATTGGTTCTATTTTCTTATCTCCCCACCCAACTTCCGGCCCGCAATACGCCTACGGGCATTCCCGAGACATTTTTTCTGGGCATTCTACGCAACGAATACAATCTCCGGGTTAGTTGCCACCTGCGAGCTCTCACCCCCGCCCTAAGGGCGATTAACGGCTTAATTCTGCTTTGCGGTGGCTGATAAGTCGTGAAGACCCTGCACCAAAACAGTGCTCCCGAATCTCCTGCCCCGGGACGTAAATTATGCCAGGCCATGAGCCAGACTTTGATTCCAGAATATTCTTTTCGCAACGTTGCTCTGCTATTCGTTCTATGCTTGATCTTTCAAATGGCACACTGCGGCCCGGCACTCGACCAATGGGATGATGAGCTGCAGAGGGCTGAGTGCAAAAACTGTAAGAACACGCCTAAGCCTAAGCCTAAACCTAAAACTCAGCAAAACAAAATTTTTCACCCTTACAGGCAAGAAAGCACCCCTCCCCCCACCCCCGCGCGCCCCCACCCTTCTTATACCCCTCTCCCCTTCCCCCTTCCAGTTGGGTGTATGGCTCAGTTGGTAGCGCCGCTCCTCTGTAGCCCAACGGACGAGAGATCGGACGTTCGTTTACTCCACGCCCTTTTGCTTTTTGCTCCAACTTGTCAATTCTTTTGCTTTTTGCTTCTAATCATCGGGAAAGTAGTTTGTTTTGCAAAATACCCAAAATTCTGGGTTTTATCAAGCCAAACCTCGACGGTTCAATCCCCTCCGAGAACAATCTTTTGCTTTTTGGTCTAAGACGTTCAATCCTTTTGCTTTTTGCTCCAAATTGCCAATTCTTTTGCTTTTTGCTTCTAATCATTGGGAAAGTAGTTTATTTTACAAAATACTCAACTTAGCGGCTTTTATCAAGCCAAAATCAAAACTGAACCTCGACTTTTCAGGGCTTATGGCGTATTTTTGCCCCAAAAAAGCACGAAATTCTCTACTCTCTGTCTTTTCCACAATTCCTAAATTACATCAAACGTGTGCATGAGGCTACGCCATCAAAACACGATTTTTAAAAAAATATATTGAAAGCTATGGCTGATAGCTCATCTGAAAGCTCAAAAACTGATCGCAGGGTCAGGTATCGAAACTCCAATATCACACAAAAATGACAGCCTATAAAAACGCATTTTATAGTGGGCGAAAACAACAAAAACTTCGTCAATTGCTCCAATTTCCACGTCTACGCATTTTTCATGATGGACCCCGAGACGCGCCGCGAAGGGTTCTCACAAATTATCGAGGTAACCCGCCCCTACCGCCCCTAGAAACTTACTTCCTTTCAGCTTCTCGAAGATCTCATGTACAGTTGTGCCACCCAGAATCGAATATTTCAAAATACTACCGATGATGGGAAGTATCCAGAAAAGTTGGAAGCCTGGCAATTCCTTAAAGTACAGAAAATTTCAGCCGTTTCACCTTTATGTCTGCCACCACTTCCTCGTGGACGTGTAATATCTCTGATTGTGATCTCCAGAGCCAGATCTCAATGGATAATTCGAAATATCCGCCTAGGTCGGTTAATTATAAATTACAAAATAGCGTTTTTTTTTGTAAACTTTTCAAGCCGATTTTAAATTTTTAGCTCCGATATCGATATTTTTACCGAAATCAAAATCGCGATCGATAGAGACGCGAAAGTCGCGCCGGCCAACCAAGCCACCGTCATGTACATAATTTCAAATATTCAACCAGACGACTTTGTCCATTACACAGTAAGTTTCTGCTTTCATTTTTTAAACTCGTTTTCTCAGAATATTAGCTACGCGGTTAGTCATCAGACTGGAATCGGACACGAAATCCAGAGGCTCAAGACACCTATACGGCTTCTGTGGTTTCTGGTAAATTTTAATAAGTATTAAACAGCCAAACTACCTTTTATTACAACGTGCTAAAACTTTCTATATGATTTTTAGCGAGATTCCAATGCTACAGACACATTTAATGGAATTCGTAAGGAAGCCGATGGGTGGTTTGAAGACGTAAGCGGAAATCGTGGCTCGGATTTCGAAATTCTAGGCTTCTATCATCGATTCCAAACAATTCCCCAATCTAATTAATGAAATGTATGTGTGCCCGGTAAATGGAACTTATTTTCTACCGACGCCTACAACTACCCTACCAACAACACAAACAACCCCACGAAAGCCAAGGGATCCGGATGCCAATGGTAAATTTATTTATTGAATAGAATAAAACCCTATGGCATATGTATTTAATTTTATTATTACATAACTTTCGCTCCATTCAGATGACTTTCTCAAATGGCTACTCCCACTCATCATCATACTTCTAGCATTTTTAATTTTTCTCTGCCTGGCGGCCAGGTGGAAGTTTTGCCCGATGTGGCAGCCCCAGTAAGTCATCCTCAACCTTATTTTACTTATTTTTCAAATCCCAGTCTTCCATTCTACAGTAAGAAGCAGCACCTGGAACGGCATTCGCTGAGTTTGCATGATCAGATTCGATCAGCCACGCTGCAATCAGCGAGCAGTTTGGCCGGAATTACAGCGGTTGTAAGCCGAAGTCGAAGTGGAACCAAGTAGCTTTTTCCTGCTCAAAAGTACTTTAAACTTTTAGCACAGCTTTGGACCCATGGGAAATCAGCTCTGAACGGGTATTCGTAACCCAAGAAAGACTCGGACATGGCGCATCGTCTGAAGTTGTAAAAGCCATCCTAAAAGGACGGCCAGCAATTCGAGACAAAGGATTTCCACTACAGGTAATACCTCTCAACTATATTTTAACTCTTCCTCTAGCTAGTACTATCCTACAAAGACGGCAGCAATGTCGTAGCAGCCAAATACTTGAAACCAAGCGCATGCATGTCAGCAAAAGCCACATTCATCACCGAAATGCGCCTCCTAAAGGAAATCGGCTACCATTCGCATATCATCCCTCTAATTGGTATTGTCATTGACGGCCCTGAGAAGCTCGTCCTCACTCAGCTTTGTCCCTTCGGTGACCTCAACAAATTCCTCAAGAAAAAGGTATGCTATCTAAAAAAAACCCAGCTCAATTAATTTCAGAAAAACACACCCGAAGAGCTAGTGCAAAAAGAGCGAAGAATCATCGCTTGGCAGGTAATTAAAATCCACAAAACTAATCAATCTAAACTAATAATTACAGATATCCGACGCGCTTTGCTATTTGCATTCCCTCAATTTTGTTCATAGAGACGTTGCTGCTAGGAACGTTTTTCTCTACGAACGCACTATGGCAAAGGTTTCAAGCCCATTTCAAATTCAAAATAGCAAACCCGAATTTAGCTTGGAGACTTTGGGCTGTGTGTCCGGGCGCCAGAAGGCCGGATACGGGCAGGTGGCCATCTACCTGTACGCTCGCTACCCCCAGAAGCCATTGAAGAGATGACATTTGATGAAAAAACGGATATGTAAGAAAAGGAAGCTAATCAGAGCCGTTTTCAGTTGGTCCTATGGGCTATTCTTATGGGAGCTCTACGCGGATGGGCGAGTGCCGTACTTGGATGTTCCATTGAGCGACATTCTACTCAAATTAAAAAATGGCCACAAGCCTCCCATACCCGAGAAGATGCCGGAGAGGATGTAAGCCTTCGTCTAGCCTAGTCTCAACTCCCGGATTTTTAGTGTGGAGCTGATGCATGAATGCCTGCAAATAAACCCGCACACCCGACCAACGTTCAGTGAAATTCGCGCAACGCTCTTTGACGTTATCGATTGCAATTCCACAGAATATGGATACATCCATATCCAAGATTACAAACGATTCAGCGTTTGAAGATTTGCGCATGTACATAAATAAAGAATTATTGCAATAAAACACCCCGTAATCGCAAATCCTCGGACATTTTTTGCCTTGTCATTCTAAATGATATCAATGTTCCATTGCAAAGATTATCCCGGCGAAGAGAAGCTTATACCACACACAAACTTTTAAAAGTTTTATTAAAACACTAATAAGGCAAAATCCCGCAAATTTCCCTCCCTTCCCGCGCCTATTTGTGTGTTTTGACCTATGGCGTAGTCCCCCTTAGGCGATGAAAATTCAAACAAAAAAATTTCTCCTTTGGATAGGAAAAGTCTTCAAATTAATTTTTTTATGCCACACGACTCACGACGTCGAGCCGGGCCAATTTTCCTGAAAGTCTTCATATGCCTGTTCTCCATAGGTTTGTATTTAGCTCTCCAGCTATCATGAAAGCATGACGGCGCCGAATTTCCTGTCTCTGTCTAAAACTATCTATTTTAGGTACGTGCTATTTTTGCCTAAATGGACTATTATTGCGGTCGGTTGAGAATTCACGATCAAGCTCGGATTCTACTTACATAAGCAGGTAAACATCGAGTTCGGCTTGGTCTCTATACGGCATTTAGTCGATTTGATGAAGACGATCTCGGGTGTAATGGCTTTTCGATGCAAGAAAGGGTGGAAACCCAACGCCGGATTTTGGAATCGGTATACTTTTTTTATTAGCATGACGGTGGTTTAGATCAACCACGATATTTCGATGGCCTCCCAAAAACTCGGCTCTACCGTTGCCCAACTAGAGACGATAATGAAGCAAATATTTGAGAAAAGTACGTGGCCGTTTTGGTAAAGATATTTGAAAACGTTTAGGGGACGAATTAGAAGCTACGGATCTGCAGAAAGAGGTTGCACTTCGCGAGTTGAGGGATCTCGAAGAAAAACGGATGGTACGGGTGCGATTGCCCTATTCTCCATTGGAGATCAGAAACACTTCCATCCCGGCCGCCACCATAAAGCAATCAAGGCATCTCGATGATATGTTGGACTTCAGGTATACAAGCTTAAAGTTTCGACGTTAGTTTTAGTCGTTGCCCAATAGCTAACTTCCTGAGCGTGTACGTCTATCCCTTGCCGACCAATGCAGGATCGTTGGCGAGAGAGTATTACGAAACATTGCGAAGAACGCCGTGGAGTATTGCTGATCCCGCACAGGCCTGCATTTTGCTCAATATCGCCGATGATAACTCCCCGCAGCAGGTAGCGCTTTCTATAATAAGTATTTAAAAACGTTTTTATCAGGATGTGCTGCCCTTTTCGGCGAAAACTCCAAACAACATGGTTGTCAATGTTGGGGAAAAGTCGCGGTTTGATCCCACCACGACAATCATTTATGTCGAACCAAGAGCGCTGTAAGTTTTGTCGCTATCATTTTTTCTACAGGGTAGAAAAGCAGAACCTTTTTATTTCTATCAAAATGATCCGATTTAGCAAAGAAAATACGATGTCACTGTGGCCGATTTATCTCAACGTAGCCGAACGGTTCGATTGGCGAACGTACCCAACACTACAGCCATACGAACGAAAATATCTGTTCAACGTGATGTCGTACGACAATTATTCTCCGGATGAACTGAACGAGCTGAGGGTTTCTGCTCAAAACTCGCTGGATCAGGTTTGGGAATGTCTGCTTCTTTGAACACTGTTTAGGCATCGATCAACGATTGTCCCCAAGATGAAGCCTGCAAGCAGAAAGGTAAACTAAATAAAACTATAGTAAGCATCACGTTATTTAGCTGAAATCCTGGGATTATCCACATTCACAATCATCACGGCTGACGCCAACATCTATGAGAACTTTTATCGAGCGCTGGCACAGAATTCGGTACCGGTGGTGATGTCGATGAATATTAGGCTGCCCTTTGAAGGTAATTGAATTTTTTCAAAGTTATTTTATTTCTTCGAAATAGATTGTATCGACTGGGGCCTGGCGGCGATACGATTGCCACCCGCCCGTCTTCCTGAGCTGCATTTTATTTTGCGCTCCTTCGCTCCGACACACATCATTGAATTGCGGCTGAATGGACGTCGCTTTTTCGAGAAGTACATCGGAAATGTAGAGGGTATGATCTTTTATTAAAGTTAATGTTATTCGTTTTAGGAATAATGCATACACTCTTCGGCTGCCTGTCGACTCAGCTATTCTTGCCCTCGCGTCCGCAGACGGTGGTGCAATCAGCGTCCCTTTTTGAAGGATCGTTTATGGCCCCGATTCGCCTTCCAGTTAATCGTCCAATTGATGAGGAATACTTGGGTAGGTAGCAACAACACCGAGCTTTATTCAAATGGTTCAGGCCCGCTTGAAGCGCCCGTCGATTCACCCAGCTTCCAGAATAACTTTACCGCCCTTCAGTTGGTAAGTCGTGACATAATAGGTCGTAAGTCGCAGAACTAAAAAAAAGAACCAGTCGCAGAAATAAAAAGAACAAGTCGCAGAAATAAAAATAGAACGAACCTTCAGTATGCCCACAAGATCTGGTCAGCTGCTCATTCGGCCCAATTTTCGCCGGAATACCTTCCATTTGAAGATGAAATCCCATCGCTGCTGTCGCATCAACTCGGTTCCAGCCTAGGTATGATCTTATTTGGAGATTTCTACATTCTTTTTTAGTAATGCGACCAATGTTGCCCGGCTCCGGAAAAGAATTCAAAGAAGCGCTAGGCGGCAACCGCGAGAAAGAATCTTTTACAGGTTTACTCGTTTTCAAAATGGAATTAACTTTTTTTCAGCTGTGATACTAACGTACAATCGAAGCTCTGTCTTGGATGCTACACTAAGGAAGCTTCATGGAATGAAAAACCTAAACAAAGTAAGTACTCGCTTTGCTAGATATATCATACTTTAGGTGCTCGTGATTTGGAACTCGCCAGTGAATGAAACGGTGTTTTCGTGGCCGGCGCTGCATGTCCCTATTGAGTAAGCGCTTTATTTTTCATGAAAGCCAATTCTTTTTGGGTTCATCAGGCCACAAATGGAAAACAGCTTGAACAGTCGTTTTGTGCCGTGGGATCGGATCAAAACTGAGGCTGTACTTTCGTTGGACGATGATATCGATATCCGGAAAGATGAGATCGATTTGGCTTTCAGGTATGACTTGCTGAAAGATAAAACGCTGGTTTTAGGGTTTGGCGCGAGAATCGCGAGTCGATCGTTGGCTTCCCGGCGAGATACCACGCGGAGTTCGGCGGCGAGCTGTATTACAATAGCAACAAGACGTGCCAATACAGCATGATACTGACCGGATACGCCTTTATTCATAAGGTATAGGCGTGTTCTTTTAATTGAACTAGAAATTTAGAACTATTTCAACGCGTATACGCACTCTATGGTATCTGATGTACGGAATCACGTGGATTCGGGTGAGATATTCGGAAATTTGGCTAGAAGATATTCGTTTAGTGATGAACTGCGAAGACATAGCTATGAACTTTCTCGTCTCTCATATCACTAGGAAACCACCGATCAAAGTGACGAGCAAATGGACGTTAAGGTAGCCAATTTTTTCCGGACCCGCTGAACCCTCATTTAGGTGTCCGAATTGCGCAGAAAAATTGTCCGATGACGACGGTCATTTCAACAAACGACACGAATGTATTCGTCTCTTCACCAAGATTTATGGCTACAACCCGCTCAAGTTTGTAACAATTTGTTTTCAAAAATATTTCGGTACAATTCGGATAAGCGGGGGGGAAAATTTTAGGCGGGGGGGAAACCGAAATTTTTTCCGCGCAAGCCTATATTTTTATAGAAATAGTGGAAGTGTTTCTAAATTGTTTATAGCTATTCCTAAACATAAAAACTTTACAAAACTGAATTAAAAAATTTAATTTTAGGTCGAAAAATCGATTTTTTCGGCCCAAAAATGACCAAATTTTCGACTTTTTCAAGCGTTTTTCTAACTTTTTAAAAAGTTTTTCCGATTCAAATAGGCTTAAATTTTGCTAAAAACAATGTTAAAAAACTTTATATTTGATTACTATCCCCACCAGGGCCGACAAAAAAAAAGTTGGTTTCCCCCCCGCCTAAAATTTTCCCCCCCGCTTATCCGAATTGTACCAATATTTCCTTTAGAAATACTCAATATCGGGCCGATTCGGTGCTCTTCAAGACTCGGGTAGAAAATGGTGCCCAAAAATGCTATAATTTTGTATGAACTTTGCTTAGCCATGTGATAATGTGATTTTCTGCGATACCAGTGCCATTCACTCGCCTTCTCGTGCTTTCGATCTCAACTTGTGCTCTATATACGGGTTTAATAAATTCTCGCAATTTACTCTGTATGTCCTTACAATGCTTCCACATCGTTATTGAACTGATGTATTATTTACGCATCATGCCAACAAAATCACATCTTTACATGGTTGAGCTATCAGCGCTAATGATCCCTAATGACTTGCGGCTTGTAGTCGGGCTTGGCAGCTTCGGTGATGGATTTTCCGTAGAGCTCTAGGCGTTGGGTCATCTAAAGCAGGTCAACCGTTTATGTTATTCTTGTTACCCGGAAGCCCCAATGGTCCTTGACTTGGCGACATAGGTTGAGATCAACTTCTGTGACCAGCACCCCATCTTTCGTTCGCGATAAGGACTAAAGGAATATTGGATTGGGTTTACTATTAGCCGCTTTTCATTTTTATATTTTGTCTGACTCACCGGGGTCCTCGAGCCATCTGGGCAGGCAACATAGCTGCTGCCGTAGAAATGTCCGAAGTCTTTGTGGGCTAGAATCTTTCTTGAATTATATTTTGGAAGCCCATACCCGCTAGTCCATTGCCAGAGGTGAACTCATTTGGGAATGATTCAGTTCCGACTCGGTTGATGCCCACGGTGAAGCAATGATTAGCAATGGCAGCATTTCGCGCTTCAATTCCCCATAGCGGTTCACTGGAAATTTAGCAGTCCTTGAATAGGTAGCTGGTACCCACCTCAACCCGCCAACCGTAGCTGAAGGATTGAAAATGATTTCGGCACCGTTCAGCGCGTACATCATCCAATTTTGGGGATGGTGACGCCCGTAGCATATGTTGATCCCAATTTTTCCGAAGGCGGTCTCGAATACCGGGTGTCCAAGTTGCGACTCCATGTAATAGGTGCTCTAAACGCGCGTAGCTCTAAATTCCGAATTCCTGACTTACTTCGTTGAAATCGCCGACTCTGGGGATATGGTTTTTCCTGGACTTTCCAATGACATGGCCCTTATTGGAGATGACGACCTAGGAAAATTCTAGGATCCACGGGCCCCGACCTACAGCTGTATTCCAAATGACCTCATCCTTGGCTTCGTCTCTTTCGAGGATTGGCGAGATGATGACCATGTTGTACTTAGCGGCTAGCTAAACCTTAACGTAGTGTTTCATTTTGTGCTTTCAGCTACCTTTTGCAAAAACTGGGTGGCTGGCCCGGTTTCCGCGCTCTCCGCAAATTCGGTCCAAGGCAGGCGTTCCCTCGTGCAAAAAGCGAACGGCATGGCTAAATTCTAACTATTACTCAAAGTTCCAGCTTTCAGTATTCAGCTCTAGAGTTGGCTAGGCTTTCTCCTTTAGACTTACTCCATGCCTCTTGCAAGCACGCGATATTGGCGCCAGCGATAGCGGCGGCATCAATAAGTTGTTCAACCCTAAAGCAGTTGCCTATGGAAAATTTGGGATACCGCATGAAGATAGCATGGCGTTGCTCGGCGATAGGGTAGGTAGTTGGGAGGACGATCGCATTTTGAATAGCCGCGATACGTACCTAAATTTTTATGGAAGAGTTTGGCGTAGACGCTATTGGTAGCGAACCTAATCACCAACCTTTCTGGGTGCTCTCAATTGCTCTCGTTGGGCCTCAACGGTAAATCCCTTGATTTCAAAGCTAGCTTTCTCAGCAGCGTCCAGCGCCTTTGCAGGGATCTCCAGTGCACTAGGGTTGGCGATTGACTGTGCTATTTTAGTAATACTTACGGGATGCGCTTGCCATAGAGTATTCGTGTCACTTCGTCAAGCTCGCGGCCACTCAAGGCCTTTTCCAGCGCACCTTCGAGTCCCTCAAACTCAACGCCTGCCATCCTATACAGTAAATTCCTTCGATTTTAGAGGTCTGTTAGGATTAGAACTCCGAGAAGCGCAATTAAAATTGAATGGTTGGCTGCGCACATGCGTTAATCCACAAAATTTCTAAACATTTGCAAGAAATAATTTCGACGCGCGTGAGATTAGGATCCGGTTATCGCAAGAGCTTTCGTGTCAGCCGACTGATAGGGAACGAATCTAAATTGCCGATAAACTCGGCGTGCGGAAAAGGCAATGATTGATAAAGTGGCCCGGGGAATCGTTGCGAAAACTGGAGAACAGACGTTTGGTGTAGGGTGATTTCGTGAAAAAAGAGTCAGGCCCCCTCTCAGATCGGTCCTATCAGTTTGACGGATGGGTTCGGTGATCGCAATAGCGAAATAAGCCTCTACGCGCAGATCTGTTTATTGCGATAGGCGGGTGGAAAAGCAAACAGAATAGTGGCTAACGCTTCGATGCCAAAACGACGCTAGTTGGGTCGCGCTGACCTCTGGTGAGGGGCCCTCTGTTACAGCGAAAGGCGGCATGGCCGAATGAGAAGAATGACCACATGACCCGGTGGATTTGATGTTAGTGTAGGAAAATGGGTGGAAAACGGCGCATGGCCGGTACTGGGGGATATCGTAAACGGGAATTTTGGTACAGTCGGGTTGTTGAATGGAGCCCTCCTATATTGCCAGGAGACTTTTTCGAGTTTCCACAGAGTTTCGAACGGGGACCAGGTCTATTCGGATTTTTTTGCCGATTAAGACGTATTTTTCAGCTGCGAAACGACAGCGAGAAAAGTAATGAAGCTTTTGAGAGCGGAAAAAGTTGAAATGGCCCGTTTTTCGCTTTTTAAAGTTGCTCAACTTTTCTATTTTGATCGTTTCGCAGATTCAAAAACGGATGTTTTAATCAACAAAAAAATTCTGCATAAAAGAGGCTTGGTTCGATTTGAAACTTCGTGGACACTCGAAAACGTATCCTTGTCTCTTCGCTCGCACTTTTTCCAGAACTTTCCATTCATATATTTTCGCGGATAATCACGGCGTCTTTTTAGATGGTCGCCTGCGAGCACTGTGGATGCGAAGAATTCCACGACGTCGATGGAGCTATATTTTGCAACAGATGTGAAGCCGTATCGCAGGTAACGTGGTTTTCGGATTAGGTCTAGCGGAATCTAGGATTTTAGGTGGGCTTCACACAGGAGGCAGATCAATTTGAAGTTATGGGCGCAAAGAAGATTTATGACAAGCCGAAATCCGGAAAGAAGCGGGAGAAGGACAAACCCGGGGAGGAAGGTGGTGATCAGGCGTCCGGGTCGCGAAAAAAACGAGGCTCTCGCACTCGCCTTGCCAGTAGGCTCTTGGCGCGACGCCGGCCGTTAGCGGTAGTGTTTGGTATTTATCGTAGAATCAATTTGTCTTCAGACGACGTTTGATGGGCGCCGTCTAGAGGTGGAAGATTTCCAAAATCGTGTTGAGCCGTTGCAAGACCTTCTCCACCTCTTGCAAGACAATGGCGCCGTGCAGGATAAAGACCAAGTTTGGAAGGTACGTTCTGTCTATATTTCTCCTCAATTCTGTTTTAGGACAGTTTCGGTCTAACAAGGCATGCGATCTACATTAACAAAGGCGTCAGCGCGATGACTGAGATTATGGGAATGCCGCCAGAATTCAGGGTTTTTCAGATATGTCGTTATTTATTTTTTAGGTTCATGTGATACACATTTGGCGGTGTTATTTGGCTCATTTGAATGTCGAAACTTTGGCGCCAGAAGAACCTTCGACAATTCGAGGTCAGAAAATCGCAGGCTATGCATCCCCGGTTTCAGAGGCCTTTCTGTCCCACCGAGTCGTTGTAGCCGTCCTTTACCTTGCGGCGTTGGACTGTGGATACACGAGCATTACTATAAGTGACATTGCTAGGTACTCTTCGTCGTATTTATTTAAACTTTATAGTTAGGTGGATGCGTGACGGCCATTTTTCGGTGCCTTCGTTTTGTCACCACCACGTTATGACTTCCACTGTCAAACAATATCGGGTAAGCAATGAACGTTTAAACACTTTCTCCAGAACTACCCTTTAGACGAATACTTTCGGGTTGTCTCGTATGTTGGGCAAGCTTTGCAACTGCCGCGGTCGCCAACCAAAGTGCCCTTGTTCGAGGTTCTTTCTGTTCGTTGCTTTTTATGCCGTTTTAGATAGCTTGTCGATTCGCATTTGACATGAATCTACCTAAAAACATATCGCGTGCGGTGTATGTATTGAGCGGGAAACTCAATTTAAAGCCGTTGATACAGCCCGGATATTTCGCTCAACAGGGAACATTGCAACAGGTCGTTTTCTAGCGAAACGCGACCAATTTGTTTAGGGGTTCCTACCTGCACGACACTGTCCATTGGAGCATGCCTTTGGCCGTATATTTACAAGAAAGGAATTAATCGCTGAGTACGTGAGTTTATGACGAGGCTTATTCAAGATTCTTAGAATGTTCATCAGCGATGAAGTGAAGGTCATGGCACTTATTTTGTTGGCACTGAAATTGAAGTTTCGGCTTGACGACAAGACAGAATTCACTCAAACAGAGGTGAGCATTGCTGCGACCATGGCTGCTGCCATTTTTCCGGCATCGAATTATTTAACGTTGTTTTAGTTTGACTTCCCGCGTTGGCTACTGCAGCTGAAGATGAGGGTGGCGCTTTGGAAGGGCTATGCGCCAAGCAACGTGGTTAGGAAAGGGTGAGTGCCTGCTGATAGTGTATAGAGCTTTTTTGGCTGGTTCCTTAGTTTATTTTCATGCCCAGACGCTGTCTTCTGGCGTTCTTGGATGTGTAGAGTCTCTACCATACTTAACACTTACTCTGTTGTCCTCAATCTCATTATTTCAGGGTCACCTTCACGGATTCCTGTTCTGATCCGTATCGGAAACTAAGCTATTTTCATAGCGTACCTAAGACTGAAGATGAAGATGAGGATGATGATGCTGAAACGAAATATGTAGTCGCTGATAAAGAACTCCGGAACCATCAAAACCCCTATGTTAGGGGCAAACTGCACTTCGAACACCTTGTCCCCCGACACTGGCCACTTTTTCGGTTAGTTTTTTTAGGAACTGATTCACTGGCAGCATGTTAAATTTTAGGACAGACATTCCAACACTGGAAGACAATGATCATCCTCCAAGGACTTATGATAAAGTGTCGAGTTCGAGTCGGTTCCTCCCCTTTTGTTTAATTTGAGTGTTTAGCTCCGCTTGTCAACACAATCCGTGATTTAAACCGGGAAGCTCTCCATTCTGATCCTGCAGCTGATCCAGATCTGGTGGACACTTTGTTTGCAGGTTTCCAGGTAACAACTGTTTCTCCGACTGAATTTCTTTTAGAAAAATAACGAGAAATTGCCTGTATCTGCTGCTGAAATGTTTCCGTCCCTCCGTTCATACACGGCAAGTGTTTTATAACAATTTAACATTGCTTTATCAGATGTACCAGCAACCAGAGGTCGCGCCGTATTCATTTCTGAGGGTCACAGATGATGGCGTCGGAGAATTTTTTCTGAGCACCCCGAACGTGGCGCAGCTATACGAGTTAGTTTTTCTACTAAGGACCGGATCTTTGCCGCAACTTGGTGGGAAACGAGTTTTTTTCAGCACGGCAAACCACGACTTCTCTCGCTCGTTCGCGGAGCTACTTTCTATTTTTGCGTTGCGAATCGGCGAACAACCTATGGTGCTCTACGCGACACTGGTTCTCATGGAAGTTCGTCTTTTCGATTCGAAAAGGTACACTATTTATGTTTTGCAATTGCGCTTTCAGCCTAATCGAATGGAGGAGTACTATTGAAACTGATGGTTCCGAATTGCAGCTCAAATACCATTTCAACAAAGGTGCCCCGGTTGACGTCTGGTATTTTGTTATTTTCTTGCCATTGTGTGAATTCTAGGTTAACGCGTGACCGGAGCGCAGGGCGTGATTATGGAATGAGGGTGACCGGCCGTGTGATATGTAGGTATTTGAAGTCTTTTACTGAACTATCGATGATCTTGCCTTAAACTTTCCTTTTCAGGGCCTTGTACGAAAAATCGACGACGAAGAAAACATGATTCTGATGATGAATCGATCGATGAAGTGATGGTAGAAGCGGACGAGATAGAGAAGATAGAGAAGATAGAGAAAATCGAGAAAATCGAGGAGGAGGAGGTGGATGGTGAAGATTCGATTGATGATGAAGCTGCACCACAAGCTAGGCCTCGCAACCGTGCACGGACGATCTTGCGCAAAACTGGATTATCCCGTTTTCCGGTACGTTGATAATGCGTTGTGGTTGTTTTTCCGGTGCTAATGCACAACGGGGGGAGAAATTTTTTCGGCCAAGGTTAGGAGACACTCCGCTTTCGTGGCTTGGTTTTAGGCTTAGCTTATGAAGCTGAAGTCTGGCTTAGAATGGCCTTAATTTCCCCTAAGGGCCGGAAAAACCGTCAGTTGGGGGGTGACTTGTTATAGGCTTTGCTTGGCTTAAGTGCCTGGCTTAGACATGGCTTTCAATGAAGCTAAGCTCAGACTTGGGCTTGCCTTAGCCTATGGGTAAGCTTGGAAGTTCAGAAACCTAGTTTGGAGAGTCTCGGAAACTTGAACCAGGGTGCCCCCAGTTGTGCATCAGCACCGTTGTTCCTATGTTCTTATTCTTGTGCAATATCGGTTTTTAGAATGGGAGTTTTTCGTTCAAGGCGGTCTGGCGGATGCTGGCTCTCAAATACCTGGACTGAAGCTATGCGATTGACACTTTGCACTTTACCGTTTCTAGTTGTAGCATGCGTTTTATTTGCCCACGTGTTTTGTTATTGTTGACCTGTAGCTAATCGGTATTTCGTTATTCTTGCTGTTCTTTTGCGGGTTTTGTTATTATGATGAATGATGTATTATGAAGATGTTGTTGTTATGATTTTGTTATGATGTTGTTATGATGATGAAACGGCTTATGATCATGAATAAATAGTTGGAGCATAGGGTAAACCTGTCGGTTGCAAGATTACCGTCCTAGTTTAAGCAATTTATTTCACATAACTGGGTGGCAGCAGAAAAATGGAGACAATGTCTCTGGCGTCTCTGACTAGGAGAGGTTTTTGAATAGATATCCAAATTGATGATGTACGAGAAGATTGTCGGCGGCGAGGCGAATAACAGTGGTGGTTTATTCCTCCTGAAATTAGATGGTTCGTTTACAAACCGGTATTTTAAGAATTAATGGGAGGTTTTTATGATTTTGCAAAAACTGTCGTTTCCTGGGAAGATTGCTAAAACTAATGCCAAGAATCGTGGTCTGTACTAGGCTACATACCTCCTCCTCCTCTTCCTCTTCCTCCTCAGCACGGGCAGCTTCTTCGGCGTCTTCTTCTTCTTTGTCAATTTCGTACTGCAGCTTCTTGATGACCTTTTCGAGGAGGACTGGTGGCGGGGGAAGTCCAGGGAAGCAAGGGTACGCATTTTTCTAAATTATTTGGCTTATTTTAGCTTTGCTACGAGCTCTCGCCGACCAATTTTCTGGAAGAAAGTCCACTTACGTTCTCAAACATCGATCTGCGCTCCTTGAAATTACGGCGATCGATTTGTCGATCGTATTTGGAGGCGACCTGGACCTTGGGCTGAAAATTACAACGCGTCTTGATTTTATTTGCGTAGTCTTACCGGGTGGCGGCCACCAGTGTCATCGGCGGCACCGGGCTTGTTCAACAGCTTACGCTGCTCCTGTCGTTGACGCTCATTCAATTCTTTCAGCTGAAATTGGATGAGGTTTTTTTGGTTTTACAGCATGAAGTTTTTTAGCAGAATATTTAGGACGTACATCGTAGGTCTGACGCTCGTTGCGCTTTTCCAAGTCGAATTTGTCGGCTTCCAGCTTGCAGATGCGCTGGTGGAGGGTCTAAAATTATTGGTGACGTCGGCTAAGGGTGAAATCATACCTTGATCTTGTCCTTCTTATCCTGCTTCTCTTCTTCGATGCTCCTGCGGAGTTGAGCCATGAATTGCTGAAAACTTTTGGTTTTATAGCGGAAATTGAAAGGTTGAAGGTGCATTTATACTCCTTTCTTTTAACGTTTAGCAACATCTTTAAAATAGCTCTTTTTCCTAGCTTTTTTTCTAGATATACACTAACCTTCTTCTGCTCTTCCTGCTGGTCCTTGGTCATGCCCATTTCTTGTTTGGCCTGCACGATGTTACCGAACTTGTCGTCGGTGGCCGCCTTCTTGGGGATGGTGAAGTTACTAAAATATAGATAATAAAAATCGATAAATCTAGACGAACCGTCCACCCTCAGCGTTTGTGCTGAAGGCGCCACCGAGCAGGGCGGCTTGTTGCTTCTTCTTCATGTCCTCCTAGAAATAACGATTTCAAAAGATTTAAATGTCACTGACCTTCTTTTGCCTCTCGGCCTCCATGCGCTGACGGCGCTCAAGCTCCTCCTGGCGCTGGCGCTCCTCGTTGATACGGCGCCGCTCCTCGGCGTCACGCTCCTCCTGCTCGCGACGAAGGCGACGCTCCTCTTGCTTCTCCTTCATCCGGCTAAAGGGAGGTTAAAGAGGTAATTCGGGGAAGTGAGAACCAACCGAAGCTCCTCATCCTCGCGCTCCTTCTCGGTCTGTCGGCTCGACTGATAGTCGTGGAGCTTGGCGTTGTCCTCATCTTCGTGGCGTTTCTTGGCGGCCTAGAGAAGATTTTTGGCATCAAAAGTAGCAAATGGTAAATTAAGAAAACGTTAAATGTTTTTATTCTGCTAAAAACTAACCAGCATGGCCTTCTCGGCCTCAGTTAGCCCATCATCGCCGCCCTCATAGGTTGTCTTGGCGCTAAAAATAGAATTTTTGGGGCCAAAATCACTCGGTGGGAATGAAGCTGGGGTGGGTGAAAAAGCTTTTTGTTAGGGCATCCGGGAGCGGGGAGTGTCAAGCCGTTTTTAGGAGCACATAGTATAAAGTCGAGAAGACATTTTAGGCAAATATCTATTTCTTTTTTGAAATATCATTCAATATCGAGGTTGTGGGGGGTGCAACCTTGCTGATGGTGTGCTTGTGCAGATTCACGTACCGGGTGACACTAAAAATGATTGGGTCAGCCTTTTTAGTGAAAAAAATATAAAAATATAGTAAGATTTTAGACTAGCAACGTGGTTTTTTGCGTTTGGTCAGTCGTGGTGCTTCGGTGCTTGACAAGAATAGAACCAAATCATAAAAAAATGACTGACGTGGGGCGCTCTTCCTCTTCCTCCTCCTCAGCCTCCTCTTCGACCTCCTCGACTTCTTCCTCGTCGACCTCCTCGTCCTCGCTGAAGTGGGGGAATTTTTTATAGATTTGTTTTTAAAATTTTTGCGGTTCATCAAGCGAAAAGTGAAAACTTACTAGTACGATTCCTCGTCCGACATGGTTTCCCCTGAAAGAAAGTAAGGATTGAAAAATGAGGAAAAGAAAAGCGAATGTGGTGGAAGGATTAGAAAGGATTTTTATAGCTATATAACAATTTAAGATTAATAATGCTTGGAAGAGTTTAAATCAAGTTATTCTAAAGGGTTGAACTGAAAAATTAAACTTTTAAAAGCTTATTTCTAAACACCTTGCTGGTTGCTTAGGTGTCTGGCTAGTACGGCTGATAAATTAAATTAAAGTTAACATAAGCTTTATAAAATTAAGCATATTTGACGGCATTTCAAAGATTTTAAAGAGGATTATCTACTATAATTCTGTTTAAATGAAATTACGCTATGCTATAACTTTTTTGGCTTGCGTGAAAACGCAAAAACTGATACGAGAGGATACAAAATTTGGCGTCTAATAAAACATCGGCGTCGGTTTCAATATTCAGAAAACGGCCAAGAATTCCTCAACAGCCAAAGTGACTAGGCGGGGATTTTTTGGCGGCTTCAAAAATGATGGGGCGGCGGTAGACGGTATGGACCTGGGCGCGCCAGGCCTTCGACCCGAAGGGCTGCTCGCGCGCGCTGTAATGAGGAGTGGGACGGAATCTGGGAGGGGATGGATGGTTAGAGAAAAAGAGCGTTTAGAGATGGAAAGAACGGTAGGGCCAGAAGGATTGGAGGGCCCGACGACAAAAGATGGGACTTCTCTGGATTTCTCTGTTTGCCATCCCCGGGGCCGGCATCCTGGGGGGAGGGAGCTCTCGAGAGATATGAGCGTGGAAGTCGGTGCGGGACCTAACGAAGTGTTGGGTGGGTGGAATAACGGGAGGAAGGGGGGGAGATGGATGATCGACTCGTAGGAGGACGCCCACTAAAATATCTACAAACACCTATACTCACTCTCCAGTCACCACATGACAACTTCGGGGGGTAAAGCCTGGGGGATAAAAAAGCTACTATGATAGTAAGGAGAAGCTGAACGTCAATGAGTAAAGCGAAATTTGATTTCGCTGAATTTTTGGTACTGCGCTGTTAGCAGGGGGGAGGGGGCATAGCAGGGGAGAAAAACCAATTTGTGTTTTCCTCCGCGTTTCAGTGGTTTTTGTTTGCTAGAAAGCTACAAGAAATGTGCAAAATTTTTAAAAATTCGAATCTTTGACCTTTTTACCGTGTAAAATGGTATAAAAATTTTTATTTTGTTACAGGACGGGAAAACTAGTGTCCCCTGCTACCGCCCCCCTCCCCGCTAACAGTCTTACCGTTAAAATTAAATTTTACTTTACTCATTGACTTAGGCACCCGTAGATCGATAAATTTTACTTATTTCTTAAATTTTTATATAAATTATATTATTATGTTTCGATGCCCATAATTAGCAATTATTTATTTCAAATGCACATAATAGAAATGAATATACCCGTAGATGGAGCGGACGGAGCGCCAGAAAGAGGGAGCAAGAAAGAGCGGGGAATGTCAGGGGTCAAAAACAAGGGTGTTAAAATGAAGCTATGATTTGTTGGGTGATTGAACAGCGCAAATCGAAAACCGCATGATCTGGAGTGGGGTGACATTTGCCCAAGTGGGGCTCGACGGCTTCTCCACGACGATCCGACGGCCAAACTCGCGATCATCAACAAGAATCTGAAAGTTTCATTACTTAGGTAGCCGGAAAGCTTATTCTTTTCTTTAGAATGAGGATATTTTTAGAAAGTTCGTTTCTGTACCGCCGCAACCCACCGAAAAATTTGGCAGCATCAACAGTCTCGCTAGATCAGAGCTTGAAGCATCATCAGCCTGGACTGTGCCGAGATCCCAGTCGAACGGCGTCTCGGTGGGGATTTTCTGAACAATTAGGGTGTTTATACAAATTTAACGAAGTGTTAAAATTTTATAATTCTGACAGTTTAGTTCATTCAAAGAGTCATGAATCGTTTTAGTGTTGATTAATGCGCTTAATGCAATACCTGCAGAAAATTGACGATATCTCGTATCCGAATTCCAGTGATGAGGTCAGCCAATTGGACGTGCTTGGGCGTGTGGTTCAGCCAGTTTTTGAGGCTTCTACCAGTCAATTCGGGCATAAGGTGGTGGCCACGGGGTTGGATGGTTAAGGATTCAAGCTGCTCGAGCTGGGCAAACGCCTAAAGGGTTTTATTGTTAGGTACTGGATTATTAGCAGGGGTGGAAACGAATTTTTCGGGTCTTTCTACCTACGCCTACCCAAAAATAAATATTATTCTTAATACCCATTATTTTTATGATGCATTTAGTAGTATTTTTATACGTTTTTTTATGAAATTTGTATACCTAAAAACTAGGTAAAAATACTATAAAAATGGCGTATATTTTGCTATAGCACCGGACCGCATTTGAGTTACTCGGAAAAATTAGCTTCCCCTCCTGCTAAACCCGGGAAACCTCGAAATTTTTCGAATTTTTCCACGTAAAAATCCAAATTGCAAAAAGCATTAAATTTTCGGCGAGAAAATTTTTCACACAAATGGCTTTCGGTGAAATGAGCGTCACCTAGTGTCCCACCTCATCCGACAACAATCCCGTGCTCATCAGGCAGAACTCAAAATTCAGCCTCTTCAACGACGTCCTCCCCAAAATTTCAGCCAACTCCCGCGCACTCCAGTAGACGTGGCAAAGCGTAAAGTGGATCGTGTCGACTCGCCTGAAAACCATGGTCCCTTATGTACTATTTTTCATTTTAGAAATCCGTGGATTTTTGGGGGAGCTTTGGCTGTCTATTTGGGAGCCGTCAGAGGCTCGTTTACTAATCTGCCAACACAACGGCTTCTTCTTGATGGGGAGGGTGGTGTCACTGTCGGCGGGGTGAGCTGACTATTTTGAAGGGTGTCAGAGGGGGAAGGGGCCCCAACACTATCTCGTCGTCAACTCCCCGTTAGACAGCACGAAAAATGCGACTTTTCGACAATTTACAAAAAGTTTAACTTAACCTACACCAGACAAAATGGGGTAAAAACTCACTTTAAATCATGTGCCAGCAACATCGAAAAGAGGCGTTTATCGAATGAGATGCCGGCCCCTTCAAAAGCCAACCGAGAGTTGAGATGCACCTGAAATCAGGGTAAAGCTTGGCCAAAAAGAGCAACCTGATCAAGAAAATCAGCTAGTATCTCCGGGCCTAAGGAGCTTGTCGAAGGCTTCATCTCGGCTTCTTCTATTTCGACGGTTCTCCGTTTCCGCTTTCCACGCAACGATACCGTAACCAGACGTCTGGTATCCTTGCTCCTTTTGAAGACCGGTCGCCCTAGAGGAGCACGGCGTACTTCCAAATCTACGACTGAGTATCTAAAATTGGTAGAAAAATAAATAAATGGTATTTCTGGTACCTCAGTTCCTCAGCGGAAGGCTTTGGGGCGCATCGTGAGTTCAGCACGCCATGGAGTCGCTTGTTTAGGCGCTTTCCTCTGGCTTGATCGGCCTGGTTGCACTGCTTGAAGATGGTGAGCAGGACGTCTGTGGGCAGGTTAGCAAAGTCCATTCTGGAAAAGGAATACGGTAATGAGCAGCAGTAAACAATGTGCGAAAGAGAGCGGCATAATGAAATTGGCGGGTAGCCGTTCGTGGCGAGACGCACGTCTGGGGCGCTTATCAGAAATTTGGATGCTTGGATTGGCACTTATGTACTTGTGTGTGTGTGTGGGGGGGTGAAGCGTGGCTGGCACCCTTCCATCTTCTGCCATACCAACACACAAGATCCGTGTTTTGCAGGAGATGATGGGGTTGTGTTGTAGTTTCAACTGCTGATAGTTTTTCCAGGAAAATTATAAAGGGGCATTGTTTAGTCTGTAACAGGCCTGGACGGCCGGGCCGGCCTGAAACTGGAATAACTCCGCATGGGAAGGGTCTGCAGCCTATATTTTTCTGCAAGATAAGCCGACACACCCGTCGCGTCTAATCATGAAAAAATCACAATTTAGTCAATGCGCGTCGAGTTATTCCATTTACGGGCCGGCCCGGCCGTCCAGACCTGGTCTGAAACTCAAGGTTTTAACGTTTATAGGCGTTAGCGCAGGGCTGGCAACAAAACATTATTTACTTTAACACCTTGAAACACTAAAGGGTGTCCGGTTAGCGGTCCGGAAAAGTGTATTTTGTCGAAATATTGGTTTGTTGGAAGTTTTCGGGACCATTTATCGTATAAAATTTAATTTTGTCGAAATTTCAATGCGCTGAACTTTTTAATTTGCGAGATTTTGAAATGGAACTAAAGCAAAAAAGGCATTCGAAATGACGACAAATTAGAATGTCGACAAAACAATATTTCGGCAAATTGACTTTCGAAAAAATGAAAATAAACCATTTTATGCGCTACTTTCTCATTCCAAAACCCTCAAAATTCCTCAACAAACCCTGCTAGACACCCCCTATGGCATCAATCCCAAAAAAAACACCAAACTGCCAGCTGATCGGCGCGGTGATAAGCGTCGAATTCGACGGCGTTGTTCCGCCTTGTCTGCAAAACGTCAATCAGCACAAAACGACAGGGGAGAGGGGGTGATGAAGCAGTGCGTGGGAGCCCCCCTTATGCACACAATACCCCCGCCTGATACCGTATGGCCATATGGGCACTTGGTCAAAATTTCTGTCACTCAACGGACTGTCACGTCGCATGAAGTGGGGTGGGGGATTACGGATTATACCTGGAATCGGCGGTAGTTCTTTGGAATGGGAGGTATTTTGAAAAAGGAAGCGGCACGAGGGGAGGATTCTAGGTACTGTGCCATTAACGGGGGCTTAGGGGGCGGCTAGCTCGCTTTTTCCTGCCGTGCAGAACTTCCAGCGCGTTATTTTTATCGTGTTTTAGTAGCTTTTTAATACTAAATTCTCAGCAAAAATTTTTAGAAAATCCAAAAATCATTTCAAACTGTTTACCAAAAATCAAAATTTGTCCAAAAAAATTTAAATAATTTTTATAATCTCCTATATTTAAGAACAGCAAAAAAAACTAAATAAATCGTATTCTGTGCCAAAAATTCGAAAGAGAAGAACGTAGTTCTAGGGGAATCCGAAACCAGTTGAATTTTTTAATTTTTAAGCCAAACTTGTAACCGGAAATCATAAATTTTCCAAAACTTAAGTAATTTTTCGGAATTTTCTATATTTAAAAACCGCGCAAAAAGCTAAAATAGCGTTTCATTTATAAGTTGCAAAAAATGGAAAGGAAGAACGAATTCCTTGCTAGCGCTGGGATTTGAATATGAAACGGAAGTAGGGGAGCATTTCAAGGCCATACGCCAATCAAAACTCAACACCTAGTTGCGGGGCACCGGGGGAAATTGGTGTTTGGTCTGGTATGATTGAAATCGAGGGGAAGCGATGCAGTGAAGATGGATTAGAAAAGGCTTGATCTAGGTCATTTTTCGAAACCGTTCAAAAACCGGAAATAGAAAATAAACTCGTTCAATAGTACCATAGACCGATTCAAAAGATGGTGCTCAAAATGGCGGCTGAAAAGTATGTGCTCGCCCGAGTGGTGTGTGGCTGCTGCTTGCTGCTGTCTGACCCAGGTGACACGTCCCTGTCGTAACCTATTGGCGTTGTGTTTGGAAGGGGTGCGGGGAGAAGAGGAGAGGTCCATCGAGCATCAGATGCAGAAATCCCCCCCTGACAGCCCTCTGTCAATTTCCCGATCGCCCAATAGGCACCGACACACACATACGCGCCACGGGGACGGGCAAGTCAAGCCAAGGCCCCCGGCGGCCCTGGGGGTGATGGGATTCTGAGAAAGTTTGAGTTGAGCACTGGTTGACTAAAAAATGCGGTACTGGACTGTTAAAGGAACTTCGAGCAGGGGGAATACTCAATTTTGCCTTCCCGCCTATGCCTACCTGTTAATAATATATAGCGCATTCTTCTAATGTTTTTAATAGTTTTTGATTTCTAGGAAGTTGCAAAAAATATCTGAAACATTTTTGAAATCAAAAAATGTTCCCTTTTTTTGGTAATTTTTCATGCATTTTTGACCAAATCAAGAATGCTTCGAACATTCTTATGTTCTGTATGAGCTTTTTAATTTAAAAACTGTATAAAATACTAAACAAATGAATTATTTACACAAAAATTGGTTTCCCCACGCTAAAAAGCCCCGCTAACAGTCCAATATCACAAATGTCTCAGTATAAAATCTGAAAATTAAGAATTCCGACGATTACCAGAGCACGAAAATCAGCTAGTAAAGTTTCAAAGGGAATATAATAGAATTCGGGTCGGATAGCTGCAAAGTGCGACGGTTGAGATAAATCGAGAGCCCCACCACTTGCCCCCAGGCTATCAACGGCACTCTATGAGATTCAATATTTGCCCGAGGGCGGCTGCACAGAAGAATGTGGCTAACAATAGAGGGTTATCAAAAACTCGAGGAATAAATGACTCGTACCCGATGGGTATTGCCACCATCTCGGAAATCAACATATAGAAAGTTCATTATCTCGAAGTTTTCCTAGGAGCCGTAGCATGAATTCCCGGACTCTGGATGAATCTTCGAGCCTTATACTTTAGCGATAGGTAAAATCACCCTAAATCCTACAACGAATGAGTAAAAAAATCCCTGGCCTAAAGTATAAATCTAACGATCTAGATGGAGGTGGACAGTGAGTTGGGCCTCGCTGACTGCGATCTGGGCTGCGCCAGCTGCAAGCCACGCCCCCCGTTCTCCTTCCGTCGAGCTGACCTCAAGAAGGCGGTGGAATGGGACCCATTTCTATGGTAATTCCTCAAAATGTTCCCCACCTCTCAAACATCGAATAAATTGGCGGACCGGGAACGTAATCGAGGGTCGGTTCTAAACGGGCGCAGGGTTAGGGCGTCGAAATGTATTGTGGTCAAAAAGGTGCCTACACTAATGGAGTTACTAATTTTATTACTAGCCTGTGTGTCAGGAGAAACAGGTTAATAAGATAAACAATTCGAACAACGAGCGAGGGAAACTGCTAGCCGACGCCTTGGTGCAAGATTGTTGCCGATGACCGATTGTTGGGTGGTGAGCCAGCCGAGCGTGATGACCCAAAGGCACGAAGTGATCTTCTCCCCCGATAAAATCCATTCTTACCCCCCAAAGCAAGAAATAACCGGCATTATTGGGAAGATATAGCTCTAAAATTAGAGTGCTGCTACTCATATTAAACTTAACTTTACTTCTAAAGATCAGTTTTTCCAAAGTAGCCATTGACTAGCTACCGTGTTTTAAAAAATACCTTTTGGATCCAAGCCCGCGCGGTGCTTGCGATCTAAGCCGGATACATGTTGCGCCATCGTACCCTCCCGCTGGGCCCGCCGGCAAATCAGTACTTGCGCAATCTGGGATGCCATGCGCATTTGAATGTGTTAGAGCTTGCCTAACACAGATACACAAAACAGGGAGGGTAGTTTCTTTTCCGCTAAAAACAATTCAAAAAAAGACGTTACTTTTTGAAAAAAAGCTGAATTCTATTGCAAAAACCGGTTTCCTTATAACCTAAAAGATCTTACAAGAATTGTAGTCAACCAAAAGTTTCTGAGGAACTTATAAAACGGCGAGGCTGAAAGAACCCCAAACGTATTAAAACCCGTACAAAATCTGAAAATGTATAAGGACCAGTGGCGAGTGCCTTGAGCTGTCACTCAACAAATCATCGTGCTCGCCGATCCAATCTCAGCGCCCATGCAGCTAACGAGGCGCAGGGACTCGTTAGGGCGTCAGAATGTAGGGACCCCCTTGGGTAGGACGAACTAGCTGCGAAACACATTATCCGATTAGACGCATCCCTCCCGGTGAATTGGCCGCGTGTCGACAGCTGGGAATCCGTCACTAGCGATCCGGGGCATTCTATGACAAGATAGTAGCAATTCATTGCTAGTTCCGGAGCGGTTTTTCTCTAAATTTTGTGAAATATTGGCCCGAGATTCGCGCGAGGAAACCAATTACACCCTACGGTATGTCGTATGCAAACGGCGCGAGGGTGGGCGAACACAGTGGGGCTACAAAAAGAGTGGCGCTCAAATTGCGCTGGCGACGAGCCGCTCTTGCAAGAAGCGCTCACCCAATGACCCGCGTGGGAGGGAAATCTCGGCCCGAGCCAAGTGGCTGGCCACATTCTAAGGAGGGAACGGTCAGGGAAAACCCAACTTTAGCGTCAAAAAACTCACTATCATCAATACAACCTATTTCCTTTGTAATGCGCAAGCTTGCGACTTAAAAGCAGGTTAATTTTAGAAATCAGAAACAGTTAGTGTATCCAAATTAAACTATGGCTAAAAACTGACAAGTTATGTCTGGAATGAGTGTCAAAGAAGACAGGTGCTCGGCTCAGATTGTCAAAGATCCTGTTGTTCGCTCTCAAATTAAACCATTGTGCCAGGTGCAGGGCGTGCTATCTGATCGCTGTCGGCGCTGGCCTCAGAACCCCCCGGGGGCCCTGGATCATAAATGCGGTTGCAGCATTTTAGAGCTCTCTGCACACGAACCCTAAACGTTTGGGTTGGGAAAATTCCAAAACGCCATCGCGTGAACGGATGCCACCGAAGGGAGGTAAAGGATAGATTCCACCTAAAAACTGACCATCTGGGCTATTGGCATATGAACGGAAGCGAATTTACACAGCATTTGCGGCGGCTTTGTGCACCCCCGCCCCCAACTCAGATGGTCTCCCGTATCGAGTGTAGGCAGGGGCAATTCGGCGTCTTTATGTCCTCAATCCCAGGCCGTCCCCTTGCAGTCAGCCTTGCAGCGCAGCCACTCAAATTAATCCGCGGGTCTTATCCTTACGGCGAGTGAGGAGCCTAACGTTCTTCCGGAAAAAGGCAAAAGCGGCATTGCTATCTTACAACAGCCAAGATTTATCTAAATAGGACGGCGTATATCCTGCATTTAAAAAAAAACCACGGGAATGCCCTGTTTCTTTACAAACATTTATGCTAAACTCCAAAAGGCAAGACAGTACAACTCTTGAGAAATCACATAATTAATTAACTGTACAATCGAGTAACTCTCGCCTAACTAGTATTAAGGAAACTTCACATTCACATGCACAAATTCAAAGGGAATCACATTGAGCGAAAAATGTGCAACTATGAAAACCCCTACAAGCTGAAAGACTCGCCACAGCCACAGGTTCCTTTGATATTTGGGTTTCTGAAGACGAACTCCGAGCTCAGCTTGTCCGTGACGAAGTCCATTTCAGTGCCCAGTAGAGAGAGCTGTGCCTTCGTGTCGATCCAGATCTTGACGCCGTCCTGAAAAGGCAGATTTAGAAGGCTCAACACGCAATTCACTCATACAAAGATATCGTAAAAGCTATTTCGAGCCACCATTAGAACCAACATACCTGTTGAACCTCCTCATCAAATTTGGCCTTGTCTTTAGCGTAGTCGAGCGTATACGTCAAGCCGTTGCACCCACGCTGCCTGACACCGATCTAAAACAAAACATCAAAGCAAATAGAACAAGCCGTACCTTTAAAGCGTTCGCCGTAGGCTCTCTTTGAAGCAACTCCTTGACTCGGACAATAGCTTCAGGCGTCAACGTGATAGGGGCGCGAGTGGGCTTGAAACGAGCGACACCTTTGACGACCCTAGCCGTTGCCGTGGCTAGCCTCGACATGCAGTGCCAAACTGACTAGTCTAAAAATGATATTTAGTACGGATCAACGGGGGAAGACAATAAAGAGGAAAAGAACAACAAGGTTACTATAATCAGGTGTAGTTTCAAATTCAATGTCGCGGTTTTCAAACGAACGCATCTTATTGTAATAATGCTAGCTAAAAAGTTGCAAAAGGTGTAAAATTGCAAAAGGAGGAAGATATTTGTCAGCGCGAGTTGCGAAAAACTTAAATTCTATCTGACGGCTTCGTAAACTAGTACATATTATTATAATAACGCTAACTAAACAGATGTAAAAAGTGTAAAATTGAAAAAGAGGAAGAGTTTCTCTGAGCGCGAGTTTGTGAAACAGCATCCGGGTGCATACTCGCTCCGATCCAGGGGTGCGCGCAGCCTTTGCCGGCGTTTGGAGTATGGCAACGGAACAAGGCGCCCAGAGCAAAAGCACAAGGAAAAGCCTGTGAAAAGGCAATTTTCGGATGAAAAGCTGTAAAACGAGGCCACGATACTGGTGGAGTAAATATAAAAGCATGGAAAAACGGTGTGATTACACATCTACAGCTGAAATGCTTACTTCTGGCGGCCAATTACGAGTTGAATAGGACGCTTTGGAGTCGAACTTGTTTAGCTTTAGTTGACATTGAGTTTGGAGAAAAACACCTTAATTTTTTTTGGAACTGGGACAATTTTAAGCCTAGGGTCGATATAAGGGAGGCATTAGGCGTTTTTCTAAGGTTCTGAATTTACTACAAAGCCCAGTTTCAACACCTTCAACATAAGGCTCACGCGGATGATCGACCCTTTTAGGACTACCGATAGCTACGAACGTTCTTTGTGGGGGTAATGCGCAAATTGACAGCGGAAAAAGGCAATGCTAAAGCATAATCCTTTGTTTGTAGACGGTCCCGCCTACCATCCGGGCCTTTTTTGCCCCCACCCCATCCGGTCAGACCTTCCTCCTCGCTATACGAGTGTAATACCCGCAACCATGTCGAAATATATTATCTTCTCCTTTTTTGTCTCCGTAGCAGCTCAACTCTTCTATCGTCAAGCTGCTGTATATCCGCCTCGGAATTTGAATACAGGGCGCCAGGTGACTAGCAAATCCGACAAAAGTACAGATAGCTTTTGTAGCAACCGATGACAAACCTCGTGTATCCAGTGTATCCATGGGCAGTGGGGGGCTATGGTGCAGTAGTCCAACCTAATCCTGCCGTACTTCCGAACCCGGTAAGTAATAATAATAATATGCTAAAGTCTCGAGAAACCAGGCGATCGGCTCTCCAAACTGCCCCAAGAGCCCATTCGCCATGTTTTTGAGCCAACAGGAACAGGTAGATTTTCATTGATAGCTCCAAATTGACACGCTGAATTTCAGGAAGGACTGCATGAACTAATTGTTGAGGCTCGAAAAACAGGAGCCGGCGAAGCTGAGGTAAAACAGTACATCGACCGATACGTCCAGGTGGGTTGTAAAGGTTGAAAAGAAATATTTTTAATTCTGTTTCAGGCAGTTTTGTCCCCAGAGAAATACCAAAATTTCCAACAAGCCTCCCAGCAATTCAACGCTCGACTACCAGGCCCCTATTAAAAGAACGATTGAGTGAAAAATCTGTTTGTACAAATCTTGATTCTGGTAATAAATTTTTGCGCGGAAGGGTTCACAACGGCGACCTGCAAAGCTATCCACACTAAGGAAGTCGACAAGACCACAAATGATATCGAGATCTACTGGACCGGCGTAGCCTCGGGTGTTTGCGATTTGAAAAAGATGCCTTTCCGAGCCCCTTATCAAAGCTTTGCATAGAGTTATCTCATGGTTAACTTAGGCTTAGGCTTAAGTTGGGCTTAGGCTTAAGCTTGGTTTCGGATCAGCCTAGGCTTGATTTTGGCTTAGCTTACTTAAGCTTAGTCTAGGTCCATATTGGGCTTAGCCTAGGCCTGGCTTAGGCTTGGCCTGTACATACCTTAGGCTTACCTGAGCCTTGGGTTAAAGCCCAGGCTTGGCCTAGGTTCGGCATAGGCGGCGCTTGGCTTTGAGATCAGCTTAGGTAAGAAATTCAAATAACTGCAAATAGCTGCAAATACCCTACATAGATAAGCCATGTAAGTAAGTAAAAAACCATTATAGTTTGAAGCAGGAAATAACGTTAAAAAACGGTGCATTCAGTATGCAGTCCCTGCACATTATCGTTACAAATTTATTTTTTTGGACAATTTGTAAAGTACAGCCGGTACCGCCCTACAGCCGTTTCGAGACAGTATGGAAAGGGGAGAGAGAGACAGAGGAAAATGTTTGAGTTCTCACTCGTCCGGCTCTATACCGTTCACTCGTTCTATCCGGCTGTACCGGCTGTACCGGCTGTACTAATTGCCATTTTTTGTCCATCATTTTACTCCAAGCAATCCCCTTTTCATTTGATTTATTTATTAAATTCAAAATCTTACTGATAAATTCAATGCCGTTATGTCTCCCGCGACGCGATACGTTTTTTGTATGCCCGCGTTGGCACTAAACAGGAAATTCGGCAACCGAACTGTTGAGCCACATTGTCCAAATTTTGCTTCTTTCAAAAAAGTTTTCTTTGCAATTTTTTGAAATTCCTTTGAGTGATTGACTCTGCTATTTTCCAGGCAACGCCTTTCCAGGGCGAATGGAAGAAGTCAAAGAGAAACTGAGGGTCAGTTTATATATTTAAATCTGGGAATGAAGGTTGTGACTTTCGCACATTTATGACTTTGGTATGACTTGAACAATGGCTTCGCGCTCCTAAATCATTAGATGGCGAGCCTTCTGCTTACACCAGCCAAAAACTGAAGAGCCTCAATGAAAACTAAGCGAATCTTTCCTTTAATAAGGTAACGTATGTTTTCAGGCGGCTGTAGGGCAACGTCTTCGGGAGCTGGATTGCTCGCTCATTAGCCAAGGACTAGTGGATTATGTGATGTTGCTGGAATCTGGCGATCGCTCGAAGGAAGCTATGAAAGAGCAGCTTCAAGTATTCCTCGACGAGAACACCCACGTTTTTGTCGAATGGTATTAATTCATCGTTCTACTATACAGTTTTTAGGCTATTCGACGTTAGAGTGCGCCTTGGGTTTATGTGGCGCCACCCGGCACAAGGCGGGCACGCGCTCGAGAACGTTGGTGAGTCTTTCAAATAGTTCGTTTCTAGTTGTAGAGGGAACGAGATTCTATGACATTTTCAGGTGAGGTGTCTGGTGAGAAGCGGAAAACGGTGTCGACTGAGGTTGGGAGCACTTCAAAGTCTGAAAAGGTAAACTGTACTCAAACATATTATTACTTTGTTTAGGAGCATGTAGAGGATCGTCCGGAACATAAGCAGGAGGGATCGCTGAAGGTTTTGGATCAACATGCCGTTCAGAAGAGCCCGGTTGTCAAGGAACGTGCTACTGACAAGAAGGTTTGAAAGTTTTTTTGTTCACCATTTGTGGTCTAGGAAGAGGACTTTCACGATATCGAAATTGCCCAAGGCAAGGAGAGGCATAGCCAGGAAGACCACCGCCAGGAAAGTCGTCGAAAGCGCACGGCCGAGAAAATGGACTATGAGTTGGTTTTTTCGTTATTTTCCGGGAATTTAAGCGTGAATCGATTGAAGCAAGTAGTTTTTAGGTGACAAGCTTTTAGCATGAGATAGCTGATTCGATAGGGCTGAGCAACACTGAACAAATCCCATCGCTAAAGAACTGCAGAACGATAGCCTTGTTCGTGAAATAGCATTTCACGAACAAGAACAACGAACATTTCACGGCGTCACCATTTTTTCAGCGGGTTCGACAAACCCAAGAAAATACGTTACACTCCCTATAGAATCGCTATGGAGGAACCGGGGAATTCTATAAAAGACAGCTGCGGTTTAACAGTTTTGCTCAGACTGCTCAGTATATCAAGCTCTACCGATTCAACTATAAATCAGCATTGTATACATTAGGGCCCGAAAGACTCATTTATTTATGATAATTTATTACTCACTTATTTCAGTTACGGTAGTCGCCGACGTGATGAGGGACGCAGGGACGATCGTTACAAACGTGAACCCGAAAACCGGCGCCGTCGAAATGAAAGTGAAAGCAGACATGACCACCGAGCTGCCACTGACCGAAAATTTGGAAAAGTCGTACCTGGGTTAGTTATTTATTGAACATTGTTAAGCGGTTTTTGTTGGGATCGGGAAATATGTTGATTAATTTATGTATTTTAGAGCTGAGAACGGCAAATCTCGGCAGGTATTCTCATCGCGTAGTGACCATGCCATCAAGACTCGGTAAAAATAAAAATCTAACTACCATAATTTTGCTTAAGCCTTTCTGACGAGTCGCGGAATGGAGCATCTGGTTCCACTTCGGCACCTACTCTGAAATCGCGTGTGGTCGTGAAGAAGCGTGATGACGAACCACCGGCTATCATGTAGGCATTTGGCTTGTACTACCTGCTCTACTTTCCACGTTTACTGTAGCATTAACGCATATCTCGTCATCATTGGTCTTGTTGTTTTTGAGAACTTTATAGTTATTATTATTTATAGATCGAAATTCTACTCGACCTCTCCCATTTTTGAACGCAGAGTGTCAAAACGTGCATCGCAACTCACCGACCCGCAGGAGAATGTCGAAGTTGGAATCGAGGATGTCGTCCAGTCTGTGGTCCACAAGCGTGTCGCGCCCGTCCAGACAATTTTCACCGTCACTCTAAACCGGAAACGCAAGTCCACATCCGCCGAAGACGTTGAACGCGATAAAGAAGGTAACCATTTATGGCTGTGGCTTTAGCTTGTGAGAACAATTTACAGCTCCCTTCAAATATTTGTTGCTTGAAATTATTAAAATGTATTTTTTTTCAGAGCACCGTCGAAGCGCTTCCGTGTCCCCCAAGAAGCCAAAACTGCCGGAAGAGAGCGAACCTGTTTCTACGATCCAAAATGATGCGACACCCGATGAGGATCATGAACAAATCGAGCAGCAAAGTGCCTGGGACGGCACCATTGATTTGGATGATAGCAGTGACGATGGTAAATTATTTGCTTATTAAAAAGTGGTAACCATGGAGACGCCTACAACACAAATCATTTAGAAGTAGCTATTGATGATCTCATTGCCAAGGCGCAGCAGCAAAACACGCAACATCCCTCTGGCTCACTACCCGCAACGGCTCAACAGAGCAACTCTGTAAGTTTTGCCTCACATTCTTCATCACACTTTTTATAGGATGTCGTTGTGACAAAGCTCGTCATCGCTCAGCCCAAGCAGCCGAAATCTTCTACCAGCTCTCACGTGCGCAACAACAAGGTGCCCGCTAGCTCACAACCGGCAAGGGCGCAGCAAAGCAACTCTGTAAGTTTTTCTTCAGTTTTTTTTTGCTTCAAATTCTTTTACTACTACGCTAACATGTCTTTTTTAGGACGTCGTGGTCACGAAGGTAGTGATCGCTCGCCCCAAGCCGACACCTGTTCCTACCCGCCCTCAGGTGCAATATCTCTCCCTCTTATTCAATCTGTGTTCTAGGACCCACGAAAGAAGGTGCGCTGTATGAACTGGCCCGATTGCCCATTTGACTTGATGTGTCATTTCCACCACCCAACGACCGTATGCCGGTAAATTTTTATCGAGTTACCGTTCGGCTTACACAACGCCTCATTGTTAGAATGCGGAAATACCTTAATGCGTAATTTATGGATTCGTCATTATCAAAATTCCCTATAATACAAGTTAGTTAGTTAGGCGTTATGACATTTCGGTATTCTAACAATTCGGCACTGCCAAAACTCGGAATTATGGAAATTATTGACAATTTTTATTTGAACATTTTGGTTGTGTTTTAGAAACTATCCCCATTGTCTACATGGGGCAAACTGCTTCTTCGCGCATCCCCCATGCGAGTTCAAGTCGGCGTGCACACGCCGAAACTGCATAAAGGTTCACTCGCAGACCGGTAAGCGGTATATCTAGCTCTGTATATGAATTTAAGGCAACTATCCACCAGTGGTACTCCGAACCGTTGATGAATGTATCGAGGCGGGCATCAACGTCTACGACCCGCGTATCGAGGCCATCGTCGGCGTCCGACGTGACCGATGGGACATGACGCCGCGCTACGACTACCTCTAGATCTTGATTGTGATACGATATGGTCGGTGCCTTTTTCCCTTCTGTGATTTTGTTTGTACGGGTACTCTACGGCTTTCCCTTTGCGACTAATGGTTTTTAAATGTCGCTTGTTCTAGGTCTTTCAAAATTTTATTTAGTACTACAAACTGTCTTGTCCTCCCCCCCGTTGTCGATAATTTTCGCTGTCCTCATCCATTCTACGATATTTAACTTTTTGTTTTTTGATAAAAGTGGTCGGACTCTAAGAGGAATGAACGAGCCTTACGTAAAATCGAATACCGAATCCTTCAGATCTAGATTGGTTGGGTGGGTGGGAAGGGGGGGGTGGCAGTTTGCGCATGTGTGAGAGGTATAATGGGAGGTAATAGCTTTACCCCCCATACCGGCGCAGAGGGCAAATCGGGGCCTCCGATCAAATTAGAGAGCAGTCGGAGGGACCTACACGGTCGCATCCAAGCTTCACGTCTTATATTGTATGAACATGAATTTCCGAGGGGGGATCGAGTAAGAGTATGGGTTGCTCGCGCCCGAGTGGGATGGATGTGGCCCGACGCGGGGCATCACCTCCAATTTGCATCTGAGGGCCAGGGTAGTGGCCGTGATTCGTCCTCCCCAAGTCAGCGGGTCCTTCTTGCTTTCTTTCGACTAGCGAAGAAGAGGCGGCTGGATATTGTCATGCAGTGAAGGGACAGCTTCAAGTTTTGCATTATTCCTGATTGTTTTTTTTGGCTTTTCGATGCTTTCCGCCTAGCCGGTTGTCAATAAATTTTGCAATTTGAGCATCATTTTAATCCTGAAATATTATATGACGTTTTTTGTGCGTTTTTTTGGGGCAGCTCAAAAAGAGCGCGGGCAACATGAAAATGTGCGGAAGGGCGCTTCCGCCCGCCGCTTTGAAACCCGAACGGAGGGTAGGCAGAGGAGAACGAAAAGGAGCAAGAGGATGACAAGACGACCGGGGCATCGAGGGATGGCTGGCTGGACATAGGGGGCTGAATTAAACATTTCGAAGCGCCCGCCCTGGCCCCGCGCCACCGGCTGCAATGGCAACAACACTGCGCAAAACCTACAAAAGATTTAGTAGGACCTTGCTTTTAAAGAGATAGGGGCGGCATAAGTCAATCGATTACGCGAGGGAAAGAAAAATGTGTCTGCGCCTCTCCCCTTGGAGCCCTCTCTCGCGCGGGATCGCCGCGGGACCTGTTGACCCCCCCCCCTCCCCAAGGGGGGGTTCAACAGATGCCGTCCTCATCTCTTTAAGCGGCATTTTTTTTTATATAACTTTCTGGATTTCTTTATAGTTTTGGATGTATTTATTTGGTGAGTACGGTATTTTTTGGATATTTCTATACGAATTAGTGAAATTTCAGCACCACCTTAAAAACCCTGTTAAAACCTACAAATAATTTAGTATAATTTTAAGCTGGCCATATTTTCTAAGTATATTTTTCTGTATTTTCCTATGTAGACTTATCTTAGCAAGGGGAAGGGTGAAACCAAAGTTTCTGCGTATTTAAATAGTTTTAAATAGACTTTAGTCTATTTTTGACACGTTTTTGAATAGTATTTGCGAAATTACAACGTAATTTGAAAATATTAAGACGATTTAGTTCCCAATTTATTTTCCCCTCCGTGCCTATCCTATCCTATTTTTTTACTGTGTTGCTTTTCATGAATATCATATTTTGCGATTTTTTCACGAGCTTATTTAAGTTTCAGCGGCAACTAAATACTCAAAAATTTGCCGTAATGTGGTGTCCACCCAAGTAAATGGCCGCTCATCCATAATTCATCAGCTGGACCCCGGTGAGCAATGCTTTATTATTTTGCTCTGATATCCCGTCCCCCGCGATCCTGGCTGAAAAAAAAGAACGGAAGGGCAGCGAATTATTATTGTCATAATATTTCCACGCGTCTCTAATAGAGTGATATAGCCTGAAGGGGGACATCGGGTGAGGTGAGGGGATTAGGGGGGCAGCCCATCTTCAGCTCAGCCCGAGGATAAGCCATACATACCGGTCCTGGGAATCAATTTTCTCACCTGGAGCCCCTTTTGGCTTGGTTACCTTATTCTCAGTACGTTCCGACTCAATTTACGGGGAGATTTAGCTTGTTAGTTGGGGGACTGGTGGGGGCTAGAAGTAACGTTGGTTATTTTCATTTTTTTTTTGGTGTTGATCTAGATTTTTCTACATCTATTTTTGGAATCGTTTTGAGAATGGAAGTGAACTGACTTTTTTTAGCTATTTTCGATTGCTCCTACACGCTACTTTTTCGAGGTTTAAATTTTGTATCACCTAGCTATTCGATGCTTTTGTTGCACCGAAAAATTATATTTAGGACTATTTTTCGAAAAACAACTTAAAAATCCGGAGAACTGTATCAAATAAAATCAATAATAGAATTTTTGAATAATTCTTTAAATGTTAACCGAAAGTACGAATTACAACGCGCAACGGGTACGCCCTTGACTGCTGCTAGCGGGCGATCACCCCATTACGCTATGGCACTAAGGTTGTCTCTCTGACTCAATGTTGATTTCAATATAGTTTAAAGTTTTATAAATAATGGCATAATTATACTTTTGAGTTTTGTATAACTGACAAAAGGCGTTTAAAATTCATATAAAATATTAGAAAGATCAGTCCGGTTTCGACTCGAAAATTGTGGACTTAATGAGGAATCCATAGTTATGTCTTACCAGCCCCTTTAAAAATATTGCTAGTGTCACTATCCCTTTAGCAGTGACTTCTCCCCCCTTGCCACCGTTGACCTCACCCCCAATTTACCCACAGCCACTTGGTGGCACTTTTAGGGTATGGCGTGGCGGGACCCCGAGCCGGGTCGCGCCGTTCCCTGAGGGGCTGGAAATTGTGGTCGAAGTGGCCGTAAATTCCTCAGCCTTCCTTCTCGCCGTCCACCTCAGCCTCCCCCCTCCAAAACAGGCAATTCGCCCCGGGCTTCACCCCCCCCCCCCCTTATCCTTTCTTTTGCTTTTCCTTCTTTTCATTGGTGTCGCGCGATCCGATATGTGGTCTTGCCGGGGGGGTTGGAGAGTGGTCCCTATTTCTTCGTGGGCCCCATATTTTTGATTCGAGCGCCCTGGAGGTGAGGTTTGGATTGACCCATATTTCATGGGTCCATTTTGTTCGTTTTTTTGTGTTCCTGGGATAGAGAGCGGTAGGGGGGATTGAGGGGATTTTCTTAAAAAAAAGCGATCCATTGTGGGGGATAGAAAGGGACATGTAAGCTTCGGTGTATAAGATTATTTTAGTAGCTTTTTAAGCGCTTAATATGAGTATTCGACGACTTTATCTACTAGGTCTAGACAGTAAAGTAGCAACTTGAAGGGTGCCCTTGGTTTTGATTTGTATGTCAAGTTTTGTGCATGAATTGAGTTTTTAGTACTCGACACATCTCATTCGTTAGAGTTTAAAATTCTAAAATTAAAAATTCTGTACCAAAATATTTTTGAAAATTGCAGAACTCTAACGATCTGCTCGAAAAAATCTCAAAATTCACATCTTAGAAACCCGGGCAATAAATCAGCAAAATAGTTTTTTATTCATGAAGATCCTATTACGTTCATAAATTTTTGAAAGGCGGGATTTTTAAGAATTGTAAAATCCTAAATGGACGTTGCTGATCTATGTTTTAACCTAAAAAAAACTTCCTGCAATTCTCCCGCTTTCCCCCATTGGAAGCCCCACCATCTGGAAGCCCTCCTGTTTTTCTTGGCCCCAGATAGATAGATTATAGGCTTCTCCTTCTCCCCTCTGACAATACTTTTTGTAGCCACCCCTACTCGGGCTCCGTTTGGCAACAATTTCCCTCTTTGAATGCTCTTCAGGAAATGAGGGTGTCCCTCCTCCCCCTTGCTATGGTCACCTTCTCCCCCCCATGGGTGATGTGCCCTCGGGGGCATTTACCCCATCTTCTATGCCCTGCCACTGCCGCAGATTTCCATTTAGTTAAGGTTTCCAGTGAAATTGAAAAGTAGCCTTGATTTGTGGTGTAGATTTTTGAATGTATAACTTTTGAGAGTAGTATTCATATGTAAATATTCTTTTCGACCGTTGGCTTATTCTATCCTCATGGAAGCTTGATTTAGATATTGAGTCTTGAATTTAATATTCTTTTTGACCGCTCGATAATTTAATATTCGTTTAAGGATCAGTTTTAGAGGAGCCTGAAGCTCATGCTGTTTGGAAAGAAACTAAAGGCTCAACCTTCTCTTATCTCATTCTCTTAGATTCATAAGACTTCCTTTTAAGGTCCCTTTAAAAGCTTAATTTAAAAATTATTGTAAGAAGGCCCTTTAATATGTTAAAAATTCATTTATTTACTTGTTCTATTGGTTTTTTGGTGTATGCATCTGCATCATATGAGTTTTGCCGGGTCGTGACAAAAATTTAATTTTTATTTTCACTAATTACGCACTCTGCGTGCGTTGCGTGTCGCGGCGCGCAGACAGCCTTCTCCATCCCTTTAAAAGAACAGGAACATGACACCAGCCGCAATATTTTATCAGATAAATCCCCGGCTGCCACCGGCGGCTAACTAGAAGTGTTCGGAGGCGATGATGTAGTGGATGACCCTTGAGGGCCCTTGGGGAATTTCGCTGTGGGGCGCGATTTTTCGGGGGGGTGCCCTCGGGCCACTGGACCCCTTTGGGCCAAGGCATTTTGTTGCGAGAAATGGCCCGGGTCCGCTTGGTGTGTTCGCTAATAGTTTTTCGGTTATAAGGATTTTTTCCAAAAGGATTTTGGGTAGCGTATGTCGCCTAATTTTTGTTGTTAGCGCATTGACAACGCCAAATTTTGATGCGATTTAGATGAAAGCTAAGCCTATGCCTATGCCTAAGCTGAAGCAAAACTGAGCCTACGCATAAGCCGAAGTCTCAGCCGAAGCCCAAGCCAAGGCCAAAGCCCAAGCCGAAGCCTAAGCCGAAGCTTAAGCCGAAGCCGAAGCCTAATCGAAGCCTACGCCTAAGGCGA